CAGGAGTTCAAGTCAAGTCAATGAAAAACATGTATTCTTTTCTCCACTGGCTTCTGAGACACTATGGTTGTGTCTCACCATGGCTCTCAGAGTTACTTCAATTCAACAAAAAAAAAATTGATTGTCAAGAGTTAGTTTTGTAGCTGTGCTTTTGTGTTTTGTAGCAATAAGATACTATTTCAGGTGCAGATAATACAGTGGATTCAGGCTACCTTTACTTAAGAAGATGCCGTTTCATATCAACGAAAATAAAAATAATACTTAAAACTTGAAATCAGACGAAGAAATGATACCCAGCAATGATTCAGTCTGTTTTCTCAACAGTTGAAATTATCTGACTGGACCTGTGAAAATACTTGTAGGTTTTCAGGTGCTTTGTCTGTTTTTTTTTTCTTCTCTATATCGTGTCAGCAGCAACACCTCCATTGTCTGACTTCCAGAGAATTTCTTTTTTTCATTATGTGGTAAAGAGGGCATGCCAATCCTCTTTCTCTCCACCCCATGGAAAGAATATATAAAGGAGTCGCCTGTAGTGACTTTTACCACTTTTACTTACTTTCTACAGGACTGGTATCATCAATCAAAGCTTGTAAGTACTTTTGCACTTCTTTTTTAAAATGATTTGTGAGGAGAACTGCACAGTTATGAATGTATTAGATCACTCATCAACAGGCAACAAAGAATGATCTGTTTATCATCAACATGGTGTGATTGCAGTTTTAGTGTTTTCATCAGATGCTACATTAAATCTGCTTGTTTCCTTTTTGTTTCAGAACCATGAGTAAAACCACATTGAGAGAATTTGAGTCACTCAGCAGAGATGAAGAGCTGGTGTCTAAAAATGGGCTGTGGAAGGCTACTTTGAAGGTAAGTAAATCAGGACTTTGCAGGTTTCTATTTTGGTGATGGAAATGAAAATTTTACTGACTGCCGGTTGTCTCTAATCTTGTGTGCAGAACGACGGTAAGCTTGTGATTTCCGGTTGGAAGGAGACGTGGGAATCAAAAACTTGTGGATCAAATAGCTCCCATGTGGCTGTGCAGCCTGATGGAAACGTGGTCTTATACGACAACTATAAATCACCCAAGTGGAGCACAGACACATATGTTAATGGTGCTAATTATAAGTGCCGTTTTGAGCTGACCGACGAAGGCAACCTGGTGTTGTTCAAAGATGATGTTTTAAGCTGGAGCTCTGCTGACTCTTGAAATTGAGTGCAAAGAAAATTCTTCACTGAATTTCTGCATGAATTTCATTTGACCCTCCTGAAATGTATTCTGCAATCTAATAATAGCAGATCTTACCAGACTAAAGTGTGTTTGTCAATCATTTGGACTGCATGGGTTATCACTGAACAGTTCACTAGAACAGTTTCACTGAAAGCTTGATGTATGTGTTATTAAACCAAGGCTCCAGTATAACTAAATAAAATCCTTTTAAAAATCTTTGTATCTTTAAGCATAAACATTAAACCTTTCTGGCCTGTCAACTTGGGCTGTAGCTTTATGGGTTATTTCAGAGTTTGCAGTTTTGCTTAGAAACAACAAAAGATATAAAATAACATAAACTCAAAAGTTCTTCAGTAATCCACGGGTACAGATAATAAAAGAACACTTATATGTTGATTTTTGTAAAGCTAATATATTTCTGAGTCATTTTCCTGTGTTGTTACGAGGCTCTACATCCAGTAAAAACTGCATTAAAGAATCACAAGATAAAAGAGGTTTTGTCATGTCATGGGTTTTCTTTGTTGGGTTACCTTAGACAGTTTTACTTTTACGTTAAAGTCTGTAAATTAAAAAATCTAACTATAATAAGACTACGGGCTATAGTATTGTGAGTGAAGTGAAGTTTGAAATGCACAGGTATCAAGCTGAAATCACACTGCCAGCTGAGTTTGATGGAACTGGAAGCTATTTTTTTAAAAGCTCACCAACCATCTTTAGTAAAAGCTATATCACATTTAAATGTTAAATCATATGAGCCATTAAAACAGTAGGAAAAGACATGTTAGCGATTGGCTCTTTTAGATGTACTGAATCACTGGAACCAGTTCACTAAAAAGATTCATTCAAGATATTCGTTCACCGAATCATTGAATCATTCAGCACTTGGCAGGAGGAGCCTGTGACTCCGACTTCCTGAACTGATACACAGCTGAACGGTTCAGGATTCAGTTCAGATCATAACTTCAGGGACCGGGAGACAAGAGTGTTGTGGCTGTGTCGCTTTGACAAACAGGTTTGTAAAAATGATGTAAAAATGTAAAACAAAACAACCAAAATTTATCTCCCCATTGCACTGTTTGCACTGCACTACAGAATTTTTAACTCGTATATATTTTGTATCTATTTTTATTGTACCTCTTAATTCTGTGTCTGTTTCTCTCTTTTTCTTCTTCTTTTTTACTTCTATTGCACTGGAAATGGAGAAGCTCTTCAATCTCTTTGTACTCCTGTATAATGACAATAAAGGGCATTCTGATTCTGAGACACTAAATATAAAGTCCTTAGTGATCCACTGCAATAGGTGATACACTGCAAACTACAAGGATCTTAGAATTCCAGTCCCAGAAACGAGGTCCTGAGTCAGTGGCCTGCAGCTCTGCAGACATATGGCACTCAGAGTTCAAATGCAAGTCATGTAATGTAACTGCACCAAGAGACCACAAGGTGTCATACTAACCCTAAAAATGTCTCCGGACCCACAGCTCCCTTCAGGTATGTGTTACAATTTTCTTTACCACATGATGCACTCTCATTTTTCTTTATTTTATTCTGATATTTTGTAGGACCTGTCCTATTTTTTTTTTTTTTGCATTTGAAGGTGCAGAAAAGTTCAAACTCAATTTTCAGCTTCGGAATTCTGACTATATTTGAAGAATATTAAAAGCCACTATTAAGAGGGAAACTGACAGAAATAAATTAGATATCCAATTGATACAACAAATCTCAGTGAAAAGGCAAACTCAGAGAGAATTGTGAATTTTAAACTCAGAACTGAAATAAATCTTTCACATGTGGCTCTATATGATCCTGATTCTGTTTACAGCATCATAGATCTGCCAGAATAAATAAAACCTTTTGTTTTTTGGACAATAACCCTGTTCCTAGTGGCACAAGCTAACTTAACACCCCCTAAATCCTTAAGAACTTCATATTCCTGGGGTGATAAAAGAGAATATTTTCAGTCTTACTGAAGCAGCGTCTCTTTTTGGTGTCGATACTCATCATTATATTGCTTACTTCGTTATCACCCTCATTCCTGAAACACTATTATGCACCCTTACCATGGCTTGTCTAGACGGCACCGATGTCTCCTCTGCTTCATGGGCCAAAAGGGAAATCTCATGAACAGTGAGAGAAATTGGCAGAACAGGCACTCACTGGCAGACTCTCTGTGAACACTGTGGACTAAAAATAGACTGAGAGGGTGATTACTTTATGGATCTGTGATTACAGCACAGATTTGACACTTTTTTTCCACTGAAGGGGCCTGACGGTACATTTATTTTAATCATGAGGCATAAAACATAAGGTCAAGCATGCTTGTGAGGGAGAAACGCATGCATACAATCTATGTTTTCTTTCCTAAGTATACAGGGAGTGTAATCTCATGTCAAACTAGATATTAAATGCAAATGTTATGGAGGCCTTGATCCTGCTGTATACAGGAGGAGCATGATCTAAGTTACAGTTTTTGGTCTTTGTGGCTATTGTAATACAAAACCACTAGATGGCAAGCAAGAATTATGATGAAAAACAGTTTCTATGAAGTAATACACACCACTGCTTAGTGCTTAAAAATGCACACCGTATTCTTTCTGCAATGGGCTCAACAGGATTTAGCTTTGTTTTGGCTGTATTTGAGAGATAGCGTATCATTAAAATTTCTGATAATAAAGTACTGGTCGGCCAAGACAGATATTTTACAGCCCAAAAGAGAGATGTACAGGGGAGCCAGTGTGCATGTGTGAATATCCCACTAGTCCACAGTCAGAGGTTATTAATTTATCTGTGAAGAAACTTGACTATATGTGAACCTGCAAATACATCTGCATGCTAGCACAGTGTTAGCTTTATAATCCAATCAATGATCTCTCAACTCATCTGTTATACGAACTTTTCTGTCTTTTAAAGCTCCTGTGTGGAGTTTTTGGTGTTAATAAAATAGATTAAAAATCATATGCTACATTTTTATGATATCGAACAGCAATTTTTCGGTCACAAATTACAACTCATGCATTTAGAGGTCATGATAAGACTGCTTTGTCCAAGAGAGGGGGTTCTGTGATTAAACTACTCAGTATTTTTAATCACATTCGCCCAAGATGCTGGTCATATGTCTGCAACTAGCAGGGGCTGTAGCTCCAGTTAACGTCTGTACGGCACAGTACTTTGATGCACCCCAACTAAAAGCTTTGTTCGTGTTTTTATCTACAAGATGGGGGAAGTTGTATGCAAGATGTGACCTCCAGTCTTGAAAAATGAAGCTGATACTGAAGTTCTGAAAACTGCAGTTTCTTGGGTGTCCACCAGAGGCTGTCTGTCGATGCTATAGACTGTATATACTTTTGACAACTTGGTTCCGTCTTCCGCCAGTATACAGATTTGAAGCCGAAAAGCTCTTGGTAATTTTGCGTTTTTTTCTCCACTTCCTGAAACCAAAATTTCGCAGTAGCGTTGTACGCATTCTGCGGGAGAGACGCCGAGAGTCGCTGTGATGACGCTCGGCTCAAACAGCGTATCCTCTAAGTGAGCAACGCAATCTTCTTACGTCCATAGGCTGTATCAAATGCCAATCATAGGAAAAATGAAGCTTCACAGAAAAAAGAGGACTTGAGCGCAAACCAGTCTTACAGTAACTACATGTCAACATCGCAAGCAGGGGGGAGAAAAATGTATATTCTGTGTAATTAATTTCTTAAGTTTGTCCACAGCTCCTCAAGGATTGCTGGAGGAGGCGGGATTTATGACCTGTACTGCAGCCTGTCACCAGAGGGTGCTGTTCCCCGAGTGGCTTTACCCAGCGAGGAGGCAGATGGCGTCCATTCTATATACTGTCTTTGGTCGATGCACAGAAATTCGCACACATGTTATTTCAAGAAGGCCCACATTAGAGCAAAATAAAACAGTTTACGTCCAAGTTCAAAAAAGGTTTTTTAGTCTGTTTTTATTTTATTTTTTTCAGTTATTATATTTACGAGATTAGCTAATCAAAAGCAGGGTTTACTTAACTGACGAGTATGCACACTGTAGCTGTTTGCGAGATGGCTAGTGGCTTGTCTCTGGTTGGTCAAGCAGAAGTTCGGTTGAGTCAGCATTTCCAGTATGATGACCACTGCTGATAAGCTTCAAAACTCTGCCATAAAAACAAAAGGTAAAGTCACTGAGAGTACATCCTGGTGTTATGTAGTCAGTGGTTGTATGTAGGCTGTGTCTGCTTAAAATGGCATACTCTGAACGTGTTTGTTCTCTTTGCTCTTCTTTCTTAACTCGCGCACTGACTTACTGTGGCTGCGAAAGTGCTGATAGTCTCCATGGTGGGCGTTGAATCTGGTGGTTGTAGTGGTTCTAGCTTGCCAGCAGTGCCTTCTGTTCAACAATTTGGACTGAGTTAAAGGACAGATTGTCCCAGACTGCCAGTGCTTGTTTGACTAAAGAACCTTAGAGAGTGTGATGCTTCTACCTTCTCATTTATAGACTTTTCCGTCCCTTGGGCTCTCATTGGTCTCTCCAAACAAAGATACCTTAGACCACATGTCCTCCTTTTTAAGATACAAAAGCCCCCTTTTTAAAGAACACATAAAACACATCCAGGCTCCTCTGGTGCCCTGTCTGGTTTGAGTTCTGGGTTGAAGGTAGTAAATGTTTGCAGTGTTCAGGGCCTGAATGCAGATTTTGTTGGTTTGGTTTTGGCCTATGCTGTCATAAATTACTAGACACACCGGTTTGATTATTCAAAACCAGGAAAGCAGAACAAAAAACAAAGAACATGAATTCATAACAGCAGGGGAACCTGCACAGGCAGAGATTGAAAAAAAGAAGCTGTCAAACAGTCAGAAATCCAAGCTGTCAGAGAGGTAACTGGAGGTGGCACAGGATCTGATTGGCCCACAGTGACGCCTGACTTTCCAGACTCCTTTCTTGCTGGAAAGTCAACAACAGTTTTTTATATACAAATGCATGCATGAAGCACATTAACACTGCTACCTGGAGATGTTGAATCACAACCAGAAAGGGGAAACTGCAAAATTACGATACATCAAACAAAGTCAAGCAAGAAGGAACCACTATAACATGTAATACAGTTACAAAGAGATGCGAAACAATCCCAAAGGGAATCAAAAAACGGAATTTCCGCCAATAATATTGAATGTTGATTATTCACACACCTCCACAAATCTCTTTGATTAACATTCCATGACATGCAAACATGTTTTTTTTCTCTTCTTCCTCTTTCTTTTCTCAGCTCCTGAAGGATACGTCCTTTTTTGCGACATTGTTTTGTCTCACAACTACCTGCGTTTTGGATGCTCAGTGCACATTGCACAGCAGAAGGCACATAACGGTAGCAGAGCTTTGACATATCTGCAGTAAGAATCGTAGGCCTACATCATCAGCAGCACTAAAATGTTTTTACTTAATTTTTTTTTTACAATAATATATATCTGATCATACAGAAAGCATCACTCAAATCAACAGAATAAGTGTAAATATAACTGTCTTGATAATATAGCATGCAAAAAAAAGTGATCTCCTATGGTCAACTTACCCCGTGTACCGTTTATCATGAGAATGCCTTTAAGTGATTCAGAACATTCACAGCTGTATTTTTGAAAAGAAAAAGTAACACATTTCAACAATCTGAACTGAAACTCTGATCCTCTCATCAGACTCCATTACTTTCTCAGTTAAGCCACTTTACCCCAGAACTACTATGATGACTTTATTAGTCCTCTAAGCTAAAATGGTGGACTTTTATGTTAGGTTTTGACCTCCTGTTGTAGTTCAAAGATACAAAAATTGATGTTTACAACAAATTTAAAATGATATTTTTTAAAATGATCAATTCTAATCAAATTTATTACAGACTAAATTCACCCTCAAGAGTGAAAAAGTTTAAAAAAAAAAAATAAATGTCTAACCTCTTCACCCATGTGCTTCTAACCTTCACAGACTCCATGAATTGATGCCCATCTCCTCAATATTTGGTCACATGATCAATTTCTTTTACCATTTCCAAGAAACAGGGGGTTGCTCAACTAAACCTTTGGCTCATCTTACCCCACCCTCCCCTGTTCCCTTTTTTTCTCTCTCTCTTTTATTTTTGGACTACCGTACCGGCCGAATTTTCCTGCGCGCACTTACATCTACCTTTACGGTACTCTATCCCCTCTGCGCACCGTGCCTGGCAGGAGCCCACGGCTTCAGATCCAGCAATACTGACAATGACGCGTGTGAACGATGGTCGAAGATCTCTCTCTCTCCAGTAAAGCAGACATATGCGGCGAGGGATGAACGGAGAATACTCACTGGGAAACATCTCACTTCATTGACCGAGCCTCTGCTCCCGCGTGGCTTCAGCTTAAACGAGACAGATAACCATTTCGCGAGCTATTTTGCATGCAGCCTTGGGCGCATGAAGTCTGGGATATATTTACCCACCCTGATCAGCTCCTCCAGCGACCTTGCAATGTGTCCACTGTTGTTCCTTATCTAGATGAGGTGTGGGTTTTTTTTCCTCTGTGACTGAGGAGTGCCTGTTTGGAGCCAAATCCACCTTTTCCTGCAAGATGTTTTGAGCGCCAAAGGGGGCTGAGAGCGGCTGGTGTCATCAGGGGAGGTGGGGGGAGAAGAGTCTTCACTGCGCAGACAAGCGGCGGAGCGTCTCTGCGCTACCGCTCGTCTTCTCTGATCCACAGCAGACAGACACACAGACAGACAGACACACAGACGGACAGTTTCAGGAAGAAGGAGTGGGTGAAGGAGGAAGAGAGGGACGTTCACGGCTGGAAATCTGGAAACATACGGCGGTAAAATGACGATGTCTGTCCCCGAGAGGAAGTCAGGATCGGAGGGGAAAGAGGAGGAGAGCGAGGATGAGAGTGAGATCCTGGAGGAGAGCCCGTGTGGACGCTGGCAGAAACGGAAAGAGCAGGTTGGTGTGTGTGTGTGCATGTGTGGGTCAATGTATATATACGTGTGTTCAGGTAATATATAAAACAAGCTGTCCTCCCTGCTCATGCTGGACATAGACATCCTCTGTTATGCAATTCTCTAGCCAGGCCGGGATTTTATTGCCCTTTGGTTTGTTGCACCAACCCACCATAACACTGTGACACATCCGCTGATCGGCTTAGCCCACATAAAGTCTATTTCAGTGTTTCCCAGGGACAGGGGCAGCTTGGTTATGATGGATCCATGTTTAAGCACTGCTGCACCTTTCAATGCTTTGTCTGTGCAGGATCTTGACACTAAACCAACGACTTTACGATGCACTCTGACACTGTGGACGTGCAATTCAGGTTCCTTCACTTTATCACCAAGAGGAAAGCTGGAAATGTAAAGAAACAGAGATGGGGAAAGAGTGTGGGGATGTATTTGAAACTTATAAATATAGCTTGACTGAAAGGACACTCATTAAGTCCAGAAAGTGCAACTCAAGCCATTTCCTCTTATGAAAAAATCCAGCAACAGCTGACAGAAATAGTTTGCTGCTTAAATGCTGCTTCACCAGTAGTGCTGGGACGATATGCTTTTCTCCCGATTCGATTCTTGTACGATTTTTTTTGGATGCTGATTCTATTTAAATTGTGATTCTATGATATTGACGATTTTCTCAGTCTTAAAGGTCCTTACACACCGGGAGCGTTTTTTTTGTGTGCGATTATTTCAGATGTCAATAATTTTTTTTGAACCCGTATCCTGTCAATACAAGCGTTCACATCAGCGACATTTTCCCGTCCTGTGATATTGCAGCATTTATTTTTTTTGTTTCACAGTCGGGTTTTCTAAAGTTTCGCATACTGTGTGTCCACTTCTGACCAATCAGATTTTGTGTTGTTGCGATGTCAGAATCAGTGGTATATCCAACATGGTCAACCAGCTGATTGTTTATGTGTCGGAGAACAGAGTGCTTTTTGATAGGGAAAAAAAACAAATATTATAAAGATAACGACCTGAAGGACAACTTGTGGAGAGTCATAGCATCTGATTTCTCATATGACGATGGTTTGTGTGCTTTAACAGTTTGCTAAACGTCTTTGTTTTAACTTTCATCTGTGCTAAGTAACTTTAGCTCGTAAGCTAACCTGTTCAGATACAACATACCCTATGTATTTTCACTGTCTCAAACTCAATCACGTTGCTGTCACAGCACCATTAGGTCTTGGTTGTTACCTTACGTTTATGGATTATAGTTTAATGTGCTTATCTGGTACTGGCCCCGACTCAGTACATGCTATCATGACAGACAGCCATCTCAACACTAGTGTCTAATCAGCACTGAAAAACAGTCAGTCTGTTTCTGTGTCACTCTTCTCACTTACACCAGGGATGCATCTTTTTTTTCCCCCGGAAAGTCGCAAAATCGACTGACAAAGTCTTCTGACTATTCCAGGAACCATATTTCCCCAAAAATTACACATCATATTAGGACTGGGTGATAATATGATCGTGATAAATTTCAGTTCGATCACGATGATCAACTGTGAGCATATTTACTTGATCAAACATAGCAGAAGTGTGCATCACAACAGCCAATCAGAATCGAGCTTTTCCTGCTCACTTCTGTAAGTTACCAGAGAAGTAAACAGAATGACCGAACATGGACCTAAACGCAGAGTTGAGGGCAGCAATATAGATGTTAGCCGTGACTTTGAGTCATCCTACGAAGATGTTATTGTTGAGAAGTTATTCAACGTCGCTTGTGTGGCGGTGGTTTGGGTATCTCTAAAGTGACGCCGAGCAATTAAGTCGATGTACAAGGTACCTTGGTGGTCGATGCCCTCAAAAACCAGCAACACAATAAATCTGTTTAATCATTTGAAGAAGTACTTCCTGAGTGATTATGTGGAAAGCATGAAAATGTGAGTGGAGTCTGCACAACCTATCACTGACGGCACGAGTAGCATTAGCAGTTTAGCCACAACTAGCGGTGCAGTCACCAGACCAAAGCAGCAGTCAATCATATCATCTATGTCTACATCATCTAATGTTTACATTTTAAGCGTCTTCATTATCTCTGAGGAGGCGATTTGTTTATTTTGGGTCTTGCACGCAACACTCAGGAGTGTAAACTAATTCACTGTATTATTTAGTATTATTTAGTGTATCTTATTCTTTGTTATTTACTTGGTATGTTAATAAAATGTTGAACTAATCTAATCGGACTAATCGGACGATACGACAAAATATATCGTGATCATTTTTTTGGCCAAATTGCCCAGGCCTACATCACATGTAAGTCAGTTTTTGAGGTTTATTCTTGAATTTGGGGAAAAAAGAAGATTTTTGAACATAAAAATCGCTTTAAAAATTGTAAAACAAAAAACAGGAGGCAGCCTCAGACTGCTTATTCTGTAAAATATTGAATACAGCCTACATTTTTTGAAGGATAACACTGCCACAAATCATGAAATATGCAGGCGTGCATGTGCAAAATGTGTTGCAAATTTCAATCAAGCCTATAACAGACAGACAGACACACCCATCAGATCCATTACCTTTGAGAACTGCCATGCACTATTATTAGTCTGATTAGCAGCACTTCAATGCTTAGCTCATAGGTGGTAGCTCTATCCCATAGAGCCCCGGTGATGTTTAAATCCCATTTGACAGAAAGTACATTTAAGTACTTTAAATTTATCAGCTAAGCTGTCTGGAAGTTTTTAGAGGGGAAGGTGTCACTCAACAGTATTTTTGTTATTTCCCACTAATGTGACAGCAGGAAGATGCTGCTATAGATTAAATATGGTGTGCTGAAGGGAACTAAACTTTGCAAAGCACAACTCATTTAGATGCAATATTGTAGAGAAGCAAAAGTCGCTGCAGCCCTTCACATCCGCAGCTTTGTTTAGAACTGCTGTTTTCTCCATGAGAGGATAGGTAGACAACGGCCTTGTGGCCTTGCTCACAGCTTTTTCTTGCGCGTCCCATCAGTGTTTTAATCTCAGCATCAAAGACATCGACAGCAGCACAGTTTCAAGTGGTGTTTCTACTGCATCAACAACCTGATCGTCATACGAGACTGAAAAATTCTGAGAAATGAATCATAATTTAAGAGAAAGAAGATGTGAGTGTCTTAGCAGCTGTGAAGAAGTGGGCGTCAGCCTCACTACCAGCTCCAGATAAGGCTGTGAATTTGAGTTGAAGGTTATCTCTGGAGCACACACAGTCCTCAATTTGCTGCTACATCCTGACCTCAGTGCCATTAGGCTTCATTCATGGTGGAAATACACACAAACACACACGCCCTCCCTGGTGTTTTTCCACCCATTGATTACCCATCTGCTTGATTGCGCTCTGCCTCCACGCCAAAACTCAGAAGTTGCGTTGGACTGGTTGCTGAAAAAAATCTTTGTCACAGTGTCTCATGCCACAGAAGGAAACAGGTAAATATATAAATTAAAAATGTTGGGCTTTGCTCCATGTCTGTGTTGTTATTCTAACTCTAGTTTACTGTGGAACTATCTGATTGTTTCACTCTGAAAAGTCAGGAAAAAGCAAAATAAGGCCAAATCAAGACCCAAGGCCATAAGCCCAACCTGAAATTGAAGCACCAGTTTAGTACCAACAAACACTCAAAGCGTTAAAGCTGCAATGCCAACCAGACAAAAGCAGCAAAACTCATAAAAAACATAAAATCAGCCAGTTTAAAGCATTTTTGCTAATGAATAAAACAAGATTTTGGTCACGATGCATTTTGATCTGAGGGCTGCAGCTCTTGTTTTCATTAACTTTCAATTAGTAGTTAATTTTCCTAATAAATGGAGAAGAAGTCCCCTAAACCTCGGAGGGCTGGCTTTAATTGGATGAGGTCCTCTAAGCAGACAATTCAATGACTAACCTGAAGTCATCAAATGGCCTGTTTTTTGTCTAACAGGACAGTGTGAGACAATAATGCTCATTAAACACAAGAAAACGGTGACCACTCACCACAGCAAAACTGGAGCGGCTTATATCTTTACAAATGTCTGAGGAAAAGGCTTTACAAATAAACAAACCAGATTAGTTTGATATGAAAAGACACAATTCAATATGATATTATGCTATATGATATGCCATAATACAATATGATATAATATTTAACAACATGGACTCTCTTGCTGCACACTTTTTCTGTCTGAAAAGGTGATAAATGAATTCGAACAGTATAATTAGCTTAGCGCAAGTCCATTAAAAGTCCATTTCAAGCCCCACTAATGTATTTCCTGCATCCTCACCTATTCATCCAGTTAAAGTTCATCATCATTTGCATTGTGCAATGCTCACCTTGCATAGTTCACCTCGTTTCTGTGCAGACTTCGACTTGAATAGACATGTTATTCAGGGGAAACAAGCTTCAAATGTTTTTACGGCTGCCAGCTTTTGGTTGTTTGTACATGTTTGATCCAGACTCACACAAACAAAATGAACCCGTGTGATAGGATCTCTGCAGGGACAAGCTGAGCCAACAATTCCTGCCAACTCTTCACGAAGCTGCTTAAAAACATAACGTCATTAACCTCTGAAGTGGTCTTTGTGCAGCGATATCTGTGAGTTCATGCAGAGTTTCTGAGATCCTCTAGTTAAGAAATTATCCATCAAAAAGCCGCAGACATTTTTCTGAGTGATCTTGTCTGTTTTGATGCGAACACGTCCAAAGTCTCCTCCCTCTGCAGCAGACCTGGGTGTGTCCGAGCAGCAGGCTTGAAATATACATGAATCCTTAGTAAATAAGCCAGTGGGTGAAAGTTCAGAAACACGCTGCCATATCTGTTATCCATCTCAGGCATTAAAATAAACACAGTCACATGGTCAGCACATGGTATTGTTTTCCCAGCAGACCTGTGGGCAGGAACAGTTTTACATTTTTAAACTGAATGAATGCATTGCCCTTAAAGTCCCTTTGCAACACTTGACTCAACACACAGAGCATTAATTTTCCCGGGCAGTGTTGATGTGATTGGATGGCAAAGTGGAGTGAGACAAAGCATGAATATTCTTAATGCATGTTTGTTTTCACACCGTGGTTAAATGGTGAAACTCTTTTGTGGCTCAGATGTTTGTGTGAAAAAAAATTAACAGAGAACATTCCCTTGAAACCACTGCAGGACAAGAGACGACTCGAGAGATTAATTAGATTGGACTGTTGGTTTAACCAAACAGGGTTGCACAGAGTGTTGAAATGCTGCTCCCTTTGTCAACATGGCCTGATCTAAAATCTGCAACAAGATTTAGAAGTTCTTGATTTCCGACTGGTTGCATGTCATCTCTTACTGAGTCATTTATTCCTTTCCAGGATGGCGACATTAAGGCGAACTTTAACATAGACAAAGTTGTGACTCACAAGATATTTCTGTTGGGACATGATCGTGACAGAAACCCTTCTGTTTAAGGTTGTCCTCAATCTGACCTTATTTTCCAGGAACCTTCTGAATTCACGTAGGTCTGAGATGAAATGTACTTAAAGGGATACTTTGGTGTAAATTTAAGTTAGGGTCAAACACACCATAACACAGAGTTAGATGCTTCCTCGAGAGATAATTGTTGCCGACTGCTTTCTTCTCTAGTTATACCAACTTTAGCAACGACCACAGTATAGCCATACACAGCAGTCTACATCTCCACACACAAACCTCAACCAAAATGCCACTCGTAGCCACAAATAATGCTCAGAACAGCACCTGACTTTATCAAGTGTACACATAGGGTCCCAGCCACAGCACTAGCCATCAAACATCTTTTTAACTTTGCCTAATTTCTTTAGCAAAGAGACTAAACACAACTCACCCACTCTCCTCTAGCAGCTGCTTGTTTGTGGGGGAGCCCTGACGAGTCAATCACTGAGAACAGTGGAGTTTCGCAGCTCAAGGAAGAACAGTTATGGCTCTTACTTCATGGAAATGCAATCAAAGTTTTTGTGTATCTTGTATGTGCACTACAGATGCGGTAGTTCTTCCTTAGCGCCTTGGTCTGATTCCATAAAGAAATAATCGTAAATTTTCCACTGCACTCGATGATCGACTCGTCAGTATCCCTTTAAGTAGAGGCTTTGAAACAAAAAAGTAAGAGGTCAAAGGTTAAAGAAACATATGAATGCTCGTTCAGTTTTGTCATTCTTTGCTTTAATTGGGGCAGTACAAGTCGATGATTGGGCTGTGACACAAACCTCACAGATGCTTTTTAGTATTTCAAAATGACTAACTCGTTTAAAAAAATTGCATTTATTTGTCATCATTCCTCAATCAAATCTGAGCACATATATGCCAAATTGCCCAGTGTGCTAACAGTAGCAGAGCTAGCACCACCAGCCCTCGGCCCTCTATACACTTCTAACACCCACATGCCTGTATGAGAAAGACACTGCTTAAGTTAGATGAATATATGCCTGTTAAACCACACAACCTTCATAAAACGTAGTCTTTAGCAACTTAAAACATCCTATTTTATTGGCAGTGGCGAACATTGCGAAAGCCCTCTTTCAAAGAGTGATTTTCTATCAAATACAGCAGTACAGTAGTAGTAGTTTCATCCACTACAGACACAATCCCTCCCTCTTTGTGATCCTGGCTCTGTTTTGCAGCACAGCAGACCTCCTGAAGTGAATCCACACCCTTCCACACACTGTAGTGCACCCGCAGCACAGAACTCATTCCAGTAATTGCTCCATCTTCTATTTTGAGGATCTGTCTCCATCTGCTCTCAAAGAGACGAAAATGAGGCAGACTGGGTCGGGGGAGTCTGCATTCATTTGTCATGATGTTAAACCACGAGTGCAGATGAATATGTTTGGTGCGATGTGAGAGGGAGGTGTCATTTTTTGCATGTGTATGCTAGCTAAAATATCATGTATGTGTGAGTGCCTGCATTTATGTGTCAGGATGGAGAAACCTGCATATTTTACTAACAGCAAGGGGTCAGAGAAAACGTTTATTTTCACTTTTAAAAACACGTCAAAAATTCATATTTATACGTGACCAAAGTCCATGTTTTGGTTGTGGTTTTGCACCGCTGTGGTTAATGTCTTATGCAATATCTGTACTCCACCTGCTAGGACAAGTCTCATGTCTGCTGGGAAAAAGGTCCTACAATGTATTAATCACAGTATTACTGTCCATGATGTAATTATGTGATGATATCCAGAGTTTCCCTCATCAAATCGCTCAGCAGAGGGGAATTAGCGGGCTGTCAAGATCCTGACACATCTCATTTCTTGATAAATTAAGTGAGCGTGAAATCAATCTTCACAGCTTTCTTTCACTGAAAGTAAAATTCAACTTTATGGAGAGAGGGTTTATTTTTCTTCTTAACAAAGATGGCTGGGAAGCTGTAAGTTTGTAATGTAGGGTTTTAACCTTGAAAGTATGTGAAGTATATTGGCAAATCCTCACTCTTTGGAGCTTTGAAATTTAACTTCAGAATGATTTAACTTCCTCATGCAGTGTTGTGAGAATTAGAAACAAAACACATAAATCATGATGATGATTTACTTTTGATGAACATTAAATTAGAGGCATTAAAAAATCATCACCTCACAGTTTCTATGATACATGTCAGCAGTAAACCTCCAGCAGCTTTTGGAGCTTCCCTGTGTCTGGTTGTAAAGTTGAGCCATTAAACTGAACAAACACACCCCCAGCATAGAGTACTGCCCCTTATAAGCTCATGTCAGGTCACAGCTTGCATTAAGTGCTGTCTGTCCTAGGGGGATTCTCCTAATGACTTACACTCCATAATAATCCAGCAGTGCCGGCATGTTTCAGCCAGCTGCCCTGCGAGGAATGACATCCACTCAGATTTCCTCTGGAGAGGAAACACAGCGCAGGGACAGCAAGCTTTGATCCACCTGTTAACATGGTCACTATGCCAGCGGCGGTCCCGCGTGCCTGTTGCTCGGGGCTTAAGGCCTTTACGCACGCTCACATTAATTCGTTCCTAGAATACAAAAAGAAAGATTTATTTGGGTGACCTCGTTGAATTTTGGTTATTTTTAGCCACATTAGCAGAAATCCCTGAGGGCTAGCTCCATTTATTGGGTGGTCTGTAACCAGTTTGATGAAATATCTTTTAAAACTGTTTGACTTATGGACATGGCTTTTTGTACAGACGTTCATGAACCCTAAGAAACTTTTGAGATGGCTCAAGTTGATATCTGGTTGCCTTAGACATTAAGATTTTTGTCTTCTACTGAAATATTGCAACAACTGTGACTGGGGTCATCATTAGTCGTGGCACCCAGAGGATGAACTTGATTGGTTGTGAGGCGGACGCTGCTCTCCCATGTCGTTTACGAACTCAACAAAATTTAGCGTGCTACAATATCAGACAGTAGAAACCAACCAGAAATTACGGAAAATTGTCCTCCTTTGACTTCGGCTGCCAACATAGCAAGAAAACGAAGTAAATACCAGAGACTCGAGCAAAATAACGGGTGCCTAAAGCTGGTTCAACATAAAACGAAAGGGGGCACTTTGGGATCTTTCGAACCCTGTAACCCTTCTGCTGGACAGGTGAACCGCTTTAACAAAGTAAGCCAAGTGTCTGTAACAGAAGTGTTTTTTGTCAAACGGGACCTGCTGCGTGTTGTAGCGCTGCTAAACTGTTGCCCTCGGGTCCTGGACTATGTCGCTTTACGCTAACTGTAGAAGTCCTTCAAACATTGTGTTTGCTGGTAGTCTTTTGGCATCTACAGTAGCACCAATGCTTTTTACTTTCACCTTGACTGGGTCCCATTTATAATTATCTGAAGTATTTATCTGCATTATATTTGAATTTAATTGGAACGATACGAGCGAGCAGGAGCGTCTGTTTGTGGGCGGGGCTTGCTGGAGCAGAGAGGGAGGGGAGAGGAGGAGCTGAGGGGGAAACTGGTTGGGAGGGGTAGAGTTCACATTCAAGATTTCTCTCCAAAACTGGCACTTCCTCAGATCCTGCCTACCCCACCTTTAATGTCTGATGGATAGGCATTGAAACTTGGTATGATGAACTCTAATAATTTTAGTGGTTCTGGGTTTGACCTTATCTTCTTATGGATGAAGAACTGGACACATCCTTGTGTTTGTAGCAATACAGGTGTGCCACTTTCTCACCTGTAAGACTGTTAGATAAAGGTTGTTCCTGTTGGACTTCCTGTCTGAGGAAATAATGGAGGACTGCGGCTCCACCTTTAGTGTACGGGTGAATGATTTAACAGCACCGTGTAGTTAACCTTCTTATGTGTTATGACACAGTTTATTTTACAGCCAGGGCGTCTCTGACCCAACCTGTCCTATTACATTAGCGGTAACATGCTACTTTCATCTGTGTGTTTTACAGCTGTAATCACACAGTGTTAGTACACAGCGCATAGACGTAGGGGGTTTGAGAGTGACATTGCAAATTAATGGTGTCCCTCTGTTCACATGAGCTCACTGTTGTCTTCTGTGTTTGTTAACACACAAAGAGAGGAGATACTGGTCTTAGAGAGGAACTGAAAACTTTCTAATGTTTACCTGCTGCTTTTTCTCAAGCACCCATGCATGGAGGAGGCTTGTTTACACAAAACACAAGCTAGCAGCATTAGCATTGCACATAAGCGGGGGGGATTTAGGTGCTGATTACTTATCAGTAAGCACCCAGACAAGGAAGTTATTACCAACCCCCACCTCGCCAGTAGCTTGGAGAAAAAGTCCACCCCGTAACGTTCGCAGTTATCATCAGCTTGTGATATTGAGTGCATTCCAGGAGTTCATTTGAGAGCAAGTGTGGAAGCTGCAGCTGGCAAATAAACTTAATGGTGGGTGAACAGAAGAGAGGGAGAGGAGGAGAAGGCTGTAATTTTCATGTTGCTGAGCGCCACTTGTAAAATTTAAGGGCAGAATCCTGTAATATCCTGTTTTTGAAGTCAACATGCCCTCTGTGTGTCCCGTACACAGAAAAGTACATCATTAATTCTTGTTAATTGTTGTGTTTATTGCCTGAAATTGCTGACTCATGCATCATATACTTATCGAATTATCTTAATTCAGTCATTTGTGTCCTTGAAGTTGTTAATTCAATTCTTTCCTTCCTTAAAACATGTTGATGTGATACTATAGGGACTCAAAACAAATGCTTAAATGAGATTAACCAGTTACATCAACCTCTCAGCTGCAGTTCTCAGTGAGGAGATGAGGAATTTCTCTTTGTCTTGACATGAAGAGAAGCAGTGCCAACAAACTGGAGCAAAGTTCAGAGCTAATTACGATCTATTAGTATCAGTGATACACAAATTCAGATAACTGGAACAGAGAAGTTGTCTACGTCTGATTAGCTTACATATTAAATACATTTAGTTAGCTATTTAGCAAGCTGACTAATAAGAAGTTAACACATTTAGTTGCATCCATAAACGTAGTCTCTTTGGCGCCACCTGTTGGTTTGTAACACGATGTTGAAGATGGTTGCCATTATAGAAATGCTGACTCATGCTAACTTTTGATAAACCTAAAATTAGAGCCTGTCTGCAAACTCAAACTCTAGTCACCCTTTTATGATGTTAAAGAATAAAGTGAAAATTGTAAAACGGTTGTCAATTTGACATGCAGTGATTTTGGAACCAGCCCCTAGTGGACACTCAGGGAACTGCAGTTATTTTTCTTCGTGCTACAGCATTGTCTATGATACGGTAAAAAAAAAGCCATTAAAAAATTTGACTTTCTAAAGGTCCTCACACACCAGGGCTGTTTTTGTCAAGCGATTATTTCAGACGTCAATATGTTTTCCCGTTAGATTTTGCGGCGTTTATTTTTTCCGATCATAGTCGATTTTTCTAAATTTCCGCATACTGTGTGTCCACTTCTGGCCAATCAGATTGCTTGTTGTTGCGGCGTCTGATTCACCGGTATATCCAACATGGCCGACCGGCTGATTGTTTACGTGTCGGAGAACAGAGTGCTTTTTGATAAAAGACACAAACATTACAAAGATAACGACCTGAAGGACAACGTGTGTAGAGTCATAGCGTCGGATTTCTCATATGACGATGGTTTGTGTGCTTTAACAGTTCGCTAAACGTCTTTGTTTTAACTTTCATCTGTGCTAACGTAAGCTAACGGTTGTTACCATAGTTTCATGTGCTTATCTTATCGCCTCTGATTGGCTATAAGTGCTGACCGTCTGACTTGAGCGTGTGATGACGTTTCCAGCTTTTCTAGCCAATCAGAGGCGAAGGAGGTGGGACTTCCCCCAGGAAAAGTCTTCCCCGGGATGCGTCTTTTCCCACCAGGAAAGCCGCAAAATCGCATCGGGCTTGATGTGTACAGTCAGGCGCGTAAAAATTCTCCTCAGAATATTTCTTAATTTCGCTTTATATATTCGCGTCAACCCCGGTGTGTAAGGACCGTAAATGTTTGAAGTGAAGGAAAATTTTTGAATACCTTAATTTTGGGAGAACTTCTTGCTTTCACAGTCAAACCCTGACATTTACTTATGTCCACTATCTTATCTGGGTTTTCCTGGTTATGGCTCTATTCTTGCTGTGCTGACAATGTCGTGTTTGGACAGCTTAGAATGACAAATACACCTGTATTTGCAAGTTTGATACTACAGCTGTTCTTGTGGTCCTTTGGCCCATTTAAAAAAAAGTTGCTTATTTGTCTGATCTCTCTTCTGCAGGGTGAACTTAAATGAGCTTTGAGCTATATTTCAGCAAAGAACCAAGCAGATGTTCAACCCATTAGGCTCCAGTCGAATCAGGTCCCACATAGACTCAGGTCTTTGTGCTTTTATACTTAAACTGTCCTGCCTCAGAACATCTTCATGTTACACTTGATCATTGTTAAAGTTACTGGGTCATGTGGTTTTAAGAGAACCTGTTACCTGGTTGTAAAAGGTGAGTAGGTCTTTATAGTAAGGCCTCTGAGGGTCATCAGATCCGACACAGAGAGGTATCAGTCAGCGTTTTCCACTCTTAAGCTGTAAGTGAAATGGAGCTACCCGGATTTTCTCCCGGTCGGTCGGGGACGCTGGCATGAAAAGGAATCCTCTAGGAATGGCTGACATGTCCGCTCTGGGCTTTCACAGAGCTGTCTGAGTCGTTCACGTCACATGACATGTAGGCCTCCGAGGAATGTCTTGCACCTACTCAAGCTCGCTAGACCCAGAGTGTGTAAGATCTTTAAAAGATGAGATTTCTAGACACATCCTCGAGAAATAGACGCTAAAATGTTGGCAAATATATTTAAAAGAATTCATTTTTCAAATTTCTTGCATCTCTGAATTAATGGGAGGAGAATACGCTTGTATTTATTACACAAAGTCATAGAACTTGATTTGCATAATCCAAACTGCATGGTACCATCATTATTCAGCTATCCTTATGTATCACCATCCACTGTGGGAGCCTCTGAAGTTAACAAGCAGACACCGCACTACATATTCCTTTAATTCTTTTCTGATGTATTTCTGATCCTCTCTCTGGGTACCCCGTCAAACGTAAACAGAGTTACATCACACAGAGATATTTCCAGAACAGAAACAATGGAGCTTAATCACAAAAATGTTTGGTTTCCGCCTCAGACTTTGAGAGCCTCTGCCAGACAAGCCAGACTATTGTCCTAGAGGTCTGAACGGGCATAAAAAGAAATCCCTTGTAGAGAAAAACAAACTTTCGCCCCAAACAGTCGATGTTCCAGTGCCGTAGCAGCATGATGAAGGTGGAGGGCTCAAGATAAAGAGGCACCCTGAGAAATTATTATTATGGAATCACACATTGGTGTCACAATACAAGTTTTGAAGCCAATTGATGGTGGTCCCTGTATTGGAATTGCTAAATCGACTTAGCTTCAGACCAAACCTAAAACAGACAAAAAGATGGAGATGAAGGGGTCAACTCAGTCACGCCCCTTTTGACACACATCTGTTACTGCCTTTAAAACAGGCAAGTTATGAGAAAATCCACCTTCCGGTAGAAATAAAGAAATGAGCTGTAGAGACAAAACTTGTGTTTGATTGTAACATGGGTTTTTATCATGGGTGTTAAAGGGGTTGTCCTGAGCCAGCCCCTAGTGGACACTGGCTAAACTGCAGCATTTTGTAATTCAGCATTGACTGGAAGTTGCCACTTTTTTGCTTGCTGTTTGCTCCTTCATCCCACTTTTGGGTCAGGATAAGGCAAACCCTTGAAACAAGCGAAGCAGCATTTAGCATATGTAAAGATTGGTGATGTGCCTCTCCCTCCTGTTACACAAAGTGAAGACAAAATATTACAAATTTCTGGAAAAGGTGCTGACCATAGACTGTATATAGAAAGGATGCCGTCTGCCTCCTCGCTGGGTGAAGCCACTCTGAGAACAGCACCCTCTGGTGACAGGCTGCAGTATAGGTCATAAACCCTGCCTCTTCCAGCAATCCCTATGGAGTTGTGGACAAAATTCAGAAATTTATTACGCAGAATATACATTTTTTCTCTCCCCTGCTCGCGACGTTGACATTTAGTTATTAGACAGTTTTTTTTATTCAAGCGTCATCACAGCAACTCTCTGTGATCATCGCTGAATGCGTACAACACTACTGCACAACGTTGGTTTCAGGAAATGGAGAAAAAATGGCGTAAATACTGAGGCATCATACTGGTAGAAGGCGGAACCAAGTTGGCCATAGTTACCCCTTTTTTATGGTGGCAAAATTTGTGTTAAAACTTAACTTCCCAGAAAAATAAATAAATTGTTAGATGTTAGGAACCAACCATGATGATGGACACCTAACACTTTAAACTGGGTTTCAGTTTTAAAGTTTAACCCATGTCCCATCTGCTAACATGGACGAGGCAGGGGAAACTCCAACTGTTCTGGCTTTACTTTTAGGAAGCTGTCATCTTTTTATAGTCTTCAGTTCTCTCCTCATAAAATCTCTCGGTGTCAAAGATACACAAACATCCTGACGTACAACAATGGAAATACATTATAAGAGCAGAATTTTCCCGACACATGGAAATACAGTCTTGCGATTGTGATGCACTCACTCAATGCTACAATAATAATAGTCTCAGGCAACATGACACCCCTGATAAAGCTCTATGAAGCCTCTCACTGTCTAAGTGCAGGCTGGTTTGTATCGAATCTGAGGCCTGCTTAAAGGACTTTTACACAGAGCAAAAAGGCTGTAAAAGCTGCTGTGGTGGTCAGGCTGCTGTTGTATCAATGTCCCCCCTCCTCCCACTTCAAGGCAAAGGCCAAGGTCGACCACTTTCTCACATCGGCCGTTATAACTCTGACCCAAGACCATGTGTGTGACTATCAGCCCTAAAAACATTACACAAATCCCACAGAGAGCTCTTGCAGCTGCTGGCAGGTCCAGATAGGTTGCATAAAGCCTCCATAAACACCACTATCTACTTTAAGGACTGCTGTGTTTTAACTGTCAATAAAGCGGGGATACTGCAAAAAGTTTCATATGCTGAGGGAGCTTCAAAGGAAGCTTTCTTGACTTTGTTGACCAGCTGATATGAAATCTGTGTGTGTGAGGGTTTCAAAGTGTTGATTCATTCCTCTGAACTTCAACACCAGCAGCTTGTGTCTTGACCTTTGAAACCAAATAGGGATATCTGTGAGTGTGTGTGTGTGTGTGTGTGTGTGTGTTTGTAAATGTGCATGTGAAAAATGGTCACAGTGACACAGATCACTGCACATAAATATTCATGAATAAGAAGTGATAATTTATTATTCTCTGAGTGTTATAAAGTTGTAATGCCCTGAATTTACTCTGGGAGTGTAGGCGGGTTTTTAAGGTCACATTTCATTTGCAGTTTTTCAGCTGCCTGTGGAATATCATATTCTTCTGACCATATCTAGAGTTTAATTCTTGATCCAGATTTATCCCTCATATAATCTGTGATTCATTTCCATCTTTAATCCCTTTGTAAGTTTTGTCTTCCTCATAAAAAGGAAAGAACTAAAAGGTGCTGGAAAACTGGCTGAGCAAGATGTCTTACATTTTAGAGAAACAAGCTGTGTTTCAAAGTGGTGAAAGCAGCTGGGGGACAAAATACCAATACATAATATAATTATCAATACTGTAACAAATGGCCAATCATGCACACATGCATACAACTGGTGCCAGATCACCAAATCCCATAAATATGGGGTCACAGATTTCTCCGTAGTCTCCTTCATGACTCCTTTTTACCAACCAACCATATTTTTTAACAAAAACTGATTAACTTCCATACATACACATTTGCATTTTTGAAGAGAAACACACTCCTCTTTCATAATATTATGAGACCCCAGAGAGCAATAATAAAAAAAACTGTAAAAAGCTGTAATTGCTTCTAGCTCCTGCACACACTTTAGCACAGGAAAACAAAATTCTGTGCTCACAGCTCTGTTGGTTATCTGTCAATTAATGCAGACCATCTCCCTGGTGTCACAAAAATGAAGATGCGGCAGGAACATTCAGTCCTGCATAAGATAATCAAATCAAATGTGAACAAAACATCAATTTCTGGTTGCTCCTGTTGCCGTCTGAGGCCTCACGTTGTTTACCTACAGCTCTTTTTCTCCCGAGCTGAAATAACACTTTGCTTGTACCGCTCAGGCTAAAATCAAATTTCCACTTTCTCATAAATCAGCTGTTGTCACTGCGTGGAGGAGGACATCTAATTTGCATGGAGGATTTGAATGTGGCTGTGTTGTTTGTGCAGCTCGGAGGCCAAAAGCAGAGCAGGTTTCTGTCATGCAGGAGCTCAAGCTGAATTAAAGTGCATCTCATCAGCCATCAATCAGACGGATGTCTAATGAATTAAATATAAAGCTGATGAATAAAAGCCTGCAGCCTGTGCTGAAAGGTGAGGACGAGGACCATTGAGCACTCAGAGGTCATGTCCTGAAGATCTTTCCAGGAATGAAGGGACCTAAAATTTATTTCACATTGTATTGATTTAAATTATAGAGAGTGCAGTTTTATGGGTAGATTTATAACTTTACTCTGTGTTTAGTGTGATGCAGCTGAGACCTAAGAAAGTAAATATGTACTTTTTATTTACTGTAAACATAATTTAGACAATTTTATTGCACTACAGTTAGGGCTAAGGGTTGTTTTTCCCAAGTACATTAGCAGTAATGGATATCACTATCAGTATATCTGAATGGTCAATACAGCTGCTGCATTTTTACTTAGTTGGAGCATGTTATATTTATACATTGGTAAGTAAAATCATGCAGAGATAGCTGATTGTTGCAAACGATATTTTGGTCAAGGTCATGTTAAACACAGTGCTTGATAGGAAATTATGCCTCTTTTAAAAAATTTTTTTGCAAAGTAGGATGAAGTTTCTTCTTTCACACATGCATTCTCAAGAATTTTTCAGGCGCTTCACAACCTAATTTCTGTTTGCTCACATTGAATTTCCTTAAATACCTCCTGCTGCATTCTCATCTTAACCCAAACAGGTCTAGCAGGAAAAATCTCCGCTGTTTGTGTTCACACATGTACTCCATTGTGAAAATTTCTACAACTTTAAGAGTTTTATACATGTGTGAACACAGTTATTTTCTCACTCTTAACTTCTTGAAGTGAAACCATCTCTAATAAGACCTGAATAATTTGCTGACAAACACTTTGACCCCTTGCAGAATGCTGACCTGAATAAAAAAAATGGATTTGGGGAAGTTGTTAGATCAGACAGACCAACAGTAAAGTTTTAGATTTTGACTTAAGAAGTTTTATACATGTGTGAACACAGTTATTTTCTCACTTTCAACTTCTTGAAGTGAAACCACCTCTAAAAAAGTGTACGATTTGCTGACAAACACTTTGACCCCTTGCAGAATGCTGACCTGAATAAAATAATGGATTTGGGGAAGTTGTTGGATCAGACAGACCAACAGTAAAGTTTTAGATTTTACATATTCAAAAAAGAAACAAAAAAGCAACACACAAGTGAGACCACATTGTCAAACATCTTGTTTATCTGTCATTGTTTTTGTATACTAGTGAGGTTGCTACACCAAAGTCACCTCATCGATTTTATTGGACAAAAAAAAAAAAAAAAGCCTTTCAGTGTGTGCAGTCCTCTAGGCTCCCCTTTTTTGGCGATCGATCCAGAAACACCCAATGTTATTGAAACTCTGCTGATGACAGCCCAATCGTTGACGGGTAGGTGAAGGCTTAGATAAACAGACCCCAAACCCCCACATGGTGCCTTCACGGACCCTCCCACTGAGCTTTGTCTTTTAAGTTACATAACAGTAACAGGCAGTGAAAAGCAGCTCACCGTCTCCATGCACGTCTGCCAACAGGGCTTTTGTTGAACACGCGCTGAAGAGCCAGCTCAGGTTGACTTTCACTGCTCGGCTTAATCCCTTCTGAAAAATAAACACCTCATGATAACCACAACTCTTTTCTGCTCTGTCATCAAATCTGCTTTCCCATATCTTTCACTGTTACTCCACACAGGGCTGTCTTTACAAGCCCATATCAATCGAGGCTGGTAAATTCAAGAGAGAGAAGCTTTGACTTGCATTCTAACCGCCCTCTTAAGTGGTCTCTTTGCTTGACAATGTAGTTTTCCTGCTCCAGCCTGCAGTAATGGGAGTGTTAATGGCTAATGTGTGTCTCAACACGCTTGAGTACGCTGCGTCTGCTCCAAAACGGAGCTTTTAACAGTTGCTGGACAGCCACTGAGGGAGGCAAACAACGAGTAATGCTTTGCACTGTTGGCCAAGTCTTTTGAGGTTTTACCCCGAATCACCTCGTGTGCTTGCTGGAAAGTTGTACTGCAGTAACCTCTGCTGGGGAAGCAGAGCAGGGGGGTGCGGTCAGTGGAGCTCACATAACATATTACTCTTCCTCTGAGTTTGTAGTAGCAATGAAGCGAGTTGTGTGTGTGGCTTTACAGGCATGGATTGGGTAATTCAGTGGGCAGAAATTTCCCAGTTTATGGAGAACTTAAATACTCAGGGGGACTGTGCCAGACACTGTTTAGTCTCTCCAAGAACAAGAGGGAGCAGTTTTAACTCAACTTTACTTTTTTCCAATCTTATTTCAATCCTAAACCCTTTGGAGTGAGTGAGTTAGTGGGTGAAACCAAAAAGGAAGCTCAGACTGGACTTTTAAGCCTAAATGGATTAGACAGCAGCCTACTCCCAATGTCCGCCCAAGACCAACGCATTGAAACTCTATAAACTGAGACTGACGTCAGCATAAAGTCTCCACGAAGTAATGAAACACCATTTCAGTTGTTGGTAAACCATGAAGCTGAAATCTTAGAACATGTTCCAGGAAAATAAGATGTTTCTTTCTCAGTTTCATTTTATGAAAAGTGTAAAAAAAAAAGACATAATGACACCTTCACCCAGCACTGCAGACAGCAGGGAAACAGCCTGGTTCCACAGAGTCTAGTAAAAATTACACCCAAATATCTGCAGTCAATCCCGTCGTATGGAAACATGTTTGTTGTTTGTTTCAAGATGTTGTGTTTTGTTACGATGTGTTTCTTTACTATGTGTTTTGTTAGGTTGTGTTTTAGTATGCTGTGTCTTGACGCTATTTCGTAACAAAGGGTCTTTGTAACATGTTGCATTATACTGTTTCATTACGTTGTTTTGATACTTAGTTTCATTAGAATGTTTCATTAAGTTGCTTCATTCCATTTTTGCGCAACATACTTTTGCTATGTTGTTTTGCTACGTTGTTTTGCTACGTTGTTCGGGTACATGATTTGGCTACGTTATTCCGCTACGTTGTTTGCTACATTGTTTGCTACATTGTTTCACTACATAGTTCCTCTACGTTGTTCTGCCACGTTGTTCCACTACATTGTTCCTCTACGTTGTTTCACTACGTTGCTCCGCTACGTTGTTCCGCTACATTGTTCCGCTACATTGTTCCGCTACATTGTTCCGCTACATTGTTCCGCTTTCTTGTTTTGCTACGTTGTTTTGCTACATTGTTTCACTTTGTTGTTTTGCTATGTGTTTTTGTTCTGTTGTTTCATTCATTTTTTTCAGTATGTTTTTAGTGACGTTGTTTTGTCTCCTTATGTTGTGTTATGAAGTTTAGTTTTTTGTGTTTTGTAACATAACTTAGTTTTACATCATGCTGTTTAAGGCTGCTGTGCTAATTTACATGTGTTGCATATTGAGGTTTCATTTCATTTTGTTGCATTCTGTCACATTTTGCTGTCTTGTATTACATTGTGTCAGATTACACTGAATTATGTTTCTTCACATTGCATTGCCTGCATGATGTTGAGTTACTTACAGTTGGGATGACATGATAATCTTATGGACCAGGACTGCTGTGCTAGTTCGAATTTGAAATTTGAATTTGAAAACTACTTGTTTTGCAGGAAATGCCTCTAATTTTAATGTCATTAGTTCATAGTTACCGTAGAAGCTGAATTAATGTGGTGGGAAAACAATATGCTTGTCCTGAGTAAAATGCACAGTAAGCAATCTTGCTGCACTGAAGTAAAAGCACAGCAAAGTTACTCAAGAAAAATGCAGTTAGTTACATTCCTTTGCCGACCGCAGACTGATGGAAAATATGTGTTTAGAGCTAACAAAGTCAGTGCGAGAGCCTTTAATAACTTGCTGTTTTTACCGTGGGAAATCCGGTAGTCATCTTGGACTTGAGTCAGAGACTGTGAGTCTGCAGGATCCGAGACTGGGACCTTGGCAGCTTTTAAAGGGCATTCTCCTGTTTTTAAAACAGACACTTGAAAGGAGACATCACTCCTGAGTGAATGAGTGAAATGTCAGTCATACAGAAAAGGTAATTTTACCTGTCTGCAGTGACAGAGAAGTGTTTGTGTTATTCATTGCAACGACTTTCTCCCTCACTCTGTGAATGTGACGTAAATTTTGAGTGTTGCAGGCGGCTGTAACATCAATCAGTCCCTGAAAGCAGAGGCAGCCTTTGATGATTCATACAGATTTTCTGCAGCTTGACTGAGCATGAATCTTTTACTGTACAGGCTTTGTGAAAAGTGCGAATCTGGCTAATTGCTGCAGGGTTTGGAGAAAATTTTCTGAATTTTGTTGCTGCAAAAGCAGAGACAGAAAGAGGTCAGCTTATCTGATCAACTCTTCAATGCAGCATTAACATGAAATCCTAAAAAGATTAAGGAGTCATATCATCATCTTCTAATGTTTAACACCAATTTTCTTAAAAGTTGATCTCCATGTTTTATCTGTACATCACAAACCAACTTTAAGCCGTTTTAGTCTGCAGAGCTCCAACATGACAGGACCCTGTTTGATCTGAGGCCTGTTTGCTTTATTAGAGACGACACGAACAACAGGTCACCTTGTTAACCCTGGACTCCTACAGAGAAAGAGGGGATGCCTCACCACAGGGTATAAAATAATCATCCCCACATGAAGTTTGATGTTCAATTCAGGGTCTGACAAAAATTCAAAACAAACTGCGATGTTGTGTGACTCCCAGCAGAGCTAAATATGATTTACTTCAAGCTCCAAGAGTAAATGGCGTGACAAACATTAAATCTGTAAACCTGAAGCAATGCTGATTCCTAATGGTTTGCACTGATGTTTACTCTGCTTTTAAACAACATGTTCTCTGACAAACACATGCTTTTTATCCTGTGCTAACTCAACAAGAAACTCAGCAAAAGGGGCAAGAAAGCATGTGTTTTACAACACTTTACAGTTTTGAATTACAGACATTGAAATCATGCTTATGAACTTTATAAAATCAACTTTAACAAACAGTTTTTTCAAGTATTCAGCAATTTTGGAGCAACATAAATGCTCATTTTGAGTCAATTGAATCTTGCCTTCATTTTTCCTCTGTTTATGGTCTTAACCATCTTGATGGACAGGTTTTTAAGTGGCCAAATGCTTCACTATGTATACCTAACATTTTTTTTTTCTGCAGCTTGACAGTCTAGTAAATCCTTCTATTGTGAATATTTATGTGCAAATTGTAAAAAAACAGGGCTGTTTCTTCAGCTGCTAGGTTAACACATTAAAAGATTACAATTTAAAAAAACTCCTCACTGGTGCTTTAAAAGAATGCCCTGTTATGTTGAGCCAGAGCCTAAACTCTGGTGTCAGTTTCAGATCCACTGCAAGAGACTCAACTTCTGAAAGTTTTCAACAACAGTTATATAATGATTAAGATTAAATATATTCACTTATTTATCATCTGTGGCCTGTTGCACCAGTTCAGTGTACACTGTGTCTCAAAGTTGTGTAAGTTGTTGCTTGATTTACGCAGAGTCTACCATCCAAATTAACCAAAATATCACAGATATGACATTTACGCTTCATTTAAGCCAATCAGTGAAAACCTCTCCTCTAAATAGCGTGTTTGTTTACATGCTGACTCTTGTGCTTGATTGCCACCTAACAGGCCAACAACTGAAAATAGCTGCCTTTAACTCCTGCTGGCCTTACGCAAACTTGTGTAACAGCATCATAGAAGTATGCGAACTATTATAAAGCCCTTGGATGTGGTAATATTCTTAAGCTATTATAAAATAATAACGGTGACATGTTTCTTTGCCAACATTAGTCCTCTCCCATCATAATATCTCTTATCAGATAGACCATAAATAACTGCAGTGTTGCAATAATTTCAGTGATGATTGTGGAGTAAAAGCCACAGAAGAGAATAATGGGGTGATGTGAATTATCTCACTACTTAGTGCAGTTTTCACTCCTCATAGTAAAGCAAAGACAGCACAGAGCCAGGTGGCTGCTGAGGTGAGATAAGAAGGGTGTTATTTCTTTAATGACGGCCTTTCGTAGTTTCTTCTGATAGTCGTGACTCCGAGCCAAGATGTTGGCTCACAGGCTTATCTCAACAACACCTTCTACTTGTACTTGTCCAGAATCATTGTACCAAGATATAAAACATTAGACGAAGATTAAGACCTTTGCTTTTTCTTGCAGTCAGCACAGTCTTGGGTTGAGATGTAGTTTATCACAGTTTGAAGCCTCTTTGTCTGAAGAGGTTAAGCAGGAACATGAGTAAACAAACGCACTGTAGGTATGCAGATAAAACAGACCTGACCTTGTACTTGAACACAGGAATGCCTGATTGGTTGAAATGGATGGGTGTGTTTAAAGGGCAGTTGAGATTTTCAGCTCGATGCACTGACGGCTCCAGGAAGGTTTCAGGGGTCAGACATGAACAAGGTTCACAGCAGTGCTCAGATTCATCAGACTGATGCAGTAATTCAAGTAGAAAGGGATACACAGTGAAGCTGAAATAAGAAGTCAATCCACTGAAAAAAGTTCTGTGGTGGTTAATTAACTACTTAAAGAACGTATCAGGGATTTTTAGCAAGATCCGCACCCCATTGAAATCAGTTCTGTTAGTGATGGAAATTATGGCTTAGCTCAGCAAACGCAAATTCAAACAGCTCTTCATGATACTATCTTGGCTTTTATTATTCAGCCAATTTAGCAATATTTTTATTTTTAATTGTAATAAACTTTATCATTCCCAGAATAAAACAAGATGAAAACATAAAAACATTTATTTAAATGTTATTTTTTTATTGAAAGAAACAAAATAAAATAAATAAAAAATAAAAATTTTATTTATTTATTTTTTTATTATATTAACGTTTTATGTATTTATTTATGTATTTATTTTAGTTTTTAAAAAAGTATTGCTAAAATGTTCTTTTGTTTTTCAGTTTCTTAATATGGAAATTTTCTAAACTCCTTTTTATATATATATATATATATATATATATATATATATATATATATATAACTGTAAACAAAGTTAAAGTTTTGGGAGATGTGAATGTTGTTTATATGTATTGCACATGCACCAAGATGGCAAGCTAGTGTTTTCTTTAGGTCTGCTGTATACTGTGAGGTTGAATTGAATGTTAACATGAAAAACTAGCTTTACCTGATTATACTGCGGTGCAGGGGTACATAAATACATCGTGCTCAATAGGTTTGCTCTGCACACAGATTAAAAAGCACTAATATAATAGCTATAATTGCTGAAGAAGACGCCCTTTATGCACACAGTGTCCCTCTATGATGTTTTGATGTGACAGATTACACAATATCCCCACTTACTGGTCTTGCATGCTTATGTGAGCACTTTAAACATTCAGGCAAACATTCAGACTTCCTCCAGGAGTGTAAGGTATTATTTTAAAACTGAGAAGAAAGTCAAATTTATAAATATCCATATACATGTCCTTGTGGCCTAAAGTATTTTTCATGGCTTGTAGTGAAAATAGGTGTGAAATCAGTACTGTCCTCACAGGTTTTCAGTATAAAACACTCACACTCACTCACTCATCCTTATTCATCCTCCTGTCCTGTAAGCAGATGACGGATCAAAGCTTCCTTTCAGCGTGATCACTGTCACTGGGTAAAAAGGCATTATGTAATGAGTCTGCCCAACACTTCCCGTGCTTATCACATCCCAGTCAGAGCAGCTTTTCACTTCTTGAATGCAGCTGTGGTGTTGCCATCTCTCTCCAGCCAGCCTTATAAATCTGCAGCTTTGTCGCCGTGACAATGGGAGCGAGGACAGAGTGAGCAGTGTAATCTCTCAGGCCTGGTACAGGCTGAAACACAGACACAGACAAGTGCAACCCAAATGCTGCTGATTTAAAAGACATCTGCATCCACTCAAGGTTGTGCAATCTTTTGTGAAGGCCTCATGATGCAGTTTGATACCAGAGTTACGCAGAAGGAAAACACAGACTTGATCAAGGCTGAATGTCTTAGTCAAAGATTGTGTTCTAAGCTGAATAAATCTGTTTTTATTGAAGACTTTTTGTTGCAGTTTTTCAAAAAATCACAGCACAGCAGGACACAAATCCGTCTTTTCTGGTTTTGATCTGTGAAATATGCTCAAAAATTGCCTCTCCTTTTTGCTGTGTTTTGTCTACGCTGTGTCCTGTTTCTGTTTGTTTTGCAGCAGCTTTCCACTCTGTATCCATCTGCTCGGCGAGCCCACCTCGCTGTCCTACATTCCTCTAAGTGGGGAGCTTTAGAGGCTTCGTGAGAAAATGAAAAAGTGAGATGTGACGGGTGCTGATCTGTCTGCTTATGAGCCTGTTTGACCTTGTTGGTCCTTCAGAAGAGGTTGAACTGAGAGTCAAGGTCTGGACAGCGTTTTATTTTAGATAATGTGACACGTGAAGGGAAAAATGCTCCTCACAGTTGATCAAAACAGACAGTCGTCTAACTGAGAATGTAAACGGTCGATTTGCAAATCTTCTGTCCCCCGCTGAACTTGTCACAGCGGCTGGTGCCATCTCTCTACGCTTCACGCTGAGCAGACACACACACACACACACACAGTCTGAGACGCTGACCTGGTTGTGTGCTGCACATGTGACATCCTGGGGCGAGAGAGAATGAGAAAGAAAGAGGGAGAGAGAGAGAGGGAAGTGAGAGACAGAGCGTAGAGAGATTCTGGTGAAGGTCAGCAGACGGTCAGTGGCTCACGGCCTCGGCACTGACCAGACAGGAACAAGGCGATGGGGGGACGGCACATCAAGAGGCAGGAAATTTGGGATTGTTATCCAGGGTTGTCTAGTTTGACTGGACAGGGGCGTATCCAGAATCCTTGACTGGGGTGGCCCAGCTGGGGCACTGACTTCTGCAAGGGTGGCATTAAATATATATGTATATAATGCATAAATAAGTATCATTTATTAAGCTTTTCTGTCTTCAGTAGTCATCTGTACTTCATCTACTCATACAAGTATTTAAATGATATCAGATTCCTATGTATATTATTCCCCTATTTACTCAAATAGTAGCAGAGCAGAGTCACAGATCACATATTCTCTCGTTGCTCAAAAGATAAAATACCTATAAATGTCGGCCCTGCTGGCCTCGTGGTATTTTGGTGCTTTCCATGTTCTTCAGAAGTTGGAAATTGGAGCTGGGAATGACGTCACACCTGAGTTATCAGCGTTCCAGTTACAAAGTTGGGAAAGAGTAGCCAACAGCCAAAAACGGAAGTGGAAACAAGATAGGTACATCTGCAAAAGTTGTCCTCGCACTTACCTTGTCTGAATATAAACAACTTCTAGACAAATATGCAGTCCCTCTGCAACCTGCAAACACGATGGATGGAGAGGAAACACAAAAGCACAGAAGGTAGCCTATTTTTTCTCATCACGAAAGCTTCTACTTACTGTTTACAACTGGTGCCGCCATCTTTAAATGACTTTCTGAGTCGGAGATCCAACCTCGGGGGTCATTCCAGTTGAAAGTTCCGTCTCAGAGAGCGGAAATCCTGACTTCCGAGTACAACTTTATCATCATTTGCATGCCTCATTTATAGAGGTTATGCTGGTTCAGTTCCAGGCTGCGGCTCCTTTCCTGCTCTCTGTCTCCAGTTTCTCCTCAGCCTACTGTCCACCTAAATGTATAGGATTCCTCACTGACATCTCATACAATAATCTTAATCCTTCATAGTTTTATTCATGTTAAATCAAACTCTGATTTAAGTTCTGCCAATTGAGATTTCAGTGAGAGTTTTGAAGGGTGCTCCTCTCAGCAATAATACATGATTTTCTGACCTGTTGGTTCTCCTGTTAAACTAAAAATAAACCATTTCCACAGTAGTTACTTGCTACATCATCTAAATTTCTATGGTATTTAATGAAGGAACACATGTGTCAAGTTGTAGGTAATTGCTGTATTTGGATTCACAAAATTGAACACAACGATTAATATTTAAAGGGAGTACTCCTCTTTATTCACATATCCACCCTGCAGAGCTTCTACTTCTTGCTCTCCTATTTCATCCCTTTGATCCTGCTCCTCTTTGGTGCCAGTAAAATCTAAAAAAAAAAAGACTGAAAGCTCAGAGCAGCGGAGAAAACAGCCTGCGCTCATTTACATACAGCACAGACACCTACCAAGTTTTTGCTACAGGCTGCATAATGCAGATCACTGGGTGTAGCCTTTTGCTGTAAAGAACCTACTTATTAAATATTAATGCGGTGCAGCGTAACTGCTCGTCGTCGTGGAGGTATGAGGCGAGAAACTGACGTGTGGGAGACAAAGCTCTTTGTTACAGCGAGGTTTTGGACCCACACAGTCTGAGACAAAGGCGTGCTTTCATATACGAAGCCTCTGTGTGGAGAATCACAGTGAAAGAGGAGCTCTATACTGAACATCTACATCTCTGCTAATCCGCCCTCTGGCTGACTCATCACTCACCTTTCCTCATTTGAAGATAACTCATCGGTCTTGATTAACGGGAAAGAGATCCTACTCTGATTCAGGTCAATGAGACTGTCACCACTTAAGGTCCAGCGAGTGTTTCTAACGGAGGGGAGGATTTTCACCTCAATGTTTCTCTGTCTCTGTCAAATATATGACACTACTCAAATGAAAGCCAGAAAACGAAAAACAAATAATGGATTTTGGTGTCAGAAGTGGTTTTGAACTTGCTAGACTTGTATTTTGTCTTTCAGTCTTCAAGTGCAATATTTTATTCTTCTAACTGATATGGATGATATTGTATTTCCCCTCCTGTGCTGATCAACTAAATTCAGACAGAAGATATAAAGACCCCAATGAGCGATGAGATTTGTGGAGTTGATTTAGTCTTCTTGGATTTGGAGAGAAGTGGTTCAGTCTTCCACGGTCTCTGTTGGTGACTCAGACTTGTTTCAAACTGGTTGATATCTTGGCTTGTTTTGTTCTGTCTGCACTGTTATGCTCATCTGATCGAGTTTACTCTCTACACTCAACTCCCATGGGTCTTAGTCAAAACACATGCCAAGGGTGAAGTCGATCGGATGAAAGGCTCTCTGCAGGACAGTCTTTGACAAGTACAAAGACTCAGAGTGAAATTCTAAATTTGGCAATGGTTCCTTCAAATTGGTAAGAGTACCAAACAAAACAGATTTTGGACATTTTCAAATGAATCTAAAAGTTGTGGCCCATTCAGATCGATGTCTCTGGACCATGGACTTTATAAAATATGAATGTAGCATCGATGCAGCCCGTTGATTTCTGAGGAAGTGTTATGAAACAATGGCTATTTTTTAAGGTGGAGGTGGACTTTTGGCATACAGCTCCAACAAAGAAGGCCTGTTTGAGACGTGATCTCAACCTGATGTCAGGTTATACCGTCCTTTTCAGACTATGCTAAAAGACAAACTCACCCGGCCACACTGCCCAAGACACGCCCACTTGGAAGTCCATTTCACTGCATGTCTTTTTCCCTCGTTTTGTACAATGTCGATCCATTATGTCTCAGAAGCGTTCTTTTGATTGTGAAGGAAAGTCACAGCTTTTTTCAATAAGAAAACTATGGGGAGTTTTTATGTTTTCCGAACAACAGCAGCAACCTCATAGCTACGTGTGCTTTGCTTTGTCATCAGTGATGTCCTTAAAGCAGCTGTGTTTTTATCTCTTTCCTTAAATTTGTCTGTTGTATCTTTAAAACAAAATACTACAAACACAATCATGTGAGCAAATGTCATGTGAGGTAAGCAGAGGTTAGTGTGACAGCCTTCAGGATCCAGTTCAACCTAGTTAAGAGCAGAGCGAACAAACATCAGAATAGAAAGTTACTGTTGTTTTGACACGAACACTCGATCCTTCAATCCTTCTCCACACACCCTGAACCCACCTACCTTCCTGCAGCCAATCACGAGCCGGCATCTGTGTGCTGTTTACAAGTCTCATGCTACCACGACCAAGCAACAGGCCCCTGGGACGTGGACACTGGGACTGGGGACCAAGTGTTTCTCAACATCAGGAGAAAATAAACAACAGCTCAGCGCTGACGCCAGAAGGGGGACTGACATGATTTCCTCCTTGTAGATGATGAAGCGCAGCAGCAGCCCACTCTGCTGTCGCTGTGTTCCAGCTCTGTAATACCTATAATCAGATTACCACCTTTTGAATAGTAAGTGAAGTGGGATTATTTATGTCTTATTTCACTTGCAGTGAGCTTCACAGCTGCTCTGAGTGATGAAAAACCACAGTGACCAAAAACACTTTATGGAATATTTCTTTTTTTCCTTCATGGAAATCAGTCTCACTGTGATTGACTAAAAACTGAATATTCATGGCAGTTTTAGTGGTGACTCTTGATTGCTGCTTGTTTGGTTTCCGTTTACAAGCCTCAGTCTGTGGCGCCGGATACAGAGAGACATTTTTGACTCCATTCATACCCCCAAGTCTCAACTAATGATGTCATGGCGTGTGGCACAAGCAGGGCTCTGTCGAATATATCAATGGTTAGCATTTAGCTGTAAAGTGTAGTAATTGAGCTGCGAATAATAGTTGTTTAGTCACAACCCTGTCATCAAGCTCTGTGAGCTCCCAGATGTTTATCCCCCACGCCCAGCTGACGTTTGACGACCACAGACATGACGATGAAGATGAGTGTTACTGATGTTTTCAACGCTTCAGACGTCTGAACTTTTATGAAACATAAAGGTTTAGGCTCACAAAGGAACAGAGCCAACCAACATGGAGGAGAGTATTTTATCAGATTCAACGGCAGGAAATTGTTCCAGTGGGGGTTTAAAATGCAATATGTTGAAGATTTGCTTTAAAGCTGAGTGATACAGATTTATTGCATGTTTTCAAATGATTTAACCTGCTGAACCGAGGCATGTGTGGAAACAGGAGCTGTTTTTGTGGTCTGAGCTGACCCTTTGTTTCAGGTCAATTTTAAAAAGAGAGTTAACATTCACTCGGCTTCCAGTCAATTTGAGTGCAACTTGCAGGTTAAAGTTTTCACAGCATTAATATGTAACTTTGTCTGAAAATAGCTGCTGAAAATCTTAATCCTTGTTTACTTATGTTATTTTGAATTTAGAGGAAAAGAATGGCCGTGTTGACTGAAACCACATGCTGGTATATCTCACAAGAAAACAGCCTCTAAAAACCATCAGGAAAAATGATCATTTATTAAATCAGCTTGAGTTCAGGACTGGGTGTGGAAATACAGGACAGATTGTTCCCCTTATTGAGTGACATGACAATAACAATTACACAGACAGATCCATCTCTTCTTCTTGTCTCCTCTCTACATCAGCTGTATCCTCACTGTGTTATCATAAACTAACAACACGGGATCTGAGCGCAGCGATACGGTCGGCTAACGCCTGTCACTCTCCACGCCACCTGCACTGTTCTCACTGGGTTTCATGTCTCCTGTGGTTCCTCCTAGTTTTTGACTTTTAACAGACTCATGATCATACGCTTTGGTCTGTTTATGCTAATAAATAAACATTTTCTTCCTCTTTCTTGTCAGGGCTGGCACGTAGATCCGCATTCATGAATGTTAAGCATTAGCTTAAACAGACTCTCTCTAGTAACACCATATTGGGTTGTCTGTTTTTTAAGCAGAAGTTAAAACTCACAAAAAAGACTCCAGAAGACACTGTAGTGTATTGATTTCCATATTTTATTGATCTTGTCTTTCCAAATCAAGTTTCCAACCTGCAAATTGCCATGTACAGGTATCTGTTAAAACGGATTTTTTACAACTTGTAGTTTTGGAGGGAGAGAGTTTTTTATATCACTGTTTTTGTTTCTTATTTTTGTATGAATCTGTCCCAATTTGGCTTGAGTTGTGTTTATACTTGTAGTGAATCACCTTGTTCGCATTATGCTGCCTTGTCATGCACAGCGTGTGGAGCTAAAATGATGTTTTTCATACTGAACTGAGGATGTAAGGCTAAATATCTCCCAACATCCTCTTTAGACTCTCAGTCTATGACAATGATGTGACTCATGGTCAAAAACTGCTTTTCAGAGTTTCTGCTTTCGTCATGTTTATTGCCAAAACTGTTGTGTATAAAATCAAGATTAAACTCCTGTTTAAGAGGCTTTTCATCTCTGTGTATATAAAACAGAAAGGGCACACATTTGGTTTTGGTATTGATAAGTTCTCACAGCTGTTTGTGTGCGTTTTACCATCCAATAACATCGGCCCACAGCAGAGTTTTGTATGGAAACAGCCTCAGAGCTGACATGCTGAAAGGTTGTGTGGACAAACTGGATGCTTTATGTTCTGTTGACCTATTTCACAAAGAAAATAGTCAGTTGTTGTGTAAAATTACCTTTCCTGAACCAGAATGAAAGTAATCATAGAAAAATTGCATTTCCCTGCGATTGCTAAATGGCATTGCACATGTCAGATAACCTCCTGGGGTTTGAAATATGGGGCGTCGATACCAGGATCAATAACATAAGTTAGCAGCAAATATAAAATACCCTTATTGATCTTTGAGAGGAAATCTAAATGAGGTCAAATCAAGTTCTTGGCCTGATTATGAGTCCTTGCCAAATCATATTTAAAGGTCTTGGCAGGGTAAATCCAGGGTCAGCAGCTAAAATGGTTGTAAAAGTTAATCTCTGCAGCCAACACTCTGATTTGTTGAGGGTCTTTCCACTTCTTTAGCGATGGATTTTAATCTGAACTGAGTCTCCAGTATCCTGTATCAGCAGGTTACATCAGGTGAACTCAGCTGAGGCAGCAATATCCTGTGATGAGCGGTCTTAGTCTTTATTTTCCCCTGCTAAAAAAAAAAAGTGCTGTCGGAGCCCCCGAGCTGTCTGCTTCTGTCAGATTATAGACACTGCCTCTTCACTACACTTCATTCCACTCTGCTTCCTCCTTTTCTAAATCCTACATCCCTCAATCCCCTCTCTCCAGTCCATCTCTTCCCTCTTTACGCCAACTGCTGCTCACTCTTTCACTCCTTTTACTTTATTAAAGTGAAACTTGGCTGCTGTTTTATGTATATACCATCAGTTTAGTGAGTTATCTCACATCTGTCCAAAATAATACCTTTGTCTTACAAATTGATGTCATCTTTATATGTGTCAGGCCTCTCAGACAGAAGATTCTACTTTTTAATAATAGATGTTTTCGGATACTAGTGAGTGGATTATAAAGAGGCTTTATTGGATAATGTTGTCGCAGCAGGGGGTGACGTCTGACCATTTTAGATTGGATTTTTTGTTTAGCTTGGCTGCTTAATATTTATAGAAATACAGAGTTTAAGGGAAAAATTACAAAAGGGTCATTTCAGGACACCAGCTAGCTTATACTGAAGTCGACAAGCGAGCAAGTTCTACACATTAAGCCAAAGATAATCATCACCCAGCTCTGTTGTGTTTTCAGCTTTACCCTTTTGGCATCTTTTTATGTTAGTGTTTAAGTTTTGTCGACTCCCTTACAGTTAATCAGGTTGACTACAACATGACCCGACATGTAAAACCGAGCAAATGTTTGCTAAAATGTTACGATATCAGCTTCATTTTTACATGACTGTATTTCAGTGTTTGGTTGCAGTGATTTCCTTTTCATTATTGACTTAACACACAGCTCAAGCCAGGCTATCTGGTTTGTTTGCTCTTTAAATTAATAGAAATTATACTCGTAGCATTAACATGTTTATGTCTGCCCCCTGCAGGTGAGCCAAGGTAATGTCCCAGGTGTGGAAAGTGCATCTCTGGCCATGGACACAGAGGAGGGTGTGGAGGTGGTGTGGAACGAAGTCCTCTTCTCTGACAAGAAGGTCTTCAAAGCACAAGAGGTATCACAATTTTATCAAATGAAAAAATATATATATGAGTCAACACACTCAGCTGTATTCTATATATAGTTGATCATTGCTTCACTCTCTGTATACATCATATTCCACTGGCTTTGCCTTTCGCTGGAGGGTTTGCCTGCAGCCAAGACTATTTTTGTCCTTCCCTGTGTTTTAAAATTTATCAAGAGGTTTCAATCAGCTATGAACTACAAAGACCAGAACTTTCTTTTTATGATGATTTTTTTATGACCTGTTTCTCAAGTCTGGAAGCAAACACTGAAAATGTTGAGACAACTTATGTGGAAACCATAAAGACAGGGCTGTTTCTTCAGCTGCTCGGCTTAAGTGAACTCCTCAATGTCCAAACATGTCAACAACTCCTCATAAGAGCTTTAACAAGGACTTCTTTTGGCCCTTCTGTAAATGAATGCTCATAAATGACAAAGAAAAAAGTTAATATTAATCTTTTAGTACTTTATTCAATTTTTTACTTAAATGTTCAAGTATTAATCAACTTTTTTACACCTTAAGCCACAGTTTGCACCACCCTCAGGTGAATTTGTTGCTCTTTATAAAATCATCACTTTCACCGTAGCTACTTTATCCCATAACCGTCACTAACTGTGTCTTTACCGCCCGATATGATTACTTATTTATGCATTTATTTACACTTCTCATCTCATCTTAAGAAAGTCAGATTTATGGTCGGCATGTTATGGTTTAATATAAAAAGGTTGTGACTGATCTCTTCTTTGTGTCTCATAGGATAAAATCAAGGAGATGTTTGAGAACCTGATGCAGGTCGAACACCCAAATATCGTCAAGTTCCACAAATACTGGCTGGACATGAAGGAGAGTCAGGCGAGGGTATGTCTTTGTTTCATCCTCTCTGTTTCCTTCTTTCTTCTTCTGTTCTCCTATTTTCATTTGGGTCCACTAACACCTCTCTCTCACTCTCTCTCACTCCTCCATCTGTGCCTCGCAGGTTATATTTATCACAGAGTACATGTCGTCTGGCAGCCTCAAGCAGTTCCTGAAGAAGACAAAGAAGAACCACAAGACAATGAATGTGAAGGTCAGTGTTTTTACTCTGGTCACATACTCACTGTGTCGGTGTCTCAGTCTGTGATGTGCTGTGGTGGCAGCACCGGATACTGCAGTCAAATCCTCACTCAAATCCATATTTCCTGCAGGATTAGAGATTATGTAACCGGACAGCCCTGGTGGTTTAGCCTTCTTAGACATATATTTCATCCTCACAGTGTTTAAAACCTGCTTGTAGATTATCCAGTGTCCTCTTGCTCTTTTTTTGCTCACTTCACTACACATGCTGCTTTTGTTAAAATCTAATGCTTTATATCAACTATGTTTACATGTGAGAAAAAAGCCGTTGTAACAGTGCTGTATTTGCATCATATTTATATATTCCTATGGCTGATTGCAGTACAAGAGTGCACTGTAAATTTCCATGAGGTCATATTTTTTGTTTCACTGTCTTTCAGGCCTGGAAGAGGTGGTGCACCCAGATTCTGTCCGCCCTCAGGTACTGACTGATTACTTTCTCCGGGATTTGAATCATCTGAGATTATCTCTCATCACGTAAATCTCATTAACCAGGTGTTTCATTATTTTCTGGCAGCTATCTACACTCTTGTGACCCACCGATAATCCATGGCAACCTGACTTGTGACACCATCTTCATCCAGCACAACGGCCTCATCAAAATCGGCTCAGGTCTGCTCCCCACAGGGCTTTTTGTGTAACTGCAGCTGGTGTTGAGACTGTTGTGGATTTCTGGATTCACTTATTTAACTTGAATGAATATCACAATTATGCTTAAATTTCTTTCCACAGTTTGGCATCGGCTTTTTGTAAATGGTAAGAAAAAAAATAATTTTGTCGTGGCTGTGTCTTCACTGGTGTCACACACATAGGTCATTTTAGTTACGCTAACCTCACCATGTTGTCTGTGTCTTTCTATCCAGTGTTTCCAGATGCGAGCGTGCACGGCAAAGGGAGGCAACATCGTGATGAGCAGAGGAACCAGCACTTTTTCGCTCCAGAATATGGAGGTAAATGAGGAGCAGTTAATTTTGCATGGAGATTAATGTAGCTAAAATCATTTAAAATCATTTTAATCTGTTTTAACTTTCTTTATTTCAGTGTTTCACACATAAAGTGAACGTTTTGTCACTCTCTTCCTTGTCTTAACATGAGTTTAAACTCCCTGACATTGGTAAAATTATAAACAGAAAGCAAGTTTGCCATGTGATTTTTCTCAAATCCTCAACAACTAAGGGAAATTTGTATTTTTCCCTTAAGCAGCAAAATTGAAGAGCCAGCTAGAGGAACTGTGCAGCAATCTCTTAAAATATTAATTGTAATGGAGTCAAAGTCAAGATGCTTTGTATCCAAGCAAAAATAATCTGCTCCCAAATTTAATATTTGAACCAAAAAGACTAAAATTAAAAAATCAAAGCACAGTTATCCTCCCATTCCACAAAAAGTAGGATTCTGTTTAAAATATTAATTGTAATGGAGTCAAGGCAAAATATTTTGTATCCAAGAAAATAATCAACAGCTTCCAAATTTAACATATTTGAACCAAAAAGACTAAAACAAAAAACAAAAAAACAAACAAACAAAAAAAAACCCACATTATTTCCCATTTCACAAAAGTCTGGATTATGTGTAAAATATTGACAGATTAAATGTTTTTGAAAACATTCGAATTGAAAACAGTGCATAGAAAACACATCAAATGTTGAAGATAACTTTTTTAAATTGATTTATGAAAAATATATGCTCATCTAAATTTGGTGGAGTAAGAAGCTCCTTTGCTGCAAAAACTAAATGATCCCTTTTTTTCAGGCTTGACTTGAAATGTTTTCTGTCTCACCTTCTCCATCTCTCTTTCTCCTCCTCTGTTCTCAAGCTGGTGGAGATGATTACGCCATAGACATTTTCTCCTTCGGCATCTGCGCTCTAGAGGTGACCAAAACAAATCTATACATCAGATTAGTTTATCAACGGATTAACCCTCTGTACGTTTGCAATAACAGATTATTTACACCCATAGATGGCAGTGTTGGAGATCCAGGCAAACGGAGACACTGCTGTGTCCAAAGAGGCCATCATCAATGCAGGTCAATCTCTGGAAGATCCTCTTATGAGAGTGAGTCTCAAAAATACTTCATGTCCTGAAAAACAAAACACACTGCGGTACAACTAAGGAAGTATGAAAATGAAGACAAACTGTCCCACATTGTTACTCTGATCACACTCGCCTACACACGCCGCTTTGCTTCTGGGTTGATTTCACACCACATGAGGAGTCTTTATAGTGATTTTTCTCAGTCAAACCAGAACACAGAGACGTGTTCAGTAAAGAGGACGTACTGTTTCACGCTGGACTCACTTTCTTGTTGCTCTTTGCTGCAGGAGTTCACGCAGTCATGTTTGCGTCACGAAGCCAAGCTCCGTCCTACGGCTCACGACCTTCTGTTCCACCGAGTCTTGTTCGAGGTCCACTCCCTCAAACTGCTCGCCGCCCACTGCCTCATCAACAACCAGTGTGAGTTTCTCTCCTCCACATGCCAACAAACCACGCCAAAGTTACTCTTCTCCACTTTACACACTGATATTACTCACTGGTATTCACAGATTTTTTGCTGATATGTTTAAGAGCTGAACAATGCAAAATCCAAACAAATCATGATTACATTTTTACATCAGAACATGTGAAAGATATTTACTTGTTCCCTTCATCTCTAAATAGTTTGTTTGTTAGTTGAAGAATGCAGTCAAGTGGTTAAACATCTTACAAAAGCTGAATTTGTTGACACAAAGATGCAGAAATAAACACAAAAAATGCCTGGAAATTTATGGATTGATGTCCCAATTTGTCTTCGATCCGCAGACTTACTTCCAGAAAACTGTGTTGAAGAGAAAACAAAGTCCTTCGACCCAAATGCCATCATGGCTGAGATCAAACATGATGACAGACAAGGGGTTCAGCTCAAGTAAACTCACACATTCACCTCACACAGTATCTTTATTTGTCTCAACATGTCAGACACATTAGTCACCGTCCTTTTCTATGTGTCTTGTTGTGTCCTGCAGATATTCTCACGTGTCCCCTTTGGAACTGGACAAGTTTCTGGAAGATGTCAAGTAAGTTGACCTACTGTCGTTGTGACTCATGCGGTACCACTGATACCTGAGGAGTTGAACATTCTGTCCTTTCCTCTCATCAGGAACGGGATTTACCCTCTAATGAACTTTGCCTCCTCTCGGCCTCATCCCGTCCCTCGAGCCCTCTCGCTGTCTCAGGAGCAGGTGGAGACGGTGAAAACACCAACACCTGAACCCCAGGAGACAGAAACCAGAAAGGTTGGACTTTTAGAAACCTCTCAAAAATGCTATACAGTCCTTCTGGATGTATGGAGGGTATATAGAACTATAACCTTTGAGAAATAATGCGTATAATGCTGGGGAGGGTAAAATATTCATGGAAGAGGAACATATATAGTCCAAATACATATATACTTTACCCTTAATAAGTGAATTTTAGCAGCCTTTTTCATGTCATTGTAAAAATATGTTGGGAAGTGTTGTTTCTTACATAGAAGCTGTGTGCTTTTTATCTTTCAACATGTTTTGACACATTTTTTTGCCTCTAACTGTTTCTCTGTTGCTGTTGCAGGTTGTTCAGATGCACTGTAATCTGGAGCCTGTTGAAGAAGGGACCAAAACTCATGTGAGTCACACAGTATTGCAGGTACTTTGCCCATTTAAGTACAAACTCTTTTGTTGGGCTTCTTCATAATCTTAAAATTTGATCTTTTTATACAACATGAGCCACGTTTGAATGTAATCTTTTCATCTCCCTGCAGCTCTCTTTATTTCTGAAGATGGATGATAAACTTCACCGGCAGCTTAGCTGTGACATCCTTCCGAGTAAGAAAGAACAAAACACGCACTCTGTTTTTCTTACTGTCTACAAATTCCATGAAGACACAAAAACCATTAAAGCTTCAGTCTGTCTTTGCAATGTATTGGAGAGGGACAGAAAATGTAGGGGGTGGAGAGTAGGAGGAAAACATGCAGCAAAGAATCAAACCACTGACCGCTGCAATGAAGTCTGTGGCCTCTCTATGTAGTGTGATCAGATCGCTGGGCCATAGAATTTGTTGACAACTTGGAAAAACTGGATAAACTACCTTATAGAAAACTTTTTAAAATTCATTTTTGTCACAGCTTTGTTTGACTAAAGCATTAATGTGAAACTTCCAGCTGACACCTCTAAAGACCTTGCCAGTGAGCTTGTTCACTACGCCTTCATAAATGAGGTACACAAAGAAGTTTTCTATTCTTTTCTTGAACATAAATTGAATAGCATACGTTGAACTAAATTACTAACACAGGAGTGTTTTTATTCAATATTTGGAGCTATAAGTGTCCGGTTTGTTTTGTAGGAGGACAGCGAGAAGGTAGCAGGGTTCCTTGAGGACGCCATCAACCGACACCGGGTCCGAATGCTCGCCGCTGGGAGCACACAGTGAGGAGGGGTCACAGCTGCTGGCCCAGATCGAGGGGCCCAGGTGCCCAGATGGGTCAAACAAGGAGGATAGAGCAGCAGGCAGGATCACACAGCCAGAAACTGAGAGAGAGAGAGAGAGCGATGGGAGCTGACCCAGCTGAGGGACAAAATTGAGACAAACACAGATGGATGCTCGGCCATGTTGGTCAGTAAATCATCCCAGAGAGACGGAAGAAACTCCAGAGAAAGAAACCCGAGGAGCCTCCATTTGGAGGACTGGATGCATCATGGCTGTGTTCAGCAATCCCACAAAGTAGTGGACGATTGACAAACCCCCTGCCTAAAAGGGCTATCATGCCTTAAGATATATTGCAGCTTAGGTTTCCATAACGCCACTTTTCAAAGCAGACATGTTTTACATATAAAATGCAGCAGAAAGACATTTTATTGCTCATAAGCCACGTTTGCACTCCTGTGTCTCCTTAGATTTGTAATTATTTACTTTAAATTGTACACAAAGAAAAGCCTGCCTCCCTCACAAAGCAGACCCTTCAGTTTCTTTGAGGAATTCAGTTTCCGTCCAACATGCACTGTTAATACTCATGTTGACTTATTTATTTGTATCTAACTGTGAATAATTGAAGCTTTGCATAAGCCTGTTTTGTTTTTTTTTCTTTAGACACAACTTCTTGCACTCTTGGGTTAAAGGTCATTTCTCCCAGAGCTCCATATGTCATGCCTAAATGTAGTGACAAGACACGAGATGATGCCTCTCTTATAAGCCCGCAGTGCTCTTAAGGGTTTTCCCTGCGAACGTGTCCTGAAAGCCAAAGACTTGCAAAGTGCCTGCTATGGCAATGTACTTTGGAGAAGAAAAAATCTTGATGAAACGGCATTGTACCCAACTACTAAGAATGATACTCACTCAGGCTGTATGTAAAGATGGATGACACATCTCCACCCCATCTTCACTACTACTTCACAGGGGGAAAATGCTAATGAATGTCACTCACACCCAGGGTCTGTGCTGTGTAAAGTTATGATTAGACCCCTCCTCTCTCCTAACCAAAACACAAATTAAACTTTGAGATAGAGCGTCTTTAAAATTGGTTCAAGTCAACAGCAGAACAGATCCATGTGTTGGTTTGAAGTGCACGCTCGTGGTTATGGAGAGTTCAATTACCTGTACGTCACATTTTCCCTCATCTCTCTGTTTTTACACCTCTAATCACATTTGTCAGGTAAGCTGTCAATCATGGAGTTGTACCCTGTTTGGAGCATTAAATAACAAATTAAACTAAATTTCTCATTAAAATTATTCAAACGTGAATCAACATGATACAACATTACTATGACAGAATCTATATGTATTTGTTTGATGTATAATTTGATGTTAAAGTTTGACCCCTGTCCCACTTGAGGGGACTGGCTTTGTAACCTGCATCCATTATATAGAAGTAACTCCATTTGTTTTGATTTCACCCTTTAGGGGCTGCCGTGTTGTCCATCTTTTCATATAGTCTATGATTGACTTTAAAAACTACTTGCAAAGATTTGGACTAATGACAAAGTCAGCATTTGTGAATGTCCCTATTAAACTGCAGCTTCTGTATGTATATATCTGGATTGTGTGCTGTCAATTAGTTGGAGAAGCTGCAGCTTGTGCACAAAAATGAAATACAGTAGAGAAATCTTATGAAATGAACTCATAGTTCTATATAAATTAAAGAAAGGGTGTTGATAAAATGCCATATTGTTGATATATATTTCTGCTACACTATTTTTGACATATATTTAAATCCCTCTGAAGGTAATCTCTGTAAATGTGTCTTTAGGCGTCTTAAAAGAAAAATCCACTCAAAACAAAATTATTCTCTAGTAACACATCCACTGTATTTTTACAGACATTGTCAGAGTGAACTCTGGCATTGATTGCACTGCGGCCCACGCAAACACAGAAATAGAATACATCCCTTCAGCTCTGCCAGGTTTGTTTGGCAGGAATCTGGTCTTGGCACATTTGGGTGGATTTTTCTTTAACAGAACTGGACAGCAGAAACAATAGAGAATTGTCTGGTTTGGTCTTTAGCATTTTACTCTTGTTTGTATAACTCACATAGCCATGCTTCTTTTGTTAACCTGGGTCTTTGAGGTCACAATTTTCATAGCTGCTGTACAGTCTTTGCTTACAGTACTTACTCTTCTCTGCGTCATGCCTTCTTATTTGTGTGTTTCTTAAGACAGGAGTCTAAAATCTACAGAACATTTGCCTTCTAGAGGCTGTGGTGTACATATTTTTTTGTGGCTGTTCAAGAGGTTTACTTTAAGACAAACTTTCAATGCAACAGTGCCACTGTCAGGCTAATTTGATCTAGTAAGCTGCATGTCTTAAAAGCCTGCAACCATTCAGAACTCTGCATTTTGCCTTTTTGTCAGTCTAAGTTTGGTTCCAGAGGGGACCTGACCAAGAAAATGAATGTTTAGACTGAGCAAATATGAAAAACAACATCCATATCAGTCTTACTTTATGTCTGATGACTTCTTTTCCCGTGGATCTGTTGAATAAACTTGCCTTTGGATGTGTTCTTTAACTTTTGTTAAATATTGTAGCTCCGGCAACGAAATACATGACAATAAACAATATGTGACATACTGAACATGATTTGTTTTTTCTTTTGTCACAGTGGCTTTCATTTTTCGTTTTTGATTCACTCTGAGATGTGACATAAGATTAGATTGCAATAGAGTTCATCATTTTTATTTGTAAGTATCATTCCAAAGGTAACATTATCTAGAGAAATACGTTGTCGAAATACTGTAACTTTTTGTTTAATCTATTTGTGAATGTTAACCCAGAATGTTTGTGTTATATTACATGAGAAAAATATATGGTCGGTTGTTACAGAATCATTTTCACAAAAAGTGCACATGTTGTCTTCCATATTTAATCGCCGTCTGAGTAGTTCCTTTGAGGGATAGATGCTGTTCATAATTTTATAGTGGGTTTCTTTTGTTTTGGGGAGTATCAGTCATTTCAGAAACATTGTTTGTAGTTTGTTGGTTGATTCTTGATCAAATTTAAGTAATATATATGTACGGTAATTTTTTTGTCTACCAGGGAATAACTTTTCTGTGAGGCAGCTTTAATGAAATAATTCCTACATTTTTTATCCATGATTAGCACTCCTTTTATTGCTAATGATCCTAGTTGTGGTGTTATCGGTTGGTGGGCCAATATATTTTTTGTTAAAAATACAAAATACATATACAAAAGATTACCATTGAAATCCATTAAATAGATAGATAGATAGATAGATAGATAGATAGATAGATAGATAGATAGATAGATAGATAGACTTTATAGCACATTCTTCAATAAATCAATAATGTTGCTATTTTTAATCCAAGATTTCAACCAATTTATTTTCAAAGTTCCTTTGAGACAGTCGAAATCATTAACTTTTAGCCCATCGTCTTTGAGTTATTTCACCATGTAACTTTTTCATGAAGTTTGAACTTTCAAAGTGATATACTTTGTTATATCAAATACTTCAACCGCCAACTACTGTATTCAATGTTCCCCTTTTTCATCGCGAGATTTCAGCTATCGCGATATCTTTCATTGAAACTGTCGCGCTCTCGCGAGTGTTGTGGCGAGTGGGCCGTTCTAAGCAGGTGTGCTTCATGGCGGTTACGGAGGCTGCGGTAAATACATTTTCAGTTAAAGAGACGTAATTGGCATTTTTCAGCTACTTTAGCCCAATGTGTAGCTTATAAACCATGTCAATTGTGTATTATATCCTGTAAACTAATAATATTTGTATCAATCTGTGGCAAACGGCTTGCTTCGCGCCTCTGTAATGAATGCCTAACGTTAGCTAATGTGAGCTAGCTCCTTGTTAGCAGGAAACTGCTATCGTAGCCAGGCCTCGACATCGTGTTGAGGATTTAAGACAATAAAGGAGTTGTGGGTTATGGGTATATCGACTCTTTAAACATCGCTGGTTAAAACTTTATCTTTTACCTGTATTAGGTTTTAGCCTGCTAGCATTTCGGTTGTGCTAGAGTAAAATCCGCCATTAGCGTTGAGGCGTTTAGCCGACAGTGAGCAGAGGAAAGACGGGCAGGTTTCTGTAGACTGCAATGTAAAATGATGCTGGCTGCCTGTTTTTCTTCATAGTAGTCTGAAGGCATTTTTTATTTCCCACTAGAATTTGTTGAATTGTTAAAGCTTCCCCGTCAGTCCTCCTCCCCTCGGGGGCTTTCCTGTCTCAGTCTGGTGGACCCAGCGATTAGCGGGTTGCGTAGGTAAGAAGTTCGTTCGGTCCCACCTGGTCTAAATCCGGGTGCATGTTCTACATATGCCATAAACTCAAACTATTACCTGCAGTGTATGATGTGGTGTGACTTTTGATTGCAATGAGGATTTTTTTTATTCACTTGGAAATGCAGTTGTGGGTGTACATGCAGGCAGATGTTCCGTAATCCGTCTGTGTTATCTACGATCATTTTAACACGAGTATTTTTGGATTACAGGGAGGTGAAGCTCTGACGATGGAGAATGGACAGGGCACAGGCTCCAAGCTTGGCCTTCCGCCTCTCACCCCAGAGCAGCAGGAGGCACTTCAGAGGGTAGGTGACCCCCAATACAAGCCTGTTTTCACACTTGGAAATTCACTAAAGAAATGCCTGACTCACAACGGGGGTGTGAACTAAAGGGATGGGGTCTTGATGTACAGTCAAACAAAGGCTTTGGAAGTCACCATTTAAAAGAATATGTACAATAGGGTTGCCATATTGGAGTATTTTTAGTGGTCAAGTATTATCAGTTATTTCAGCAGTTAAGGGGATAGTCCGGCTTAAAATGGATTTAGGGTCAAACACACTGTAACACCGAGTTAGACACCCCGTCGAGAGATGAACGTTGACAACTGCTTGCTTCTCTAGTTATACCAAATTTAGTAACGACTGCACGATAGCAACATGCAGTGGTCTGAGGAGCCATAAACAAACCTCAACCGAAACGCCACTCTATAGCCACAAATAATGCTCAGAACAGCACCTAACTTCATCAACAGGACATATAGGGTCCCAGCCATAGTACTAGCCACCCAACATCTTTTTAACTTAATGAATTTGTTCAGCAAAGAGACTAAACACAACTCACCCACTCTCTTCCAGCTGCTGCATGTTTGTAGTGAGACCTTTTAATTTTCTTTCTTTTTATTCAGAAAGGCACAACTTCATCGCAAATATCATGACACACTTACATTGATTCAGTCTGGACACAGTAATGTTGTCCATACTGCTCTTCTTAAGCTTTTTCCATGGACCCAAACAATAACACAAAAACTACAGAACCCGGGAGCACTCCCTTTATACAAAAAAATGTAAAATAAAATAAAGTACATAATAAAATAAAGTTCACATACTCATTCCATTTGGACCAGATTTTATTATAATGATTTATTTATTTATTTTTGCAGGATTTTTTGCCTTTACTCGTACAAGTTGTGCCACCCCAGTAAAAAAGATACATCTGAAAAGCGACACACTGGGTGGAGTTCTGTGTGTGTGTTTGTGAATACGGCTTTAGATGGTCAATCTTAATAAAATCCAGCTTTCTGTTTTCATGTAAACATACTTTTGTATATACCAACGCACAGTCATGTTGGGAAAAGTACTGCTCCAACAAAACTTTTTTAAGCTGTAATATCTTGTTTTCTCCCCCCAGGCAAAGAAGTATGCCATGGAACAAAGCATTAAGAGTGTGTTGGTGAAGCAGACCATCGCCCATCAGCAACAGCAGCTCACCAACCTGCAGGTGAGATGTGTGAAACATTTGGGCGCTCCATGAAACAAAATGTTTGTAATGCGTGTGTCACCTGTGAGTCCTTATCCCAAATAGACTTTAGTCTTTTTATTTTTTAGTAAGCCAGACTTCTCATGACTGAGTTGTTGGTTGAGGTAGTCAGGGTTCGTTTTTGTTGTTTTGTCTTAAATCCCTCCTCCTCCATTCACTGAAAAAAAAGCAAACTACAGCTGTAGACTGGGTGCCCTTGCTTGTGCTTCTGCTCTTTTTCAGATGGAGAAGATCGTCGTGAAATCTTTGGTTATCATGTTCAATGCTTTGCACTTTAACTGGGGACTTTTTATGTTTATTGCTGTGTGGTTAATTGTAATTTAGATAGGGGAGGCAACTCCTCAAACTGTATGTTGTTTAGAGGGAGTGTCTGATTATGGTGTTAGCTTAAGCGCTTTTGTCTATCTAGCAAAGCAATGACAATTTTGAAAAAGCAAAGCTAAGGGATATCTAACCTACTTTTCAGCACTTTTTTCATCTTTACTGTCTTTCAGATGGCAGCAGTGACAATGGGCTTTGGAGATCCTCTCTCACCTTTACAATCGGTCAATAGATTATTAAATTTTTTTTCTGTGCGCATTCCCAATGGAAAAGGACTGTTACCCTTCTTTTACTGGTTGCTTGGCAACAATCCCTGCCTTTTATCTAACCCAAAAATGCATATTTTGTAAGAAACATGGCTTTCTACTTGTAGTGTACATGTCGGTAATCCTTCGTGAAACAAATCACTGTTGTCCATCTCTGTAGCTTTTACTTGCTTTCTTGAGTTAAAACGGGAGATTTTGCTTTAGGACTTGTTCAATCAAAGCCAAAGCTCTTTGGCTGCTTTTTAAAGGACTTTTAAACAGGTTTATTACATGTAAGAAAAGTCACTTCTCTTGGAAAAATATGCATTTGCTTGATTTAAAAACAGAAAATTCTTGGCATGGGAAGAAAGAGGGATAGCAATCCCTTTAATGGACCAAACTGAGAGAACTGCTGAAACAGGAATCTTTTTGGCCATCTCAAAGTCAAGTTTTTTTCTGTCATTGAACAAGTCAACTTTCCATGATGTCATGAATTAGACACATGCTATACTACGTTGATCAAAGCAAAGCAAATTAGTGACTAGATGATATTAGCAGAAGCAGACACAGCATCCCTCCCCTTAGACTTGAGAAGAAAGTTTGAAATGCTTTCATCAAGACTTTGTATGGATTTCGTTTGAACTCCACGATTACTTTTGTTACCTTACTTGCATCCCCGGACTACAGGTCAGTTACTGAAGCCAAATATTTGTGAGGGCTGTGCATGTCAATCACTTTAGTGTGTTTTCCTCCATATGTCTGTACAAAAGTAACAGCAAAGAAATCATACTGTAATTACAAGTGGTGACATTGAAATTTTATAACTGTTATACATGTTAGCATTCTTCACTATGTTCTGTCCATTGATTTCAACCCCATTATTACCCTAATTACCTGTCCAGACCCCCTAACTTGGAATTGGCCTCTAACTATTTCTGGGGAAAGCAAGCACAGTAGAAAATACACATTCATAATTTGTGTGTGTGTGTGTGTTTGTTTTGTTTCCCTGTCTTTTTCTCTCTAATGCTTATCATGTGTTGTTTTCTCCCGGTTGGCAGGTGGCAGCTCAGCGGCAACGTGCTCTAGCCATCATGTGTCGGGTGTATGTGGGCTCCATTTACTATGAGCTTGGTGAGGACACCATCAGACAGGCCTTTGCCCCCTTCGGCCCAATCAAGAGCATTGACATGTCCTGGGATTCAGTTACAATGAAACACAAGGTCAGTGTTCAATGGGGCAAAAAAAATGATATCTCAATTTAGACATGTACCAAATGTTTTCTTTTTTTTAACCTGTTTGTCTCTCTGTGCAGGGATTTGCTTTTGTGGAGTATGACGTGCCAGAGGCCGCTCAGCTGGCACTGGAGCAGATGAACTCAGTCATGTTGGGGGGACGAAACATTAAGGTGAGTGATCTGTAGGTTGACTTTCTCTGAACGTCTTTGTGGGAATATCACAACACCGGAATTTTTATTTGGATATTATACCAGAAGAAAAAAGTAAATATTCAAAACCTATTTTAATACCATGGCAACAAAAAATGAATTCCTGGATACCTCAAATTTTAACCTGCACAGAGCACTGAGAAAAGTCAGTGAATACAGACCAACATTTGGCAAACTTTAAGCAGTAATGAAAGTAAAATGAATTTGATCTTTTCTAAATCTGTCAAACCAATAGAATATGTCTTCAGAAAACTTAATATTCATTCATAACCCAGAGGAGGTCTGAAGTAGTATACTTTAGGATACCGGCATATAATACATAAAAAAGGCAAAAACCTCATGGGCTAGCGGAAACATGACTTAAGTTACCAAAAATTCAAAATAAAACCAGGGAGCCCTCTGGACATTGGTGCAGAGGTGTGGGCACATTTATGAGTTTTCAAGATGTAACGGCTGTGAAATGATCTGAGAGTAATATCTCATTTTTCAGTTTGACCACACTGTTCATCTCACCCTCTAAACTTTGTGTCTCGACCACAGCAACTTGCTCCTTTGCTTTCATTCTCTCACAGCAGCTTCTCATTGAAAAGTCGAGCGTGGACCTACTGTCATCGGCTTTGTTGCTTTTTTTATTGTGGCAACACTCAAATGTAAAAATAACGTATTTTGTATCATTTTAAGCACATAGTATTTAAAAGTATGAAAAATCTTAGGTGTTAGTGTGAAGGGAAATAATATCTGCTTTATTTCAACATGCCTTGTCGTGTGTAAATTAAAATTTCTTTTGGTGTCCCCCCCAGAGTCGACATGTTGTAACTAAGTGCCACTTGACTTGTGTAAATGGTTGTGAATGATTAATTTCTCCCTCTCTCTCTCTTTCTTGTCTTCTCTTGATTTCCAGGTGCGTCTATCGTGTGTATGTCTGGGTGTGTGTTTTGTGTTCTGTCTGTGTGTTTGTGTTTTTGCTTTTATGATTTCATCAAAGCCATTTTAGCGACCAGGATGCCCAGCAGCGCACGGTGTCACTCTGTACCTCTGATGAACTGATGATGGGCTGCGCCTGGTTGGTGTTGCTTGGCCGCCTCATCTGTAGTACAGATTCCAGATCGCTCCTAGATTCTCGTCTTACAGAGGAAGAGGAGTTTGTATTGCAAGACAGAGGAAGTTGTCAGTGTGCGTAGTGCAGGATTAGATTAGACATGCGTCCCTCTTTCGGTGTTGCCACCGGCTCAGCTAGTCACGTGAATCTAGCCTTTTTTCAGAAAAGCATTAATTTATTTCATTATTTTTTTTTAAGGATCACTTAGTTTTTTTTTGTTTTTTCAATAGATTTTTATTGGTAATAATAATTGATATTTCTCGTATGATATGAAGGTAAAGCTACTATATCAACTGTTGAAGAGAGGCTGAGATCTTTAATATTTAGACTCTAAGTGCAAAAGCTGTAGTCAAATAGGTGTACATGTTCTGCAGATTGATATCCTAAAGAGACTCTTTTACCTCATGGCTGGTTTTAGATTTGTTTTTTAAAATGAGAAATCCCCGAAAAGGTTTCAGTTATCTACATAATTCTTATATAAGTTTGTATTTGTACTTGGTGGCAGATGTAGAGGTGTTGAAATTGCTAGGAGGAGTGCTCCCTCAGGTCTCAGAATCAGATCTTAGGAGAATAGTAGCATACTTTACAGGATAGCTTTGTGTCATGTTGCAGAAGAAGGGTGGCTTGACTGAACTCGGTGGCTGCTGAAAGTGAGGGCTGCAGGTCCTCATAGGTTTGTAGATCAGGGAGTGCGTTCTCGGTGTGTACTGTCAACGCCGTACTCAGTAGTCCTGCTGGTATTATCTGTGCTATAGGTTGGGCGGCCAAGTAACATCGGTCAGGCGCAACCCATCATCGACCAGCTGGCAGAGGAGGCGCGTGCCTTTAACCGAATCTACGTGGCGTCCGTGCACCCTGACCTGTCAGACGATGACATCAAGAGTGTGTTTGAGGCCTTTGGAAGGATCAAGTCTTGCACGTTAGCCAGAGACCCCACCACAGGGCGACACAGAGGCTTTGGCTTCATCGGTGAGCTGGAGGGCCCTCATTCGCTCGTCCTCTCAGTGTTGCCTCTGCTCTGCTACTAATTAATATTTTATTCACTTCCAGAGTATGAAAAGCCTCAGTCAGCCCTGGACGCCGTGTCGTCTATGAACCTCTTTGACCTGGGGGGTCAGTACCTACGAGTGGGCAAAGCAGTGACTCCACCTATGCCCCTACTGACCCCCACGACCCCTGGTGGTCTGCCGCCTGCCGCAGCTGTAGCTGCGGCGGCAGCCACCGCTAAGATTACGGCCCAGGCAAGTATGAATCCCTTCCAAAGGGATTTAATGGCCTTCCAGGTAAATATAACCCAGATCTAGCTAGAATTGACACCAAAAGCACAGATAACATGGGCATAAAGTTTTATGTGAGGTGACTGGGAGAAGGCCAGTTCTGTAGGGATAGTGTAAAAACTGTAGCTGCCCAGACAAAGTGTCAATCTATCAGCCCTGAAACATGAGAGAATCTGGGCTTTTTATCTCTTTTATCCAGTTTAATGTGTTCAAAATACAAACCAGAATCTAAAGGCTGCATTTTTTCCTGTTTTTTTTTCACTGTACAGTAATGTGATCAATGACTTCTCCTCCCATTCACTGATTAGGTGTGTAAGCTAAGAGTGTTCTCTCTTAGCACAAACACACCGACGGCTACTGTGAAGCTGCGAATGATTAACCAGACAGTTTTGTTTACCACCGTGAATTCAGATTCAAAGTATCTATGCCCCGCTAAGGTTACTTGGTATTAATTGGTATGTATCTTTTAAAAACAGAAGCTTTTGACTTTGATTCTCACTACAAACAGTCCAGGTTGAGTTCACTCTGTGCCATGCTGTGTGATCGTTGACTGTGCTGCCTTGTGCTGTGCTCTGTGTGTTTCCCTTACCTAATGTCTTCGGCCCCCCTCTCTTAAGGAGGCTGTAGCCGGCGCATCAGTCCTGGGGGCGTTGGCTGCGCCCCAACTTCTCGGTCAGCAAATGGGTATACCTCAGGCTGTTATGGCTGCCCAGGCACCAGGGGTCATCACAGGTGTGTACCAAGGCATGAGTGAGTGCTATTCTTTATTTTTCAAACTGTGTGAACAGAGTATCTTCACTGAGATGTGCCTGTTATATTCATTATCGAATTTAAGTTCTGTTAACCATTTGATGAATAATACTCATGCGAATGTCATGGATCAATCAGCTAAATTATAGGTTTACTGTTCACTTCATAGTTCATAGTTTTGTGTTATTTGTATAGACATTTGGTTTCAGACAGATTTAATGTCGGGTTAAAGGAAAATAGAATAATGTTTTCCTGTTACATAGACCTGAAGCTGCTCTTTTAGAGTTTTACTGAGAGGGAACTGACCACTCTAAAGATAAGATTAGCTGAAATTGTTTCCCCACTTGGAGAAATTCACATGTCATGACTCCTCTGTTTATATTTCCTTGCTTGTGTTTTGTGAGTGTTATCACTTGTATATTAATCTGGCTGTTTTCCTTACATAGGTGTGACTCCAGTGCGACCGCCAATACCAGTGCTTCCCCAGGTGGGTCTTGTTAACCCAGTACTTGCGTCACCGCCGGTCCTGTCCAATCAAGCTGGTGGTTCAAACCAACAAGAAAAGAAAGAGGAAAAGGAGGAGATGCTGCAGGACGGTACAGGACAGGAGATGCTGAGTGACCAAGAGCATATGAGCATCTCTGGCAGCAGTGCCCGACACATGGTGATGCAGAAACTGCTCAGAAAATCAGAGGTGAAGCCTAAAGAAAAAAAAGTAACCTGAATGAAAGCTCTTAATTAGTCATAGTGATTTTTACTCATTCAACCCTGCCTATCCAGTCCACAGTGATGGTTCTCCGAAACATGGTGGGACCAGAGGACATCGACGACGACCTGGAGGGTGAGGTGACAGAAGAGTGCGGCAAGTTCGGCTCCGTCAACAGAGTCATCATCTACCAGGAGAAACAAGGCGAAGAGGAGGATGCAGACATCATCGTCAAAATCTTTGTAGAGTTTTCCATGGCCTCAGAGATGAACAAAGCTATCCAGGCCCTCAACGATCGCTGGTTCGGAGGTCGCAAAGTCGTCGCAGAGGTGTACGACCAAGACCGTTTCAACAGCAGTGACCTCTCTGCGTAAAAGTGTCTGAAATGGTTTACCAGCACCCACCCCATTACCCGTCGGCCAAAACCATTTCAGCCACAGTCACTGCAGCGAGAAATGCGGGCCTCTCAAACTTGTAATTATGTTTTTATTTCCTTTTTTTTTAAATTGCTGTTGATATTAATGTCAAACCCCCCCTTTGGGAGGATTCATTACTTATATTTACATGTCATTTTGCTTTATCTGTGAAGACTTTTGGTGCAAGTTCCAAAATTTTGTAATCCGACTGTATGAAACATTTCCTTTTTTTCCTGCTTTGCTTCCTTTTATTTTTGTCCTTCATGAAGCTGCCGGGACATGTAAACACTTTCCTTTGTACGATTAAAGGTTTTTTGTTTGTCCACAAAAAGTGTGATGTCTGGTTTTAAAAAAGGTTGTTTGTGATGTTTATCGTGCGTCGTAAGCATGTCGAGTTCAAAGTGCAGTATTCTTCAGAAATTAAGAAAAAGCCTTTGTTATTGCACTGGCTATTCCTTAATGTCACAAACTTAAGATCTCAAGATGGGGGTTCACAGTTTTGGATGTATCACCTGCTATTTCTCTTGTGAAATAGTATCATGAATACAAGCTGATTTGCATTAAACATACAAACTTTTTAGTGCCAGTGGCAAAACTTGAATTATAACAACAAAAAGACATCAGAGGACAATAAAATGGCTTGTATTTAGGCAGTTATGTTCTTTCTCAGGGCCTTACATATGTCTAGCTCATTTATTTTCTCAATACATGATATTACTCTAAAAAACAGTTAAATAATTGTTAGTAACTTGCCCTTGAAGATCTGAAATATCATTTCGTCTTTGAAGCTGACTAGCACTCGCCGCTAGGTGGAGCTGTGGTGCGTACTACAGAAGCGCCAGTACCGTGTGGCCTCTGCTCCAGCTCACGCCACAGAGCCCAGCCCCCCACACACCAAACCTGCCTGCCTCGGCTCCACAAGGGGAGGGATGCGCGGCAGTTGTTGAAGCTCTTTCTCCCGCAGCTTACAGTTTACATTCGTCGCAGTAAGACGACACGGAGTGGGCAGCTTCTTTGGCGTCTTTTGGGATGTTGCCACGGCACACAATCGGAAAGAGGTGTTTCGGCAGTTTTTGTTACCGTACTGTAAGCTAACCGCGGCTAGCACAAAGGCGTCCAGTCTGCTACTAGCTGATAGTAGCTAACTGTTACTAGCTTGCTAACAACACAGCCGGTGAGGACGAGCACATCTTCGCGCAGCTATACCGGGGTTAATCTCTGCTGTGTTAGCTTTTTGGCGGTGGCAGTTTATCCGTAACCCGAGTCAGGTGACCGTGTTAGCAGTCGCCACTCATGACGAGAAGAGTCGAAGCAGCGTTTCTGCATAGCTGGGTCGTTGGCTGTATGTTTGTGAGCTAGCCATGACAGAGCTGTAGATCTCACACAGGGATGTTGGCGGTATAGCGAAACAAGCTAATGTTACTCAGTGTAAAAGTGAGCATAAGAAGTGAGGAAACACTTGAGCTAAGTTGAATATCCAGCGTGTTTGTGTTTTTTCTTTACAATTCCGGGTCGAATGACGCCAAGACGGAGCTGACAATCCTTCATCACGACTGAACTGAAACTGGGAATATCGCTAACAGATCGAAGGGATTATTTTTGTGTGTCTCTAAGTGGATTTCGGCCTCCTGCTCGGGATCATCGTGGGAACACAGTAAGTGATTTGACATTGAGGGGAGCCCACTCCCTCCAGAAAGTACCCTCTCTCCCGCCGACCTAAAATCCCCCCTGCGTCACCCTCCGATGCGGAGATTGCAGTAGCACCGGCAACCAAATCCCCCACGGCGGCCGGACATGCTGAAGTGTATTCCCCTGTGGCGTTGCAACCGCCACGTCGAGTCGGTAGACAAACGGCATTGCAGCTTGCAGACGGTCCCCGATGAGGTGTACCGCTACAGTCGCACCCTGGAGGAGCTTCTCCTCGATGCCAACCAACTCAAAGAGCTACCAAAGGTACGCAGGGGTCACCATCCAAGGATGACTTTCATACGTCATCAACTGTCTGTTCATCTCTTGTCTAGTTGTTTGAGATTTGCCATGTTCACCTTGCACATTTCCACACTATCCTTGCATGTCATCAACCTATCTGAAAATGTCTCTTCCTAAGCATGAGTGTTGAGAGTGCATGATATCACCTGTTCAGGTACTTCCTCCACAGCTACCCTTCCTTGTTTCAATCAAAATGGGTTTGGCCATTTTGTCCCGCAGTACTGAAACAGCCTGATATAATGATGTCAACCTCAGTCTTATTCAGCGCACACAGTACACATACACATATTTTAAATCAGCATCCAACCAAAAGTTACAAAATAAGGCAAAGCTGATCCTTGCTGAAGCCTCACGTGAAAGGTTTTTTTAGTCCTGGCCTGGGTGGATCTGCTGCATGTTCAGAGGAACTTACCCTGACCAAAACAGCTGGCACACAACATATTGCCTGTAGTAATAGCAATAGTGGCCAGCTGGATTGGGTGTTGTGTAAGCAGGCATGCGTGGAATGAATTGCAACGCCGTCCCCACCCACACTCCTACTATTTGAAACATGACAAAAGTCCCAAAGAGTTTATTTTTACGCGGCGCAGAGCTGTTGCTGGTCTGTTTTCCCTCAAAGTCTCCAGAGCTTTTAGACAAAGTACTTTCCGGCCGGACTTTCCTAATTTTATTCACTTCAACATGGCATTGTTCATTATTAAGACAAGGCACTGGCTGTGGTTAGGATGGAGAAAGGGAGCTTGTATGAAAAGACTGGTTAGAAGGCACACTGTCAGCTGCTTGCGTTTGGTGGTTTTTGCCTATAGTGAAAGGAACAAGTGGAACACTCACTGATGGAGATCGTTAACGAGTCGAGGTCAACAGAGGCTGGAGTGTTGACACAGGGCCGCCTGTTACCTTCTGGGAATCACAAATAATAGAAGTTTCTTGTTGATGTGGCAGCAGTGGATGCATTCGTGTGCTGAAATACAGTCCCTCTAATCGCTTAGACATGTGTTAGCTTTCACACACAAGAGTTTTTGTTTCACTCCCCTTTGAGTAAGTTTGATAAATGATTGCCTTGTCTATAAATATTCTGGGGAACACAGTTTTCCTTTAGACTCTTTGCCTAAATGGACAAAAAGCTACTGTGAAAGACAAGAATACAGTTGATGACAATACCTAGAAATAGTCTAAAAAGAAGGATTAAGTAATGGTAAAGACCCCAGATTATCCACGAGAGGTGGGCCATATTGACAAAAAATAAACAGATATTTTGGGGATTTTGCTTATAACAATAAACAATATCTTGCATCCCTGTTGTTGGTGTATTAGTTGGAGAAAATGACATAATTAGGTATATTAATCTGAGTTTTTCATGTACCAGAGTTTTGCTGCGTTCGAGTTACCTCAGAAGTCAGCTGTCCAAGCTGGGAATGACGTCACACCCGAGTTACCAGCGTTTCAGTTACCAAGTCGGAAGAAGGCAAAATCAGAGGTGGAAGCAAGACCGCTACATCTATGAAACTTATTTTACCACTTGCCTTGTCCGAATATATCAAGGATGAGGCAAGCGCTAAAATAACTTTCGTAGATGTAGCCATCTTGTTTCTGCCTCAAATTTAGCTTTTTTCCGACTTGGTACTTGTAACTTCGGTGTGACGTCACTCCCAGCTCGGACTTCTGACTTCTGAGGTAACTGAGTAACACATCTCTTTTGGATGTGAAACCACCTCCATGAGAGCAAGGTTGAGCCACATAAAGTTATCAAATACGACAATCTTGATACTGTTGTTTTAAGTCTTGCTCTCTTTCACTTGTTCTTAGGACAGGAATCCTTAAGTTTTATGAGGTTCACTAGTTTATTTAAGGTGTTATCTGCGGCGGGCTCACCCTCTTTAGAACAAACAGGTTCTGTAATTAAAACAAAAAAACCCTGCTTCACAGAGAATAACGGCAGCCAGATGTTGTTCAGCTGACTCATGACAGAAAGATGAGTCAACAGTCAGTTTTCTCTTCAAATGTTCTCTTGTAGTTATGTTTGAAAAACAGATGCTGCAAGACGAAGCTGGCATTCGTTCGCTGTAAGTATTTAGCAAAGTGCAAAGAACAGTTTTCTTAAAAGTTTTGGGACTAAATCGTCTTGATTGTAATCAAAACAGAGTTGTACCACACCTAACGACCCTCGGATACCGACAGATGTTGCATTCCCTCCACTTAGCTTCATACCTGTCAGATGTCCACAGTGTACCTGGTGTACAACCCTTGAAACACTGAGTGACAGATACGCCAAACCACTCCGCTGCAGACAGCTAACCGCCAGCCTCGCTGTGTGGTGCAGCCCTTCAACCAGGAGACATAAATGCATGGTGACAGAATGTCTCGTGTGGTCGCAGTGACTGCGTAGCGTGCAGACACAAAGCATATGGGCCCTCTCCCGGGTCCTCCAAGTCAGCGGGGCTTCTGCGAGGGAGCATGGGGGTCAGACCTGTGCAGGGTTAGAAACAAGGGCACTGTCTATATGTTGTAGGCATTACCATAATGCGCTCATAACTGCATTAGTCTGAATGCTCTAATGTTTTTTGTGCACCTCCCTTCTCTTCCCTGTTGTGCTTCCTCTCTTTAAGCCAAAGATGAGTGCGTGGAGTTACTCTGTCAGCTATTTTTAGATGTCAATCTAACATTCAGGGTCAGTTGTACTCGCTGGTTTATTTCTGTGTGTTTGTGAATGACAGTCACATTCAGTGTGCGGCAAATGCGGCTCCGCTGTTGTGTACAATGTATGCCATAGATGGAGAACGGTCAGCTCAGGGGTGATGCATTCATAAACTGTTATTTGCAAATATGATGATCAAAACAACCATCTTATTTCAGATCAGTGATGAACAATACAGCATTCAGAGTGTGTGCGATGGTATTTACGTGGAGCTCCTAGGTGTTGACAGGTCTGGATGGTGTTTGTAGGGGTTTAACATAGTGAACAGATGGAGACTTAGCTGCCTTTTAAAGTTTCTGCGACTCACCCCCACTACACGGCCCACCGATCTTAGATTATTCTTTCTGCAGTAATGATGTCTCCATTTGCCACATCAAGAACAATGTCTGTTTGTGCAAAAAAGAAACAGACTGATTGTTTGTTTTTCTCATATGTAAGGTAAGCGTGTATCCAGGTGGTGATTATACTGCATGATAAGGCAGCACAAAGAATGACTTATCTGGATAAACTCTGTTTAGAGCCTGTCAAGGAGCAGCTGGTCAGGAATTCCCCTCGTGCACACATCTTTAGCTGTTAACGCCGTACTGTAGCTCTGTTTCACCCAAGCAAAAAAAAAAAAAAAGTAATCAAAGAGAGTCTGTAATGGGTGATTTGTTTTTATTTGCCTGTGACTTTTCATTAAGTTTAACTAGATGCATTGATAATGAAAACTGCAGAGTGGAAAAGGGGAAAGAATTAATCATGCTTTGAGTTTTAGTACATCTAAATGTGCTGATCTCTGTTTGAGCACGGCTCTCCTCCGATCACAGCAAAGATTGTGAAACTTCTTCAATTCTGCAATACCTGTGAGACGTATCCATTAATTTTACAGTTAATTGTGTTATATCAATTGTTTTACAGTGGCTGTTTTAAAAACCCAGTTAACATAGCCACATGATCAACATGTTTGTCTCCTTTTCAGCTGTGTGTTCATCTGTCCTCTGTGAAAGCTACTACACTGCTAAGTCCTGTTAGTTTATGCCTGTTACCTATTATCTATTTTTTATCAGTCCTGCCCTGTGGACTGTCGATAGGCAGCTCGACAACACTGCACAATGACTGATGCCCATAAAATAACAATATTGGCAAGAAAATTAAAATAAATATTGACACAGAGAACTCTCTCTGCAGATAAGAATGATTATCTTCAGGAAATCATCCATCACTACGAGTTAATGTAAGACATGTGTTGGTCCTCTTTCTCCTGACCAACAGTATGGGCAGGTTGTAAATCAAAATGAAATAATTAACTATATAGGGTGCCTCGGAGTTAAATATTTGTTTCTCTGTTATCAAAACACAAACCAGTATCATTTGAATTTTACTGGTTTTGTAAAGAAAATCCAAATTCTGAGAGTTTTCAGTCAAGTCGTCTGCTTTACATCCTGCTGCTTAATAAAAAAATAGCCCTGTCTTAAAGCTCATATTGAGGGAATTATCTTTTTAGCCTTCTCAAGTCCCATGACAGGTTACAAAGACATCCATTCACAACTCTGATTGGCCCCCCTCCTTCTCATCATATCCGATATCATGGCTCTTTGTGTGCACTGCACTGCCCTGACAAAGCGTACATTAAGCCTACAAGCATATCCTAAACCCAAACCCTCAGTTTTAAGATTTATTGCAGGTCAGCTCCGCCTGCTGAAAAGTACAAAAGAGGTCACTTATTGGTAGGAAGTGGGCTGCAGGTGCAGTAAGCAGCACCCTAAACCCAGCTGTAACACAGACATGACCCGGTAAACGTACTCATTTGCCATTGCTGAAGTAGGGAACAAATCCCTGAAGGGTGTGTCCTCATCGGACTTTGCAAAACAGGTTTTCTGCATGTCTCTCCCAGTATTATTACCTCATGAAACCTTCCAGGCACACTTGATATGTTACAGTAGGATTTCCTGCCTCAACACTCCCCACAAACAGAGCTGTGAATACTGTATCATCCAACTGGAAATCGACTGTATCACTACAATCAGCAGCTTCCTCTTTTAACCAAAAATTACACTCCTAGCTGTCTCATCTCTCTCCAGAGTGAAAAAAAAAACATGTTTTCATTTTGTTGTTTGAAGAGAGAGGGAAGTACATGTACATGCAAATTAGCAAAGATGACTGTGCAATCCTTTTAATCCACAGATGTCAACAGCGCCCTCCATGTGTGCTTACAGATCTTTGACTAAAGGGCAGATCAGGGCTTCTTCATCCAGCCATGAAAATGCCCCTCAGCCCTACGATTCGTTTTAACCCTTCCCCCTCTTAATACAGGCCAGTGCATCTCAGTCTCGGCTCCTCCGGGATCCTTTTCTGCCATTTGGGTCTCCTTTCAAGCACATAAATGCGCTGATAAAAATCTGACTGCCTTTCTCTCTCCAGTCCCTTGTGTGTGCGCTCAGCCTTGGGTCAAGAGAAACCCAAATTAGGCCCCTTCAGTCAGCTCGTGCTTAATGTGGATTCGTCTGCCATTGTTGAGCCAAGTCTGAACAGTCAAGTGTGTCTTTGTTTTTTGAGATTTCATTACCCCAAGGAAAATTGAAAAAAGGCACAGTCTAATTGAGAGTAATTGATGCTCCACCCATGTGCTGTATAATTCCTTTAAATGGCTTGATAGAAATGCAGCCCAGAAAGGGTTTAATGTCAAAAGTTTGCTGCACACCGAGGGAAGTTTGCTTTAAAAAAATCTAGGACACTCACTGTGTACTGTTTAGTCCTGCAGTCTATCTCCCCTCCCTAAGTAAAGCATACATGAGGACGGTTGCTTTCTAAAGCCTGAATTAATAGAAAATAACACAAAAACAGCATATTAGCTGTTAAAACTGAACAACTAGAAGGTTTGATGCCAGCAACATAACTCAAAACAGTTGAAACAGGGACAGTAAAACACTGAAGTTTTAATGCAAAGATAAAACACTTGGAAGTACTTATACCAGTCTGCGATAGACTGTCGGGGGGGAAATACATTTTGACAACAATGCGATCTAATATGAAAAAACAGACATGACTCTGAGGTGGAGGTCACCGCACAGACTCAAAATCACACCCTAAAGTCATGTCTTTGAACACAGTTGGTTGCTGCGTCCATTGTTATCGGCTAGAACTTATGAAACGATTCATAAACATGATCTGGACAGTCTGCTAACTTTTCTGAGCCTGTCTTTTAAAGATAGACCAAATATAGATAGACTATGAGATTTCATTACCTCAAGGAAAATTGAAAAAAGGCACAGTCTAATTGAGAGTAATTGATGCTCCACCCATGTGCTGTATAATTCCTTTAATTGGTTTGATAGAAATGCAGCTTGGATAGGGTTTAATGTCAAAAGTTTGCTTCTCACTGAGGGAAGTTTGCTTTAAAAATCTAGGACACTCACACTGTGTACTGTTGAGTCCTGCAGTCTATCTCCCCTGCCTAAGTTTCCAGTTAACACTACAGGAGAGCCCTGGTTTGTTTCTCCCTCGTGTCTGGCTGATATAGGCTAGGACCTAAGATAAATTACACCTGCCATTGGCTTCTCTGCAGTAAAACCACATCATTCTTCAGGTTCAGCTCTTTGTCTTTCTTTTCCTTCCTGCTTAGGGAAAGCATTTTAAAGCCCGAGGCTCCTTCGCTAACAAAGTGATAATGAATCTAAAGTAGGATTTGGCATGTGAATGTTTTGTTTTCTCACACTAGACTACAAGATTTCCTCAATCTGTGGTTGTAATTGGCCCTTCCCCCCACCCAGATAAGTCGATGACTACATCCAAAAAGAAGAAAAAAACAGAAGTAGAGATTTCTTAGAAACTTAGTAATCAGGCAAACACCCCAAGACTGAGTCAGGCTGTGACACAGTGCCTAAAAAGAGAAAGAAGAGGCCACGAAGAAACAGCAATGTGAGAGATCTGGCTTTCTTTTTTGATGCGAGAGCACATTCAGCAGGTTTCTTTGTCTGAGCTGATGACCAGCTGGTCTCACATCCTGCTTGTGCCCCCCCTCCCTTACAATCTGGGGTAAAGGGAGGTGTGTGTGTGAGTGAGAGAGTGAGTATGTGGTGGGGGGTGTATTTTATCCTGGAGATGGATTAACAGGAGAAGAGGGGGGGCTGCGGCACCTACGCTAAAGGAAGGGATCAGGAAGTTGAGCTCTACTGATCCCCGCTCCTCTGGGGCTCTCAATGTTTGGGCGATCCATCCATCCACGAGTCTGGGCTGACGTACAGTGTCAGATGGGAACAGAGACGCTAGAGAAGTGGTCTCAGAGCTAACAGCCAGTCCTCTGGAGACTTGAGCGCGGTGTGGAGAGATCTTCTGCTTTCTCCGTCAAGCTCTGACACTGTCTTTCCCTCCATTACACTTTGAGAAACAACGCAGTCTTACTAAGGAAATTGCAGCAATGGCAAGCGTGCAGCACATGACAAATAGCAGCTGTAAGGCATGCAAGTGGACAATTATTGACTAAAGTCTGAATTAACAGAAAATAATGCAAAAACAGCATATTAAAGGTTAAAACTGAAAACTAGAATGTTTTCTAAAAAAATATTTGCAAAGTTTAAATTTGATGCCAGCAACAAGATCAACAAAACACTGATAAAGTTTTGTAATGCAAAGATAAAAAAGTTGGAAGTACTTAAACCAAGTAGTTAAATTACTTCCCTTCACAATAAACCTAGTAACATGGCTGGGAATAAAAAAATTGCCATCCAAAGAGGCAGACTGTGTTGGAAAGAGAGTAGATTCACCAGTCTGGGATAAACTGTTTGGAGGAACTACATTTTGACAATAATGCAGTCCAGCATGAAATTCAAGATTTTGAGATTTTGTCATCTACAGTCTATAATTTTCTCAAGGTATTCAGAGGGTCTGGACAAATCTGGGGACAAAATAAGGACAAAAGCTGAAAACCAACCCTCAGCTGACACTGCATCAAAAACAGACATGACTCTGAGGTGGAAGTCACCGCACAGACTCAAAATCACACCTTAAAGTCATGTCTGTGAACACAATTAGTTGCTGCGTCCACAACATGATCTGGAAACTTTGCAAACTTTTCTGAGCTTGTCTTTTAAGATAGACTAAAGAGGGTAGAGAACTGTCCTGTCGTCAAATCAAAAATTAGATTCTTTTTTAGAAATCATGGTTACTGCCTTCTCTTCTCTTTGGAGGAGTGGAACCAACCTTCGTATAATCCATGCACACTTTACCACTCTTGGAATTGGAGTTGTAATTTGGCATACTGACCTGTCCCTTAGTGTCAGTGACACCTATGAACAATTTGCTTTTCACTCGTTTAGAACTGTAGTATACAATATCTGTTTGATGCATCACGTTAAAATGCCGAACAGTGGTTGATTTAAGCTCCTCAAGAATAGACATAATTGGACCAAACAAGCTTGGGCAAATTTGTGATAGGACTGTTCAATCCTGAGGGCACAAAATATTAAATAAAAGAACAACACTGCTCTCTAGCTCACAGTCCCTTTCTTGTAATCTTGTGTGCTCCATCCTGTGTGGTCCTGTTGACTTTTGGCACAGTCGCACTTCCTGCTCTGGCCTGGGCCCATCACATGACAAGAGTCTAACAATTCCTGACTTTTCAGCCCGCAGTGTGATTTGGACCTTTTACACTAACCCGTACACTAATACTGCTGTTTCTCACCACTCCTCCATTCACTTTGGCCCTGGTCACCAACCTCAAAGGTAAACAGGGAGGCAAAGCTCCTGTGAATAATTGATGGCTGTGGTGGCGGTGGCAGCTGTTTGCGATAGGGGAGAGTCTGTGGCAGTGCTGCATGCCCCGCTGGAGCTCTGTGATAGGAGGGGAGCTCTGTTGACAACAGGCATTGAGTACACTCGGACAAGATGTGCAAGGTGACGCCATTTTTTTTTGTCCCACTGTATTATCACCCTGTTGGTATCATCCCCTCAGCAACAGCGTGTGTTTAAAAAGCTCCGACGTAAAGGGCAAAGGTCGGTCCTGCTGGGTAGGGAGTGGAACACTTAAATCCTCATTTTGAACACACATAAGCTTAAATGCAAAGGGAAGGAACAAACTTTGTTGTGAGCCAGAATGGAAAAGTTAAATATGATCCACAAGTGACATTCAGGCCGTGCAGGAAAGGCCAGTTATCATTGACAAACAAGTGAAGTTTGGCGCAGGTATATCCGGCTCTGACATTTTCTTCAGGAAGGGATGCCTTTTCTGAACCTTTTGATCACACATGAGCTCAGGATTCACACTCTCACAATCACAAATGGTCCTTTGAGGCTAATCCGGCAGGGTGCGACTGATGTCACCGAGGGGGGGGAAAGGTCGCCCAGGATGGCATTAAAACCAACCACAAACAAACACTGGCCTTTATCTACTGACCACACTCCGTCATTAAAAGCCTCTATCTACCACTCTGAAACCTGATAGCTCTTCCATCTTCCGCCCTGTTTGCTGTCTTCACCCTCAGCTCCCTTATCTCCGTCTAATTCAGTATTTACAGTAAAATATACCAGCTGGGAGGGAAGGAAGGAGACTTGCTTTACCAGTTTGCACAAATGATAAGCTATTTTTAATGTGATTTGGAGTTGAGGTGAGATCGGACATAAAGCAGAGTAATGTGCACAGCAAATTATGTCGAGTACCTGTTCTAGCAAAGTCGGGGAATACCTCAAATCTTTTTCACCACCTGAAGCAGTGCCACGCGGCAGAGCACACACAATGCAAAAGGTTACAAGGAGCCTATGGCGCCTGTGCAACTGCTTTCTCTAACGCGTCACCTTACGACAAAACGTCTAAGAGACTCAAAGACCTCACAGATGCAGCTTATTGGAATGCAAAAGACATGCTACCAAAAGGCACTGTTTAATTTCATTTAACAGTGATATATCATGATGTATATCGATATCTACTAATATGAAAAAAATATATATAGTGATAAACTTTTTCCTATATTGCCCAGCCCTACTACAACCATAAAACAGTAAAGGCTAGGCCTGGTATTAGAGCTGCTTTAGTACGTGCCCACTAAGACCCGGTTTGTTTTATCAATCACTCAGCAAACATCTCGTATCAGACAGGCCTGATTTGTTGACGCCAGGGTTTTACTTGTTGATTCCGTCTTGTTGGGAGCGTCTCATACTTTCAGGAAGGGAGACTAATCAAGTGAGCCCTGGAATGCCCTGTTTTTGTGTGCCATCCCCACACTGGACGCTGTTTTGTCAAGCATTCAGAGAATGTCAAGTCCAGGTAGACAAAATGGATTGAAGAGAAACTGCCTCTTGTTTTATGCTCATTATAGTCCATTCCAGAGCGGTGTTTATGTACTGTTCCCTCCGGTACAAACACGCATTAGCCTGCAGCCTCTCTAACTGATAAGAGTTTATGATAAATGATGTAAAACACCTTGTTTCTCTGTTATCTGACAAGATGTTGCAGCAGCCTGTGGAGGAATGTTAAACCCATGAGCCTCTGAGTCAAGATAAAGGAGTAAGGTAACACACTCATGGCGGCAGCAGTGTGTTAACCACTTTGATGATAGAGTTAGCGCCACTTGAGATCTCTTCACTTCTCTATCCCTCTGCCTGTCATCTACAGCAGCGCCCCAGAGCATTTGCAAACATTTGGTTCCAGTTGGGGAATATTTTTCCCCAAGCCAAGCAATTATGATTAATGATTGTCTCTAAATCATTCTGTGGTGCATTTTCAGAATCACAGAAATGTTGGGTGAAGGGGTTGACTAATATTGGTTTTTAGGGCCGGAATCAATTAGCAATTGTTTGTAGTGCATGAAAATGGTAACTGGTTCTCGCAACCAATTTATGGTTAAAATTAAACATTTTTCAGTCAAAATGTGGAACTGAGATTATAGCAAACTCCAACAAAAGCTCAGCTGAAATGTTATATGATCAAAACAAAAACTCTGACCGTCATGTACAGTAAGGTGCCACAGGCTGGAAGTATTTAGCTGTTACTTGTGTGATGTTTAGCCAGTCAGATTGTGTTGTGGCTGAACTATAATGTACAACAGAGTGTTGATTGAAGCTAGACTCAGAGGTAGGGCTGAAACGATTACTCGAGTAACTCGAGTAACTCGATTAATAAAATTCCTCGAGGCAAATTATATGCCTCGAGGAATCGTTTAAATCCGGAACCATGTGCAGCGCACGGTGTTTGACACGGACGGTTATTTCTGTTGCGCAGAAGCGTGCTCTTTCCGCTCCTTCCGCTGCCGCGCGTTTGGTTCAATCATGGAGGGAAACGAGGACAGACAGAAGCTGTGTCCGAAATGGCATACTGCCTGCTATCTACTTACCTACTCAAGCAGTAGCTACTGCCTACTGACTACTCAAAGATGATTTGAGTATGCCGCGGCTGCCCGAGCGTTTACACACATACATACTAAATACCCCAGAATGCATTTCGTGCCGGCCGGACGCAGCGCCGGGAAAATTTAAATAGTCCTACCACAAGCTACATAGAACGACTGCATACCGGACAAATTATATAAATTCATTCAATAATAATATTTTTTCTAGCGAGAAAGTAAGTGTTTACATCACGATTATGAGCCCAGTTGTTTGAAATAGTGGCTGTTTGTAAATTTGTCTCGGCGTTTTCGGAGACCGAAGCGTCAACTTGGTCGGTGTTTGCGTCTATTTACCGTAAACACCGGGCAGCAGCAGCTCCCCCTTCACGTTTCCAAATTATTGCGAAGTGTTTTCATAATCAACATCTACACGACACAAACCGGGCGGCAGTGGATGAAAAAAATCACACAAACATCCGTGTATCCATGGTGATAATGCTATACACCACCTGCTAGGCGTGTGATAAGCAGCAGAGGGCTGCAAAATGACCAACACACAACAACATGTAAATAAAAATGTAACACTTTTATATATTGAATAAATGTACATTTGCTTGTCAAATTATGTTAGTATCCAAGAATTATATTATTTCAGCCTATTAATTAAACAAGTAAAATTAGATCCAAAGCCTGGAAATAGTTGTGACTGGTTTAGTGAAAACTGCAAAGATCATTACCATAGCAATTAAAAGACCATCTGCAGACCTTGCCTTCAGTAGTTTCATGTGAACTACATGGTAAAATGTAAAACTTTTGGTTCCTGATTTATGCAGTAAAAATATTCATTTGAAAGACCTGGCCTATTTCAGTTTTGTGTGTTACTGATGGTTTTTAATGAGGCAAACGTGATTCAATGCAAAGTATTACAGTGAGAGCAAAATATTTCTTATCCGATTACTCGATTAATCGACAGATTAATCGATAGAGTACTCGATTACTAAAATAATCGATAGCTGCAGCCCTACTCAGAGGGTCAAACACATTCAGCAGTGTGAAAAGAGTTCACTTTTCGGCTAATTAATCTGATAATCGGCCAAAAGGCGGATAATGGCCTCCATAATCAGCCAGGCTGTTATTCTGACCTTTAGTTTTGTGCAGTATTGAGAACTTCTTTGTCTTTGGCACGGGTATTGACGAGGAGCCCATGACGGTATGGATTTCAAGTAACAATTTTTGTTCAATTAAAGCTGAAACTGCAGTTTGCTGTGAACCAAGACATTGTACATGGATTCTTGAGTGCACAAGCCGAGGAAGATCGAAGTTTGTTGGATGTACTGTCCACTATAGTTTACTTTTGGTCCATGCTTGTTACATCTGAATCTTAACCCTGTAATGCTCCTCTAGTAAAGCACATGTGTTGCCCATACTTGAAGAATGGCTGCTGGGAAAGGGTGAGCCCAGATGTATGCAACATGTACGTCGATGGAGGTCGCTGTGCTCAAAAGGGTCTGAGCAAACTAGGTATAAGGGGTAGAAATAATGATAAATGACCTTAAGATCTGATATTTCTATATTTATATGTACTGACAGCCCCACTGTGTCTACACTTTGAAGATTTTACTATTTTTAAAACTGCAAATGTAAAATATGTCAGCCTCCACAACTGAAAACAGAACATCAGAGAGTTGGATTGAAAAATGTTAACAAAGCGATTTATGTGCAGACATCTCTAATCACATGCTTATGTTTTAAACTATTTTATTGAAATCAGACACAATATTCAACTTCTGACTGACAGGATACAATTTCACCTCATTCCCAGGGCTCAGTTGTTTGTTTCTCGATCATTGAAGTTATCTCTCAGGCAACAATCATTAGAAACTTATCTAAATTGCTGTGTTGACTACTTCTCCTTCATATCGATCACGCTATTGATTGAGTCTCTGATAGCCAGTGAATCACTGAAGGACAACTGGCTGTTATAGGAACCATTCTTCCTCTTAAGGTGTGCCAGGAAACTGCCATGTTTTATTAATCATAATGTCTTTTTTGCTGCTCATGCTTGATTCTGCAAGGTGTATCTTGTGCGGCGGAGCCTTTGCTGATCAGTGTTTTATGGCTGTGTTCAAATCCACAGTCTGCGGATTAATCAGTGGATGAAATTTGATGTCTAAGGGGGCCTCTTCATTTAGATTTTATGAGGATTTCCGCTCTATAAATGCACAAAGGGGCTTAAACTGATTGTATGTTTGGGTGTTTTATAGTTCGTACATTTTCAGCGCCCTCCTCACTCTTGTGCTGCTGTAGAAAGAGTAAAATATGAACCCACTTTTTGGTGTGTTCATATCTCACTGTGATGTAAGAGTGGTTTGATGCAGAAAAGAAAATCTTATTCTGGTTCTTGTATAATTTAAAGCATCATATCTCGTGTTACTGCTTGATGCAAAGTCAGATTTCTATCAGTTTAAGATAAAAAAAAAAGGAAACCCAGCTGCATCTCTCTTAGGCCTGAACGATATATCGTTTGACTATCGTCATCGCGATGTACGTGTGTGCGATAGTCACATCGCAGAGCCTGCGATATTGGAGGTGAATGAACTCATTTAATTTCAAGGGTAACCGACTGAGATACACTCCATGTGACTCAGCATGTGCTGTGCAGCGATCCACCAATCGCCTTCGTCCTTAACTCAGTTGCCAATCAGACTCACTTCCCAGTTGCCAATCAGACTACCCTGCCAGCTGTCAATCAAAATCAGGGAGGAGAAAACCCACCCCTGCACATGTTCTGCACATGGAGGGAGACGTGTGTCCGCTGAGAATTACTTTCGGAACTTTACTCATGACTATTAAGCCCAACAAATAAGAACTGTATGGGTTTTAAATTGTACATTTCCGTGGACCACTCTACTATAAGCAGTGCGCGTTTTGTGAGGTGCATGCAATTCTCGGAGGACATGCGTTTCTCGGCACAACACCGCTAACAACAACAACAACGATCGCAAAATGAACAACGAACGAGCGAAAGCCACCGAAATGAAGATTTGTTGCCAAAAAGAAAAGGAAAGTCAGTTATCTGTAATTATTTCGGTTAAAAGAAGGATAATGTCGACCAAAACACGTCTTCTGTGTTCACCTGTTGCCACAATAACGTCCCAGCACAATAAAAGCTAAAAATATCTCTGAGACAGACAGAGGCCGTTCTACTAACATTCACAAAAAGAGGTAAGATCAGAGCAGATTAACTGTCCTCAAGATTTCAGGAGTGCAGCATAACATTAAGTGCTATTCAGGTCATCTGGTGAAAATACTGTATTTTTAATATCGCAATATATATCGCAGGGTTGAAAAAATCGCAATATTATTTTTTTCCAATATCGTGCAGCCTTAATCTCTCTCATGATCTCAGAAATATGTTTCCCCTGAAGCAACACAGCTGCACGAAAGTTAAGTAAAGACGCTGGTGCTGCCTTTAAAGCATTTCTGCAGGGCTGCATATTTCTGTTTTTGAGTCATATATGGGTCAGGGCCACCTGCGAGGAGAAGTTCCGGTTTTGGACCCTATCTTTCTTTGGAAACTTAGTGACCTAGGGTCATGCTTGGTTTAGTTGGTCATTGAGCAAAGACAATATCGCATAGGTTGGATGTGTGGGTTGTGAGACACGACCAGTTGGAGGTTCTTAATGGAGGTGCTGATGGGTGAATGTCAGTGAGAGCACAACAGATGAGAGAGGTCAGTGGAAAACAGCAGGGGTTCTTTAGAGACAACAGAGCAGCACTCACACGCATGTATGTGTCACGCTCATGTCAGCGAGGAAAAACAAACAAAAGCAGTAACAGGTTTGTAGAAAAGGACACAGCAACAGTTTGTGTTCGCTGTGGCTGCAGCCCCCAACACTCCCCCCCTGACCACAGCTATTCTTCTGTGATTTTGTTATTTTCACGCTTAAAACCCTTTCCTTTGCTTTGTCCTTGTGTTGATGTCTCTGCCTCGAAGTCTGTCCCGTCATACTCCAAACAGAACAGTAGAATCTGATGACTGATTCAGCAAGTGTGGACAGTGAAGGCATTGTTTATACGAAAAGGTCAGTTATTTTAAATCGAGGAATCGCAGCTACTCAATACAACTCTTTGTGTTTACTCTCTTTCCTCTGTTCTCCCACGGGCAGCTTTCTAATAATACATGTTCCATTATTGTTTTGTAAGAGTGAGGAAAAAGTTGCGAAAACATATTCAAGCCTCGAGAGCTTAAATGAGCCTAAGATAGCCCATTTATAGCTTATTATGTTCCTGATTTTACAACTTTCTCAGGAATATTGCGAGGCGTCAGCGTCTCTGTGTCGTTAACTCCTCATCGCTTTGTTTGCACTGCGGCACGTGACATCAGAGGAAACGCAGGCATGCCTGGAATCTCCAGGAGTTTGCCCTGCCTTCACTCCTCTCACTTACTCTCTCTCTCTCACACACACACACACACACGCACACACACTTGAACTTACTCGCTGCGAATTCCTGCTGGTGAAGCCCACACACAGGCACTATACTTAGACAAACACCGAAGCTAGCGCGATGCTTCTGCACATCTTGCTTCGGTTAAATTGTCAAGCCAATCAAGCTTAATTTCAGTTACGCCTTGTTAAATATGAGCCTCCACTCGGTCTAATGGGGTTTTAATTAAGCCAGACCATGAACGACTGGGACTGAAAGCTCAAATGGGAATTCTGGGAAGGGGCTGAGATGAAAGTGTGGAGGAGTAGCTCTTCTTTCTGTATTTTTTTCCCGTTTGTCTGGTCCCAGTGAAGTGATTCCAGCTTTGGCAAACTAATGCAGTTGAAAAGTTGAATTTTCTACGCTCTCAGATTAGAGCCAGATTGTGGAAATGGGCTTAAATAAGCTTAAGGCTTTTGTTTTGGAATTATTTTACAGTCTGATCTGAAAAAGTACAAAAAAAGAGACAATTCTAAGAAGAATTTATGTTTACAGTTACCGTAAATCCTCAAATATAAGGCTTTTGAGGCAGGCTTTTATTCGAGGCAGGCCTTTATATGGAACTCTCTCTGTCTGAGAGGCACAACTTTTAATATTTCAATGGATTCACAAAAGGGTTGCACAGTTTTTGCTTCTGCTAAACCTGCATAAACCAGCACATTTTATTATTCCCCAAACTTTTACAAAAGGTGAGTCAATCTACAAACTGTGCAGCCTAGCAAATAGCATCCCTGTGCACCAGAATTGTCTACTTACGTTTTAAAGAGACTTCATGTGTCCATTTGGAGCAGAATGTCAAGACAGTGATTCAAATGTTATATAAGTACTTAGATTTATACACATCACTGTCATATAGTTATTGTTATGATAATCACAGGTTTAATCAGTCCTGTGCTGCATTGACTTAGCAATAAAATGGTAAGGGGCCAGGCTGCAAATAAGATACTTGTCTATATTTGAGGATTTCAGGTATAAGTAAATCTTAACTCAAAGCTCATTTAGATTTAGATTTAGATTTTTTTTAAACATTCATAGTAAATCAAAAAGTCTTCTAGATTTTCTCGACTCACTGTGAAGTATTTGCTGTAGCAGCGTAAATAGACTTTGCTTTCTCTGAACTTTGTTACGCAACTTTTCACCCACAAGTTGGAAATAGTTCAACTTGAGTGGGCGCATTAAAGGCTCACTTAACCTTTTCTTCAATCTCTTCTACTCCGCAGTATCCAGCAGCTGAAACCAGAGCAGTTGCATGTATAGTTTTCATAAGACAAAGACCGTGCTTTTTAAATAATCATACTTTTTTACACCTTACCTACTCTCTGCAATCTGACACCTCTAGTACCCACATGCTCAGACTTATGAATGTAAACAGGAACCTTTTTATTTTCCTATCATAATCAACTAGCGTTTAATTAGTTAATAGATTTCTGTCACTCATTTCTTCAATCTAATTTCACATGTCTGGTTGGAAAAGGTTGCAGACTGCACGTAGATTGCTCAAACCAGCTGCAGTGTGTGTCACTACAGGTTAGTCTGTGCACAAGGATCCAGTGTGAGTCTGTGAGACTTCTGCTGCAGCTCTTTTCAGCACAGGAACAGCATGGCGAGTAAGGTCAAGGACAAGTCCAGATTGAGCGTGCATGCACCACGTTTAGTTGGACTCTGTCACCGCACACTGCGCCAGACAAAGAACACGGCTCGCTGGCAAAGGTACAACATGTGCTATCTGTGCTCTGAAGAACGGTGCGCTTCTCTTTATGTGCATCATCAGGTTCCCTGGCGGTGTATTTTTAGAACTGCTATCACACACCAGGTTCATGACGTCGGTCATGTGGAGGAGCGGCGTTTCATGCAGCCACGGTGGATCAGTATGTGCTTAGTGTGAGTGTTTTGATGGTTCCTGACGCTGATCTTCTCAGGAGTCATGTGGGAGGGGCGTGCAGACAGCTCTGTAATTATGCAGTCTCCATGACATATTAATGGGATTTGGCATGTGATCTGAAGTAACAACATGCTTGTCTTTTAAAGATAAGTGAATGTGCAACAAGATTCTCTCTGCGCAGTTTATTAAGATTGACAACACAGAGGAAGTTATAAACCACAAAGAGCCAGATTGCATCACAGTTATAGTTCTACTGTTAGTGATGCTCAGATCTGGTCTTTTTTCCTCAGAGCAGATAATGCGCCTGATTCAAGAGAGGCTCGGTTTTCATTTTACTGTCACTAGAGCGTCACTGGGGAGGTTTCCACTTCCTTGTTGCCCTGGCAAAATCAGCCAACAGACTCTTGTCTCCAAGGCGATGGGTCTCCCAGGGCCGGTAGTTTGCCTGATGCGGGGGCGCATCCACCGTGTGTTGTCAGGGAGAGTCACCGTAGGCGCTGGGGCTTCCCTCTCACTGCAGTCTGCTACTGAGAGACGCATGCAGTGGCTCCTCTATATTCCACCTCAGCCAAACATGTAGAGATCAGAGACGTCAAACTTTTTCTCCTGGCTGAGGAGAAGCTTGTGTAGCCAGATGGAAACTGCTCTACTTGAGGTGTAACTTCACTGTAAGTAGAGCAGTTATTTTTCACAGGGCCTGAGGTGCCGCAACAGTGACCAACAGAGAGGAGACTGTGCTGCTATCTGATCACTCTGCAGACTTGCTGCACTTCACTCAGGCTTCTCTGATGATCTGTACTGATAACAGCAGGAAAATCAAAGCTTGAAAGTGAAGTGTAAACTTTCTAATGTGGGAACAGATCAGAGCCTGAAAACAATATTATGCTGTAGAAAGAGTAGGTTAAAAGACGTGTTTTATTCTGTTGCTGTCTGGTGGCAAAAAAGTAGATAATTCAACCCTAATGTTGATCTCTTTTTAATGTATTTACAGTAATATGGAGGGGTTGTGTGGTTAAGATGAGCTGATGCCAGAAAGAACTGACAAATGCTTGTTAGGTTGATTTTTTCAGTGCAAGTTTAGCTGTGGTGTCCACTAGTGTTGGGCGGTATGAACAAGATCTTATATCATGGTATGAGTAATTTCATATCACGGTAACGTTATATCACGGTATGTTTTTTGCCCCAAGCTCTTTTGTATGAGAGGAGCTGCTGCGACTGTAGTTTTTGGTGCAACAGGTGCGCCACACATCTTTTGGCTTTCATAATAGAGCTTGGTGTGTTTCATCTTTAAGTGGTGGAAGAGGTTGTTGGTGTTTCCTCCTCTAGCAACAACAGCCAAACGACACACTTTGCAAAGTGTTGTTTTTTGATCATTGTCGGATTTTCTAAATCTGAAGAATCTCCAGACAACTGATGTCTCGACGAGTTTCTCCTCCTCTTCCTCATTTCGGGTGGGTCGGGTTGCCTCTGTTCGCCCGGTACTGCCACTAATCTCTGCGTCCGCCACGACCACCGCCAGTAAAGCTGTTTCTTCTTCGTGGAAACTATGCCAAGCAGTCTGCTGGACACACTGGTGATTATACGGAGACGCACCCAAACGGATGCGCTTCGGCTTTCCTGTTAGCGAGCGCAGACAAATACACACTGACTCATAGAGACGTTGCAGACATCTGCACTCTCTCTCCGGTATAAAGGGTATAGCAAAATATTTACGGGTACACACTTTTATACCGTCACATGGTATGTACCGTCTTACCACCCAAAACTAATTTACAATAATATAGAGGAGGTGTGTAGTTCAGATGAGCTGACAAAGGTTCAAAATCTTGAGTGTTCAGGAACGTTTGACCATTTTTTCCCTAAATTTTCGTCAGTTTAAAAGCAGATGCGAGGGTCAACATTATTCCTGTCTGGGAAAGCCGGTGAGACTATGGTACTCTCATAGCTGTCGATTCCCAGGTCAGCTTGAAACTGTCAGGGTACATTCCTGAGCGAGCAGTATAAAGACACATCCTTGTGTGCGGCGCACTGCAGCAGAGAGAATGCCAAGACCGTTACTGGAAAAAGATAGAGACTGAGCCACATGATCCTGTGAGGGAGGTCACAACCGGAACACACACAATGCATCAATTGTCCTGAGAGGGCTCATGCACTCCAGAGCAGCACAAGCACGCACAAACACAAACACAAACTTTTCAGGCAGTTTATTCAAGGTGTAATGCTCGACATTTTTTCAGTATGAAGGGATTGTCGTAGCTCCCAGCAGTCAGTTTTCACTTGTTGCAGAGAGGGAATCATCTTGCAGTTGTGTTACGTATGAGATTGTAAGTGATAGTTATAGTGTACCACCTCAGAAAAGCTTCTACCATAATCCATACACATTCTGTGCTCTCTTTTTTCACGCTGAATCAAGCAAATTTCAAGCCAAAGCACTCCTCAGATGCTTAAAGTCACTTACAGCGTTAACAGCTGGTTCATATGCCAGAAAATTGCTTGTATACACAAAGCCGGGGCCTCAGAGCGCCCTGTTCCTGGCTGCCATGTTGGTCCCCTGCAGCACAGCCTCACTGAGGGACAAAAGCAGAGCTGGCAGGCAGGCAGCAGCACATACCGGATCCAGCCCATCCAGGAAAGAGCCAAACGTCCTCTGCAGACCGTAAACAATAGGCCCTCTGGTTTTGTGTCATGTTTGTGGGAACACAGAAAAAAGAACAGGGAGAGCATGTGATGAAGTCAGGGGGAGTGGGTGGAGGTGAGAGGTGGAGGGCCTCTTCTACAGTTTCGGATCTGCCTGTGAACTCATTCATTCCTGTTGTGTGAGAGCATACCCGGGGATTCTCCGGCCATTAGTTCAACTCAACACAAAAGTCTGAATGGATGCAATGTGCACTTTGCCTGATCATTAAAACAGTGAAAACACAACGTGTTCTCGCTGTGGTCATGATCAACAACTCAGTGAGTTTTCCAACACCTGCGTCATTTACATTTCTTTGGAAAGAGGCCTTTAGTTTTAGTGAATTACTACATAAGATTCTATTACATCAAGCTGTCATCTCTATTGCAGAACGCATGTAGTAGTACCCAATGTTATTGTTTCCTGCTTCCTCTAATGTGGAGGTAGGAAGTCGTCAGCAACAGCCGATTGATTGTCTTTCTTAAGTGTTGTGATTGTTTTAGTCAGGTGGTTGTTTGGCTTTGTGAAACCTGAAATAAGGCCGACTAAGAGCCTGTGGAAGAGCGCTGAGAGATCAAGTTCAAGGCTCCCAGTCTGGCTCCTGATTTGAATCTGATTTGGATTGCAAATCTCAGCCGAGACTCTCTCTCTCTCTCTCTCCTGCGCGTTCTGGTTAATTGAGCTGTGTAGACCTCGTCTCCCAGGACCGGTGAGGCAAGCTTTCCTTTTCTCCACTATCACTGTGACAGTTTTAGTTACCAAAGCGGCGATTAGCCCACCAATATGGCGGCAGGGGAGGGATTACTCTTCTATTTTTAAAATGCTGACTGGAAATCGCTTTACTGAACCAAGCAGTCACCAGTCTCTGTTGCAGAAAGCCAGCCAAGAGTGCCACCGTGTTTACCGTTCACAACATCTATCTATCTCAGTTCTAAGTGAACTGCCTCAACTTTTGCTTTAATTCATTTTTTTGTACAGACTTCCCATAAAACCAAAATTTGACGTCAGCTGCTATCTGCCCTAACTATGACCAAAAAGTAGTTCTGTATGTGTCAATGACATTTTACTGTATGACCTTTCCTGGAAAAATGTTGATGACTTTCATGCCACACCTCCATCAGGACCTGAAGGCCACAAGAAGTTATAATTTGTCATTGCTTTGTGTCAGTGTTGTCACATTAGCATTGTTTGGCTGCTGTTAATACCAACCATACCTGCTGCAAGCCCCTCCTGAGACACTTCCATTTTAAGCAAACAAGTTCAGTAAAACTCACTGTAGATGACTCAGAAGGGCTGGGCGATATGGCCTTAAATCAGTATCAAGATATATTGAGCAGTTCACCTTGATAACGATAAATAGACGATAACTACTCCACAAGCTGCTCACCCCCTCCCACATTAACTTAGTCTACTTCAGCCGCTACAACTTATGAACCGTCCTCCATCTCTTCACCTGTCTTTCCCTCTTTGTTACGGACTGGATGGGGTGGAGCCACGTCTCTGACATGAGACCATAGCCTACATACACACATCCAAAACCAACTTTTTTTAATTCATTTTTTTGACACCGAATATATTGACATGGGCAAAATGACGTCAGCTATTGCTATCTTTAAATTTTCGGTTTAGCGCCCAGCCCTGTGATGCAGCTTGTAATTGCGCATTTAATAAAAATGGCTGTATACCGTTAAAAACACAGCTTAGCCCATTTGTACATCACAGCTACGAACACTACTTCCTCAGAGCTATGGCTGGGACAATATGCTTTTCTCCCGATTCGATTCTTCTGTAATTTTCTTGGATGCCGATTCAGTTTAAATTGAGATTCTACGATATTGTCGATCTTCTCGATTTTTAGTCTGCATTTTCAACACCAGAGAAACAGCTGAATGATTATAATTGTCTACTGACTATTCCAGGAACCATATTTCCCGTCAGTTTTTAAGATTTATTCTTAAATTTGGAAAAAAAAAAAAAAATTTTGAACAGAAAGAATTGATTTAAAAATAATAAAACAAAAAATTGCGATACCTATGTGAATCGATTTTTTTCTCCCACCCCTGACTACTTCTAAAGGTTTGTACTCTTCATATCGTAGCACAGTCCATTTGCATGTCACAGCAGGACTCTCATGCCATCCGAGTGTTAGAGCCTCTTATCTTCACACAATGCCATGCCCACCTGTTCTCTCTCAATCTTCCTCTTTCGGCTCCTCTAGAGTCCCATCAACAGACACAACTGCGATATAGGCTTTCTATTTATTTTACATAGTGCTGCTTGGTATGGTATATACAGCTGTCAAACAGGAATCTGTAAACTGAACATACCAGGCTGCACATTCAAGATCAGCTGAAACATAATAGTGCTATATTGGCATCTCAGTGGGAAAGCCCTTGTTGTCACTGTGGTCGTGTATTAATCAAGTTGACGTTGGAAAAACTTTGTAAGCACTCCTCCAAGCTTAGAGGGAACACTGTCTGTCTGCAATGTAATTTTAGCAGCAAGTTTTGAGTGTTTATTGTCGGTGTTATTGTCATGGTTGCATTCTGTTTGGCCTGCATGAAAAGTTCCCGGTTTCCTTAAGTAGATTTCCTCACTCGAGATACATCAGGGCTTCCCTCCCTGTGTTTACCCAGAGAACGGTGGCTGGAAGCTTTCCTGCATATACAAATTCCCTCACATACACGCGATCATAAACACGCATACATAAACTGTGTACATGTACATCCCCCGCACTCAAAGCCCTTCAGCTAGGACCATCCATCCTCTCCTCACAGGCTCTGCAAAGAAAACATGGCAGCGCAGTAAAAGGACAGGATGTCCAGAGGGCAGAAAGAAGAAGACAGATTTATACCAGCATGTCTATAGTGGATGGTTGCCTTAGGTGGTACAAGAGAATATTAGTCAAGGATAAAGATTTAAGGCTATGTCCCTGCACTATGTTATGTAAGGTAGTGAGAGCTTTAAGAATTAAAAATGCTTCCTTTCCTCCTGGCTTTAGTTTTTACACACCTGGGACTGACGCCTTCTTCTTCGCCTTCTTCTGATGTCAGGTGAATTTATTGTAGCAGTAAAGTGGTGCGAGCAAAGACTGTGAAGTTGGGAAGAGTCAATGTTGGAAAAATGTCAGTCGTCTGTGTCAATCCAAAGTGAAGATTGAAAGAGCTAAAAAGATAAAACAAAGTGGTTTTATGCCTGAAACCAGGTCCTTAAGTCACAGAGTTTGTCCTGCTACGAGTAACCTACAAAATACGTCTTTTTAAAACTGTTATTTTCAGATATGATCTACTTATCCAGGAAATCTCAACCACAAAAATAGTCATGCATTTTTTCTTACATTGCTAATTTTCCTTTTACCGACAAGGGCAGGGTTGTTACTAAAAACAGTGTTTTTGGGGGTTCAACCACAGCTTTTATCTTCCCTCGATCTCTCATTGTCAGCGTGGACTTGGCTTGTTAAAGTGACGTGGTGGATTCAGAGAGGGCCGGGCCTCTCTTTAAGCTGTGTTTGCTCTCTGCACAGATCAAAGCCAACAGGACAGGTGTCAGTAGATGGGAGTTAGCTTTTGTGTCAGTCATCCTGGATTTACCACGCCCTTCCCTCTGTGTGGCCTGTTGAGTGATGGCGCTGGAAGGAAAAGGGTAGCCGTGGCTGAAAGTGCCACTTAAGTGAAGCACAAACAGTCAAACACGCATATGCGTTTGGTTTCATAATAGCAAAAAAAACAAAGGAAATACACACCTACATACCTTTTTTCTTCAGTCAGTGAGCATGTTTGGAGTTAATTGAATCAACACACATGATGAAACACTGTATATAAAGTGCAGCTGTGTAGTGCTGGTGTGTTTGTGAGTGGGGTTGTGCTTCTTCACAAATACACCTGAGCTGCAGCGACAAAAGGAGAGTGAGTGGGAGAGGGCAGGGGGAGTGGAGTGTAGGTTTATGGTTGTATTGTTGGGTCTTCTGTGTTTGCAGTGTTTTGTACTCCACACTGACTATATGTAGGTCAAGCTAAACCACATTTAGAGCGCTCTGATTTTTTTGATCCAGAAAACTCTACAGAATCAACTGTACTGCGGCTGAACTCAACTACACGAATTTAGTACAAGAAAAAAACAAAAGAAAGTGTGTAAAAGCACCAGGGTAAGATGACAGAAAAATAAACAACTTTTTGATGTCTGATGAATTAGGGATGGATGATAACTCAAAAATTTACCCATACCGAAATTTATGACAATATCAACGTCATTTTGCCCATGTCTATTAGGGGTGCCAAAAAATCGATTCACACAAGAATTGTGATTCTGGACATGACACACGTAGTGTGCCGACATTGTAAAACTAGAATCAAGCATTCCGGCAAAACAACAAATGTGCGTGCTGACAATATGAGGCATCACCAGGAGATGAGAGACACAGAGCAGACTCAGCCGCCAGCTGCAGACCAACTTCATGAAGCTCTCCGCCAGCTCCGAGCGGGCAAAAAAAGACCCCAGCCTATCGCCTATTGCTTGTTAAAAAATCCATCTAAGCATTGATAAATGTTTAAAGCTTAATAAATGTAAAAAAAGACACTTTAATGTCATCATTTGTCAGTCTGTCTTGCACAGCAGACAGGAGTAGATCATGATCAGAAATCATTCTGAATAAAATCATTTTGAATCGAAAATCGATTTTAAATCAGATCGAATCATGAGACAGTAAAAGATTCCCACCCCTAGTCTATATATTCTTTGTCAAAAAAATAAATAAATAAAAGTTGGTTTTGGATGTGTGTAGGTAGGCTATGGTCTCATGTCCCTTTAAGACACTGTCCTACATCAGAGACGTGACTCCACCCGATCCAGTCTGTCACAAAGAGGGAAAGACAGATGAGGAGATGGAGGACGGTTCAAAAGTTATAGCAACTGAAGTAGACGAAGTTAATGGGAGGGGGTGAGCAGCTTGTGGAGTTGTTAATGTCCATTTATCGTTATTGAGGTGAACTGATCAATATATGGTGATATTGATTTGAGGCCATATCGCCCAGCCCTATGATAAAATACTCTTCAACAGAACTGGCATTGTATAGATAAGCTTAGTTGAACTTAATGGGGGAACTTAAAGGACAAAAAGGTGAGGAACCACTGAAAGAGAGATATCAATGTCAATTCAGTCAGTTTCATAACCAGCTAAAAACTCCTCACAAAGTTTTTTAAGTCTTGAAATAAAACAATCTGACGCTGTCCTCAAAGATAAACCGGGGAAAACAAAGACTTGGAGGGTGAAACTACATGGTCGGTTGAGATGATTTGTTGGTCAGTGGCTGAAGTCTCTGTCCCCATTAGAGCTCTGTGGGAATCCATTGTTGGCCCTCCACTCTTCATTAATAATCCACCATCACTCCCTTTCTCCTCTCTCTACGCCGTGCACAATCTTCCTTTTCTCTATCCTTCTTAGTGAGTCCTGCCTTTTGTGATCCTTGGCCACATTCCTCTTTCAAGTCCTTCCACTCCTAGCCCTCTCTCTATCTCTCTCTCTCTCTCTCTCTCTCCCTCTTCTTGGCTGTGCCCTCTCGGACAATGGAGGAATCCCTTGGCTGAGCTGCGGGGAGAGGGGGCCTGTGACTGACAGCCCTGCTGTGTGGGGCTGCTCGCTCGGCCTTTGTCCCTCTGCCAAGGAAAATGGAGGGAACCCAGAGAGGTGGAGTAGGGGAGAGAGCAGGAGGAAGGAGGAGGGGAAGAGGACCAGTATCATTCATGTGCAGAAAGTTTAAGGAACTTTGAGTTGCAAAAAGTTCACAGCAGGAGAAAGGGAAAGTAACGTAATCCTCACATTTACTGATTGTACTTTGTGAAGTTTAGCATGATTCTTAAAGAGGGACTGTTTTGTGCTTGTGGCCACTCATACGTTTAGTTTATGCCACAACAATGACTGCAGCTATCTATAGAAACGAGGGTGCAGTAATGAGCCTCACTATTTGAGTGACCGAGCAAGTTACTCAGTCAACCAAATCCCCCGTTTTTTTTTTTTTTTATTCCCCCGGCTACCGAGAGTCCAGGCCAGCACAAAAGCATGCCCTCCCTTCTTCCATCTCCTCCCTTCTCTTTGAGCCCCTCACCCCAGTTGTGTGTTCTCAGTGTGTGTAGATTGTGCGCATTGTGAGGGACTTGATATCGGAAAGAGTGGGGACATGCGGACCAGGCCAACTGGGCAGATTTTGCATGAGATTAAGCGGCTCAGGAATGTGTGAATAGAAATTCCACTCAGAAGAAAGGAAGTGTGTTAGAGTAAAACAAAAATGTGTGTTACAGGAAGAATAGAGGAGAGCTTTGGCAGTGTGTTAGACTTCCGCTTTGTCGCAAACTTGGAGATATGTGTCCATGATTTTTTAGTCATGCTGAGACCTGCTTTTGGATTTGTTTTTGTTTCACTAAATTCCCAGAAATCTTCTATTTCCTCCTGCAGAAGATCACCGGCTTTAAGAAAAAAAGAAAACAATGAAACTTTCTTGGGTTAATGATTGAGGGCAAACATGAAGTGGAGTGTCTGGGATTTCTCTACGGTCTCCTGCACACTAAATGGTCTCTGTAAGAGGGCTCCGGTTAGGTGTGTGTGTGGAGGAGTCTGCTCTCTCTGTAGTCTGATGGCATGATTGAAGGGAAACTGTAACCTAAATGGAGTCACTTGACTGGAACACTGCAGCCTCTGTGAACATCAGGGCTTGGCTCGCTGAGTTACAGTGGAGTGTATATACAGAGGACATACAGTTTACCCACATGTGTCACAAACACACACACACACCTAGCTTCTCCGATATCACTCGTTATGTTTTAATTAGCTTCTCTGGAGTGATGTGAGGTCCGCAAACATTAACGTTCCACCCCATGTGAATTTGCAGTCTCTTCCAGCGCGCATTAACACACTCATAAACACTCTTAAACAAACACCCACGGCTGCTAATACACATGAACACACAAATATGCACGTTAAAGTGCTGCTCTATGCCCCACTGACACACACATGCTGAGTCTTACCGCTGCAGCCAGAGTTCTTGGCAACCCGAGGCAAAAAAAAAAACACCAAGACTGTGTAAACAGCGTAGACCTACAGCACAGGATCCTCTCTCCTGTGACTCAAGGACGTCTGCAAAATGCTAAAGCGTGCATGCTCACATCCTGAGGCGCACTTACACACTCCTTGAGAGGAATGTACACTAAGCAGGGTGACGCAGATAAGACCGAGTAGAACATTTTACGACGCTCTTGCACACACACAGGGCTCTCACAGGGATGACGAGGCTTCATTCACTGTATAATTATAACAGAGAGGAGCTCAAATAAGTACCCGCCGCACCGCTGAACTCATTTCACACCAGCTTGAGTTGGCCATATTGTGGATGTTAGATAGACCTGATCCTCCTGTGTGTCAAACCTTATCACAGTTCAACAGAATCCGTGAGCTGTGTTAGTTCCTAAAGCTGTTTCAAGCACCACTAATGAAATCTTAAGCGACTTTGGACTCCTGACTTTAAAGCAGTTTAGCCGAGAACATGCAGATCTGACTCCGTTTTCTTTTACTTAAGTGATCTCATGCAGTTTGGCCACTTTAAAGCTGTTGAACGTATAGATTAGGGCTGGGTGATATGGCCTCAAATCAATATCACGATATATTGAGCAGTTCACCTCGATAAAGAATGATAACTTCTCCACAAGCTGCTCACCCCCTCCCATATTAACTTCGTCTACTTCAGCCACTTCAACTTTTGAACCATCCTACATCTCCCCACCTGTCTTTCCCTCTTTGTTACAGACTGGATGAGGTGGAGTCACGTCTCTGACGTAGGACAGCGTCTTAAAGGGACATGAGACCATAGCCTACCTACACACATCCAAAACCAACTTTTATTTATTTATTTATTTTTAACACCAAATATATGGATATGGGGTAAATGATGTTGGTTATTGTCGTAAATTTCAGTATCGTTAAATTTTCAATTCATCACCCAGCCCTAGTATAGATGATGTAATTTCTCTGATTGTAGACATTGTTTTTGTCTCCTTATAGGCAAACTAACACTTACTGGCAAGCCATCGAAGCTTAGTTAAAAGGTTAGAAAGGTTCATCCATTGATCTTTATCGAGGTGAACTACACAATATATCGAGATATTGATATGAGGCCTTATCGCCCAGCCCTACATGTTTTTTCTGATCGTAGACATTGTTGTTTTCTCCTTAAAGACCAACTAACACACACTAGCAAGCCATGGAAGCTGAGTGAAAAGCAGAAAGGTTGCACTGAAAGTCTCACAAGAAGGAGAATGTTATAGTAAAACCTGGATAAAGGTATTAAAACTTCACATGTAATTGTGGTTTGACATCTTTTCCTACATTTAAACACAATAAATGTCATTCTAGGGCTGGACGATAAACCGAAAATTTACCGATACCAAAATTTATGACAATAACCAACGTCATTTTGCCTAACATATTTGGTGTCAAAAAATAATATATAAAAGTTGGTTTTTCGATGTGTTTAGGTAGGCTATGGTCTCATGTCCCTTTAAGACGCTGTCCTTCTTTAGAGACCGTGACTCCACACCATCCAGTCGATAACAAAGAGATAAAGACAGGTGAGGAGATGGAGGACGGTTCAAAAGTTATAGTGGCTGAAGTAGACGAAGTTAATGTGGAAGGGGGTGAGCAGCTTGTGGAGTAGTTATCATCCATTTATCGTTATCGTGGTGAACTGCTACATAAATCGTGATTTTGAGGCCATATCGCCCAGCCCTGTGTCATTCTGTTATACAGTCATTTAGTATAGCGAGTATAGCAGCTCTAAATCCTCTGGAATAACCCCTCCATTTGTTGGCCTTCGTGAAACTAGTCCCTAATAGTCATTTAATAGTTTGCTAATGGTCCATGTTTTATGCTGTTTTGTGCTGTTAAGACCTCACACTACCGTCTGCTGACACTGCTATCATTTACCCGCCCTCCCGCTCCCCCTCCCTCCTGTCCCACTGTACTTTATCCTCCTGTCTCACAGCTTTACTCCCTTCCCTTAGCAAACAACTCTCACAAGGAGTTCTCATTAAAACATCCCTGTTGTAAAGTAAGAAAGGAAACACGGCACACTATTTTTTCACTTACGTGCCGCCTCGCACTGGCTCAGTCGGCTCTGTAAAGGCCGCCTGAGTGACTGAGCAGACTGCTGCGGCGCACTAATAACACAATAAAGAGACGGTGGCGGTACACTAAATCCCTCTCCTCCCACTTGTTATTCCAATTGACCCATTGACCCGTAGAGCACTGTTTGGTTCCCTATTGTTTAATCAGAGGGTGGGAAACAGCCGGAACATCGGGTCCAGTTTTTCATTGATGGATTTTTCAGTTGTCGGCTGCAGTTGGTTGTCGGTATTTGATCGAAGTAATCAAGAGCGCTGCTTTTTTGTCAGAGAAATTAAAACGATAAACACGTTGAGATCTGAGTACAGCATAGAAAAACACCAGCAGGCCTGTCTGAGAGCAGCAGCCCATCTCTGTGAGTGTTCATGACAACTCGTTCACAGTGCACGATTATATCACCGTCATCCTCTGATTGCTGACAGAGCACGCGGTGATATCAAGAGAGCGGAGGAATGCGCCCATGCAGAAATTTTAATTCGCTGATTGGTTTAGCCTGCGTGGAAGAATGGCTGCTTGTCTATTAGCAGGAATACGGCTTTGCGATGTCTCATGATGGGGAAAAAAAACAGCATTGTTGTAAAGTAAATAAGCAGTTTTGTGTGTTCTTGTACCTGCAGCACTAGTTTTTTTTTTTTTTTTTGAGGTGTGTGCGTTCAGTCCGAGTGTCACCTGTTCAGCCAGCGATGTTGCCTCCCCCACCTGGGAGCCGGTTCCCATATGGGCTTGGCCCGGGTCACATGGTCCCCCACAGCTCCTGTTTCCTGTTCCTGCCATCTGATACCTGTCACCTGCTACTCAGGGAGCCAACACCCTCTTTGTCTGTCTCTCTCCTGTGTTTATGTCATCCCTTCGTTTTGCTGCTATCAGGTGTAGTTGTTTGCATAAACCAACAGTCAGTTTCTGAGAAATCTCTTGGAAAACAGACAAGCTCCGTCTTGCACATCTAGAAAACTCCTGCATTGATTCATAGGAGAGAAGAGAACAAGCTTCTGTTGCCACCGAAGCAGGGAGCACAAATAGCGAATAAGTCGAGAGCAGGAAATGTCTGTCATCCAGAAACAGACGAGTACAGAGCCGAGGCATTCTTTTCTTTGGCAGAATAATTGTAGCACTTTGTGTGTTCGTGTTGTCTCCGATGTGCTTTCACACTTCTGTCAAGCAGAAACCTGACATCGCACATCAAAAGGGAATTTGTGTTATCTGATTTACAACGTGTTTATGCAACAGTCTGCTCACAGGAGTGTTACAGCCCTGCATTTCTCAGATTTGAGACCTGGGACAAAGGAAGGCTTAGGAATTTCTTGGATTCTTCGGTGTGTTATCATCTCAAATTTGACACACAATGCTTGTTTTCAGCGGGGAGCCTCGCTCACAGCCCAAAGTTTAATTTGAATTAAGGTCAAGGCTCCAATTTTGCAGACGTCCGTCCTAAAGTCCCAAGTCGGCAAGTTCCTCATGAGCCTGAGCGGCTGAGAACTGGCTTCAGACAGACAGTGGGTCCTCTGTGGGCTGCAGGACTGGGACTGATTGAGGGGTTAATAGCTGCATAGTTCTGGCGTGTTCCTCTTGCTGCTCCCGGCCAGCCTGTCTTGTCTGTCCATCTTAACAGCAGATGACACACACAGACGCACACAGACTCACACAGCGCGGCTGGCGGAGGAATGTTTCTGAACGCCGTCCCATCTAACAACCAGCCTCTTGTGAAAGCACTTGGCACGGCGACAGCCTCGGCTCTCAACGCCGCACTCCCATCCAAAGCCACTTTGTTTGGTTGGTGTTGCCATGGCGAGGAGGAGTTTTTGGGAATATGATGATTGGAATGTTTTTAAAACTGGCTCTGGAGACGGGCCGCGTCTGAATATACAGGAAGCTTTGTGTGTACACTTTGTAGTTGTGAAGGCGGAGAGAAGTGTGTGAAATATAACAGTCGACTTAGCATATCATGGAGAAGCCTGCAGCTTAGACTGGACGGGTCCTTAACTTTTAATCAACACACTTCTGATTGTACTCTGTGAGGTCTAAACATTGCTGGAAAATCCCAATTAATCGTATATAAATTGATGAGTCAGATGACAGAAAGAGACAACAAGATTATACAAAGACGGATTCATGATTGAAGACATTTTCCAGGAGAAAAGGCTCAAAAATTCTAAGAGTGTAGCTTCCTAGATGTACCAATCTGCTAGTTTTACTCTGAAGTGTTGTTTAACAGGATTGTTCTACTTATAAAACAGTATGATAAGGTCATTTAGAGTTTGAGATTTTGTTCAGTTTATTGATGAACTAATTTAATTGAGGGGAAAAAAAGGCAAGAATGGTTGATTTAGAAAACAAACTCAAAAATATGAGTCCTTCTCATTTATCCAAAACTCCAGTTTTTTAGGACCTAGAAAACTGACAATCCAGACTTTAATCATCCGTGTAAAGTGGATGTTGGTTTGACTTGGATAACTTTATTAATCCCACCAGGGGTGATTGATTTGAGCAGCTTTTATACTGTAACCCTATAGAAACACAAGTGCAAACAACATACATAAAGTAGATACAGAATGGATAAAAGCAAAATGCTGAGGAGTGCAGTGGAATAAAAGATCAATAAAAAATTGATAAATACATAATTACTAAGAATACTGGCCAATAAAATGTACATGATAAAAGGAATAAAATCATAAACAGTTTAAAAGAAGAATAGTAATGAAACGTAGTCAAGTGTAAAAAGCTGCCATTAGCTGACAGGTAAGGACTCATATGTTGTACATTAAAATAAAATGATATGATGGGTGCCAGGCAAAATCAGCTGCTTAATCTATTGTGATCTTTTCACTTCTCCTTGCTGTTAAATGATACCATATCCACAAATTAAGAGAGAAACAAAAAACACTCAGGAAAAAGGAGCAATAAAATCAGAAAGTGGTGCAAAAAAGACTCAAATTGGGAAATTTGTCAAATTCTTCATGTTCAAAGCTATAGTTGAACTCAAACCAATCACACTTGATCATAACTTGTAAGGTATTGTGCTGTTGACATGTCATCCCATCCTCCTCTGCTCTCTGTACATTTTCCTTCTTTTGTCCTCTGCTAATCACATCCCTGCCAACTGCATCTCCCCTCATTCAGCACGTCGTCGCTTGTTGTGTTCTGTCAAAATGAACCGAGAGAGTATTTTAAGTCCTGTCAAATTAACAAAAACATCATTTTGTCTCCGCAGCCTTTCTTCAGACTACTGAACCTCCGGAAGCTCGGCCTGAGCGACAATGAGATCCAGAGACTCCCTCCTGAGGTGGCCAACTTCATGCAGCTGGTGGAGCTGGACATCTCCAGAAATGGTATGTGAGAACACACACACACACTAGTAGTGCAACTAATTAACACACAGTTACTGTAATGATGTGTTTTTAGGATAAGCTTCCACTCGTGTCAAAACCACCCAGTCGCCTCAAAACAACAAGAGGATTAAGAGCTGTAGTGAAATGTCTGTTAAAGTTATGTCTGTTGTGTGGAGTAGACATTTGATGAATATTTGTGCGCCATCTTTGCCAGGTCATTTTTAATAAATCTCTATGCTCTTATAAATTTGCACTAATAGAAGCAAAGAAAGAAATGAAGCAACATAACATGAAGTTCAGGTGGACCTCAATGCGGTTTCTCCAACACCCACACAGATATCTTGTCCTCACTCTGTCCTTGCACCACTCCTCACTCACACACTCTGATAGCGGCAGGAAGAGCCTACATGCTAGATAGAAGACATCTGCTCCGCTCCACACTGCATCGAGTGCTGTGTGAGCAGTGTGCACTGGCCTGTGAGGGCCTGTCCCATCTGTCTGCCTGTCTGCGCGCCCGCTCCCTCTGCTGCAGGACATCGCTGAGCCAGATAAACGTCAAAAGGCTGCTCGGCTCAGCAGGGATTTCTTAACCTGCACCTGCAGCATCCAAGGGGTAGAAAGTTCTTTACCTTGTCAGGCCAAGGGGGGCGGATTTCTACTTCTTTATTCTTTATGGACAACAGACTGAGCAGGCATGAGTTAAGATGAAATCATGTCTTTTTCTATGTTAGGAGAGGAAATACAGGGATGACGTCTGGTCATCTAGCTGCCCTGCAACAAAGAATATTTGAGAAAATATCTTCATTTGAATTTTGCAAACATTTTGTGTTTGTGCTTTACAGTATAATGTAGAAATTTTCTATCTTTGACCAACTTTGACTGAATAAGCATCCCAGCCATCAATGAGGCCACAAAATTACAAAATGCTTCATTTCGACCGATTTATTGGCAAACCGATTGAAACGGCCAATTTTAGCCCATTTGAGACTAATCGGTAATTGGCCAAAACTCGCCAATTTTTGCCGATATTTTCAGAAATAAAATGCGGAGAGTAAGATTCAGTTTTAATTTGAAAATGTTCTGCGTGAAGAGCAGTAGCCTACAGTAAATCACAGTATATAGTAGACTGTAGATATCTACAGTATATATATATATATATATATTTCTTATAACTTTATAAAAAATTTAAAAAATTGGCCAATTAATCAGTATTCAGATTTTTTTCCCCCCTAATAATCTGTATTAGCATCTGCCCCAAAAATCCATACCGGTCGGGCCCTAATTTTTGCATTAAGATATCCTAAAGCGAGTTGATTATCTGCACAGTTCCACATGTTTAAAGCCATTTTCAAACAAAAAAACTGCATGATTTAAGTAACTATAACAGGGAATTAAATTTTTAAGTAGGTCTTTAATGATTTTTTTTATTTGACAAAACACAATCTAATGTAATTCAGTTTGATTACAGCAATAATGATTCCACTAAACGTCAGTATCACTGCTAAATCTCCTAAAACAGCCTTTCCTCCTCTTTGTTTGACTGCCTCGCTGTTTTACATTTTTTCTTGAAATTCCATCATAGTCTGAGAAAAGTTCAGGAGTAACAGCTGAAACCGTTTCAGGGGCAAATCAAGCGCAGTTCTGACTTAAATTGAATCAAGTTGCAGAAACGTGTGTGGTGGTGGCTTCTCAAATTCTACTTAATTCAGAAATTATAAGGTAAAAATAACCCTGCTGTACAGCCCCCCATCTCTTTCATTTGTGCTCTCCAACATCTGGTTGTGATTGCAAAGAACTTGAAATGATCTGCACTATAAAGTATGCCCCCCCCCTCAACACTCAACATCTGTGTGTCCATGGCGCTGACCGTTTCTTACCCCCCATCGGCCGTCTCTTTTCTCCTGCAGACATTCCTGAGATCCCCGAGAGCATTAAGTTCTGCAGAGCTTTGGAGATTGCAGACTTCAGTGGAAACCCTCTATCCAGGTGAGTCCAATCTCATTCAGCATGAAGAGAAGCAGAACATAGAACATCACTTTTGAATACAACATGTTTGATGCTGGTTTGTGACTGCAGTTCTTCCGTTCATAAGGATTGATAATAAAGTTAACTCCACTGATTCTGTGATGTGAATCCTTTGAGGTTTTTTTACATGTCACTGTAAGACTCAACTTTGCAATCTTCCCCAATCAATAGTGTCCGAGCCGCTATTTTACCTTCTAAACTACCTCCTATAAAAGCAGTGACATAACTGCTCGCAGGGACTTTGATGCTCGTTCTTAAATAGATGAAAAAGGCTGATTATTCTTGTTTCTGTGAGTCAAGTGATCCCATGTGTTGGAAAGCCCTAAAAATTCTCTGTCTATTCTTTGTTTTTGTTTTTTTTTTCTGCTCCAGATTGCCGGATGGTTTCACTCAGCTCAGAGCGCTGGCTCACTTAGCGCTGAACAACGTGTCACTGCAAATTCTGCCCAATGACATCGGAAAGTACGTACACATGTGCACATCATCTCTAGTAATGATATAGTCTGAGTTCTTGTCATGTTAGTTTTTGCATCTTTGCTCACATTTGAGTTTTGTCTGTCTTAAAATTGTTAATGCTATCAAATAAAAGTGATAAGTGTTCAACAGAGAGGGGAACAAAAAAGTTTGATTAAAGGAAACTAAGATTCTGACTTAAGAAAGCTTCTCCAACTTTTTTTAGTTTAGCAATGACTATGTGAACTGGAAAATTAAAGACATGAAATAATTGATGTTGAATCAAAATACAAGCTCATAAATTATGTCAAAACTGTCCTATTAAGCCGTCCAACTGGTCTGTTTTATCAGACTGGAGGACTGGTATCCATTCAGATCCTTGTTACATGAGAAGACTGAACAGGTTCTTAAGTGTGAGTGTGATTCCGTTGCCCAGTGGGCTGCGAGGCAGCTGGTCTCTGGGCTCTGGGCCACTGCTGGCCTCACACAGATGGAAGAGCCCCCTCACCATGCCAGGCAGCCCAGACGAACAGACCTGCCATCTGACTAACCAACCTGCCTCTCCTCTTCTCCTCTCTTCCTCCCCCATCCTCTCTTCATCGCACTGCCAACTCCTACTCCCCTTCTCCGTCTCCTCCGTTTTTTTACTGCCTTTCCTGTTTTTAGCCTGGCCAACCTGGTGTCGTTGGAGCTCAGGGAGAATCTGCTCAAGTCTCTGCCCACGTAAGTGTCAGCTCCCCGCAGCTCGTGTATGCAAAACTGGGTCCAGGCGTCTCCATCAAGCACAATAAGAGCCTGTTGATTTACAAGATGACACAATCGCTTTACTCAGGAAAATCACAGATGCTGCTTTTCCTCATACCACTTCATTTTTTAAGATTTGCTTTGTAGAAATTAGTTTTAGTGTAAAAACTTTATGTTGCAGAACTTTACAAAAAAAGATACAGCATGACAGAAGATGACAGAGACGTCAGTGCACGTGTAAAACATTCTTTGTCAGCACATGTGAATGACTGGTATGCCAACTCTGTGGTCCTATAGGACACATACTTGTGTAACTAACTGCATGTGCTCTTGGTGTGTGTTTTCAGGTCGCTCTCTTTCCTGGTGAAACTGGAACAGCTGGACCTGGGCAGTAACGAACTGGAACTTTTGGTAACTAGAAGCTAATCCCCTAAAACCCTTTGATTTATTCTACTCTAAATGATTCACTCTTAAGGTGAGGTAGTGACATGATCAGTTTCAGATATAAACAGCTTCTTAGAGATCCTCCTCACTTTCCCTCCCTACATAAGAAATGATGACAGCCACATGTTTACCTTAAAAAACACAGCAGAGCCGGTGTGTCACACCTGAGGCCTTTCATACACTGATCTCCACAGTGGGAACGCCCACCTGTCTCAACAGGGCAGAATAAACAATACCTCATGACCTGACAGGGGTGGAGGCTGAGCAAACAGTTGACATAATGATGAAACACTGCCTGACTGCCTGCATTTTTCTTTACTTCATTTTTAGTCAGACTTCACTTCGAGGTTATTTTGGGAGACAAGAAAATCAATACGTGTTTACTGACTCTATTCCACAACTGGAAGAGAAGTATGACAAATAACAGGTCCTAAAAAGAAAGAAAAAAGTCTTTTAACATCTTTTCTTTTCATTTTATGAATAAGAGGATGAAATCAAATTCTCCTCTAAGACTCGCTGAAAACCAGAAATCAAAAACCAGATTCCTTCTTGTCACAAACTGACACTCAAATGTTTGATTCTTCAGCAGCGTGCTTGTGTATTTAGGGCAGGTTGTTTCTGTTTTTAGCCGTGGCCTCAGCTCCTTTAACGAGCCTCAAAAGAAACCGTTTTTCTGCTCACTGTTGTGTGTGTTTATTAGAGCATGCTGTCTCTGATTTTGAACTTCAGACATTTACAAAAATAGTTATGTTTTTTCGAATGATCAGCTGACCTGCTGTGCCATCCCTCTCTTCTTCTCTGTGTGTCATAGCCGGACACCCTGGGTGCTCTCCCCAACCTGAGGGAGTTGTGGCTGGACCGTAACCAGCTGTCCTCATTACCACCAGTGAGTAAACGTTTAATACAACCTATTTCTCACCTTCATTTTTTTCATCAGGGGTGAAAATTCCCTGTTTCCCTTTTCAGCTGAGTAAACGTGATTTTGTCGTCCTCGTGTGTACAGGAGTTGGGGAATCTGCGGAGACTGGTGTGTCTAGATGTGTCCGAGAATCATCTGGAAGAGCTTCCCTCAGAGCTGAACGGTCTCCTGGCTCTCACTGACCTGCTGCTCACACAGAATCAGCTGGATGTGGTCCCAGACAGCATAGGTGAGAAGCACAGGGCTGAAGAGAATGAGGCTCTTTATAAAAACAGAAGAGTCATTTCTTCACATTTGAAAGAAATTCTGTGTAGATGTCACACAATATGGAAAGGATCAGCATGCCAGCAGATGTACAGAAACCACCAGAGTGTGTGTTTCATGTCAGTAGTGGGTGGTATAACTTTATACTAAAACACCACAGAAGAGCACCACAGGTCTGCAACACCAAGGTGTTCTCCAGCAGAGCGATGAGTACAAACTGAGAGACTGGGAGCGTGTGAAAAGTACATATCGGGCTGTATATTTAGTTTGTATAGAATTGCCAGATTCCACTTCAGAACCAAATGTTTATCCAGTTGATACATTTCTGTGTGCCTCTGAATGTCCAGGCAGAGATCTGGTCAGGAGACAGGGTTGAGTTGACTGACATAAAATCCATAAAATTTGACCTAGGAAGTCTAGTTTGAGTTTCAGATTTAGCATAACTCAAGCATGCAAAATTCTGATGAGGATGCAAAAAATAAAGGATGGAAAAGCAAAAAGTGGAAATATTTATAATATGGATGCAGTGAAATATTGGAAATGGACCTTTACCTTTTGCAGTCTGTGTACAAAGACTTCCAATTAAGCAGCCGAGGATAAGATGAGGCTTTAGGAACAAGTGTTGGCAGATAGTTGTCTGGTAAATAACAACACTGCCCTCTACTGGTAAAATGATGCCAGTGAAGTTTCCCAGGGAATAACAGCTGCAGATTTCTTTTTTAAGATTAGATTTAAAAGCATAGAGTCATGAAAAATTCACAGCACTGTACCCTTTTAGTCACACTCAGTGAAATATTTGTCATATTTGTTAAACCGCTGTTGTGTTTTGAATCCAGGCTGCCTGAAACAGCTGTCAATCTTGAAGGTGGACCAGAACAGACTGACCCAGCTGACTGATTCAATAGGAGAGTGTGAACACCTCACAGAACTGGTTCTTACCGAGAACCTTTTACAGGTACACAGGGAGATATAAACCACTCATACATCCTTTCACTCTCCATTAATATATCTGTGTCCATTTTACAGCTTTTAAACTCCATTACAATTCTCTCTCATTTATTAATGGCTCCTTTCTCACTACATTAAAGTCACTTCCTCGCTCGCTGGGCAAGCTGAAGAAGCTGACCAACCTGAATGTAGACCGTAATCGTTTGGGCAACGTGCCTAAAGAGCTGGGCGGCTGTGCCAGCCTCAACGTTCTCTCACTCAGAGACAACCGGCTGAGCAAACTGCCCGCTGAGCTCGCAGACGCCACAGATCTGCACGTGCTGGATGTGGCCGGAAACAGGTAACCTCAACTCAACTGCTCACCTTGCTTTTAGAATTAAGAAGTGTGTATTTCCCCAAGTTTAACTCTTACAGTATGATCAGGACAACTACTCAGTAAGTATCAATAAACCTCATGATAGCTGACAAGATATATTTGTTGATTATTTCAAAGTCGGAGCTTGACTGACATTTCAACAGGATAAGATGTACGAATACTTAAGCTCAAAGTTTCTAGTTTGCTTTACAGACTCTTAAGAAATCAGAAGGATCTAGTGGTGGATGACGTTTCGACTCGTTTCTAAAAATAAAAGATTACAGCTCATCTTTTCCTCCCTTTTGTTCTCCAGATTACAAAACCTGCCTTTTGCCTTGACAAACCTCAATCTGAAAGCCATGTGGCTCGCAGAAAACCAATCACAGCCGATGCTCAAGTTCCAGACCGAGGATGACGAGCGCACGGGAGAGAAGGTGCTGACGTGCTACTTACTGCCCCAGCAGCCTTCTCCAAGCCTAGGTGAGTAACACTTAGCGACAGGATCTCTCTGTGGTTTGTCATTGTTTTTCGTTTTAGTTGAAGGCTCAGTCGGTTATTCTGACATTTTAATTGTCTGTAATTCCAGCTGTTCCAGCCTTGTTTTGGTCTCAATGGCACATTTAGTAGTGACAGTGTGTTTTTGGCTCATGCTTGTATACTATATAATTACTGGTACAAACAGTGATTCTGAATCAAACACTGATTGTGTAGATTTGCATTAAAACTGTTACTCTGATTAAAAAAAGAGCGACATATCAGAGGTTAAAATTGAATTTTCACTAGTTTTATTCAAAGAATATATGCTCAATGATTAACACTCGGTCTAAAAAAATTCTGCAACTACTAGAATGACCATAAGTAGTCATTTTGACTGCTCAGTCTTTATTTGCACATAATCAACAATAAAAACTAATAATAAATTGGTGGAGTAGATAAAAAACACATCAGTTCACAGGATGAAAATCATAATAAATACGATTTTTAAGAACCTTCCTCAAAATACCGAGACATATCATTACCTGAACTTGCTCATCCGTCGGATTCTTCCTCATCAAGGCTCTGAAGCAAAGCTACAGCCTCCATACTTGTCATTTTTCTTCTCGATGTCATTTTTGAGTCTTTTGAGTAAAGTTATAGACAGAGTTTAGCTTCACAGCACTTAAAGTACAAAACAAACAACAGAGCAGGAGAAAGAGCGGGAAAATATAGCAAATAGCGAAATATAACTCCCTTAGTAAAAAGCATGCGGTCAATTTGACTGCTCTGGTCATTCGAGGAGGTAATACTCAGATCGCTTCGGTGTTTTGAAATTATAATGATATAAAAATATTAGAATAAAATATACACACATGTAGTAAAAGCCAGGCTGCGACTGATGTATAGGTTTAATTTTTAAAAAGTTATGACATTGTAAATTTTGAAAACATTCTAAATGACCGCCTTGGTAATTCAAGTGTTAATGTGAAGCACGGCACTAAAAACAGACATGACTCTGCAGTGGAAACCACTGCATTGATTCAAAATCACTTCCATAAATCAATGTCTCTGAACACACTTTTTTCTGTATGCAAAATATTTGGCACATGACAAAACAAACATCAAAAAAACCTGAACTGTGTTTTCCATAAAATTTAAAGGCTGCCTACATATTCCATAAGTTCTATTTACACTGTTTAATATAAAGATTTGCCAGCCATCAATTTTGTTTAGCCCAACTTCTGCACTGATATCAAATCTTGGTTGGAATGACTTGTACATTGTACCAGTTTTATTTAGTAAAAAAGCTCCTTGTGTGTTGTAAGACTGTGAAATCTGTTCCTGACGCTTCCCTTTCTCTAGCTGCAAGCTCAGTTTGACATCTCTAGCTGTCCTCTGAACGTTTCCCACAGAGAATTTGCTGCAGAACAGCGTGGATGACAGCTGGACAGACAGCAACCTGAACCGAGTGTCAGTCATCCAGTTCCAGGAGGAGACCAAGGCGGAGGAGGAGGACGATGAGGCTGCTGCGGAGCGCAGAGTGAGGAAACACAACAGCACAGAGTGGCGCTGCATGTTTGTTGTGAAATTCCTGTTTTTCTGACAGTTGACTGTGTTCCAGGGCCTTCAGCGCAGAGCCACGCCGCATCCTAGTGAGCTGAAAGTGATGAAGAAGGTGATTGAGGAGAGGAGGAATGAAGCGTATACATCGAGACCTGACGGAGAAGAAGATTTCCAAGATCCACATGTAAATACATCTTACTCACTAAGTTTTACAGCTAAAGTAAAACTCACTGATTTAAAGGGATATTCCGGCGTAAAATTAATTTAGGGTCAGACATACTGTAACACCGAGTTAGACACTACCTCGAGAGATGAATGTTGCCAACCTCTTGCTTCTCTAGTTATACCATCTTTCGTAGCAACCGCACGATAGCAATACACAGCAATCTGAGGAGCCATAAACAAACCTCAACCAAAACGCCACTGTATAGCCACAAATAATGCTCAGAACAGCACCTAACTTCATCAGCAGTACATATAGGGTCATATCATTGCACTAGCTACCAAATATCTTTTTAACTTTGCCTAATTTCTTTAGCAAAGAGACTAAACACAACTCACCTACTCTCTTCCAGCAGCCGCTTGTTCGTAGCGAGACCTCGGGCCAGTTCATTACGGACTACAGCGGGGTTACGCAGCTCAAGGAAGAACATTTATGATCATTTCTTCATGGAAATGCAATCAGATCGAAACACTAAGGCAGAAGAACTACCACGTCTGCAGTGCAAAATGATTAATATGCTGACTATTACTTTAAGGAAACGATAAAGTAATGATCATAAATGTTCTTCCTTGAGCTGCGACACCCCGCTGTAGTGTGTCTGACCCTAAATTAGTTTTACGCCGGAATATCCCTTTAATGCAAATGTTGTAATTTGGCATCACTGATCACCCTGCACTTAACCCTGAATAACGAAGCTGATTTGTTTCAGGAGAAGCGGCTCAGTGATCTGTCCAATCAGAGCCATGACTCCCAGGTGTCTAACAGCACACTTTCAGCCACTTCCCATGAAGAACGACAAAATGCGACCACACAGAGGGAGGACCTCGTGGACGGCCACTCCCCTCAGGAGGAGGAAGAGCTAGACGAGATGGAGGTGGAGTACATCGAGGTAAGTTTTGGTCATTAGATAAAAGATTAAAAGTATTCCCTGGTTGACTGTCCTTTTCATTTTTCTCTCTTTAGCCCACTGTGCACTTTGCAGAGGAGCCCATTATCCGAGGAGGGGAAGATGACGATGAGGAAGATGGTGAAGACGGCGAGAGGAGCGATGACGAGGACGAGAGGCCCGCTATCCCCGCCGAGAAACAGCGTCTGATCAGAAAGGACACGCCGCACTACAAGAAGCACTTCAAAATCACCAAACTGCCCAAACCCGAGGCCGTGGCCGCGCTGCTGCAGGGCTTCAGCCCCGATAGTCTCAACTCCACAGCACAGGCTGCTGAGGACGAGCAGGACGAGGAAGAGGACGAGGAGGAGCAGGGCCTGTGCACACCTCAGCACCATCACAGGCTGGAGGAGATGGGCGAGAGCCGACATGCGAGTAACTCCAGTCAAGTAAAGGTAAAGGGGATTTCCACGCAGTGCAGAAACAAAAACAACTCCCTATTTTTATTTAATCATTATGTATAAATCTGGAGGATACACAGGACATGTAGGATCTAAGAAGTCTGCTCTGAATCATTTAGCATATGCGTCTGGTTTTCTGCCCCTTTTTTTAAGAATATATTTGAGCTGGATATATTTTTTGCTTGCTCATTGCCTCTATGTAAGCACTTAATCCTGTATGCATAGAGTGCCCTCAGCACCTTGAAACCTGCATTAAGTTTGGAACGGGCTGCCAGCTCTTCTTAAGGATGTGGCATTGCATGCAGGGTCAGTTTGCAAATGAGGATGTCTACCCTTGAGTGCGAAATCAAAAGTGGAGTGTTTTTATCAGGAGTTGTTGTTCGTCTTTACTCCTTCACCATGTCCTCAAACCTAATGCCTTTAACACTTTAAATACACTCAGCATCATTTTGACACATTAAAAAAAACACACTCTTTCATATATGAAACAAATTTCAAAGTTTAAATCTTTTCCTCAACTTTGCACAAACTTGCCAGAAAAGCACTCTGTCCAATGTTCAATTACACGAGCAGCTGCAGGCTTTCCTTTGCAGCAACACCGGCCACATGCAGCACTAAATTCTCACCATATTCTGCTGGTTTTAATCGAATAATGACATTTTCACACTCTGCTTTCATAACACTGTGCCTTTATGATCGATCGATCGAATGAATGAATGAATGAATGAAATCTGTTTGAAGAAAATGATTCCTCTCATCAATTTGAGAGACAAAGTGGAATATTTTGATTTTTAATGCTGTTTTAACACTTTACCCAATCTGTTGTGTGTGTGTGCAAGAGTTATTGTATGATGTCCTGTGTATTCAATGAACAAAGACCAACCAGAGCTCATACTGGCAGAGCTGGACTGTAAGATTCAAGAAGCCCTTGTTTGCTTTATATGGTAACAGTCGTCTTTAGATGTCGAATAAGTTTAACGACTAAGAAACTTTCTTGTGAATCAAATTTGAGGAAGACAAAATCTTGTTTTTCGGATTTGTTTGAACTTTTTGTTACGGCCTCTGTAACTGACTTTAGAAAGGCATGCTGTAAATATCTCCAAGTATGCAATTATGTCAGAAATTTCTGGTCCTTTTGTCTAAAATTAGAGCTTGTTACTGGAGGAGTTTACTCTCTGTGGTGTGGAGGCTGGGAGCTTTTGCCGTCTCTTGTCCGCTCTCTCTACACTGCACTGCAGCTCAGCTCCTGGGTCTTGTCTTTCCGTCTCTGCCTGTATTTGCTTCTGGTGGCTGGGGAGTGTGTGATGGTATTACTTCTGCTTCACGGTGGTCTCTCCTCCTGGGAGACCCACAACCTGTAAGCAGATGAATGAGTGTCGAGAGCGTTTGGTGAAGTTTATTGAAGAAATCAAAAGTTTTTTAAACTTTATTGAGTCTTTAGCGTGTGTGCGAGCGAGCGAGCATAATTTTTAATTTGGCCTGACTAATCCGCATGCCTCTCGCTGGTTCCTGTCCTAACAGGGGGTGTCATTTGATCAAGTCAATAATCTGCTGATTGAACCTGCTCGAATTGAGGAGGAAGAGGTCTGTACATACTCTTTCCCGTCCCGTCCCGACCGGTCTATTTCCCCGTCTCCCTCACTCAACCACTCATTCACCCACCTGTGTTCAGAGGTAGAAGTAGCACACACAGAAATTGTTGGTTAATGTGAGCCAATCACCAGGGACCCCCTAATCACAGCTCATTAATGAGACGACCAATGTGGCAGAACCTCATGCAGGAATGAAGGAAACACTTTACTGATTTTAATACTTAGTCACTTAAACAGCTGAGGAGAGCTCACTTTGACGGTAAATAAATGTTGTTTTTTTAGTACAGCCTCAATCTTGTTAATTTTTGATCAATCAAGTGCGGATCAAAGTCCAGCATCAGGTCCTGCCACACTGTGTCTCTGCTTCTTTGCCTTCCTTCTGCTTCTGCTGCTTTGCTTCTTTTCACCTCCTGTTCCCGCTGTGTCGCCCTGTTATGACTCGGCTGGTTTTTCACTGTGAGAGAGCGACGTCTGCTTCTCAAGATTCCTCCAGGAACGTATTTTTTGGTACAAACAGGAAAGTCAACTTCCGAGTGAAGCACTTCCAGAGTGATGAAGATGACTGAAGTTCACCTCTCAGCCGCCCCCCTTTTAAAATTGTATAGCTGTGTAGATTGTATGCTTGCATGTTAATGTTAATTGTAGATGTGTTGTGTACCTTTTTAGATACTTGTTTTTATTACATATACTGCATGAAATGACGTTACATGATTTCTGTTCAATTTTGGAAAAACTTGAAACATTTGTGATATCGACCCAAATATAAGACAGTTTTTTTTTTCATAGAAATTCATCAGACATGTGAGACTGTCTGACATTCAAGGTTTAGCACTTACATGATTACATTCACAGACGACAGTTCCATTAATCTGTAAAGTAAGACGTAAAAAAAAAAACACTGCTATCACATAGTGTAACGGCTGAAGGTAGCTGAAATGAAATATTAAATCAAAAAAATTTGCATGGTAGTATGTGATTATGAAACAGAGCAAAGGTCTCATTAGCAGACCCATTATCCATCTGCTCGACTACAAGTTATTTTAATTATTTTAGTAGTGAAATTAAGATACCAGGTTAGTAAATCATTCAAAGTATTTCATTTCATTCTAATTTGACAATTTAATTATAAAACGGTAATTAAAAACATGATTCCATTAAAAAGATATTACCAAATCTACCTTCATTTAATGAATTCCTTTTATATTTGCCAATCTATTTTTTTATTTTTTTTTAAAGATTTTTCTTTTTCCAAAACCTAGTCTTGAGAATTTTGGACCCTCTGACATTCAGGGTTGTCTTATATTTGGGTCACTCTGGTAAGTATCATTTAACTCGTCAGGTTCCTGGTTAATACTTTTATTTCTTTTTAGTTGTTTGTTCGTTGCTTATTAGACTATTAAAGTCATCTTAAATACTAAGACATCCACTCTACAGATCTAGGTCACAGCCCACTCTTCATATCTTCACATTTCCTTCTTCATCTTTCCTCTTCTTCATCATTCATCTCCATTTCCACCATTTTTGCATGGCTTGCAGACGTCAAGGTCATATACAGTCGAACTTATTTAGTTTTTTACCTCACATTATCAAACATTCACAGATATTGTTACGGTGAGGTTGAGGCCTCTGTGAATCCAGTTGAAGAAGGATTTAGAGCGTTGGTTTTTGTTCAGTCTGTGTCTGAAGTCTACTGTCAGATAAACGGTCACTGCTGGATGATTTTTACTCAGACATCTTTTTCATTTTTACTGAAAATTATTTCTTTTTAAGTTTAATATAAGGTGCAAATCATCTGACTTCCACTTTAACTGACGTTAGGCTCCAGACAAGCGAAACCATCCACCTTATAGCATGATGATGACAGGATGCTGCCGTTAGCGATGTGACTCTACGCTGAGACAGAAGGAGGGGGGTCACCCATAACTCAATTTTCAGAAATAAATTGGCACCAACATCTCTAAAAGTCAAGAGTCTTCTGGGCTGACCCCCTTCTACTCTGTCCTGAGCTGAGTGGTCTTCAGAGGAGTTTCACTGCCAGTCGTGCTGATTCCTCCTCTTCAACTTGCAGCATCACCTGACCATCCAGAGACAAACAGGCGGCCTGGGTATCAGCATCGCAGGAGGAAAAGGATCGACACCTTATAAGGGGGATGATGAGGTAAGACGTCTGCTTGGTATCTGGATAAGATGAAGGTATGAAGAGCTGTAGATTAGACATAACTGGTTCTTCTTTTTGTGCATGTTTGCAGGGAATCTTCATCTCCAGAGTGTCAGAGGAGGGTCCTGCAGCCAGAGCTGGGATCAAAGTGGGAGACAAACTTCTAGAGGTACTGTTTTATTTCGTCTTCAATCTGTCTTTAACGAAAGAGGATTAGGGCCACAAGAAGAGTAAAAAAATAATTACAGGAAGGAGGGATTTTTTTAATTTCCATTTTGTCAGTTAGTGCACAAACACGAACACAAATGCAGCCTGTTGCGGTTACTCCAGTCTTTTAGACCGCTTTCTAACTTTTTTTAGGGTTTTATCCTTTCTTTCTACTTCTCTACTTTTTCTATATTTTACTTATTTTATCTATTTATCTCTATGTTTTTACTTATTTTTATTTTATCTTCTATTTTATCTATTATTTATCTCCTCTTTTACTGTTTTTACTGTTTTTACTTTTACTGTATCTGCAGTATTTGTATTATTTGGAGTACTGTAACAAAAACAATTTCCCCCCGGGGATTATTAAAGTATTTCTGATTCTGAGATTGAAGTTGAAATTTTGAGATTAAAGTCGAAATCTTAAAAAGTCAAGATGAAAAAAATTGAAATTTTGACATTAAAAAAATTACTTACTTGAATAAACTAAGAATAAAGTCCTCATATTCTGACCTGTTGTTTAAGATGGCAGTTGTTGAAATAAGAGCCATGGAGCATTTCGTGAAAATGTACTTTAATAAAGGTTTCTCAAACAAGGAGATACTAAATCTTTTGGCACATCAGCACCACATTATCATAAGTATCATAATGATTTTATTATGACTTTATTCTCATTAGTAATGACTTTATTCTCGTAAATTAACGACTTTAATCTCAAAGTCTTCTTTTTTTTTCTTAATGTGGCCCCGATACTTCGTCGTAGTTAAATGAGTTATTCTCTTTTTCTCTTTGTCTCAGGTGAATGGAGTAGACCTCCATGAAGCAGAACATCACACAGCTGTAGAAGCTCTCCGCAGCTCCGGCGCTACTGTCTCCATGACGGTGCTCAGAGAGCGCATGGTGGAGCCAGAGAACGCCATCACCACCACGCCGCTGAGGCCGGAGGACGACTACTTCCCTCGAGAGAGGCGGAGCAGCGGCCTGGCGTTCAATTTGGAAACGACACCGAGCGGGCCTCACCAGCGGCTCTCGACCTGCCTGATCCGAAATGACAAGGGGCTGGGGTTCAGCATCGCAGGGGGGAAAGGTTCTACGCCATACCGCACAGGAGACACGGTGAGACCATAACAACCACAATTCAAGTCAATGACTACCAATAAACCCCACTAGAAGACAAGTTACTGTGATGAATAACAAGTTCCCTAAACATTGAGAGAATAAAAAGTGTTTTTACTAATTATGTTGAATGTTGGCAGATAGTTTCTTGTTTTGTCGGAGGTCCACCTCAGTGATTGGCTGGTGCAGTCTTGGAGTTAGTCAGGTCACAAACTGTTTGCAGGAACCATCTTTTAACAGCGTCTATTCTAGCAGCAGCGTTTACAGTCGTCACCAAGGAGACAGAGATATGAATAGCCAGACTTGACACCCGATAGTCGCTGCAATTGGACGGGGCGAGGTGCATATTTGGGCCAGCGCTGCACTGCATCGCAACTCATGCCGCTCACTGGGCCCACAAAGAGGAAAGGACTCATAAACGAGTGATTTAGGCGGGTCTGACTGTAAGTCTTGACTCTCTTTCAAAAGCTGGAATTGATGCAGGGACTGGGCTGGTGGTTGGTTGGTGTGAGGAGGAGGTGCTGTGGACTTTGCTCCTGGATTTGTTTACACATATTTGTTTGTGTTTATGTGTGTGTGTGTGCGGGGTAGATGAGGCGTTCAGCTGGGTTTTATTCGGTTAAACAAATTTGCAAAGGGACAGAATGTCTGAAAGGTCAGGCTTTTGAATTAACCGATCACACTGTCACGTGTCTTAAAGTCCTGTGTTATTTATGTTTGGTTTTTTCAATGTTGTCGGCTCAGTTCGACCTTGTTAAGCTGCTGTATTTGCTGAAGCTGATGAATCAAAGAACTTAAATCCACATTTTGAGAAATCTCACTTACTGGCTGGTAGCTCTTCTTTTAGACAGCTCACAGTTAGATCATTGATTTATGGCACATTGCAGCCTGTTGCACCAGTTTACCTCTGACCCTGACCCCTCGAGACAGAGGAGGACAGAAAAGAGTTATGGAACTTCTCTATCTGTGCGTCTGGTTTACTATGTTTAATGCTCTGTCGTAAAGTTGTATGATTTCTCGATATATGTAGAGACAAAATTTCTAATGTGTATCTTTCTTTTTTTTCCTTAGGGAATCTACATCTCTCGTATCGCAGACGGTGGAGCGGCACACAGAGACAGCACACTGCGCGTAGGCGACAGAGTCATCTCCGTGAGTGTTTCACAGCCATACACTCATCTACATGGGAGCGTTCTAGTGCTCCACATGATCACTTTACACTGTTTCCATGGATCCCAGAAAGGAGACGGCTCCAGAGAGGATTTACAAACTTAAAATGCAGTACACTGCAAATAAGTCAAAAGTTCGGGCTTCTTTTAGTCCTGTATTCCTCTGTTTAATGGAAAAGTCTATTTGTCATTAAGAAATGTGATGAAATTCCATGTAAATCCGCCCAATCTCTACTCTAACCTGCAAAGTCTTGACATAAATACTAAAGCTTGAACTAACAAAAAGATTAACTCCTAAAATTTGTGTTTGCAGCTCATACCAACAATAACACACCCTGTCACTAACTCTAACCCTCACTCCTCTCTTTCGCTCATTTTGTAGCTCTTTTAGTTCAACACTGAGATTTGACTGTTTTTTCTGCTGCCATAGAACTTCTGCATGACCTCCAAACAGTTACATTTTCAGTTGATCACATTCAAATCATAGAAGTAGATCTGGCATGTTTTTATGATCATAAATGTGAACACTTTCATCGAACACTCTCACCGTAAATTTACCGAAGGAGGTGAATTAAGATCTGTCCTGAGATTGCTCTTTTAGTACGCTTCAATTCAAACTTCGCTGCCCTTCCTGAATTATCCTCTCTCTGCTTTCTTTCCAAGTTTCCTCTTCTCTTTTTCCTTCTGCAGCTTTTTCAGCTTTTTACCTTGTTAGCCATATGTAGGCCGCCTATTTCTCTCTTTCTCTGGTATCTGCATGCTTGCTAATGCGTTACATGCATCTCCTTGCCTGCTTGGTGGTGGGTTTTGGTGTCGGGGTGGAGTGAGCTGAGCCTGTCGTTCTGCTGACATGGTTAACACACGTGTGTTACCATGGCAGCAGGTCGGGCGGCAGATCAGCCCGTTGGTAAGAGCTGGTACTGTCGGGTCAGTGCTGACTTCTGCTTGTCACTTTAGACCAGAGTGAAGTTTTAAAGATTGTGCATGCTTGAGAACTAAACCCTAATCTAAAAAGTTCAGTAAAGGTGAAGATTGAATCAGTTTTTAAACAAAGAGGCCGTGTCAGATCTCACGTAATTGCCTTTGTCGACTTAAGATCAAACTTTTTGAGGAAACTACCTACTTCCACTTTGTGTTTTAAGTAAACAAAGGCAAAACTGAGGGGTAGAGAGTCAAACAGATGAACATTTACAGCATAGAAAGATAGCATCACGAGTCGCCTTGAGCTGGCTTTAGGAAAAGAAATCACCTTTTTGAAACAGGAGCAGCTATTTTGCCGCTAGCCTTCCCTAGCTTCAATCGCCTGCAGCAGCCCGCTGTCACCCGCTCCCTCTTTTCCTCTGCCTGTCCCTGTCGCTCTGTGCAGGTGTTGGGTTCTTCTCCAAAATAACAATACTCACTTTGATCCACTCATAATCATTCACTGAACTGTTGTAGATGTAAGGTAGAGGAGACCTATGGCAGCATGCCGTTGCCAGCATGTATGTTTTTGATAATCCTCATCGTGGCTCATGTCATTGAGAGCATCTTGGTGGGCTGACCTCCCCCCCTCCGTTGGTTGGTTTTACTGTCGATCCAGATCAATGGTGTAGACATGACAGAGGCCAGGCATGACCAGGCAGTAGCGCTCCTTACCGGCACTTCCCCCACCATCGCCCTCCTGGTGGAGCGTGACCCAAGAGCTCCAGGGGGCTCTCCGGGTCAGTCCAGGGCACGAGCCCACTCCCCTCCACCTCCAGAGCCCTCAGATTCACCCGACCAGGAGGAAGAGGGCCTTCAGGGGAACCATCTGAGCCAAATGGAGGACGAGTATCCCATCGAGGTGAGGCCTTTTGAGGAGCGGCTTCAGCGCTTTGAAACGTCTGAAAGCTTTTTAGTCTCGTCGGACGACGCTGTAGAAAACACATTAAGCCATTGAGCTTTAATGTTTGTTTATTTGGCCCACGCTTTATCCTTAATGCTGTCCAGTTCCAGAGAAGATGGTGTACGGTATGGAGGCTTGATGGAATTAAAATACTGCAGTAGAGTAGAGTTTAGCTTGGTAATGGCAGCTGTATCAGCCCTGTTGTCAATAGTGCATTAATTCTGCTGTAGAGTGTAATGTAGGAAACTGATAAGTGTTGATTAGAAGAAGTTCAGATGTAGTCTTCACAGCAACTTTGGACCTGACGTCACTTTGATCAAACTTTAGGCACAGAATATGTTTTAGATCTTCACTCTTTACCCGCTTATCCTGACAGGAGGTGATCCTGGTGAAGTCAGGCGGCCCTCTAGGTCTGAGCATCGTGGGAGGAAGCGATCACGCCAGTCATCCATTTGGCATCAACGAACCCGGGGTGTTCATCTCAAAGGTGAAACTTTAAAAGAGACGTCAACGTCCCCGCTCTCTGTATGTAACATGTAACACTAAACTCGGTCTGCCTCCTCCTCTTCAGGTGATTCCTCACGGTCTCGCATGCCAAAGCGGACTCCGTGTTGGCGACAGGATATTAGAGGTTAACGCCATCGACCTGCGTCACGCCACACACCAGGAAGCTGTGCGAGCCCTGCTGGCCAACAAGCAGGAGATCCGTATGTTAGTGCGGAGGGACCCTTCACCACCGGGGATGCAGGTGAGACAGCCTGTTCAAGCACCAAGACGTGCAAATGCTCACAAGTATGACACCTGATAATCTGTGTTTGTGTCATCACAGGAAATAATGATCCAGAAGCAGCCAGGGGAGAAACTTGGCATCAGTATACGGGGAGGTGCAAAGGGCCATGCAGGAAATCCTTTTGACCCCACAGATGAAGGCATCTTCATCTCTAAGGTTGTAGAAATATCCTTCAAACAAAAACTTCGCAGTTTAATCAAGACATGAAAAGAGATTTAAGGCCAGAGAGCATCTTTTTATTGATTTAGCTGCACCGGCTAATTAGTTTAATAATACAATAAAACAATTACATTTCAAAAACATTTCACTCAAATTGCCATCCAGCGTTAATAAACCCCCTTGTTTCCACTTTGGTTGATGTTCAAACAGGTGAGTTCAAGCGGAGCGGCAGCGAGAGACGGCAGACTGCAGGTGGGCATGCGCATCCTTGAAGTGAACAACCACAGCCTCCTGGGGATGACCCACACAGAGGCGGTGCGAGTGCTCAGAGCTGTGGGAGACTCCCTGAGCATGCTGGTGTGTGATGGCTTTGACCCTCACAAAGTGGCTGCTGTGGAGGTGAGAGAGACAGAATGTTATTTCAGTTTGAGAGACACTGAAAGGAGATTAAACCAGGATTTAAACAACCCAGTCGTCTCTGGTTAACGCTCATTTTCTCAATTTCAGGCGTCTCCTGGCATTATTGCCAACCCATTTGCAACAGGCATTGTCCGGAAGAACAGCATGGAGAGCATCTCTTCTATCGACCGAGACCTGAGCCCAGAGGAGATCGACATCATGCAGAAGGTACACAGCACAGATTAAAAGCTGTTATGTAAGGGGGTGAAGCATAGTGTGTGAGTTGTTTTGCAAAATAAAACCTCGACAGGGTGAGATAGGAACCAGACACAAAGGTACTTATTACCCTGCTGCCAACTAAAAATACATATAAGAGAAAGTATTGATTTAAAGGTTGTTTTATTTATCTTAAAGTGAAGTATGTCTTCAGGTAGAAAATACTCCCTCAGATTCTGCAGTATTCTCATCAGCAAAGTTAGCGCTAAACTTTACATATTTTACACCATACAGTCTTATTTTTGGCCTGTTATACAGTTATTAACGTACAATTATCACTCTCAGCCAAGTCTTAACATTATCACTGTCTGCTGGCATATTACACAGATGCAGTAATAACAGCAGCAACTGGACGAGGTCTTTAAATGTCGGCATTAGCTTTTCTTTCAGACTACGTTAACCCTCTCTGTTCACAAAAAAAAAATAGCGCGCACACCTCTACGTTTTCAGAAAAAGTTTTCATTTACAGTAACCCGTGTATATACCCCGTCAAGAGCATTTCAAACATGAGTGACAGTGTAGCGAGAAGCTCAAGCCCACGTTTGCCAATCAGAATCCCAACAACGTCCCTTCCTTTTTTCCAACCTGCTGTCGGCTACCAAAATCTTCGTTTTCCTCTTTTTTTCACTGTTTACATGCAAACAGAGTTTTCCAAAATCTGCACTCTTGGCCGGAATTTTTAAAAAGAATCGTTTTCAGGGGCAAAATTCTCAGTTTGCGTCTAATGATGCAAACGATGGTTAATGTCTTCGGTTTTGAAAATGACTGGGTACGTATAAACGGGGCCTAAACCAATCCACAAAGACTGCCAAAGCCCCTAGTGTTGTCTGTTGTCTTCAATTTTACGGATGTCCCTCTTCCTCGATGTTATCAAAAGATAGAGTTTTTGCCTGTTTTTCACTGTTCAATTTGATATGACATGAGTGATCAGGGGTTGCTCTTTCTATTCAGTATCAATAACTGTTGTCAGGGTTTTTTTGACCAATCAGAATCAAGCGTTAAAGAGCTGAGTGATCAGTGGGAAAAAACTGATGAATAGCAGTCGGTCACTGTTTAAGCGGAATAAATCACAAGTGGACAGAAAAACGATCAAATAAGAGGAACTGTTTGTCGTTTGGTAACAGTGGCGTTCAAGTCAACACATGAATGAGGTGTTTTTGTCCGCAGCCCCGCTCTGCTTCCACAGCAGTTTGGTGTCAGCAGGTGGAATTTTTTAACAACAGCAGAGTTTGACTCACTCCAACCATGAACACCACACATACCCATCTTTTCACTTCAGCACACAGAAAGTGCCAGCACAGTTGTTTATTTTGTCCAGATTAGCTTTTGGGAGACTGCCCGTACTAGAGGAATGTCAGGGGGCTTGTTGGTTGGCTCGATTCTGTTTTTTCCTAAGCTCACTCTGGGTTTTTTTTTATGTCATAAAATCTCTGTTAAAGCCGGCGGTGCTTCCATGAATATTAACAGGATGAATCTGAAGCATTTATCAAATCTGTTCCCCAGGAGTCTGAGATGGTGAGAGAAACGTCACAGTGGGAGCGAGAAGAGATGGAGAAAGTGGTGAGTGGAACTGGAAATCTATTACTCTCTTGGGAACGCTTGAGGTTAGAGTCAGGGAAGCAGATGGATAGCTTCATTGAGGCAAGAGATTTCAGGTTTTGCTCCGTCATAGCTCAGAGTGAGCCTTTAAGTCAGAGGGCTCAGGTTTGGTTTGGTTTTCGGCTGAATGAAGCGTCTCCTCGGCACACTGCGTGTGGGTATTGTGTTCACAGATCTATTCCTGCAAAGTCCCACCTTGCATGCTTTTTCTGCTCCCATAGCTAATGAATAGAGTACTTTTTAACGTGTGCAAACTCTATCCTTTCTTTCCCTTCTGTTTTCTCTCCTCTCTCCTTTCCTTTTGGTGTGTTTGGTGTGATACGAAATCATCCAATCATCCCATCCCCACATCACTCTCCCACTGCTATTTTTCTCCACTTCACCCCCACCTAACATTATTTTCCTCTTCTGTAAATCCATCTTAACCTTTCATCGCATTACTGTGTGGCTGTGTGTGGTTGGGTGTACTCTCCTCCTCCTCCTCCTCCTCTTCCTCTCTTGGTGAAGGAGCGTATGCGTTTGGAGCGTGAGGAGGCAACTCGCCTGCTAGAAGAGGAGACTGAGGTGAGACACTCCTCGTCCACTGTTCTGCAGACTGCTCTCCAGTCTGTGCTGAAGGGGCACAAAAAAACACCCTCTCTCTGCTGTATCTTTTAGTGCTGTCATGTCAGGGGGATTGTTTTTTTTATTTGCTTGTTTTAGAAAAGTCTGTCTAGAGCCACATTCAGACTGGACTTAGTTTTACTGGAGGAAGTCTTATCTCAGTAGAGTTACTGTTGACTTTATCTGACCAGTCGAGCATGTCTGGTACTAACACTGTAATAATGTAATGAGCTGTTATTCAGATGTATACAAGAGCAAATTACAGGTAGCCTCTTGTAGCAAAGCATAATTGTCAGTATTTTGACATAGAAAATACAGACAAACATATTCAGCAAACCGGTTTTCTTTACCCACAGACTCAGGGATTGTGCTCGGATTCACCTTTCACCTTTGAACTCATCTATCGGTCACAATTTAAATTTCAGTTCGAACAAGAAGGATATCGGTTGCTTTAAAACATCCTTACTTTCTGTATATCTATAAAACTAGATTTGTACGGACCCCTTACTGGGCTTGACATTAACTTTTTTCACAAGGGGTACGTGTGCTAAGTTGAAAAAGTAAGGAGCACATGAAGAACTTTAGGGGCACTATGAAAATTGTCTTATTGGTCGACATAAGTACTATTATTTAAAATCAATTTTAGGTCTTTTGGTCACATGACATGGAAGCTGTTGAAGAAAATGTTCAAAATTTGCCTTAAAATTTACCACAAAAATTGATGAGAACAAATTAGGGAAATAAAGAGGTGTGTCTTACTGTCCGACCTTAGTACTATTATTTGAAATCAATTTTAGGTCAATTAGTTACATGACATGGGAGCTATTGAAGGAAAACAGACAGTCCCTTATTCAACACCTGACGTTGACAGTGAGGATGCCAAGTAGATTCAACCGCGCTGAGAAGACACCGGTAGATCTGCAGTGAATGTCTGTCTGATATCCAACCTAAAACTAACTTCACTGCAATATTTACATGAAAAAACATTTGTTGCCTCTGCTAATTTTTTTATGCGCACATGTGCCCCTAAATACATTTTACAATTTGCACGTATCTATTTTTACTCCCAAATGCGAGTGAAATGGTCGCACTGCCTTACAAGAATTAGTTCTAAACGTCTAAGACAGTCTCCCTAGTAAAACTGATCCAGTCTGAGTAGTCTCTTGCCTGATCAGTATAAGGTCTCAGCCTTGTCCCCTTCTTACCTCTCTTTTCTATCTATTCCTCTGTAGACCATTGGCACAGGACCGCTAAAACTTGACTACAAAACCCTGGCTGCTCTTCCCACCACCAGCCTGCAGAAGGTCAACAGGGTAAGACTCCTCTTATTCAAATGTTTTTTCGCGGCACCATCGTGACCCTGTTCATTTGTAACAGGTTTACAGAAAGAGTTCAGTCCTCCTGAGTCGTAAGTTGCGTGTATTTCTGCGCGCTTTGTTGGAAGTGGCCTTCGTGGCTCAGAATAGACGTCTCTGTGGAATCCTTTGAGTTTATGTCCTGGGAAATGGAGTGACCCAGAGTCCACCAGTTGCCACTCCAGGAGGAGGAATGTAACCTCCCTCCATGTGCATAACCCGCAAGTCAACATGACTGCCGGTGGCTCCAAGGCCAAACCCATACGACACGTCCTGTCAATGTGATGTAATTTTGTCCTTCCGGAAGAAGAGCGCAAACGGGAAGAGAAGATCGATAAAGAAGTTTGAAAGAGGATCAAGACTAGGAAATCTAAACAGAATAATGGGAAACCAAAGTGGCAATGAAGAGGAAGAAGACTGGAAATATTTACAAGCCATGGAAGAAGGTACAACAGAGAGGAAGCATGGCCTGAGAGCCGGCACTGTCTGGTCTGATCCAAAATAAAGTGTGAGTGTGTGAAAGACCTGGCAAGACGGGGAAAAGGGACAGCTGCCCACTATCACACAGCCTATCCCTGGTGATATTTTAAACCTGAATCTGGCTCTGAATTGGATGGAGCCCCTGTGGTGGGTGGGGATCTGGACAGAGAGGGTGGGTGTCGTCTAAGGGGAGCAGACAAGTGCTTCAGTTTGAGCGCCTAAAACCGTCTGAGGAGTTAGTAAAGAGTGGACGCTCAGCTCTGTTCTGTTACCAACCTACAGGTAGTACGCTTTTCTATTTCTCCTTTTTATATTTGTTTACTATTTTTATTTATTCTCTGTCCACTTCATCATGATCAGTTTGTCTGCACCAGGCAATGATTATAAGATTTGGACTTGGTGATTTAAGAAAGACCCACTTTTATCCCATTTACTGAAACAGGCGAACTTTTCCTTTTCTATCTGGGTCACAGTGAATAATGCAGAACTGTACAAGAGCTGTGTAAGCTTCAAATAGACGGCTATCATAACTTAGTTTTGGTGCCCTACTTGTATATTTGGGGCCGGTTAAGATTGTCTGTGAGAACTTAACCCACATTTCTTGAGCAGCTGTCAGTGCCTGGTGTTAGAGCTGGATTTGCTGCCCCGGCACACGTGGTCCTGCTCTAACTGTGGAGACTTGTTTAACCCCTACATTAGTATGAATGAAAATGTAATGTGAGGACAAATGTTGCAATAGAGACGATGATGAACATTTAGAAATATGAAGGTAAACAAATGGAGTCTATTTAGTTTAGTGGAGGAGCTTTAAACAGGGTGCTGTGATTTTTCTATGAATCAGGTTTGATGGTTTTTATCATTACTAAAAAAAAAAAGGGTTAAGAGTGAAAGCCTGATGTAACCCCGACTGTATAGTTTCAAAGGTTGGATCATACAGGCTGAAACCTTCCCTTTTTGCTCAGAGGAAGTTGTGCGCCATGCTCCAGAGGTTTTCCCCTCTTCCTTTAAAACAGCCTGAAATCTATTGTTCTCTATCAGTCTATAGTCACGTATAGTCTCTTATCATTTCCTTTGTAAGCCGAATTGTTTCACGTTGCAGTCAGCTCATTCTTTTACTAGCTGTAATTATTTTTCTTATCTCAGTGTCCATAAAATTGCCTTTCTGTCTATGACAATGGCAACAACTACAGGCACACACATTCAAACTGACAGACTTCATGATTATCTGATAGTAGCTTAGATTAGGCTGATTTCTGGTCGGTGCAACCAAAGTAAAGACATCCCAACAAGTTATTTCCACTTTTCATATCTCTTACAGTTACACCAACTTTTGGCAGCTTTATCTGTGCAGCTCTTGGGGTCAAAGACAAATTTCCCTAAGGGGACTATAAAGTGTATCGTATCCTACTATGTCGAACCGTTCCGTATCGTGCCATATCATATCATATCGTATTGTATAGTATCGTATTGTATCGCATTGTATTGTATCATATCGTATCGTATTGTATCGGAACTTATCGTATCATATCGTAACTTTTACCAGGATGCCAGCAGACATTTATTTTTTAGCATTATGGAAATATCTTTCAATCAATTTTATTTATCTTAGAAAAATAGACTGTTGTACAAGCTTCTGTTCCCGGCTGGCTCAGCACCTCGGCATGCTGGTGAAGCAGCAGAAGTCTCTCCCACCCCAGCTGTCCCTCACAGTCTGTGTCAGAGCCAAAAGGGCACTCGTTCACATTCCATCCCACTGACCCTCATCCCGACAAAGACTCTTATAGTCAGCATAAAGAGACGCATAACCGCCTCACAATGCTTGTTGTATATTCTTAGTGTGGCTATTTCAATTATCAGGGTCATGTCTGACAGCATCCAGAGCTGGTTAGTTATCTCGGTTGACTCGGCTCTTTAAGAAGGTGTTTCTCTACATGTGTAAAAACATGACACCTCCCTCGGCGCAGTTACAGTGTCGGGTTTCTTTGCATTTTTTCCTCTCCTCTTTCAGTGACATCACTCACCCTCTTTACTCCGTACAGTAGGAGCTGAAAGTTATCTGGAGCCAGAGAGTCTTGCTGATCTGATAATGTGTTTATTTAAGGCAGAGGCTAAGAGCCCGGACTGCTGTAATGTGTCTGCTCACATACAGCAGCAGCAGCAGCTAACATGTCAGGGATGATGAGCACTGAGACTTATCTTTAAGGCTTCAGGAAAGATTTAGTGATGTGAGAAACTCGCTTTAGCAGCTGTAGACTCGTGTGTCAAGAGTATATTTAGAAAAGCGCATCAAAGAGAGGGGGATTCCTCGGCCCCCTCATCTTGTTTGTTGTCACTTTTTATATTTACCAAAAGTTTATTTACTTTGTGACACGAGTTTCTTGATTCTTCTTCCCTATTTTTGCACTATTTACATGTCTTTTAGAAAGGGTTTTGCTGCTTTGTTGGATTAAAAATCAGATTTATTTTCATCTCATTTCTCAGTTTCTTTTCTTTTCTCTTTTAAAACCTTCACTAGTTACTCTTTTAGTTTCTACAACTGTTTTCATGTCTGTGTGTGAGTTTATCCTGTCCGTCCTCCTTCTGTCCTTTCCAGTTCTCTACCTCTATAAGTCTGACTGCCCCCATGGAGGCCCCCCTTCAGGCCCAGTACGGCGCCCCTTTAGAGCCGTTGGTCTTCAGTTTAGCCAACCCAATAAAACCTCTCAAGGACCACGAGGACCATGAGTCCTCCCCGAGTCTGAACACAGATCACACTTTTCATCACGGATCCCAATTCCCCCCTAATGGGACCACCACCACTACATCTGACAGTGCTGGCTCATCAACAACCATCAGTTCATCGACGTGTTTAGCAGAAGAAGAAGAAGAAGAAGAGTGTCTGGTGGACTCTCAGCCCATCTGCTTCAAAGAGAACCCTTTCTTAGTGGCGAATCGTAAAGGAAAAGGGCGCCCACCTGGAGAGCAGATCCTGTCAGGGCCTCCTGTGGGCTACGGGAAGCAAGGCCAACTGCAGCCCTGGTTGTTCAGCAAGGCAAGCAGCCTGCTCGGTTGTGGGTTTGAGGGCAGCATGGTGTGTTACTGCACAGTTTGTTACACGACACATTTGCGGGAATTTTACGTCAAGTTTGCTGATATCTTTGAATTGATTTGAAGATGTCTGTTAAAGTCCTTTTAAAGAAATAACTTCCAACTTTGAGTTATGCCATTACAGCGTCGATTAGTCAGGTTCTCTGTGAGTTTAAAAGTATTTGGGTTTTCAGCTGCCACGGGAAATACAAAGTTTGAAGTCACTGACTTGCCACCTCACTGCTCTGGTTTGCGCTCACTACTATAATTGCGCTCTTTCTCCCCAGGTAAGTAGGTGTTTTTAAGAGTAAAAGCTTCAAAAATCATTATATGGTGCTGTCTGTTGCCCAGCGACAGGCTGCTGGTCACAGAGGAGCCCTGAGAAGCTACAGGGAAACAAAATTTGCCCTCAAACAGAGCCAAAAATATACATATTGGACTTTGACCCAGCTGATGGATAGAAACACAGCTTCAGACATTTTATAATAACGACCACATGTGCACAAATCATCTTTGCTAACCACTTTGCTAACTGCTTGTCGTGCTGCATTCACAACTCTTCTGCACACTGGAAATTATTTGTCACTGCAACTTTGAAAGAAACAAATTTTTCCCAAAGTGGAGATTGAATCTGTTCAGTTTTGGTTTTACAGTGTTCAGAGGTTCATGAGGAAAACTGTCCAACACAGCAGATCAGTCTGAGTTTGAACATCAAGCTGAAGTGGTGCATGTTTTTGCTGTGAGCATGGAGCTTGTAGCACCTCATGTGGTATTCAGGCACATAGTCAGAACACCGTCAGGATCGACAGGAATGTCAGAGCCGACAGCTGCGAGGGAGGTCAACAGCTATGGAGGACCCATGACCTGCAAGGCGCACATTAAAGTGCACGTTTATCAGCCAGAGCTTGTTGTTTGTCAAAACTCCTGAACTGTCCAATCTCTCCAGGACTAACCAGTTTCGTATTAGTGTGCCACATTATTTCTTGGTGTGCAGCTGTTAACTGTTTTAATGTTTGTTTCTCCAGGCGCCTTCCTCCGATTTTACCCGGACAGAGAGCCCGATCAGGGAAGCGCCATACTCTCCCACAATTCAACCGGTGAGCAGCCTTTTCACCCGCCACTTCCCATCTGCTTTCCTTCCATCTTTTACTTTATTTCCTCCTTCTCCATGAGTCATTCCCTCCCTTGCAGAAGAGATATTTTGCCGTTGACACTTGTGACTTCTCCTTCCGCCTGTAGCCCAGCCTTCACTCTTCCAACAGCTCCCTGTGCACAGGCAGGGAGACCCGCTTCGTAAGTGGGTCTTGCGGCCCTCTCTGCTCTGGCCTGGATTCAAAAAAACAAAGAAATGTAGCACATGTATCTGCTGCTCTGAGACCTCTTTGTTAATAAAACATCATCAGAGAGCGACAGGTCATGTCTGCTACAGTCTGAAAAAGCATGTGACTTCTCCGTGGCCAGCTGACGTCTGATGCTTTGCCTCATGCAGACTGGATGTGCATTTAGAGGGAAAATGAGCTTTATGGCTGATTGTTCTCAACTGACCAGCTGTGGCTTCTCCTCATGATCTCACAGAAAAATAACAGAATTATACAGTGTCCATTTTTCCTCAAGCAGTGTTGTTAAATTTGTATGAATAAGATATCAAAAATTATAATAAGAGGCTGTGCGATACTAGCTTGGAAAAATGTGACACGACAAATAAGTGGTGATGAGGTTAACCCTGTGGTGTTGAAATGTTTAATAGTCGACTTTTTGGCCTGGCATCTTCCTGAAGAGCTTCAGTAGCAGAGATGTAGTCATTGTATGCGCACTCTTGGTTGAAACGGGTGTAGATGTTTCCAGTCCATGTTTTCAGTTTTTCTTTATTTTTTGTTAAATCATGTTTTTTGTTTTCAGGCAAACATTCATTACACCTCCACTCCCACTGCCAGGGAGGAATCTCCATCATCAGTGAGTGTCAAAATACTTTTGGTTAGATTAATCCTGTTGTATATTGAGCCAATATACTAACCTCTACTTCTTCAACTTCTATATTATTTAATAGAGGTGCGATTTGATTTATGGGAGCAAAATTTTAAGAGCCCATAACTCTGAAGAAAACCCTAAATGTGTTTGTTTCAGAGTTTTGAGCTTAAAAGCCATCTTAAAACAAAGTAAACATGACTGGTGCTCTGATTCAGTGTTGTTTTTTCGTTGACAAAAATATTACAGACGTGACGTTGACAAGCTAAACATAAGTCTTAGATGACTAAAATATGACGAGACGAATGTGCGTTTACGTTGACGAGACTAGATGAAAACGGTAGTGGTGGGAGACGAACAGAGTTGCGAAATTAATGAGCATTTTGTCAGTCAAACGTGAAACATATAGTCTGCAGTGTTGTTTTCGTTGACGATGACGTTGACAAAATATTTTCATCAACGTCATCGTCAAAGAAAACAACACTGTTCTGATTACAATCTTCCATTAGTGCTCATTCATTTTGAGTTCATCCATGTCATTATGTCTGCTGTCTGTCTTCTTTTGTTGATCAAATGTCTGTACAGAATTTTTCACAGCTATGTCGGATTGCCGTCTGATCTGTCTTATAGTACAGTGTATCTGTTTCTCTTCAGACGCGACCGGGTGCCATCCAGCCAGTCGGGCGCGTGCGGCCAAGTACCTCCCCTGCCACTCCGGACGGCCACAGTCCAAACCCCTTCCAGCATGGCCCCTCCCCCTTCAACTCCCAGACCTCTGTAAGACCCCTCACCACCACATAGTGCTGTTTTCTCTCCGCTCACAGCTCTGTGCCGCCCGCTCTGACTGCGCTGTCTCACAGCAGTACAGCAGAGATGCAGATTGTAATACCAAAAGGATGATTTTTGTTCCTGAAGAGGCTTGAAACCAAAGAAAGGGAGACTCTTAACGAGTCTGTGCAGTTGCTGCTGTATGGGACCCTCAGGTACACCTGGAGGTCAGGTGATAGAACAGCACCAGCAAAAGCAGAACCCTGAGCTCCTGAAATAGTTAATCATACAGTATTTTCTCTTAATCGAAGCTTTTCTGAAATGTTCCACTTATTTTTGTCTCTGACAAGCAGCATAGTTGGATTGGTGAAGAACCAAGAAGCTCTGATTTCATTCCACGCCTTTCTGATTTCACCCAGGAGCTCATTCAGAAAAATCTGTCATGGCTTTGAGCTTCCCAGGCCCGACTCTGTGTGTTTCTCTGCATACTCCCCTCCTCCGTCACATGAAACCAGCCGCCATGCTCTTCACCTGTTCTCCTCCACAGTCTTCTTCAACTCAGCTGGTTTTTTTTCATAGTCTACCCTCTCCTCCATGTCTCTGTCTGTCTGTCCTCCTCCTTCCCTCGGCTCCTCTTCCATATGGTCCTACCCCATTTCCCCTCATAATCCCTCCTTCCCTTTCCCCCCCCTCCAACCTCCCCCCCTGCAGCCTCGCGCCCCCTCCCCCACCTCGCCCGACGAGTTCCCCATGAATGTCAAGCAGGCATACAAGGCATTTGCTGCCGTGCCTCGCTCACTGGCAGTGCTGGAGTCGCCGCAGGTAGGCTGCGCCGCCCGGGCTCCACCGGGTCACAAGAACAAAAACGCATGCTGTGCTGATTGGTTGATCTCGCCCCCCCCCCTGCCCCCTCCTGACTGGAGTAGGCTGTCCTTCAAGGGGCCTGCGCCGTGTCGGGGGGCCTGTGACGTGCTGTGACGTGTGGAATGCGTTCATCGTTGGTTTTGCGTACTCCTGTGCCATCATCTTCCGTACCGCTGTTCAGTCTTGATCCATCCGTTCATCCATGTGTGGCTCGTGATACTAATATTGAATCACTTTCCTTTCTGTGTACATTTTTATCTCCCAGCTGCTAATCAGTCTGCCTGCTCCGTTCCTGTTTCTGTCCTCCGTCTGAGTTCACTTCATTTGAATAACTTTCTGCTTATCCTGCTGCTTACAACAGGACCTGTACGGTGTGAGGAACAATTTCCACCTGAAGCAGCCCTCTCCAGAGGTGAGTCAACACTCAAAACATTAGATATTCAATCTAAATCATGTGAAGAAAAGATGGGTATTGATTCCTTGATGTAACTCGTTAGTTTTTAGGTGGCAAACTTCAACCTGCATTAATTCCTGACAGTTTGTACAGTTTATTTTGCCACCACAGAAGAAAAAAATAATTCTTAATGGAGAATGATGAGTCAGACACTAGTTTTTTTCACTACGGAGAGACAGCAGGGACTTAACCCCTCCTAAAGCAACCAAAACCTTTCATTCATTAAAGTATTAAGTATCATTATCTGAAAATAAAAGTTATTTTGACGTAATTCTAAGCAAAAGCAGACTCTAATCTCCTTGAATTAACAGTACTTCTGGATTTTTTATTTTTTTGTTAGCAGCTGGCCTTTTTGTTGTTAAAAGAAAATGATCTTATGTAGAAACTAAAAAATAAACTAATGAAAATAATAAACTTATTTGATGCTTTGATTTTAATTTTCATTGTTTTGTTTTTATTTACTTTCTCTTGCATATTCAAAATGAACAACCCAATCAAATCAAAATCCCAACTTTTTAAAACCAGGGTTTAAACAAATAGCTGCCTTAATTCAGTGTTCAATAAGTCAACTTTAAGAAGTAAAAACATTTCTATTTGCTCTGAAATAACTCCAGTTTTGTAATGAGAAAATAAGGGTGTCTCTCAGTCATCCTCGTCTGACCGTCTGGTGATGACCTGTGTGGCCTTTTCAGCCTGAGTTGAACAACGAGGTGTTTGATGATGACATAGATGGTCAGGGGGGAGCTGGTAAGAGTCCGAACAGCACGCTCTCCCCGCGTCAGGAGTATATGAGCCTGGCAGCAGTGCCTCGCTTCTCCAGACCGAGCATGGAACTGCAGGTATCCACCGCCTCCGCCACATCGACGGCAGCCTGTTCTCTGTCTCAGACTGTGGTGTGCTTGGCTTGACGGTGGCGGTTTCTCTGCTCCTGGACTCTGGAAGGCAGCCATGTTTTTGTTGGTTGAAATTAAACTGCCAACTGATGTATATTTAATACGCTTTATGGTGCTGGGTTTTCTGTTGAAGCCTAATTTTTCTTTTTCTTCTTGGTCAGTTGTACTTGTGGATATTTTCCCTTGCATCTCTTGCTCTTCTGGCAAATGGCTTTGCAACAAAGCAAATATTATCAAAAATGGACTCTGTGCCAGTAAAAACAGGCCTTTTATTTCCTTTTTTGTCATCCCAAATACTCCAGGTCCCTCTGGTGCACTTCAAAGTAAAACAAAGAGTAAAAAAATGTGTTTTTCTTGTTTGTTTTTCAGACTCCCTCTCCTAGCGGTAAGGATAGCCCAGAGCAGCGCTCATTCCGGGACAGACAGAAGTATTTTGAGATTGATGTGAAGCAGCAGACGCCAGAAAAACCCAAACCTCGAGTCTCTCTTGTTGGAGAAGATGACCTGAAGAAAATGAGGGAGGAAGAAGGTTTGTTCTCCGTTTGAGTATTTCCTGCCAGTAAAATGAAAAAGTATCTGAGTAAAAATTGACAAACTCGTCTGCTCTTCCCAACCCAGAGAGAAAGTTTGAGCAACGAGCGAGGGAGTACCTGCTCGATGAAGATGACGAGGATGAGGAGGAGGACCTGGCTAAGCAGATGGCTCACATGAAGGCCTCTGGGAAAGTGCTGCTGGATGGAGTCGAATACAAGGTGGAGCCAGTTTCCTCTCCATCTCAGCATTGCTCCACACCACCGATCTACAACGTCACACCACCAAGCTACTGCGGCAGCTCGGGGTAAGAAGTTTTTCATCATCTGTGCTTCAAAGTTTCAAAGAAATGCGTCTTTTAACTGTTTGTTGTGTTTGTAGGCCTTCGTCTGTTGATGGTAAGGGAGACTCTCAGAGGAATTCACTGGAGGACAGCTTCAGGCTGGAGCAAAGACCTAACTCCATGACAGGGTAATTACACCCAACAACATCTTCGAGTCTTCTTCAGTTGTTGTTTTCCTTCCACTGTACTCACTGCTGCTTGTTTGTCTCGCCAGTCTGATCCCGGTGTACCCAGGGGACTCGGCGGCTCCGATCCGCACAGCCAAAGCAGAGCGCAGACATCAAGAGAGGCTCCGGATGCAGAGCCCTGAACTCGCCGTGGCCCCTGACAAGGACCTGTCCCCCGCTGAGAAACGAGCTCTGGAGGCCGAGAAGAGGGCCATGTGGAGGGCAGCACGGTAAATATAACATTACGGCTCACTAACAGTTTTCCCCTTGAAGTATTTTTAGCACATTGTTCGTAAAGGTAATGTGCAAAAGAAAAATCTGATAAACATCCGACTTACTGGTTCTTTAAAACGCTTTTGTTTAAGGTAACTCGATAACTGGCATGCATAATGTCCTTCATCCGTTTAGAAACCAACACAGCCTTCAATTTTAATGAATCAGTCCCAGATTTGTGGTTTTGTAGTTTGCTAAACGGGTCAGTGACAGGGTTCGAGGTTGTTGTTTTTATTACCAGCAAATCCAAGTATCAGTTCACGGCTTATTCTGTCGTGACAAATCCCCGTTTTCTCTGTGTTAGTTTGTCTCCTTTCCTCTTTCTATATTTTCATGTCTAAAAACTGAGTCGTAATTATTCCTGGCGCTCTAAATGTCTCTTTTACCTTCCATTCTTTGGTTTTCTTCTCTTTCTCTCTCTTCACCACTCTCTTCTTCTTCTCTTACTCTTCATTCATCGTGGCGTTCCTCCCATTCTGTCCCATCCTCCTTTCTTTGACTTCCCCTCCCTTGGCCTCGCTGGGCCCAGGCCGTACGGCTTAGAGGAGGATGTTAGGCAGTATGAGCAGGACCTGGCTAAGAGGCTCTACCAGGCCAGATTGAAGGCGTCTCAGGGCACGACCGAGCCCCCCCAGCCCCCTACCTCCTCTCCTGCTTCCTCCTCTGCTGCCTCCCAGCTCAGGTCTGCTCCTCGGCCCTCAGCCACCAGGGCCAGACGCACGGCATCGTGGGGGTGTGCTGGGGTGCTTTGGGGTATATTGCTAGAGGCTGAGTTCGGAAAGGTTCAAGCAAGCACTTCTAAGCGTGCCTTCCTGCCTTTCCAGTGCTGTCTTGCTTCTGCACGTCTTTGCTGTTCCTAGCTTTCTCTGGTCCCTCCCTCTTTACTTTTTGTCTCCTTGCAACACTCTTTTCATTTGCCTCTTGCTGTTCTTTTGATTTCCATACCTGTATTCGTACTAACACACATTCCCCGGTAAGTTTGCGATTATCTTTAGGTCAAGGGTACGCCTACTTATGCAGTAGGTTTTCCTTTTCCTGGAATGCCTCTCATTGAGAAATGAAATTGAAACTGGTCGACGAAGCAAACCAGGACAAGGAGCACCCAGAATAAGTAGAGACGGGCACCACACCCACGTGTAGGGATGTGTGACTCCTGTCAGTTTTGTCTTGGTGTTTCTTCTCTAAATGTCGCTCTGATGGTGTTTGTTTCTCTCGTAGAATGAAGTCTCTGGAGCAGGATGCACTGAAGGCTCAGATGGTAATCGCCAAGTCTCGCGACGGGAAGAAACGCGGCACACTTGACCAGCTGACCGAGTCACCCTCACCTGCCCCAACACCTTCTCCAACACCAATGGAAGGTAGGGCGCTGCTGTTAAAGGGACATTCCGGCGTAAAATCAATTTAGTGTCAAACACACCGTAACATCGAGTTAGACACCCCTTCGAGAGATGAATGTTGCAGACCGCTTGCTTCTCTAGGAATACCAACTTTAGTAACAACCGCACAATAGCAATACAGAGACACTAAACACAACTCACCTACTCTCTTCCAGCAGCCGCTTGTTTGAAGCGAGACCTCGGACCAGTCCATTACGGACTACAGCGGGGTGACGCAGCTCAAGGAAGAACATTTCCGATAATTTTTTCATGGAAATGCAATCAGACCGAGACACTAAGGCTGAAGAACTACTGTGTCTGCAGTGCAAAATGATTAATATGATGATTATTACTTCAAGGAAATGATAAAGTAATGATCATAAATGTTTGACCCTAAATTAATTTTACGCTGGAATATCCCTTTTACTTAGAAGTATTTACATGACAAATATTTCTGTTTTTCTTTCTACTTCTGCTTGTTTTTTTAACTTGACCTCTTCTGTTTCCTCTCACAGAGCTCAGTCCTCGAGGACTAACCTCTCCAGGCAGGCTGGTAAGCACCGATCTTTTTACTTTTCCAGGGTCTTTTTTATGATCTGATTTTTCCCACTGACCTTCTTGAAAATGTAAACTGTTGAATGTGTCCTCTGCGCAGACTTACAAAGGGTGAATCATCAAATTTTTGAACAAAGCTGTAATACTGGCTGCAGTGTTCTTGGAAAAAGGCGAGAAAATTAGAACGGAAGAATCTGGATTTGCATCAAACACATTAATCCATCGGCTTGCTCATTATCACTTCAGCCAATCAGCCAAAGCTGGCTGTTTGAATCACCCATTAGCTTTTCTGCCTCTCATCTTTCCTTTATATAATATTCCCTCATCCCTTTCTCCTTATCCTTTATCTTCTATCCTTTGACATTTGACTTCCTCAACCTTGTTTCTCCTTTTTTATTACTTTGTCCCGCTTTCCACTTCTTTCTCCTCTTCTTTTTTACCTCTCCTCCCTTGACCTCTGTTCATTCCTATTTGCTATCCTTCTAGTCCCTGTCGTCAAAGAAGTTTGACTACCGACAGTTTGCTGCCATTCCTTCTTCCAAACCCGTATACGACATCCAGGTACTGGCTGCATGCTGAGCTCCAGGGGCTCCGGCCTCCTCCCAATCCCCCTGGCTTCTCCTGCTGCCTCCCCACTCTAGTTTTTTTTTTTTCCACTTAATCAAAGAGACACATCAGTGTGTCTTAAGTCTATGTTTTGGCTCAGTGATTGATGAGAACTTCTTGCTCTGCACTTCAGTGGTGTGGCTCACTAACTCACAGTGAAGAGAAACTTAACTCTACATGGATGACGGCTCAAATCGGCCCTGGGTCTCCCTCACACTCTGCCTCATTCTTGGTTCCTTCCTTACCACTCACGACTAAAACGCATCCCGAGCAGTAACCATTCATTCAGTCATCTTCCAGCTAACCAATCAGTCACAAACAATAGCACTAATGCAAACTGACTTTTTGATCCCACTAACCAGAGTCAGTTCCGGGGGAAAAAAGCCACAAACTTTGCCTCTCATCCACTCTCACGTTCCCTTTCATCAGCTGTCTGTTCCACGCATGGGTTTCATATCACGCAGAGGCTTCACATGTCCTCCAAAGGCTTCCTCTCATGCACTGGCTTTTTTTTAAAAACTGCGGTCTGCTGAAGGGTGTTTTCCTGTGCCGTCATCAAGCTAGAACTTTCATGTAGGGCTGCAGAGTATTTGATTTCTTCTCCTCTATCTGGAAGACAAGATGGGAAGGGAAGCGGGGGGATCCTGGAAGTCCCTGAGTGAGCAGTGCTTGTCTTTAAAGTGGTCTTTTATTTTGAAGGGGGGGGTCAAGTATTCATGGTTGTCTGTGTTGCTGTCAGACTGTTCTCCCCTAACCATGGAATCTTGTGTGGTTTGGTTGGTGCTCATTGACCCGGGTTTGTTCTCTTTGTGGTGGATGTAAAGGAGCTGATATTTCTGTATTTAAATGTGACATAACATTTCAGACTTCTGCATACAAACTTACTAAAGCAGTCTACAGAAGATGGGACACAAGCAATGTTGACTATTAAAACAATTACACAGAACAACACCTAAGGACCACTACAACCTGCGAGAATTCAGATTATAAATCTCATAATTATTTCAATTTACAGATTCTACTTAAAAATGTTCAATCTGTGTTGGTTTCAGCTACCAGTGTGTAGAACTAGCACTAATATTTATGTATTAAACATGCAGATACAGTTTATCAGGCTGATTTGAGCAGGAAAATGCATCATAGTCCAAATCTTAATTTAAGAACTTAATTTTACGCTGGAATATCCCTTTCAGTAAATTTCCTCATTTCTATTTGATTCCCAAATGCAGTAAACACTGATATGATTAATGTCAGAACTATTTTTTTTACTGCAATTTTTTTAATTTTAAACACAACTCACTACCTTAGTAAACTACCTTAGTAAATGACATATAATGACCATGACATCTGCTCAAAGTTTCCAGTGAATAAATTTTCAAACGCTTTACTGTCATTCATGCTTAATTCAAAGTTTGATCCCAAACCTGCAGGTTGTAGTGGCCCCTAAGTTGAAGTCACAGTTTTGTTTTTTCAACTCTGATAACAAGAACCAATGATGGCATTGACTAAACACAGAGAAGTTGACATGCTGCTTTGATTCTGTTGTGCATTGCCATGTTGGTGCTGCACTGTTGCTCTGTATGCTGTCTTTTTGTGGATTTGGCTGCACTACAATACAAACCCCGGAACTGATGATCTTACTTAACCTCCCTTTTTCTTTAACATGCCAATCTCTCCCAGGGGAGTAGTCGGGTAGAGCTGGTACTGTGGCTTTAGGCTCTGACAGATTGGGAGCTTCAGTGCTGTCTGCTTAACCAGCAGTGAGCGGTCAGCACTTCTTCTACTCAGGCTGCCTCACTGCCAGCTCCTCTGCTCATGGTGGAGGCTTCTCCTGGGATACAGGTCACTGACTCGCCTTCACCGCAAAGGTGTTCACTGTCTTTTTTTGTCTTTCAGTCCCCTGACACTGTCGATGACATGCAGTTCATTGATGACGGCTCCAGCAACCCAGGTGAGTCCTCAAAGTGTCCTGTATTTTATTCATGAGGCATTGTAAAAGAGAGTGGTGAGAAAATAAGTGTGAGATTTCTCCTATCCCCTTTGATTCAGGTGAATACCTGGGATAAGCAGCTTCTGTTGGTACGATCCTGTGTGTATGTGTTTGAGTGTTTTTGTTATTGTACGCTTGAGTTAAGACAACTGAAGGTCGTGTGTCATGTTGTGTATTATTATACTCTAACCTTCCAGCTGTGTGGCAAACTGGGTTGAAGGTGTGAGGCAGGTGTGTGTCTACCTGGGTGTGCTTTGCCTGCTGTTGTTCACCAAACTATGACAAGATAGAGAGAGATTTGGTGTAACTAAACTAATACAACTCCAACTAACAGTTGACCGGGCTGTGCATGAAATCCTTAAAAGAACTGACTAAACCCGTTAATCACAGGCGATGACGATCATCTAAGGTGGCGTCTTACAGCTTGTTGATGTGCAGACACAGGGTCCAGCCTTTAGACAACTCTCCAAACAGCTGACTTTATTTTAAAAGTACGTCTGTGTTACCATGTTACCAGTTATGATAGCAAAAATATAGAAAATACAGGCTGATGCAACTTGTCGGTAATAATTAAATGTATCTGTTGGTTAGGTTGTAGGCTACTGCTCTTCACGCCGACAGGAAGACCGACTGATCAAACTCGGACCAGAAAAGCGTTTTAATGGCTAACTCTAACTTTAGCTTGCATATTACATGGTGCTTCACCGTTAACTCGGCGTGACCGAGACCAGCACAGCGGGAAACAGCGTGAAGTGGGTTGAACTGAAACTTGTTGACTACTTCACAAACTTGTTTATCTACCGCTGAGGCGGACCACTCTCCTCAGTGCGTCCCTGAGCTTCCTGCTGCAGATCTGTCACTCTGCTGTGCTGTGAGGTAGTTAGTGGATGAAGATTTTAAACATTTTATTTCTGAAAATATCTGCAAAATCTGTGAGTTTTGACTGATTACTGATTAGTCTCAAATGGACTAAAATTGGCCGATTTAATCGAATCGTTGATAAATCGGTTGGGCCTTAATACACAGTATACAATCTAAATGTTAATCAGAATTCCCCATCTGTCTGACCCCTTTAATCCAACTTGATAAGATGCTATCACAGCTGGCAGCAGCAGCAGATGGTGGGTTGCCAAGGTCAGATCTATTTATGTCCCTCAGAGATGTCAAATGCAAAAAAAAAAAAAAAAATGCAGCTAAGCACCAACACTACCAAATCCAGATTTTCTTAACTGGATTAAGACGTAAGGAAAGAGAAGGTGACCCACTTGCTAACTGTCATGTCAATAGACGGATCAATGAAATTCAGAGAGGGATTATAATACGCCTGTTATAGAAATTTAATCCTTTTTCACTGTGATTTGTATAAACCAGGTGCTTCAGTTTTTTGCATGAATTTTTGGGAAGTTTCCCGCTTGTTTCCAGCGTCTGTTCTAAATGTTGGGCTTCTCTCGCAGGTCTAAGGGATCCGCCGCTTTCTAACCTGTAAAAAATGCCCCACAGCCAAGCAGCTCTGCAGCAGATTTGATTGATGCCGTACTCTGATTGAGGTTGTCATGTTGTTTTTTTCGTTGTTGTTGACTAGGGCCCGCTGCGAGCCCTGAGGCTGAGGTCCCCTCCCCGCTACCCGCCACCTCAGCCCTGGAGGAGATGGCTCTCTACAGCAACAAGCGCAAACTGAGGCAGGGCCGCCGAAGCCTGGAAACCGCAGTGCCCACGTAACATCTCACATTGGGAGAAAACTCTGAAGACACAATCCAAACACACATTTTACACAAACTGTGGACCTCTGGTAACCCCACGGGACATCCACAGGAGGAGCAGAGTCACTAAAACACTACACAGAGTGTCAGTAGAAGAGAGTTACTCTTATATAACCACTGCAGAGACTATGAAGCTGATAGTCGCATACACACTCACATATATCCTGCGTGCCAGTCCTGCCTATACAGTCTGTGGATGAGCCGGCAAGTTGCTCAACAGTCACTCAAAGGCAAGGAAGAGCTAGTGTGGTTAGCTAGGATTGCTTCTTACAGACCATTCTTCTTATTTGTTCTTCACTCGGTTTTTCCAAGTAGAAGCAGATGTATTTTTAAAAAAGGAGGTGACAGAGGATTAGTTTTTTTTTTTAGTTTTTTTTTCACACCTCAAATAATTTGCTGTTTTTAAAAAAAAGTCATACTGGAAACGAAAAGAAATGGGTCATAGCTATACTAACTTGTTGAATGATATTTTTAGAATTTCAGTGAATAGATTGTAAAATGTCAGGGCTCTCTTTAGGTTCGGGCAGATATGAGTGTAAATATTAATTTAGGAGGGAACATCCTGCTACCTTCATGGTCACAAATCTTAGAGAGTTTTTAGGGAGAAAAACATTTTTTTTTGCACTGCCACATATCAGCTTTTAACGACACATATCTGAAGTAATTTATTGTTTTTAATCGTTTGACTTAAATTGAAGGCCTTTTACACTATTTTAATCTAACAAAAGCTTATTATCATTACACATTCTCAATAAAAGTTGCGTATCAGTAAGTCAAACCTCAAAATAGAAAGACTGCATATCTTTTTTTTTTATAAATATGTACTTTTGGTCTTTGTTGGCCTTCATGAGCTTACAGACAACAGTAAAAGTGGGGAATGACATGAAGGAAAGGGGCCACAAGGTGGGGTAAATCCTGAATATGGCAACACTTGGCTATCAGCGCCCCTTGCGTATCACTTTATAGATTTTTTTTTAACCCAATATACATTTGTTTGGATTCATGTTACATTCCCCTTACTGACAGACAAGACCACCTATCAAATTTAAAAAATTCGTTAAACACCTTTCCAGCATCTTCTATCAACCAACGGTACTTCTCCTGCCCTCTTAAGGGATACATATTTTTCATTTTATCGCTGTGAAAGTTTCATATCTGGATGTATTCCAGAGTGACGTGAAGGTAGCAGGTGTTTTATTTTTCTGTCTATGGTTAATTTAAAATCTGATGCCACTGAAAAGTCATTTATTATTGTGTGAATAATGTACAAATATTGAAAAGTTAAAACAAACTTCGGGTTTGAATCTGAGCCAGTCTTGACCTTAACCAAGTGAGTGTCTGAACTGCTGATGTGTGGAGGTTTGGACAGGCTTGGGTATCAGACGCTCTCTGCATGTATATTGGTTTGTTTATGGGAGAGCTGAGAGAGGAAGAGCTGATTAGAAATCCCTCTTTAAGACATTAATCTCACTGCTCAACGTTCTGTTCATGTATCTGATGGGTATTTTTTCAGAATCACAACACAGTAGCATTTCTTTTAATTTAATGTAGGGTCTTCTAATGATAGCTTTCTATGTTGCTCTCACTGACTGAAATTCAGTTTGTTTGATAACATTTGCATTGGCTGATATGTTTTTTAACTTACAGTAGATAATCTTTTTTTTTTCAGATGGGTTTCACTACATTATTGATGCAGTGTTTCAAGTTTTTTTGCGTTATTCTTTTGTCTTGGGTTCTCTTTGGGGCTTTTTCTTGCAAATAGATTGGAGGGAAGGGTTCAGAAGACCCAGGGTCAAGGGTTAGAGCTCACACAAGACTGTAACTAGTGAATTTGTACAACCAAAGAAGTCTATTTTGTGGTTCAGGAATAATAAATTTTACTTTTCATTTAAAAAGCTGATTTGCTGTGTTTGTCATGATGCATTTTGAAAGTAATGCTAACTGAGGTTCACATTGAGTATCTGTTATTTACATTAATCCCTTTTTTTTAAAAAGAGAAAAGGAACTCACTCAGATTACAGGTTGAATAGGAGGAAGTTTCCTCTGTCCTGCAGATAAGTTCCTGTGAACGTGAGTTGGCAGCAGCATCCTGTTGTTCCTCTGCAGTGATTTAAAAACATTTTGTTATCAGATTATGATTTAAAACCTGACTAAACCGTAGTTTCAAACAAAATTACGATTGACACCCACTCTCTTCAGTGTTCTGTCACGGGCTTTGTAGAAAGACTCAGAGCCGCTGCTATCAGGAAGAGTCTCAGGTGGCAGGCGCTGGTTATCCTCTTCCTACAGACAGCAGAAGAACGGTTAATAATACTTGATCACCATCATTAACCCACCACATGTCCAACCCTTCAGAGCTTGTACTTCTAATCTATAAATCTGGTTATTTTAAAAACTATTTGAGGCCTATATGAAATGAAAAATAGTGCAAAGACAACATATCAGATGTTGATACTGAAAACACAAACACATTTTAAAATTGAAGCCAGCAACACCTTTCAAAACAGTTGGTACAGGGGCATGTTTACAATTGTGTTGCATCACCTCGTCTTCTGACTACACACTGTAAGTATTTGGAAACCGAAGAGACGAGTTTGTGATGTTCCCTTATTACAGCATTAACCTGGTTTTTAAAGTTTATCAATCATAAGGAACGTTTTTAGTACCTGCTCCTTTTTTATATTTATGAAAGTTATTTGTTCATGTACATCTCTATTGGAAAAATCCCTCACAGAATAGACCCAATACAGTGGGTATAATACAGACTTACATGTGTTTTGGTCTTTTCCGTCATGTCATCCAGCTCCTCATCTGGTAGCGAGAGAGACTTCTCATACCATTCCTCAAATTCTAGGGCATGAACCAAAACAGTTGATTATTTCTCTGACTTTTATAGGACACCAGCTGTTGATAAGATCTGAGGTTTTTATCAAGGTTTTAGACACAGGATATTTGTAGAACTGACCGGAGAGCAGTCGCACCCTGCTCTGGTCCACAAGGTGCTCACAGTAGTTGACCTCTGCCTTGACGTCACGCAGCACTTCATATCTCTGTCGGTACAGCGCCTTTAACTCTCTGAGCTGCATCAATAAAGTGGCATCTGGCTCCTGGTGCACTGACTCATCCCCCACGGCCAAACACTGCCCTTCAATCAAAAGCATACAATGAGAGCATGTGAACATCTCAATTCTTTAAGTTCTCGCCTTTCAGTCTGGGTTCAGAATATCATTTTCCTTGTAAGTGAACGAGGTTGGTACCTCCTGCCATCTCCGTGTGCTGCTGTATGGTGGCTTCAGTGCAGTCGATCTCCCTCTTGACAGCGTTGACCTCCTCAGTGAGCTGGCGAAGAAGATTGCGACGCTCCAGCAGCACAGCCTTGTTCTCCTTTAGGGTGCAGTTGATCTTGCAGCCTTGTCCCAACTTAAAGTCCTCGAAGGCTTCAGCTCTGGGCGGAGGAGAGCTGGGCAGAGATGGTAAACTTTGACATGAACAGGATAGTATGACACCAAACTTTACATTCAGGATGATCAGGAAATCTGGCTTTAGTAAGAGTCTGTTTACAAACCAAGGGTGGGAGGGCTCCTGTCCGTCTCGGCTCTCTGTGTCTGGCTCTGGGGAGTCCAGCTCTCTCTCAGGTGTCGGGACAGAATTCAGGGTTAATTTGGAGGCACTCTCCAAGTTCTTCTTCAAAACTGGAGTCCCTGTCCCCTGTCTTTTGCTGTGGAAAGACGTCATATTTTGTCATGAGGAAACCCAGACTAAAGAAACTCTTGTCAGTTGAGTTTACTACATCCATTCAACACTTGATAGTCTCAGGAATTTGTGGTTCTGCCTTCTGTTAACTGATTTACCGTGCATATTGTTGTCATTTTAAAGCCTTTTTGGAAGATTATTGTGGTCAAAGTTATGAAATTACAGATTAGCTATTAGTAGTGCTTGATTACAGTATTAATATAGATAAACAGACAGCTATTTCTGTAAAACTCTGAGAAGAAAATTGTCGTCTCTCAGGCAGGTTTTTAGTCATAATTGTGGTCTTTTTTTTCCTATAATTTCCAATAAACTTTCTTTATGATTTTTATCAATGAGTATCCACATTATGATAACCAGGGAAAGTGTCAATTATGTCCTTCAAAACATAGATAACAAATTTAAATTCCAATTAATTTTGGCACAGACCTCACTTCAGCTCCAACATTTGATGATGTTCACGCTTGAGCACTAATATTATTTCTGTTCTTTTAAAGCATGATGTAACATTAAAAAAAAGGATCAGGTATCTGCTAAAACTTAGGGATTGTCCCTGAATATGACTGTAAAGTCTATCAGCCTCAGTGTAAAACTTTGACTCACCCGTGTTTGTCTTTTGACTGCTTGGTTTTGGCTCTGGCTGAACTTTGATGACGAGCATTTGTAGTTGGCTGAGCAAACACCCCAGAGCCACCTGAATCGACATCCTTGGTGCTGTCTCTGATATCCCTCTAAAGAGTTTACAGTGTACATAACATCTCATCACATCTTAAACACTGTGAAGTATTCACTGTAACAACAGACAAATATAATTACAACTGCTAATTTCTATTATAGAGGCCTAAACCGTACATCAGAATGCTGGCTGATCTTTCCAGCAGCTGTGTGATCCACCAAGCTAGAGGGCTGACACAGCTGGGTCTTCACCTTCTGCTCCTGATCCCTGCACACACATACATGCTGAATCATTCACTGTTAAAAAAAAAATTAAACCTTACTACAAATCTGAGAGTGAAAGGCAACTCCTACTCACTGCACAGCAAGCTTAAATTGGGCGAACACTGCTTGGACTTGCCTGACACTTGTGATCTGTAAGACAATATTATTCAGAGACACAACTGAATCTGTGACATTAGTGCCCCACACCAAAATGTGTTTTGATAGAAGAAGTGGTCTTTGTATTTCTCACACTGATTTCTTGGAGGCTTCCCTCAAGGTACCTCTGAACTTGGCTTTTAATCTCAGCCAGTTGAGCCTCAGACAGCGGCTCGTAAGTAATTCTCTGCTTTCCCACCTGGTAAAGGTAAAAAATAGGAATTAACTTTTTTAAAAGAACCAGTTAGAAACTTCTGATTATCTGATCAACATTATATACCAGGCAGAGATAATCAACCTGTGGTCACATATAACATTCAGCCAAAACTTTAACAAAAATTAAGTTTCTTTGACAACAAGGTTTTGATGTTGCGTACCAGCAATATCAGTGCCTGTCAGCTGGTGTTTTCTGTTTTACTTCCAGAGTGATTGTGACCCAGTTGCACTCCTGACAGACACCCAAATGTAGACATACTTTTTTTCTGAATCCATTGGCTTCATTTATAAGTTTTCGCCTTGCTCTGTTTGGCCATACAACCACCAAGATTATTTTGATGAGCCTGATATTCAGTATTAAACAATCTGTATGCCTGTATTCTGCTGATGTGGAAAATATATGATTTGGGGGGAAACACACTTTGGTATCATCTTTGTCCTGGGTAAAATCTATGTTTGTTTTTTGTTTTTTTTATACTTGGAATTGACATCCCTCGTTTTATTAAAATTTCTGGTTTGTAAAACCTTGCGAAATGTAGGATAATATTTATCATCTAAAATATTACTGATAGATATTACTTTATTCTGCACTTTGTGCCAATGGATATCACAAATGTCTTGAAGCCTCTCTTTACCAGCAAAGTAGCACTACAAAATTACTGTATATGTGTTGTCTTTCCACCAGCTCTACTAACCAGAGTGTTGCACTTTGACAGTTCCTCCTTCAGCAAGTCCACTTCCTTCTGAAGTTTCTTGATCTGGGCCTAATCAAAACAGATACATCACTGAATCTCCTTAACTGTACTCTCAGTTTTAGAAATTACGCTGTTAACAGTACTACTACACATTATAATTCCACAGAATGCCCTCCAGGAGAAGTTTTTATGATGTATTATTTATGTGTGAACTTACAGCTGGATCCACGTGTTCATTAATAACAGGTTTCGTCTGAACACACTTCATCCTGCCAGCAAAACGCAGAGTAGAGAGCTGCAGAGAACAACCGAGATTATCTACAGCTCAAGTGACACCATGAATTTTTTTGTTTTACTTCATACTCCTTACTGTTTCCTCTATTTGTGCAGCCTCACCGAAGATGTTGGCCACAAGTACTGTGTTGCAGTTGCCTCCTGCAGAAAGACAAACAAATGGTATGTCTCAAGAGACAGCAAAGGATTACTGAACAGCCCACCAAAAAGAAACGTTCAACTTTACTAAAAGCCACGAGCGCACTAGTCTCACCAAGGGAGTCCTTTAGGGTATGTGTGAGTTTAGTCTGCCTGAAGGGAATGTGGTCTCTGCGATGGTCTACCAGGGCAAGGATGGCCTGCTCCAAGAACGACAGAGATTTGTTGATGTACACGGACTCCTTCAACATCTGACCCTCAGACTGAACAAAGAGAATAGTGACATGAAGACAGAGAAGGTCATGAGAAGACAGGAAAGTGATGTTCTTCGTTCACTTGATTGAAGGATCAAAATACTTAAAACTGAGACTTGAAACCACACCTGCAAGCATGAGCATGATGCCGATGGTCTAACATGTTATAAAATCAGTGAAGACATTATCACTCTCACCCCAGTATTTCCCAGCCTCTCTGACCCAGCCAAATCCACCAGATTCAGCTTGGATGTCACAAACTTGGCATCCGACAGAGTGCGTGAGCGTGACTGCATATGAGAAAAACATTTTTCTTTTGTTTATAGTGAAGTTTGACATCAAAATCACAAAACACAAGGTAACTGAGCACATACCTCTATGTGCAGGGTGAAGATACAGTGGGACCTGGAGGAGTTCCTATTCAAGGCATGGGAACCAGTGATACGATTCATCTCACCCTGAGTACAAAATGAATAACTTCAAGGTTTAAATATTAAAATTCTTTAAAAAAGAAAAATCAAAAATACGTATAATACATATCATATTGGTATGTTAGTATAACAGTACAGTATGACAAAAATGTGTTAGTTTAGTACAAAATATGTCATAGTAAAGGATGATAGAAAGATATGAAATTTTGAAAAAAGAAAAGTCATAGTATAGTATGATAAAAAATGTCATAGTATAGTATGATAAAAAAATGTAAAAGAATAATATGTTAAAAAGGACAACATATAGTATGATAAAAATGTCATTTTTCAGTGTGATGAAAGGTCATAATATAGTATGATAAAAATGTTATAGTATAGTGTGATAAAAAATGTCATAGTATAGTATGATAAAAATGTCATATTCCAGTGTAAAAAAAGGTCATAGTATAGTATGATACAAATGTCATAGTATAGTATGTTAAAAATTGCAAAGTATCGTACGATAAAAATGTCAGATTTCAGTCTGAAAAAAAACGCCATAGTAAAGTGTGACAAAAATTTCAGATTTTAGGGTGAAAAAATAATTTCAGATTTTATGATGAGAAAACATGCCAAAGTATTGTCTTATTAAAATGCCATAGTATAGGATGTTAAAAAAGTCATACTTAAGTTGGAAAAAAACCATCATTTTTTAGGCCTAAAAAAGGAACGCCATAGTATAGTATGACCAAAAATTCAGATTTTAGGGTGAAAAAAATTTTCAGATATTATGATGAAAAAACATGCCAAAGTATTGTCTTATTAAAATGCCATAGTAAAGGATGTTAAAAATGTCATACTTAAGTTGGAAAAAAAAAGTCATTTTTCAGTCCTTAAAAAAAAAACGCCATAGTATAGTATGACCAAAATATCAGATTTTAGGGTGAAAAAAAATTTCAGATTTTATGATGAAAAAACATGCCAAAGTATTGTCTTATTAAAATGTCATAGTATAGGATGTTAAAAATGTCATACTTAAGTTGGAAAAAAACTATCATTTTTAAGTCCTAAAAAAAAAACACCATAGTATATAGTATGACCAAAAATTCAGATTTTAGGGTGAAAAAATAATTTCAGATTTTATGATGAGAAAACATGCCAAAGTATTGTCTTATTAAAATGCCATAGTATAGGATGTTAAAAAAGTCATACTTAAGTTGGAAAAAAACCATCATTTTTTAGGCCTAAAAAAGGAACGCCATAGTATAGTATGACCAAAATTTCAGATTTTAGGGTGAAAAAATAATTTCAGATTTTATGATGAAAAAACATGCCAAAGTATTGTCTTATTAAAATGTCATAGTATAGGATGTTAAAAATGTCATATTTAGGTTGGAAAAAAATTTCATTTTTCAGTCCTTAAAAAAAAAACGCCATAGTATAGTATGACCAAAATATCAGATTTTAGGGTGAAAAATTTTTTCAGATTTTATGATGAAAAAACATGCCAAAGTATTGTCTTATTAAAATGCCATAGTATAGGATGTAAAAAAAGTCATACTTAAGTTGGAAAAAAACTATCATTTTTAAGTCCTAAAAAAAAAACGTCATAGTATAGTATGACCAAAATTTCAGATTTTAGGGTGAAAAAATAATTTCAGATTTTATGATGAAAAAACATGCCAAAGTATTGTCTTATTAAAATGTCATAGTATAGGATGTTAAAAATGTCATATTTAGGTTGGAAAAAAAAATTTAATTTTTCAGTCCTAAAAAAAAAACGCCGTAGTATAGTATGACCAAAATATCAGATTTTAGGGTGAAAAAAATTTTTCAGATTTTATGATGAAAATACATGCCTAAGTATTGCCTTATTAAAATGTCATAGTATAGGATGTTAAAAATGTCATATTTAGGTTGAAAAAAAAAATTTCATTTTTCAGTCCTTAAAAAAAAACGTCATAGTATAGTATGACCAAAAATATCAGATTTTAGGGTGAAAAAAAATTTCTGATTTTATGATGAAAAAACATGCCAAAGTATTGTCTTATTAAAATGCCATAGTATAGGATGTTAAAAATGTCATATTTTAGCAGGGAAAAAAAAAGTCATTTTTCAGTCCTAAAAAAAAACGTCATAGTATAGTATGACCAAAATTTCAGATTTTAGGGTGAAAAAATAATTTCAGATTTTATGATGAAAAAACATGCCAAAGTATTGTCTTATTAAAATGTCATAGTATAGGATATTAAAAATGTCATATTTAGGTTGGAAAAAAAAATTTAATTTTTCAGTCCTAAAAGAAATGTCATAGTATAGTAGGACCAAAATATCAGATTTTAGGGTGAAAAAAAAATTCTGATTTTATGATGAAAAAACATGCCAAAGTATTGTCTTATTAAAATGCCATAGTATAGTATGTAAAAAATGTCATATTTTAGCAGGAAAAAAAGTCATTTTTCAGTCCTAAAAGAAATGTCATAGTATAGTAGGACCAAAATTTCAGATTTTAGGGTGAAAAAATAATTTCAGATTTTATGATGAAAAAACATGCCAAAGTATTGTCTTATTAAAATGTCATAGTATAGGATGTTAAAAATGTCATAGTATAGATAGATAAAAATGTCATATTTCAGTGTAAAAAGGGTGATAGTATAGTATGATAAAAATGTAAAAGAATAATATGTTAAAAACGACAACATATAGTATGATAAAAATGTCATTTTTCAGTGTGATAAAAGGTCATAATATAGTATGATAAAAATGTTATAGTATAGTGTGATAAAAAATGTCATAGTATAGTATGATAAAAATGTCATATTCCAGTGTAAAAAAAGGTCATAGTATAGTATGATACAAATGTCATAGTATAGTATGTTAAAAATGTCAAAGTATCGTACGATAAAAATGTCAGATTTCAGTCTGAAAAAAAACGCCATAGTAAAGTGTGACAAAAATTTCAGATTTTAGGGTGAAAAAAATTTTCAGATATTATGATGAAAAAACATGCCAAAGTATTGTCTTATTAAAATGCCATAGTAAAGGATGTTAAAAATGTCATACTTAAGTTGGAAAAAAACTATCATTTTTCAGTGCTAAAAAAAAAACGCCGTAGTATAGTATGACCAAAATATCAGATTTTAGGGTGAAAATTTTTTTTCAGATTTTATGATGAAAAAACATGCCAAAGTATTGTCTTATTAAAATGTCATAGTATAGGATGTTAAAAATGTCATTTTTTAGCGGGGGAAAAAATTTCATTTTTCAGTCCTTTAAAAAAAACGTCATAGTATAGTATGACCAAAATTTCAGATTTTAGGGTGAAAAAATAATTTCAGATTTTTTGATTAAAAAACATGCCAAAGTTTTGTCTGATTAAAATGTCATAGTATAAGATATTAAAAATGTCATATTTAGGTTGGAAAAAAAATGTCATTTTTTTAGTCCTAAAAAAAAAAAAAACGTCATAGTATAGTATGGCCAAAATGTCAGATTTTAGGGTGAAAAAGAATTTCAGATTTTAGGATGAACAAACATGCTAAAGTATTCTTTAATCAAAATGCCATAGTATAGGATGTTAAAAGCTTAATATTTTAGCAGGGGAAAAAAATTATATTTAGTCTGAAAAAAAACGCCATTGGATAGTATGACCAAAATTTCAAATTTTAGGGTGAAAAAAAAAAATACCAGACCACCCACCTCAAACAGCATATTGAGAGCCTCCTCTTCATTGTGGACAGGATGAAGTGATAGACCTTGAATGTACACACCTCTGCCTGGTTCCTCCATCACAACCATCCCTTGAGGTGACGAGTGTGGGGACCCACACAGTGATGACAACAAATCTATCAGGCTCTCATTGTAGATCTCCAGATAGGACAGGTGCACAGAGAAGGCATACTCTGTCCTTTTTCCCACCTGTTGTAAGACCTGAATATCATTTTAGAGATTTGAAATATTAGGTTTCCCTCGACTGAAGTTTTCAGGGTGTTTAGGGGTGAATTCAAAAATATTTAAATATTTTGTGAATTACGAATTACCTCCTGGAGAACTCGAGGGATGATACCCCTTTGGTTGTATGAATCTGTGGACCCTGTCATGGTGTAGGTCTTTCCTGAACCTGCCTGCCCGAAACACATCACAGTACCTGAAAAACACCACAAACTACTACACCCTCTTTTCATAGAAGTTGAATCATAAATATCCTTGACACACTTGTATCAATATATTAAAAGACATTGTTAGATTAACTACACATGTATTAAGATAATTAAGATAATATTAAGATAATTAAGCTGTATTAAGATAAACAGGTCTACCATTATAGCCATCTAGTGCTCCCAGCACCACCCTCCTGCAAACTCTTGTGTACACCTCCTCTTGAGAGACATCCTGCAGGATTCCCTCCAGCCTGAATGACTGGGAGCTAAGCTGACCTTTACGTCTTTCATGGAGCTGCCTGGAGTCTTTATAGTGATGGATGTTCACCGTCTGCAGGATGAGAGGCAAAAGCAAGTCTTGAGTCTTCAAGTAAACTCAAGAAACTCTTCCAAAACTCCATGACAGATTTTAATCACAGGCAAAAACTACAGCCTGTTTGATGGGCTGTTTGTTCAGGACTGGCTTGAGAAAATCACAAAGCATGGGTTAAACTATCACAAGAAAAAAAAAAAACTGATGTGTATGTAAATTAGAGGCCTTTCAACTGCATATATGTCTGCTAGCTAAATGGTTTGAGGCTGTCACCTGGGAATACTCTTTCAGAGCAGCTTTAATAGGGTTTAGCTCAGTTTCTCTAAGTAATAATACTGAAAAGAGTTACCTGTCCGTCAGGGAGACATTCAATGAGGTCTTTAGCGAAGTTAGCCGTTGGCCTGATTCGGACAAACACTTCGACCTCACTACTTTGAGCCTTCATAACTTCTTTAGACAGAAAAACGGCGTCAATTCAACTACTAAATAAGCTCTAGAGTAAAAAGTTTACAAACTCTATGAACTAAAAACACCCGAAGTACCGTGAAATTAAGTTTTTATTAGCTAGACTGGGTCAACACTACTGCTAACTTCGGCCAATTTTCTACGTTTACCTTTTGGAGTTTCCAACAGCACCATGGCAACGACCGCGCGTGCACACAGCGAGCAAGTGGCAGAGCGCACGCGAATCATGTACCACCTGAGCATTTAGGGAGGTAAGGAGGGTCATGTAACAAAATGGAGTGATTTTAAAAGCATTTTCACTCAAAATGTCACATTCATTCAGGAATAATAACGTTATTCGTGTAAATGAATATTTTTGTTTTCTTTCTTTGTAATATCTGAGCTATAAACTGAAAGAAATCGACCAAAATATCTTAAAATAAAAGAAGAATTTAGTCACATTATTTCATACCATCTCCCAAAAGATAGCTGGGAATCTGTGGTTAATTATAAATAAAATAAGCTAATCACCAATCATTAAATAAACTGTTTTAACATTATGAAATAGGGGAGACTGGTGCTTGTTGTCACACGGGTAAGTTGTCACGTTGTAATTATCTTTGCCACCAGAGGGCGCAACTAAACAGTTTTATTCGTTTACATGGTCAGGGGACGTGTCCTGCCTTAGAAAAGAAGAGCACATTGTGAGCTGAGATAGGCACCAATTAACCATTTCCCACAACCCAAAGCAAAAAAAAATTACTTTATATATTCTAAAGTAAGTTTCTTCCTGATGAAAATCCAAGCAGTGAAACATGTGGACTTGTTTGAGGAGAGATTAAAGCATCCTGTCATACCTCAGTCATTGTTCTGTTTTAAGCTAACTTCAAACTAGAGCTAGAATTAGCAAATATGGTAGTTGATTGCTTATCACTCTGCACTGACACAAGATATGAAAATGACATGAATATGAGATATATACCTGAGACTTTGGTCTTTCATCTGGTTCACATTTTGTTTATATATGATGTATTGATTACAAGAAATATATAAGAGTGTAAAAAGTGTGACAACAAGCCCCGGTCTCCCCTATAAACAGAACTCGACATTCAGATATTCCAATGCATCAGAGGACATGGGGCTATATAGGTGCTTAAATCTACAGCAATGAAGTCTCCAATTCCCTACAGGGCCAGACTCCACCCACTGACATGGACTGTATAAAGCAGGAGTACGCTCAGATTGGAGGTTAATCAATGTCCAAGATGAGAGGAATCATACTTTCCTGTTTGGTAGGATTGGCTGTTGCTGCCCCAACCACAACCTTATGGGTACGACTTTTTGATTTTTCATAAATTTACCAACTCAAAGAGATAATGCAGATGATCAGACCTAAATTACTTAAACAGCATTTTAGTTTGTGTTAATTCTACACAAATTCAGTCCAATAAACATTGTCATTGGATTTCATTCCCTTTCAATTCAAAGGCAAGTTTGCAAGCTTTAGACTTTTATATTACTTATCAGATCAGAGTCATTAGCATGTACCATTTCTTGCTATGATTACAGTTGCCCAATTGTGCTAGGCATCAAAAGTCAAAGTCCTCACTATACAAACAGTTTCAGATTTCAGTGACTCCGATTAAAGTTATCATGAGGCAGTAAATGATCTCTTGAATAGAGGGATAGTTTGATGAAAAAAAAAGGATAAATACAATTAAGAAATCAAGCTTACAACAGTGAAAAAAATGTGTGTGATAAGATAATCTCCATCTTTAACACTGTTTTTTAAGGTTCAAATTAAAGAGAGTCAAATCTTCTGTGTCAGTCACCTTAGATTGTCTGTTTGTTTGTTTACGAGTTTTCAGCAGTTGCTGGTCCAATTCCTGGAGATGACCCTTAGCTGCATGTCATCTCTCTCTCTCCCCTTATTTCCCATCTCTTTCCTGCTGTTTTGTCTGAAAATAGAAAATATGCCTGAAAATTAGTTAAAAAAACAAACAAACAGAAAATTACCCAGGTGTTTGTGTTAAGCTAACACTGTTGAGTCTTTGGACTAATGTTATATTATTCAAATATTTTTAAATGTTTCAGATGCTACCAGGAAGTACAACACCGTTGTTTGCTCAGCCATTTTTGGATGATGAAGTTTTAGTCAAACATCCTAATGAAACAACAGTGCTCACCAACTCATCAATGGTGAGTGGATTTACTTCCCCTCTGACTGTTGTATTATCTGAGGGTGGTTATTAATTAACTCATTTCATTTGTCTTTGGAAAGTTTCCAATATATGTATGTCACCTATCAAATAATACAAACTATCTTTTAATCGGGTGACCCATTAAACTGCAATTGAATCATATTGAATTTGATTTGTCTAAATCATTTGCATCTTAGTTTTAAAATCTTAATTTAACTGCAGAAACTTTTGTTTCAGACAGAGGAAGGCCAAGAAAACGTCAAAGAACAGGTGGGCACTTAAAATATTCTCAGAGTTTTCTGTAAAAGTTTGAGGAATAAAAGCTTAACATGAATTTTTTTTTAAACTTGGTGTCAACTCCTTACTTATTCTAAGTGTGCTGTGTCTTCCTTCACCTCGCTTTGTCATCTGTATTAAATTATAAGGATTTGGTCCCAACTAAAAATACCCAGAGTTTACCAGCACCTGCTGCACTAAGAATGGACTCCGAATGAGACAATAAAGATATCAGCAGACTGAATGTCATGAAATCAACCCAAGATAAATCTGAATCGTGTTAATTAAGTGCTATGTATTTTTATTTTAGTTACCAAAAAGAGGTACAGCCCCAACTGAGAAGAAACCAAGAGAATACATACCATAGAGAATGGTAAACATAACAACTTGCAGTGGATTAGAGTGGATAAGCAGCTGTTTTTTTGTTTTGTTTTTTTTTTGCCTTACTTTAACAATATTTTAGTTTGTGTTAATTCTACACAAATTCAGTCCAATAAACATTATCATTGGATCTCATTCCCTTTCAATTCAAAGGCAAGTTTGCAAGACTTTTATATTACTTATCAGATCAGAGTCATTAGCATGTACCATTTCTTGCTATGATTACAGTTGCCCAATTGTGCTAGGCATCAAAAGTCAAAGTCCTCTCTATACAAACAGTTTCAGATTTTAGTGAATCCGATTTAAGTTATCATGAGGCAGTAAATGACCTCTTGAATAGAGGGATAGTTTGATGAAAAAAAATAGAAAATATGCCTGAAAATTAGTTAAAAGAACAAACAAACAGAAAATTACCCAGGTGTTTGTGTTAAGCTAACACTGTTGTGTCTTTGGACTAATGTTATATTATTCAAATATTTTTAAATGTTTCAGATGCTACCAGGAAGTACATTTCCGTTGTTTCCAGATTTGGATGAATTTTTAATCAAACATCCTAATGAAACAACAGTGCTCACTAACTCATCAATGGTGAGTGGATTTACTTCCCCTCTGACCGGTGTATTATCTGAGGGTGGTTATTAATAAACTCATTTCATTTGTCTTTGGAAAGTTTCCAATATATGTATGTCACCCATCAAATAATATAAACTATCTTTTAATCGGGTGACCCGTTAAACTGCAATTGAATCACATTGAATTTGATTTGTCTAAATCATATGCTTCTTAGTTTTAAAATCTTAATTTAACTGCAGAAACTTTTGTTTCAGACAGAGGAAGGCCAAGAAAACGTCAAAGAACAGGTGGGCACTTAAAATATTCTCAGGTTTTTTTTTAAACTCGGTGTCAACTCCTTACTTATTCTAAGTGTGTTGTGTTAATTAAAAGGAACTGATCCCAACTAAAAATATCCAGAGTTTACCAGCACCTGCTGCACTAAGAATGGACTCCAAGGTGAGACAATTAAGATATCAACAGACTGAATGTCATGAAATCAACCCAAGATAAATCTGAATCTCTTGTAAGAAAATATGTCTAGAATTGTAACAACAAACACTTCAGTTTTTCTTCTGGTTTTAGAGCAGTCAGCCTCTTTGTCATGAAAATAAAACAAATCAACAAAAAACACGCACTGCATTACATGCAGACACGACTCAACTTATACTAGTGGAGTATTACATATCTAAAATATTTAAAATTATGCTAAAATTTATGAAATTTTCTGTTAGTTATAAAAATCAAATAATGCATGATTCATTTATGTAACACCCAGAATTAAAATGTGTTCAAGTATCTGGTAATAAGAGAAAAGTTTTGGTCACATTTGCAAAGAGTAAAGTATTAGTTGTATAATAGAGCCTCTGAGCAAGCAGATCATGTTTGTGTAGGCTTCCACATGTGCAAACAAATCCCAGTTTGGACTTTGATATTAAACCAGAACTGAACGGATTTACGGTTAAGAGGTGTAACAGACTCCACCTACTGACACTGACTCTATAAAGCACGATTACAACACATTTGATGCCATTTAATGTTGAAGATGAGAGGACTCACTGTGCTGTGTTTGGTGGGGCTCGTCCTTGCTTCCTCGGTAAGACTGCGTGTTATGATTGTCATCCTCAGTTTTTGATTTTTTTGGGGCTATTGCTTTACTGTGATGAAAAACCTCAGGTCAATAACCCTGCAGAGGCAGCGTAAACTGAAAGGCAGGACGGTTTTACAGACACTAAATCTTGTGGTTATGAGAATGCTATTTGTTTATTTATTTAAGTTCTATTCATTCATTTATTTTGGCGTTATTTAAGTGCTATGTATTTTTATTTTAGTTACCAAAGGGAAGCACAGCCCCAACTGAGAAGAAACCAACAGAGGTCAAACCACAGATATTGGTAAGCACAACAACTTGAAGAGGAATAGAGTGGATAGTGGATTAGTCATATAGAAGCAGGATATTGTTTTTTGTATGTGTTGTTGATTAAACCCAATAGAAACAGTTTTCATTTAGTACACAGTTAAATATCCCATTCTACTTTGAAAAGGCAACCTAGGAAACTCACATTGATTATGCAGTAATGATGAATGATTTCAGGTTTACAATTCTTGGACTCCTCTTGAAAACGCACAGGGCTTTGGTCCTGAACCAACCGATGGACCTGTGAGTGAGGTAGGAAGCTAATCATCTACAATACACACCTTAAAACACAGATCTGATACAGAAAAGGAGGCAAAAGAGCGTATAACAATAATTTCAAATGTTTTATTTTTATTGTAAGCTGTATATCTTAAATGTTGGTCTTCCTTTTTTTTCCAGGGGGTGCAAAAATGACAGCAGACAGACAGAAGGACTGAACAGATACCAACATGTTGACAGGGATGACATTTCAATAATCTGCTGGTGTTACTGCCTCCTTCAAATAAACATTTCAAGTCTGTTGTGTGAGAAACTTCTTTTTAATTCATCAATTTGCTTCGTACAAGGTTTTTTTTCTTTTCAAAAAGATCTGTCACTTCCACAAATTCAACCAGTTCGTCAAAGTCAACACCTGTCTGACAACATGACACACATCGGGAATTACGCGAGTGATTATGAGAGGGAAGGCAGGTCAATTTTCCACATCTACAGATTCAGACAAGACTTCATTCACAAGGATCACTTTATTTTTTTATGTTAGGCTCTTCTGTTTTTATTACAAGATTATCTACGTCCACCAAAATTGTCCCAGTGGGAATCGACTCCTCCTGACATCTCTGATGGAAAGGACACAGAACATAAATCCAGTTATCTTCAGCTTTCTGAACCAACTTTGCTTTTGGTAAAAACACACTTTAACTGGGCGTCCCACTTATTTTTAGGTGGACTCGATTTGTTTAAACAGACTAGTCCCTGTTTCTCCTGACCTGTTCTGCACAGGTCTGACAGCATGTTCACTTGGAGGAAAAAACCTCAATAAAAGATGGTTAAAACTAGGATGTGAACTCAATGTAGCCAAACAATCTCAACAAATACGCATCTAAAGTGGTTTCCCATTATTTTCTTGACAATGTAACATCTGTGATCATCTGGTGTCGAACCACAGTGAAGTTTTTGTTTCTAAAAGAGTACTTTGAGATCACACACGTGTTTTAATTTCTCCTTTTTTTGATGTCAGAAAACAGGAAGACCAAAATAAAGTAAGGGCAGCAAAATCAAGCAATGGATATGAAAAAAGTTAGTAATCATAATCATCTGGCAAACTTCAACGGCACTACAATGCTGAACAAGAAAGGATTTTTTGTGTGTGTGTGAATACGCGTATCTGGGATTTCGTCACAGAGTGGTGAGATCCAGAGGCGGCGTCCTGTAAGACAACAAGCAAAGTTCTCCTCGGATGACGAAGCAGTTTCTTTCTATCAGTAAGGCCACTTTATGTAGAAATTCTAATCGAGGACCACAACCTGTCACTTCTCGTCCGTAGATCTTTGCAGAGTGTCATCAATATGAAGGAAAAGAAACAAAGCTTCAAGTTTCTAACTCAAAGAGCCGGATGGCCAGCTTTGATGTGTGTGTGTGTGTGTGTGTGTGTGTGTGTGGGCAGCGGGGTTGGTGTTCGCCCCTTTCACCACCTCCACAAAAAAAACAAGCTCAGTCCATACTATCACCACCAGCTATACCGCTGAGGTAGTACTCCCACTATCCAAAGCCCCAACCGCAACTCAAAAAACCACCCCAATATACCATGTGCGATTGGGTTATAACGATCTTGCAAAAAAATAGATATTTTCACAGAAGTTTGTAAAATCATCTTGCCTAAAGTTATCTTCAATCCTCTGTGGCTTTATCGAAGCAGGTTTAAGTCTGAAGAAGTTGCGCCATACAACTGCTGCTCCGAGTACAATCCACAAAGGACAACTATGTTGCCTTTTGTTGTTGCTGCAGTTTTGGGTGTTTGTTGCTAATTCCTTTTCAATATTCCCTCTGTCATCAGCCCCTTCAGATGCAGTCCTTCAGTTTTGCCAACCAAATGCATGGACAGAGTGTTGCTGATTTATTAAAGGGGTTGTGTCTGTGTCTGTGTGTGTGTGTGCTGCAGTGGAGTTGCTGTATGTGATTATTCAAATGTGGATGCGTGTATGTGAGTAACCAGAGTGATGATGGTGGCAGGACTGCAGCCAACGCAGCTGGATTCAGCTTCCTTCCAGGGCTGGGCTGCACCGTGCTGAAGGGGCCGGGGGGACGGAGGGGAGAGGCTCTACTTATCCCCCAGGATGGCGTACTGGTTGTCAAGCTGCAGCTGCTGCATAGAAGCGCCACCGGTCTCCTCTCTGCCACGGTTCCTGTGTTTCACCACCTCGAAGGTCTTCTCCATTTCTCTGTCCCTGAAACAAAGACATGCGTCAACTTAGTTTAATAAAAACCTTTAAAAAAAACGTCTAAAAATTTTAAAATTCTTCTCTCTGCTTACTTGCGTGTCTCCACGTGCTTGGCGGTGGCCAGTAGAGAGGGGAATTGTGTGTCGCTGTAGATCTCAGGGGGTCCCTGGTTGTGTGTGCGTTTGGTGGTGGTCAGCCGAGCCCCTGGAGGGCGGTATACACCAGCAGGCTTCGACTCAGGCACCTCAACTTCCTCTGGAAAATTAAAATGGTGACAGATTTGATAAATTTTGATATAGTTAGGGGTTTACAATTTCAAATATTTTTTTCCATTTTCATAGATACCCATGGACTGGAGCAGCAGTTTTACTCACCCACAGGTGCAGCTGGAGCTGGAGCAGCACCAGACTTGTTCCAGGGACCAGACACTTTGTCTCCACTGACCAGAATGATCTCACCATCTTCACCAACCTCCTCCTTCTCGTACTCCTCTTCCTCTTTCTCATCACTGCAAAAAGATTTAAAGTCATTTAAACAAGTATGTAAATTCTGAATGATGACAAATTAAAAAAAAATGCACAATGTATGATATTAAAGTTGTATGAAGACTAGTTAATGAAGCTTCTCTTTAACACTTTTCGTTTTGTCTGGTTATAAAACTACAAAACTGTTCAGTCCATCTGAAATCAGATTACTGTATGCTCCATTAGTTCATTCTGTCTTTGCAGATGTTTATACTTTTCACTGAGATTGATCCATTCTATTCTTTTCTTGGATTGATCTGTTTACTGTTTTCAGACTAATACCACTGTTCATAAAGGATTTTATCTCTTAAATGAGTTTTTATATCAAATTTATTGTTCTCCATTTGTATTATTGATGAATTCTATGTACAAGCTGGGTAGCTTTATTGCTTCCTTGTATTTGTCTTCAATAAATTGTACATTATTACTCAAGTGTTTTCCTGTGAGTGCAGTAAATCACTCAATTTTATTTCTTGGATGATGTATGCACAAAATATCTCATTATAAGTAATATAGGCTACTGTGAATTCACACATTCAAATAAAGATCTAGTTTCAAGATTCTGAAGGCAAATTCTTCTTGACAAGTTCCTTGCAATAACTACTACATCTGGTTTAAAGAAACTACTCATAAAAATCTTACTTGCAGCATCATCAGCTATTGTTTCTTACTGCAGTAAATAAAGTTGTTATTTTTGGCTTGTTATAAGTCATGTTAAAACTACACATTGGAAAATAATATGCTTTTGAATGTCTGAAAAAAATGAAAAAATGTCTTTTTCCAACGTGTTAGAAGTGCTGAGAACATTTTGTACATATTACTTTGACTTGAGAATCTTTACGGATTTATAGTTTTACCATCTCAGAAAATTGCAGTTTAAGTTATTGTACTTAAGTATTTTAGTACCCACTCCATCCCTGCCAACAAGAGAGGTTATCAAAGTTATTTAGAATAAACAATAAGTGTTTTTAAACTTTATTCTTCAGTATAGCATGATTCGAGACAATTATTTCTTAACCATTTTTAATGTTTTACATTTTTAGTTTGACTCATATGTTTTACTTAAGTTGTGGGTGATCAACACTCCCAGGTACTTTATGGATTTTAACTCCCAGTTAATATTGTATTTCTGTTTGACCATGTTATTGGGGGAATAATTTATCAGGAGAACATGTGTTTTTGTGATATCGAGTTTATAACCTGACATATAGCCATATGTTTCCAGAGTAGAAATAAGATTAGATAATGTTAGGTCTGGGTCTTGTAAAAATATAATAATATCATCAGCAAAAAGTCCTATCAAATGAAACTCATCTGCTATATTTATACCTTTTAAATCCTGGCTTTGTCTGATTTTTGGGCTAAGGGTTCAATTTAGATGGCAAACAGAGAAGGGCTAAGGCAGCACCCCTGTCGAGTATAGGGGTGCTGCCGGAATCTATCTGTCAGGTGTCAGTTAATCTTTACTATTGCTGTTCAATATGTGTTTTAAGTATTGCTGGATTGTGTGTAGTGAAGCAGACTGATGATCAAAAGGTAACTGGAACTGATGTGTCTGAGTAAGAGGGATTTTAATTCATAGAGATGCTAATCCAGCAGCCAGGTGTATGGGAACTACATGATGGAAACACACAAAGACATATTTCTTTTTTACCTTATCTGTAAAGCTTGGAGCCGAAGCCCGCTGTAGTCCACTTCTTTTTGCTCAAACTCTTTCCATTCTTCATCCTCCTTGGCAGAATTAAAGCAACAAACACAGCACATACAATCACGTTAATAACTCCTTTTGCCTTTAAACGATGTGGGGGATAAAGTAGTCCAAGTGTCAGCTTTTTTGGACAGTATTAAGCATGTATTCACAGGGAATTAAAACAGTGTATATTTCAGCCTTTAAGGCGGTCAGCCCAGTAACTAGATGGAACAAATGGCGGCCCGGCCTAGCTGGACAGCCACGATTCACAAACGTGAGTGACAGCTTTCCTATGAAGACATACGCTTACAATCACACTATTAACAACAAATACGACATAGGAGAAAAGCTTGGGGCTGTCCAGAAAGGATATGTTCAATATATATAAGTATATATCTCGTATAAATGTGAACCATATGCTACGTTTGCGACCAACCGGCATTTTCATACTTCACACCAAATCTGCTCAGAGTCCCTATTAAAGTTTGTCCAATCTGAACTATAAAAGCTGACAGCGTGCCAATGAATGTCATATTTTAATAAGAAGCAGATTTTGACATGATTTTGACTCGATCTAGGCCGATAAAAAAGTTCCACTTTTTATACCAAAACCGTCACCTTTTCAATCTGGGCGTCCTGATTCTCGTTTTTCGCCGATTTTTCCTTCTCTCTCTTGGTCTTCTTCACCGCAGCAGACGCAGGTCCCCCGCCGGAGGTCTCTTTGCCCTTTCCTTTCTCTTTCTTCTTCTTTTTATCCCGCTTGGCAAAGAAATCGTCCAGACTCTTCTCTGGTGGAACATCCGCCATTTTCAAAGAGCGGCGTTAACTCGTCAGCTAATCGAGCAATGACAAAGGTGAAAATCTGCTCCCGGAGAAACACAACACCGACTCAAACAGTCAGTACAGACGGAGTTACTCTTCAACCTGCGGGTTAAACTTGTGTTACAGGCCGGTAAAAACTGTCCACCCCGGATCTCTGACTGCAACGTTAGCTACCCTGTCAACCATGCCATGCACGAGCTATTTGACAAATCTGGTCCGTAACCCGGAAACCCTGATGCTTATCCGGAAATACTTCATCTGTCTGCAAAAATAAAAGCATGATATCAATCATAAACAGTAGGGGAGAGTGGGATAAGATGAGCCATTTTTCACATTTTGGATCACTACATCAAGGCAATCATAGTTTTGTCTTTAACTAGTGTATCTGCATGTATTTTAAAGATGTTGTGTATCCCTGCAAACCAACTGAATGAGTGAAAACCATCGACTGTATATATTATGGACAATTTGGTTCCACCTTGCTTCAGTATATGGATTTGAAGCCTAAAAGCTCAAATGTAATTCTGCATTTTTCTCAATTTTCTCCATTTCGCAGTAGTGTTTTCCGAACTCAACCACTTGCGCAGTAGCGTTGTACGCAGTGGTGGCTCCTCTCTCTTCACTGCAGGACAGAAAGATTCAGAAGATCTTTTGTACCATCAGAATTTCCCTTCTGGGATTAATAATAAAGTTATTCTTAAATAACAGTCACTTCTTCACATTCATATGTATTTTTTTCTATTATACACTATTCAACTGGTTCAATAATTCTTGTATTATTATTGCATATAACTGCTAAAAAGCTGTTTTGTAACAAGTCATTTTAACATGAGAATGTCTTTAAGTGATTCAGAACATTCACAGCTGTATTTGTGAAAAGAAAAAGTCAAACATTTCAACAATCTGAACTGAAACTCTGATCCTCTCATCAGACTCCTTTACTTTCTCCATTGAGCTACTGGCTTAACTTACCCCTGAACTACTATCATGACTTTATTAGTCCTCTAAGTTAAAATGGTGGACTTTTATGCTAAGTTTTTTAGCTGATGTTGTAGCTCATAGATACCACAATTGATGTATGAAACAAATTTTATAATGATCTTTTTTTGGTCTGAACTAAATTCTGATAAAACTTTTGACAGACTAAATTCACTTCAAGAGTGAAAAATGTTTTTTTGTAGATAAATGTCTAACCCCTTCACCCATGTGCTTTTAACCTTCACAGACTCCATAAATGGATGCCCATCTCCAAAATATTTGGTCACATGATCAATTTCTTTTACCATTTCCAAGCAACAGGGGGTGGTTCAACTTACCCTTTGGCTCAACTTACCCCACCCTTCCCTATTAGGGAAAGCGGTTTAAAGACAAAACATTAAAGAAATGCAATGCAACAGAATTTAAGAATTTTATAATAACAAAAGCACAAATCAAACATAAAAGTAAGCTTAACTAATCTCAATAGAGATGTCAGTGTCAGCACGGCATGTTGTGATCTAACTTAACACAATGTCATTATGAAGAACCAATTTTTTTCTAGATTGCATTAAAAAATCCCCAAATAATGAGGAAGCAAGCGATATCATCCAAAACTGGTTTGTTAGAACCAGATAAATGAGTTTAGAGAATAACTGATCTGAAATAAACTCTTTGCTTTGCTTTTAGGTGAATTTGTCTACGGAAGAATATATGCTGTTTTCCGAAAAACAAAAACAAAAACAAAGATTAAATCAGTTAGAATTTTCACCAAACAGCTAGAAGTTACTCCTTAAGGGAAAATGGAGTGAATAAAATTAATGGGTGCATAAGTGCTTTAGGCTTCTGTAATATACCAACCAATCTACTGCTTCTTTCATCATCAATTTTACACTTAAGTCCAAATTTTGAGAAACGATCCTACAATTTTGACTTTGCCATGATTATCATGCTATTCCTAAATCGTCTCCTTTTTTTATTTGAACTTTCTTTAAATGTCTGAGTATTTATTTAATTAATCTAAATGAATTTTTTGATGAACGTGTTTTAATGTAGCTGCTGTTTCAAGGTGAAGCTTGATAAAATTCAACATTTAACTGAATTTTCTGCATTGTCATTAAGTTACAGCACCAGGCAACCCTTGGGGACTGCATGTAATCACATGGTTGTTTATCAAGGAGAGCAAATGAGAAACTTTTACTATTAAATTTTCAAAATATTTGCAGGGTTAATAGCGTAAGCGAATGAAACATTCAGTTCTTGTTTTACTTGCAGATTTATTTGGATTTTGCTCCAAACCCTCACTTCTAATTAAGCCTCTCCTCAGCTGTACAGCAGGCCTGTAAACAGATTATTGAACTGACGTCATATTCCCAGAGCTGCAGGTCACTTGACCAGAAGCACCACTGGTGCACAAAGAGAAAGTTCCAGGTCTCATCGTCAATAGATGTGCTGTGGTTTGCAAGACTATTAACTGGTCTTTGTTATACAGTAAACTCCTATGTGTAATATCTGACTCACACATACAGCACATTCACTCTAAATCAGACAAACACATTGATTGAAGTGTTTTTTCTTTGTTTTATTGCTCAGCAGTAAAAAGTACAGTGTATACTACAGTACAAAAAAATACATAATGTTGAACACTGCTCCACCGTGCCACTGAACGTTTTGTAAAATATCCACTTTGAGCGTGCAAAACAAGAAGCCCAGCTGAGAGCATCCAATGCAGGAAATATCAATATGTTTAACCGTTTTACCCAACATTACCGCTTCAGTCAACGGCTTCAGAACAACATCTCACAATGCAGAACATCTCCAGCGACGACAGAGGCAGGCAGCATCGATTATTGAATAAAACTGCAGCAATGCAACGTAAAACTGATGAAAGAAGGACCACAGATTCAATAATTGAAATATTCAACCACGCTCTTTTGATTAAACTGCCTCTGCGTGTGCTCACAGTAAATATTCAGCATACAGTATGTATTTCAGGTTTTTTGACAGCCTTTAACATGTATTTTGTTGTCCATTGAATAACTCACAATCATTCAATGTTTCAACAAACACAGTATTTATGGAGGGAGACATTTACAGTAGCAAGGTTGGTCTATTTGTTTCCTACAGCTCTGAGAAAGTATTTTCCTCGCCACGAGACACACAAGACACTCACACACACACATACACACAGAGGCACGCACATAAACAGACAGAAAAACAGATCTGAAAGTGATACACAGTCTCATTTGATTTAAAGTAACAGTGATATTTGGTTAAAGGAACACACACATCCACACTTTACTGCACAAACAGGGCATTCACACACACAAACATACAGACTCTGATATATTAAGGGCCAACATAAGGACTTAAGACATCTATGTGGTCCCTCTGAAGAGAAGCTGGTGACACATAAGGGGGAAAGCTTTTTTAGTTCAGTCAAAACTGCAGGATGTAGACCATATGTCACAAAATATGCTGCTCACATTAACCATTAAATCTGGGCCTGTGTTTATCAAACTGCTGTGTGAAATTCAGTCGCATTTCTCTGCTAACTTTCTATCTAATTTCATTTTTTGTTAATTATTTCTTCCAACTTTTCATTGATAATTTAAAGATATTATGTGTTCAAGTTTTTGTACCCCCAACCCAAAGAAAGGGCTTTTACTTCAGGTGCTCAGCTGACCCCTACCCCCCTTGGGCCTCAAACACTGCAATATCAAAATCATTGATTTTGCCACAGATGGTCTTGTTCACCTTTGTGTACCATGAAAAAGCATTAATGTAAATTTCTGTTTGTTTCATAAATGTAAAAAAAAGCTCTTCACAGGAGCTTTAAATTATATATTAGGTCTGGAATTTTTCAGATATCCTGGGGCTAACACTAACATTATTGTTTCATAAATAATAATGTAATTCAAATTCATTTTTATGTTGTTACTTTCACATTTATATTTGTAACTGGTGGCAAGGCCAGGAAAATTCTAGAGATTTCACCCTTTAAATTTATGCAACGCTTTCAAGAACTTAAAAATTGTGTTGGTCTTGGCGCCCCCTGTAAACAAAAGAGTGTTTGGCATCTCTTTGCTGACCTTGATTTCTTTTTAAAGATTAAAAAAACGTCTTCTTTCTCGCTTTCAATAATGATCTGTTGAACTAACCCTGAATTTGGATCTGAGTTGTAGAGAACATCAACTGTGGTGTTTTTGTGCTGCATGCTGTAACACCTAATGGCAGCTGTAACAGACATTAAAAACAGCTGAAGAGAAATCCTCTATCTTGTTCATAAATACGCTCATGCATGAAGAGCCACCAGTACCAATCGGAGTCTGTTTGGTTACCTGCACAAAACTAATTTAAGTTTGATAAATACATGCCCAGATTGAACATTGTGAATATACTTTTGCAGCAAATCGCTGTTTCCCCCTTAGTTCATAGGTGCTATATTCAAGTTCATCAGGCTGTAAGTATTTTGGGATCAATTTTAAAGGAAAAGAACTGAAGAAAGTAGAGCTTTAATGTTCTCATAGCATGTTTCTCTCTCTAAAGCAGATTTCATGTGGCGACACCCATCAAGCCACTGTAATGAAACAAAACCACATATACTCTGTATTTTATAAAGACAATAAAAACCTTTTATCACAATTAAGCCTTTTTGTAGAAAATGTACATCAGAAAAATATGCGGGTGCATTCTCATAGTAAATATTGTCTGTTTACATCGCTCTTCTTCTGGTTGCTCTTGTTTTTTTTTTCAGTCATATACAGTATAAAGTCAGAGTCTCTGAATATTTACCACATATATAAAATAGACAACAACAGCAGGGGGTGTAGAAGAGGGGGGAGTCCGACAGTCTCTCTCTTTTTTTTTCAGTCTCTAGATGGCAGAAGCTTTGTCTCTGTTGATGAAGAGGGTCTCCTGGCAGAAAGGGTTAACCAGGACCATGCTGCTGCCGCTGTAGTCTCCATTAGGCGGGAGACAGGTGTCCTGCTCCTGCAAACGCACATATGAAAAGATTTAGGACGTGCAGAAGTGTTAAAAAACGGCTGTGATTCATGATTGGTGCTCTAGGGCTCCCCATTAGTGCGCACGCTGCAGTCTACTGTATCTAAGTCACTCTACAGGCAGTGAGCGGAGTCAGAGAGTCTAAGAACAGAATAAAATATGGGTTTCAATGCAGGAACCCTGGGGCTTTTAAGGAGATGCTGAACAAAGATATCTGACAGAGCTAGATGAGCCGAGATACAAAGAGAGGCAGAGGGGAAGATGTAAAAGCCTCATGAGCAGAGAGAGAAATAAAGGGAGGGATGACTCAGAAGAAACAACAGAGGGACTTAATGTAAGGGGGGAAAGAGAGGGGGGTGATGTGGAAATGGTTGCTGATGGTGAGTCAGCAGTAATAAGGCAGTGCCGGAGGAGGAGGAGGAGGAGGAGGAGGGAGGTGTGAGAAACAAAATGATCTCCTTTACAGCAGGAATCAGGCCAATTTTATCGGCAGGATCCAAATCACACTACAGCTGTAATTCATGATCATTTTCTCCCAGAGCACTGTCATTTAGCTAAAGCACCAGGGGGAAGCTATAGGGGCTGCTTCACTACAGATACAGGTAAATCAGGGGGGAAAACAACACCTGGGTGTCACCAGGGGCATCCCACACATGTTCCAACCTCAGCTTCCCTCTCCTGACGCCCCCAACAGGCAGCAGAGGAGCGCGAAATTAAAAGAACAATTAAAAGGAAGAAGATGTCAAGTGAAATGATGGCAGAAGAGAAGAGAAAGAAAGCAGATATGAAAAGTAATGATCAATCACATTCATGTACGGGCAAAACAGAGTAGACGGCACAGACTTAATACTAGACATTACTGCTGTGTGATACCATATCCACTAGATGGTGCCGTAACGCATTAAAGAGCAGGATTTTGCATATACTGATGCTTCTAATCCAAGTTTTTTGTCATTGTAACAGAATAATCATTATTCAAGATTTGGCAGGAGAGAAACAGAAAATCATGGACAAGAATTAATCTCTAAAGCAGCATGTTCAGTAAAAAAAAAATGAAACGGGCAATTAGTATCATTTGTCAGCAAACATGAATAGAAAAGCATCCGTAGGAGGATAAATTACAGCCTGAGCAATGGAACATTTTGGGGGGGAACAGAGTTATCAACAATAGAAAACACAGACAGACCAATAATTATACTGAAGCATTGTGTGCAATGGGCTGAAATATGATTGCTGGGATCTGTTCTTATCTATGCAGCATTAATCGCAGCACTGTAGGAAAGATTTTTTTTAATAATGTGGTCATGATGAGTCAGATATCAGTCAGAAACCACGTTCTCTTGCTAGATTTTGTAATCTCTATCTAGAAGAAGAAGATCTGGTATCTCGGCCGCTTTTATCCAAACATTGCCATTCTCACACTGTAATGTCAGGTGCAGGTGCACTTCAGCAGGTGTCAAGACTCCCTAACAGCGAAGATTGGATGTGGATCTTGCTCTAGTTCCCTCACTCATTAAACCTGTTCTGCTGACTGACAGTGAAACGTCTCCCCCGCCTTTGTGTGCAGAGCTGCGCGCTAGCAGAGTCAGTGTGTCAGTCGTTTGTACCTCGCTCTCCAGAGTGTGTATCTCTCTGGGCAGCTCGACGGCGTGCCTGCTAAAGTAGTCCATGGTGATGGCGTTGTTCCAGTAACTGAGGTTGTTCTCTTGATTAGACGACTTCTTCTTCCTCCTCATGCAGCACACGGTCAACAGCACAGCTAGAGATGGGGAAGAAAGATTGAGGGTTAGCACAGAGGCTGAGGGAGCTGCTGTTTTAGGTAACACCTTTGAAAGCGCCCACACCAGCTGCTCATGTGGATGCTGTCATGTTTTAAGACAACATGCCACTGTTGAAGGAAAATTAGTTTGAAAGAAAATCACTTTTTGTGGTAACTTTGAGCTCTCTAAAGAAGAATAAAACTTTCAAGAATAATACAAGAGAGTTATTAATTTTTAAAGAGGGAGAAATCTTTATTTCTCCATCTCCAGCAGAGCAAAACACAACAAAAGGCTGTGCCTAAGGAGCTTCTCAACTGGTCGATAAAAGAAACCATCTGTAAGTTAAAGGGATATTCCGGTGTAAAATTAATTTAGTGTCAAACACACCGTAACACTGAGTTAGACACCACGTCAAGAGATGAATGTTGTGAACTGCTTGCGTCTCTAGTTATACCAACTTTAGTAATGACCGCAGGATAGTAAAACACAGCGGTCTGAAGAGCCATAAACAAACCTCAACCAAAACGCCACTCTATAGCCACAAATAATGCTCAGAACAGCACCTAATTTCATCAGCAGTACATATAGGGTCCTAGCCACAGCACTAGCCACCAAACATCTTTTTAACTTTGCCTAATTTCTTAAGCAAAGAGACTAAACACAACTCATCTACTCTCTTCTAGCAGCTCAAGGAAGAACATTTATGATCACTTCTTCATGGAAATGCAATCAGACCGAGATGCTAAGGCAGAAGAACAACTGTGTCTGCCATGCAAAATGATTAATATGGTTATTATTACTTCAAGGAAATGATAAAGTAATGATCATAAATGTTCTTCCTTAAGCTGCGTAACCCCGCTGCAGTCCGTAATGGACTGGCCTGAGGTCTCGCTACAAACAAGCGGCTGCTGGAAGAGAGTAGGTGAGTTGTGTTTAGTCACTTTGCTAAAGAAATCAGGCAAAGTTAAAAAGATGTTTGGTGGCTAGTACTATGGCTAGGACCCTATATGTACTGTTGATGAAGTTAGGTGCTGTTCTGAGCATTATTTGTGGCTATAGAGTGGTGTTTTGGTTGAGGTTTGTTTATGGTTCCTCAGTAAAAGTAAAAGTCATTTATCTATTTTGTAAGCGTATACTTACAACAGGAGGACACAGGCACGCTGATGGCCAGCACAATCCACACAAAGTCCATTCGGCTCAGGCAGGTTAGGTGGGACGGCGGGGAGTCCACAGTGGGGCCCGAGCTGTTGGCAGGCATCCAGGGGTCCTGTGTTGTGGCGGGAACCTGCCTGTTCAAAAAGTTCCCATTTGCTGTGGATGAGGACTCTGAGCTGTTCTGCTGGGAGCGTCCCTCCTCGACTGAACTATGATTGGAGAGCAGCCCTCCTTGAGCGGTTACATTCCCCAACGAGCGTCCCAGAGGAACAATGTCTGTGCCGTTACCTAGACCAACCTGACCCTCCTCTGTGGTGGTGGTGGTGGTGGTGGTCTCGTTGGGTGACGTTTGGTTGTTTGGGGTGACTGTTGGGTTCTTGACACTGGAATCCTGCACTGAAGAGGGCACAGTAGAAGTTAGATTCTCCGGTGGGCTCTCAATTGGAGCTTTTGTCCCCCCTTGGGGCTCTACCACCAGCTCATCTGTAGGAGGTTCCTGTTCGGCATGAACCTCCCTCAGGGTGATGGCATGGTGTGCAGCGCCCCCGGTGTGCTCCCTGAGTTTTGGGTGTAGTTTGGGCCCATCGTCCATTAATGGAGAGGGAGGAGTGATCAAAGAGGACCGCTTTAGATCTTGAACATAACGATGATCTAGTTTGGTAGGCTCCTCCATGCTCAGCTTCTGGGGGTCTACATTAAGTGTGTCTCCTCTGTCTGATCCAGAGCTGGACATTAGGGGCAGGGGGTCATGAGCCCCCAGAGCAGTAGCTTCCACATCTAGATTTGGGACTTCTGTGCCGGGGAATTCAAGGCTACCGCTGCTGGCCTGGTTAGTGCTGACAGTATCCGGCTTTTGGACTTGAAGTACACCAACCAATTTGTGCATTTTACCCCTGCTTGTGATATATCCATTCTCCAGGGGCTGAGCCACATGATTCTCAGTGCTCACAGTGTTTGGGGTGACTGTATCCGATTCACTAGGGGAAGGGTCGGTATGAGCCGTGCTTGAACTTTGTGTTGTGTGAATCAAGACCAAAGGTTGGAGTTTGGAGGCAGTGATGCTTGATGGTTGAGTGCCTCGTTTGGATGTCCATTCCCCACTACTGGAGCCCTCCTGATGCCAGTCCAAAGGGGCAGGTTTTGGAGCAGACAGGGGGCTGCTATGGGAGGCTGCCATGGAGACGGAGTCCTGGGATGTCTGGATGAGAAACAGTTCCTGTGCTGATGACACCAGTCCTACCGGCAGTGCTAGGAATGCTAGAACACCTGCGGAGAAAGAGACAGAAATCTGATGATTAGCTCATAATGACACAGAAAATCCTTTCTCATCCTTTTATATCCCATTTTCAGCTTGTCAGTCTGCCTTTACATCATTTCTTTCAGGGATCCTGCTACTCATTGCTCGAAGAGAGTGCATACCCTGCAGCTGATTCTGACAAGCAGCCTTGTCGAGTATTCATTATGCTCTTCAGCCTTTAATCTACTGAACTGCTGTGTTTGTCACTCACCAAGTTGTTGAGTGTTTTATCAACCGCATTATTCACTCGCTGAGTTCCTCCGTGTGTGCCTGTGCATATGTAAGGTGGCAAACAGCACTGATGCAAGCGCAATTGTACGGGATGCAAGTTCAAACACAGCTGCATGGTATCTTAATAATAGTAAAATAACATGCAGGTGATGCTGAATAAGATTGACATATCTCCTATTGTTTATGAAATTAAAATAGGATTAGACATACAACTGTATATTTTTTTCGAACAGCATTTTATGATTTTGATAAATTCCTGTATTTTAAATCAGCCTCACAGTAATAACAGTTTTCAACAGCTGTCAAAACAACATGAATCAAAATTATGATTTCATAATGGATTTTAAAATTAAAATGTATGCGCACACTGTGAAATCATCAGTCACTTCGACTTGTAAGGTTATTATTACAAGTGTAGCGATCAAAATAGCCCATTTAACATGCTTTAACCACATCAGAAAGCCTGACAGATTCACTTTCTGGAGATCAGTCCCATAAGGAGGCTGTGTAGTGACAAGTTATTAGCAGTTGCCTGTAGGGAATATCAGTCCTATTATGTTATGGAGACAGAAAGACACTGATAGAGGAAGGAACGTGCAGAGGGTTATTAATTTCCCCTTTGCTTCCCCCCCAACCTCCATCCTGTATTGACAATGTTAAGCACAGCTAATGCGATACATTAGTGGAGCTCCCATCGGGATAGTTCTCTGTGTTCAGCTGAGTACAGAACATGCTAAGCTAAAATCACTCAGATCTAAATAAGGTAATTGTGCACGTTATTGGCCATGGGATTCCTTGAAATGCTTCGGTTATATGTAGCAGTAATAGCTGGGAAGAAACAATTCATTCAGTGGATCAATTTTTAGCCGTGGGGTCAAACATGTTTAGTTCTGATTATACTTCTGATTGTTAAAGGCTGTAGTGGTGCATGTAAAAGATAGAAAAATTACATTACAATGTGTATGATCAGAGTTGTGGTTAGGATATAATACAATATGATACAGTCCATTAAACATGAAACATTAAGAAACAATATATATAATAAGATATGGTAAAATTAATTTAGCATAATTTAGTACCAGTACAAAACAACAGGACACACTAGGATATGACAATTTGATACACCACAATATGATGATATGAGAGATATAATTGCCAGAGTATTGTATGAAGCAATACAACACTAAAGTACAACTATATGATAGGATATGATTGTATACAATGTATATGATATGACAAATAATCCGATTGAAAACCACACAATGCAATACAATATGATACAATGCATTGCAATGTGACATATTGTATCACAATATAGCATAAAGCAATATAGCATGTTACAATATGATAAAACACAACATGATATGATACAATACGCTAGATTTTAATTAATAAGGCACGCTTCACTGTAACCATGGGTGGATTTTTCTTCGGCTTCAGAGCTGCATATATAAAGCTGCTTTCATGCTAGTTGCAATAATGATAAACATTAAAAACAAACAACAATGAATAACCTTGAAGTAAATATAGAATCGTATAAACCCGTAAACAACATAGTTTGTGTATTATTTTTATTCATATGGGTCCGTATATACACAATGGAGCTATTACACAACCAAAACTAAGGGTATGAGGAAAATATAAGATAAAACCTGAGTGAAAAAATCCAATAAATATGTGGACAATGGGGTGGAAGGGCCCAAAGTAATGAATTAAAAAAAAAACATCAACCCACGCAACAGTCAATGAGTAATCTCAGATTTTTTCCCCCGTCTCTTTCCATTTTGTCCACCCTAGGATTTAAAAATACAGCAGAACAGAACCCAAAGCAGTGACTATTTAAACTCAGCCACTGAATCATTAATCATTTCCCTCCATACTCAATCACACAGACGACCAGAAGAGAGGTCCAAGCCCTGTCTCCCATTAACCAAGCCTGTCACGTCTCTAATCCATGGAGCCCACTCAAGACCCGTATCTGAGGAGATAACACACACGGCCATCTTTGATTTATGACTGCTCGTCTTTCCAAAGATGATCCTCTTGGCAGGATAATGGAACACAGACAAACCCCAACCTATCAAAGCTTTGAGCGGTCAGGCTATTGTTGATTGTTGGTAATGTGAATGTTGATCCCATTAGGGAAAATTCAATTGAAAGACTCACTCGGCAAGTTATCCTCACCAAATAACCTGAATAATTAAAAACGGAAACAGGTGCAAATCTGAGTTACGAATAAAAGCGTTTTACATCAAAATCATTGTTATAAAAATAAAGAACTAACTTTCTGGATTGACAGATAAGAGTAAAAACAATGACTTTGTTCTTTAATGCAAGAGCAAGGATGTACACGTAACTACGGTCCCAGACCTTCAATCAGCGCCCAAACCTGACTGTCACAACCTAAAAAGCTCTAACAGAATAAAACATAATAACACCTCGATTCCCTTCAGATGTAAAGTTATACCATCTGTATGAAAAGTACAGCACACAGTCTTCAGATTTGACAGAGTGATCACAAATGTACAGTTTCACCCTGATCTGAGGCCAACACAGAGATTAATATTCATTCAGGACTTTGTAGTGGAGTCAAATAATTTTTTAATGAAGGCTGCATCTAAAATGTTAAAGGGGAGAATCTGCCTTTTAAGTAAGATCCCACTCATACTTCTGACTGCCGTGATATTCATTAGTGCAAAATAGAAAGTAAAGAAAACACTGGCCTTTTGATTTTGGTATCTGACGCTGTTGAGTTCTGAGTCACAGCCTCCTCATTTGACTCCAGTAAGAATAACATCATGTCATTATTAAACAGTCAGGTAATACGGATCCAGGTTGCTTATAAAAGATGGAAAAAAACAGTTTGGTAGTTTAGGGAAGATGATTTTACTGTACACAAGTTACAGAATACAGATGTTAGAGATTCATTCAGTGATTTGTTAAAATGAGAGGCTGACAAATGATATGTTGGGGTTAAAAATTCATCATAATCTTCCATTCATAGTTTTTCAGAGAGCAAATACACCAAAAAATGTGGAAATGCCTCAGCTCTCTGTGTATACTCTAAATACTGCACACCAGCTGACCTTCATTAGAAAATAAAGATAATGCTAAGAGGTAACTGTTTACAATCCCCATTTAGGAACATTCAGAAAAAAGTAATAATAAAGCATCTAAATTAACAGTATGGCAGCACATATATGGAATTTTATGGATATAATACACTGCCATTTTGAGTGAATCTGCATTACAGTCAGCTTTGACACTTAACAGAATTGCACAATCAGTGACAGTTGGAGGGTAAAATCTCATCTGCCTCAAATTTCACTGAGTGTTTTGGTTTAAATATGTGCCTAATCAAATAACTAGAAAAGCACTCAGAGAGCGCAGACCTCCGCCAAGCAGCTCATGCCCCCCCTTGAACTGAGATTCGAACCCAGGACCTTCTGGTTGTGAGGCAACAGTGCTAACCACTACACCACTGTGCCGCCCATTGGTTATCTTTCAGCATTGAAAATTCCAACGACACCCTTATTTTTGTGTGTTCTGGATCACAGTATACAGAATTTTGTCCGGATCACCACCAAAATGTAATGGGATCCTCTTGGGGCTGAGACGCACCTCTGGTGAAAAATTCAGGTCAATCCGTCTGTTACTTTCTCCATAAAGTTGCTAACAGACAAACAAACCAATGCTACCGAAAACATAACCTCCTTGGCGGAGGTAAAAATGACACTGAAACATATCAAGACCTTTTTTCCATTTAAACCAGCTTACTGAGCTGTCCTGACATCGTTGCCGTGTGTTTCCTGATCTGTATATTTCGACCTTTCCGGTACACGGCATGTGTAAATGCTGAACCTCTATGTGTGCAGGAGTTACGTGTGCATGAGCATGTGTGCTTTGCTGCTCTCTGAGGCAAATGGATGTAATTTGTCACATCGGTTGGGCGTCAGGTTGATAGAGTGAGAGCATAAGCACGGTGAACGCAGACAGAGAGCCCGGCCCGGCCTCCAATAAGACATGCGGCGAAGAAGCGGGTACAGTGAGTGAATTAACTGGAAAAATGATTGAAAAGGCCCGAGAAGTGAATTGAGCTTTATGAACATCCATTATAGAGTTGAAGCACCAGGAAGAACGCGAGGATAGCGGGTGGAAAAGGAGAAGAATAGCAAAGTTGAATAGGGTGGGGAAATGTGAGGGGGAGGTCAGAGGTTTAGTGGGAATAAGGTCTGAAGATGTGAGGGTGTTTCATTAGTGATAAAACACAGTCAAAAGGAAAAGGTGGGATTAGAGACATTAGAAAAAGGCTCAGAAACAGAAATTGAAAGGAAATGTGCTTTTGTCACCTTTATCCCTCTAACAGGAGGAGGATATAGGCTGCTTTTTTGTCTCGCTCAACAACACTTGCCTACTCTGCGTTATTTGCCACGATTGAGCCTGTTGGCAGTTTTTGACCTGACATTTTCTAAAACACACTAAAACCACTCACAGACAGGGTCAGTCCAGTTTGAGAAGTTATGACGTAAAGGAGAAGGAAAGCGAAAATCTGATGTCCGCTTACAGCTGTGTTTTTTTTTCTCTCTTATCCTGTACTCCTTCAAAGACTGGGGCTGACACTGTTATCTCCCACTCCAACCTGTTGCCCTCACTATCTCTATTACTCAGATTATTGTCCCAGAACAGCACATGTTAATATCATGGAGACAAACAACACCCAAGTGAAATTACTGAGAGATTATGCTCCCATCTATTTGAGTAATGGCGTCAACCTGTTTTCCATCAACCACGCTCAGGATGCGTGGAGGGAGGGGCAATTTATGCAGGAAACCTGCTGAATTGGGGCTCCTTTCAATGCATAGGCAGCCGGTGACATTCGTTCAAGTCCTCCATTGATGCCATCAGGGACATCAATAAATCATGTTGTAAAGCAGGATCCTGCGCAGTGATCCAATGCAGGCTTTGTCTCACCAATCATTCATTATTAGACTCAATGTCAGCGGACGGAGGCCAGGGCGGCTGTCGCTGAAGCTAAAGTTACACAGGGTGAAATAAAAAAACAACACAACATTTATTCCCAATGATGAAATTCAGCTTTAAATTTCTGCCATGGATTTTCCTCAAAGCAAAGACTCGATTACAGAAGAACAATATCACTCAGGCGCATGCATCATGAGTCCACCAGCCTAATCAATCATACAGGGGCACTTAGTGTGTGGTATGCACCAGCCTGCCTGGCTGCATGATAAATCCTGAGATTGGAGGGGGGCTGTTCTTGCAGTAGAGGGTTGGGTATTAGTCTCTCTTTTTTTTTTTTTTTTCCAGGGGTCACCTCATGCTACGTGCAAAGGAGAATGATGTAGCGGGAATGTTCAGCGACAATCTGCCCATAAAGCAAGTGTCGCAGTGAGGATGGTTGAGCTGCAGCATCAGTGGGCAGCTGGCAGTGTCACTATTAGAAGTGGAGGCTCTACAGGAAGCCAGAAATAAGGGCTGCAAAATCATCCATCAATAGGGATTGTCAGGCTGTACTTCTGAACTGTAACTGCTCTGTCATCTCCCTGCTGAGAGGGCATAAAGGGAAGTAAAGAATAACCTTGATGTGTAGGCAGCAGAATATATACAAATAAGAGGACTTCGGAAAAAGACGCTGAGGAATACAAATACATGAAAACGGACCAGATTGTTGCGTTCGTGATCCACATGATATAAAAATGTTTCAACTTTTAAGTAAAAATTCCTGAAAGGACAAAATGTTTGAAAATATGCTGCTTATTCCGCCCATTAACAACATTGCAATTGAGTTGGAAATACCAGCATGCCAATCATTCACAAGTAAAGTTGAAGGTTCTTGCAAAAACATGTACAGGAGAAGCCAGAGATCAAAACACAAACTCCTGGTTAATTACTGGATGACCTGCTGTGTCTGCGGTGCCACAGCTGCAATATTTATCATTTCTTTAATGAGAATCTTCAAACCTGTTCCAGAAAAGTTATGTGAAATGACGACTGCAGAAGCTTTAAGTCACTTTCAGATGCTTACTGGCATTGCATTATAAGTTAACACTTTAAATGAGATAGTTTAAAGTTCGATTTGCACAGATTAGGATGTAACAGTTCACGTCAATTAGTTACAATTTAAAACTTTGAATAAATTCAGAGATTAAAAAATGAGCAGGTTCATATTTCATTCAATCATATTATTTTCGCTGTGCTAGACCATTAACACAATTTATGTTTTTGTTTTATAAATGTGTTTTTACAGTCCACCATTCATCAAAAAATAAGCACATTTAGATGACTAATCATTGGAGTTATCTGGCTGGACCTCTTTGGTAACATCTAAAATTAAATTAAAGCAGACAGAAATTCTATTCTCCATCTATTTTCAGTGAACTGCTCACACCCACAACCTTTTCTTCCTAACATGAAGGTACAAAGTGTTCATGAGATCTCTCCCATATCTGGTAGAAAAATGCTAAATTCCACTGTATAATCACATAAACCACAAATCAAATACAGCGAATCTGACCTCAGTGTCTATTACAACAAGCACACTCATTCAATAAATAATCTTTTTGTCTGTTTTTGTCTTCAGCTTTCAAACAGCCATGAACTTCTTTTGAGTTATAAAACTTGTTTGAGTGATATTTGTATTCCTAAATAGTATGTGTCTATCAACAACCTTGTTAATGTGCCCTTGAGAGAGATAGTTACGACTTCGTGCCTCCACTTGTATTTGAATGTTCTTGATAACTCAATAAAAGTACAAGATCTGTATGTCCACCTCATCATCTAATGAGATAAACATGCAGAAAGAGCCAATTTTGAAGCCCCGGGGCAGTGAACTATAACCAATGATTAAGGGTGTCCTCCTCCCAGCCCCGCCGGCCCTTCATGGATCACATTTATCCTCGTTTATGTTAATAAAAATCACTCTGCAATAGCAGACAAACCTCTGTGGGATTCCCCCAAGATCCCTTGGGGCAAAAGGAGAAGGCTTTATCAACAGTGCTTATCAGAATACCAATGAGCCTCTATCACATCATACCGCCGACACACACACACACACACACACACACACACAGCACAGCTCTGCTATCTAACACAAAATGAATTCATCTCTGACTCCTCGGGATAAACTCTGACAGACCCGAATCAAAGTCATCACAAGCCTTAAAATGGGGAGTTTTGTTAAAGGTAGTCTGAGCGTTTAATTTAAAGCTGTGACGGGCCGTCATAGAGCCACAGAAGCAGATCAGATCCATCAGCTTCAGGCAGGCAGAACCCTTTATCAAGAGGCCGACTGGAGAGTGTCTGACTAACTGCTGCTAAGATGGGATTATCACGCCTGAGCAGAGGGCTGACTGCTCTTACCGGCCTCAATGGACTTCTTCAACTACAACCATGACCAACAACAACTCTACTAGGGCTGGATAAAACAATTACGATATATATCAAAAATTAATTTCTCTCGATATCAATATAAAACATGGTCAATATTAGGGCCCGACCGATTTATCAGTGAGCCAATTAAATCAGCCAATTTTAGCCCATTTGAGACTAATCAGCTATTGGCCAAAACTCGCAGATTTTCGCCAATATTTTCAGAAATAAATGCAGAGACTAAGATTCGGTTTCACTTTGAAAATGTTCCGCCATTTGAAAAGTTCCCCAACTTATCCTGTAGATGGCGCAGTGACCTCATGACAATCTTGATCCACCAACTACCTCACAGCACAGCAGAGTGATGGATCTGAAGCAGACAGAGTGGTCCGCCTCAACGGTAAATAAACCAGTTTGTGAAGTAGACAACAAGTCAACAAGTTTCAGTTCAACCCACTTCACGATGTTCCCCGCTGTGCTGGTCTCGGTCACGCCGAGTTAACAGTGAAGCACCATGTAAAATGCGAGCTAAAGTTAGAGTTAGCAATCTGCTATTAGCCTTGCTACACTGTTAGCCGAGCCAGTAACGGTAGAATAAACAACAGTACACATTACGTGATCGAGCTACTTCTCTTAATGAGGCAGCTGCATGTCTCCAGATGAGACTGGACCGGAAATGAGTAACGTGAGTTAAGACGCGGCGAGTTTAATCTGTATATCGTGATATATTGATATCAACTGATATGAAAAAAAATATCGTGATAAACTTTTTCCCATATCGCCCAGCCCTAGACTCTACTACAGTACAAACAGTACAACTACGACCTGATCATCATGCATGTTACCCTTTAAGGAGAGAAATCCTTTTCTTTCCTGTTTATGATGATCTATCAGGGAGGACTTTCTCTCTCGATTAAGAATACCGAGGTTGTTTATTTTTTACTTTTCCATGACTAACCTCACATTGACAGTTCTTTCCTGAGTTTTTCCTGATGTTGAGATCTTAATATGTCCTGGGCGTATAAATAGAGTGTCATCTTCACAGTAGCACAAACAGACAAATTCCTCCGGCTGCTCCTGGGTGTGTTCGTCTGCCATGCTGTACAGAGTGTGTGTCCCGTGGGTTGGAAACAGACAGATAGGGCACATCCTGTGGCCCTCTGGAACCATCCTGGTGGAGCGGGACTGTGAGGGCGGGGGGTGGTGGAGAGGCAGAGCGGGGAGGGAACTACAGATGTGAGCCCCGTGATAAGGGGCGAAAGCTTTCGTAACAGGATAATGGCTTCCTGTTTGAATGCCGCGCAAATTGTTTGTCAGGTTACAGCGGCTTTGAACAGAGACGTGTTTATCGGAGGATCAGGCGGAGGGAGAACGGGAAAACAGGAACAACAAAGGGTTCTCGAGCTGTTTACTGGGATAATGATTTAGCTGCTGTGACAGCGGCAAAGGACCTAACAGGAAGGAGAGACATTAAACAAGAAGTTGTCTGGAATCTGAGGAGAATTCAAGCCAAACAACTCCACCAACAGACATCACAGACAGACAAAACTAGTTTCTTCTTCATATCTTGTGTGTTTGTGGCTTTAACAAGTCGACAAACTGTTGCGAGGAACAATCTAACAACACAAGACAAGGCAAATTGGACAGGGACAATTACTCAAGCCTTGTTTCATCATTTGCACCACACTTCACGCTAACAGGCTGTTCGAGATATCTATTTTTAAGAAGCTGACTTCCAAACACAATTTGCTCAAATTGCCTTATTTGTCAGGCTTTGCTTTGAAGATGGAGCTGCCAGACGAAACCTAATTTGCTATAAACGAGTAAGTTCCCCCCATTGATTCAGGAGTATTATGTCATCATAACAGGCTTGCATAAGTACAAAAGGGGGTACTGGCAGAAAAAAACAGAAAACAGCAAAGAGGCTGAAGGGAAGCAAAAGGAGAAACTCCACACATCAGGCACCTGTTATCTTGCAACATAATCCATCTAATCTCTCCTCTATCTGCAGCATCTCTTCTCTTGCTGCAGCCTCAGGGTGTTTCAGCACATCTGTCTCCTGCAGGATCGTCCAGAGAGAGAGAGAGAAATGAGGAATGTCTCTGAAATGCACAGCTTTCAGGCGAAAAGCAACCCTGATGAAAGGGTAGTTTGCTCTAGACTCAGGTGAATCGTCTGCTGAGCTCAAAGCAATCAAAACCGCCGTGCTTTTAAAGACAACCCAGACAAAGCAAATAAATATAAAGCTCAAATATCAAGTCATTATGAACTCCCAAAAAGCTAGTCCGCTCTCTCCACCCTCTCTGGATTAAACCGCCGCAGTGTGACCTCCTTCCACCTCTGCCACAGCTTAAAGCACTCCCCTCACAGCAGTCCAGTCCAAGTTTATCACTTCTGAGGGATTGAGGCAGATTTGTCAGCAGACAGCCTTTTTGGCACTGCTGCTCTGAGGTGGAGCTCAGGGTGCATACAAGATTTCATCAGCCTGTTTAGCTAACTGTCCAGGAGCCTGGTGGGCCCCAGTCCGACCCCCACATGCTCCATATTCATGTGACATTCAGCGCTGGTAGCCTGCCAGAGCTTCAGACATCCACTCTCAGAGCCTTGATCTTATCCCCTGAATTTCAAGCAGCACAGACTTGAACTACACCAACACCAACATCATAAGACATAAAACACTGTATTTACTGTATCTGATTGTTATTACGTTCAAACACAGAGTGTGAAAGAGCATAAAAGGTATAATTTATGGTTCAGTAGGTGTTATGCCAATTACATGCTTACTGATAGGGTGAGAAGATTAATTCAAATCACATCACTGAAGAAATTAGATTGTAAATTTAGTGTAAAGCCTGAAACCAGGTTTTAAAAAGCTAGCCTGGCACTTTGTAAGGTGAAAGTCTGCCTTCTAGCATCTGTAACACTTGCTAATTTACAAGTTATGTTTTGTCTTAGCAAAGAGGAAAGTGTTTTAGTTAAAGTAGAGATTTTGCTTCATGTTATCCAATGTTTTAAAATTCATGCCAGTGAGACAAGTTTTCACCATAGACAGTATATACTATGGACAACTTGGTTCCATCTTCCGCCAGTATATGGATTTGAAGCCCAAAATCTCTCTGTAATTCCATGTTTTCTTTCAATTTCCTGAAACCAACATTGTGCATTGGCTCAAACAGCGTATCCCCCTGGTTTGCTGGTGATGGCTGGATTTATGACCTATACTGCAGCCCGTCACCAGAGGGTGCTGTTCTCAGAGTGTCTTCATCCAGCGAGGTGGCAGACGGCGTCCATTCTATATACAGTCTATGGTTTTCACCAAACTAGCTGGCTAATTTCTCCAAGTTTCTAGGTATTATTACAGACTGTTTAAAAACATGGACAGGGTAGCAGCTCTCCCAAGAGTGATGCCAAAACACTGGGAGCTGCTACACTTGGGGACATAGAGAACATGAGTCGAGCTAGAAAGTTGATATACACAAGTAAAATATATGGTTTTGGTTAGAGTAAGGGGCATTATGTAAATTTAGCAGCCACTTACTACTACATTTCTGTCCTAACATGCCAGTGCCCATTAAGGCAGCATTTTGGCTTCACTCTTTTCCAATAAAGAATAAAAGCATGCTGCTCATACTGATATACCACTGAGGATTATCATGCTATGCTGTGTCCAGCGCTGGGGTATCATTGTTGCCTGAATGCAAATAAGCCTCTTTGCTTTAACATCACACTATTTCCCAAAAAACTTCTTAACATTGATGTTTAAGGAAATATGTAAACTTAAAGCTCCAGTAAAGAACTTTTGGTTTATGTCAGTTCTGGCGCCCCCTCTGAGCAAAGGAGTGTTAGCCTGTTTTGTAGTAATATAAAAAAAATAGTTTATGTGGATACAGGGCTGTTTCTTAAGCTGATTAGCTGACACCTACCCCCTCGCAATAGTTTTAAGCATTAAAAATAAAAATATAAAATTGTCTTGTTTGTTTTTGGATATCATAAAGTCTATTTCAAAAATGTTAGAAAACTCCTTACTGTAGCTTTAAAATAGAATCGCCCGTCGTTTGTAATGTAGAGGAACTCAACCTTGGTCTGCTGTATTGTCAGTTCAAAGTGTTTTTAACTCTCACACAGACAAATCTACAACTTCAGCACCTGTGTCTACTGGTAGTGTTTATTTTTATTTTGCTGCTTTTTTTCTCAATTCGATACCCTCAGTGCTGAGTGCCAAGAATGCCTTCAATATCAACTGTTTTGTGTTGCTGTGCTCTCAGTGCTCTAATATAAAAATAGTTCAGCAACAACAACAACAACATTGGAGGAGGATTTGATGGATTTTTTGTTACTGTCTGTGTGTCCAGGTCCAGACCTGTCCCTGGTTGCAAACCCAGAGCACCCCGCTGATGTCTTTTTCCCACCCCTGAGTCTACTCACTCAGCAGCTGGCAGCGCAGGACCTGCAGGCTTGTCTTCATGGTATCATGTGATCCGGCTCCTCCTCCACAGTGCTCATGGTTCTCTGTTACAGAGAGAGGGAAAAACTTTCAGACAACAAGATCACATTCGCATTGAAGTATTAGAGTGATAAAGTGTGATGAAGAAGGGGAGACATAGAGGAGAAGGAGGGGATTTTGAACATGATAGTGGGGATTAACCTTGACAGTTTAATCCTTATAATGACTGCCAGACAACTGTTACCTCTCCCAGCTGATAATATGAATTACATCTAACAACATTTTCAAAATAAAAGATCATCTGGGACCGCAACGGTGGTCAGCCTCAACTGCCAAGCTTTAAATCAGCATTGGCATCCTGCAGGCTGCGCTGGTCAGTAAAACCAATTATAGAGCATTAAACATTGACCAGTAAGCCTTGTTCTGGGATAGACACTGAGTGTGTGTCAGCAAGACACACCCAAGGGTGCTCTTGAAGGGGATGACTAACTGATGGCCTTCTGCTCGATGAAAGGCCACACACACATACACACATATCTTCCTCCTACTCCCAGTGTGTGCATGTTTGTGTGTGTGTGTTTGCGTCCCTTTGTAAAAAATGCCCTTGGGCCACTGATGTGCCCACTCCACTCACACTCATACATCCAAAACAGACACCTCCACTTTTAAAGAGGTGAATGGGACGTAAACACACACCTCAGCACCCTTCACCCTACCTGCATGAATAATCCGTCGTGAGTCTGACATGTGAAATTGGATTTGCGCCCCCCAGGATGAGGGGTCTGGTTTCGGGCGACCTGTGTTCCTGTGAGAGTCGTGTGTGATGAGAGGTACAGACAACAAAAGCATAGGGGAGCAGGGTGCTGAGCCTTTCATTAGGCTTTATTTCTCATAAATGCAGCCTTGCTCTAGAGACTGATAGAGGAGAAAATGCTGCGTCTGAGTCATCCTGTTTATATCAGAGCCTTTGTGTAAACCTTTTAATCATGGTAAAATATTGGGATGGAAAAAAGGTGAACTTTATACGTGATGGCTATGTCATTAAAAGGTTCTTTTTACATGAGGGAGGTCTGTGATTTTAAAATACGGCACATCGAGACAGAAAAAGAGGAGAAAACAAACATATATAAACACTTTACATGTCTATTAATATATTCATCTGTTTGAAGATTCGTCTACCATATTTTTTCTAATATTTTTATCAAACAGTGAATACATATTTTTTCATAAACACCCAATATCCAAAACAAAAACAAACACAAATTTCAACTTTATCACAGCACAGCACAGTCCTGCATAAACAAGTGGAATATCAGAATGTTGAAACCTTATGCATACTAGTGATGGGCCAGCAGTTCTTTTAGATGTACTGAATCACTAGAATCAGCTCACTAAAAAGATTCATTCAAAAGATTCGTTCACCAAACTCTGAATCATGTAGCGCTTGGCAGGAGAAGCCTGTGACTCCGACCTCCTGAAATGATACACAGCTGAACGGTTCAGGATTCAGTTCAATTCATAACTTCATAACAGTTTAATTCAATTCATATGGTCCCAGTTCACCGGCTGTTTAACTGTTTAACGAATCACTCAAGGAAGTGTTTTGGTTCAGTATGTTCACCTGAAAGATACGTTTTTTTAACAAATTGTTCGCAGACGAAACATATCACATACAATGATAGAAGCAATACAGACAACAGAGCTTCCCCAGTCCACTAGCCAACTTGTCCTGGTTTGGAAAGAGTCCTTCAGATTATACTGCATATCCTTGGCTTCACACAATCAAGAAATGGAGTCCATACACAATAGAACTGTCCAGTTGTCCCTCTGGACCAATATGTCAAATATTCTACAGGAAGCAAATATGACCCTATGCCAGTCAGAAACAGTTGGTGGTTTATGTGAAATCCACTTCAATGGTACACTTTTACATGCAGCATATGTTAACACGCTAAGCAGTTTTTGATTGTGAGTGTCGTTAATTTGAGGATGAGGCATTCCTAAGAGAGGGCATCGTGAATTCACCTTTATGCTCTTACTGAAAACCATATTAAGCTTTGTGATGATTTTGATCCAAAAGTCCTGAATATGAATGCATGATTGAATGTATAAAACTGCCAACCTCCTTTCTACATTTGATACATACATTCAACCTTTTAGGGTCCGTCCTATGTCGAAGTTCATCTGTTAATTTTAAGTGTTAAAAACTGATGAAGATTTTTGTGTACACCCTGTTTTAGGTCCTATAAAATCTATCAACCAAAACTTAGCAAACTAGTATCACCTGTCTAACTAACAACTGTGCTAGCTTGATCAACATTCATTCAGCTAACAGCTTACTTGCTTGTACTTGAACTTTATATTCTTTCACTAACCAATCTGTCGCCTTTTGTTAGCTCCAATATTCGCCAAAATAAGACAAAGCCTCTCCCTGAAGTACCCAGATTTCTTTTCCACTTACACTTTCATCACTGACCGTCTTATATTGAATTCTTGAGTTTTTACCTCTAAATCAAGAAACTAAATAGACTGGAATTTGGTTTCACATGGAATAAAAACAATGAAGTAGCCTACATTTATAATAATAGGCAACCAAATTGATGATCAAGGCGCACTTAACGTTTGCAAATGCACACAATATTGTTCTTGTTCCCACTGATGAGAAAATGAAAAGAGAGACACTCGCTGCTTCACTGATCCTAACTCACAGCTTTGGCTATAACGCCCTAGGCTTGGTAATATAATGCAAGTAATTGCAAAAAAGATGAGGCTGCAAGAATACAGTTGTTGCAGCGGCAAAAATGAATTTTTCACAGCTTTACGTCTTACGAAATAGATGCAAAACCTCTCCTCCCATCCATTTTTAGCAACATCATAGATAGAGGCGCTGCACCACTGCAGCCTTCTCCTTCCCTGGACTTCAATTTTTCTAGGGTCACGTTCTTGGCCTAATGAGCTCCATGGCAGGGTGCGAAAAGAGCAGCTGAGCCTCTCCACGGTGATTACACCTCATCAGCGCTGCCAGGCCAGCGCAGGCTCATAGACACGCTTTTTAATTTGTGGGGCACAAGGGTGAGGCGAGGGGAAGGTGGGCGGAGGGGAGAGAGGAGATAGTCACAGGGCGTGTTTCATTTAAACTTATTATCACAGAGCAGAGGAGGGGTTTGCCACAAAAGCAGGACAAGACGCAGGGACAAAAGGCAGGCTTTTCAGGCGTCCTGCAGGGGTGTGCAGGTAGAAGATAACACAGGATGACAGTCGGGGTCGTGGTGCTGCCAAAACCTGAGGCAGGGTGGGGGTTTCATAAGGAGCTGCTGACAGTTTTATTGCTGCAACACGAAACACAAGGACAACACTGTAGATATCTGCATACACTTCTCCTGCTTAAAACTTGTTTTTTGTTAGAGAGCTGGTGAGAGATCATGTCCTTGATACTGAGCAATGAGTATCCAGAGTTTCTGTCTAGATATCAATGTGTTTACATAGACGACACCAACACATTACAGAATATATCACAGTGTGTTATTGATATAACAAGATTAAGAAATACAACTGGGCGATATGGCCTCAAATCAATATCACGAACATCATCATCACAATATCATGAACAGTTCACCTCGATAAGAATAAATGGGCGATAACTACTCCACAAGCTGCTCACCCCCTCCTGCATTAACTTTGTCTACCTCTACCACTCCAGCCGCTACAACTTTTGAACCGTCCTCCATCTCCTCACCTGTCCTTCCCTATTTGTTGCTACCTACACACACTTTGACACAGAATATATTGACATGGGCAAAATGACATTGGTTATTGTCGTAAATTTCGGCATCAGTAAATTTTTGGTTTGTTGCCCAGCCCTGCTAGGAAAAATATACTGTGAACAAGTGAAATACTGTTTATCAAATATGTGAAAAAGCCCATCATTGTAGGGTAAAGTATATCAATTACTTTTATGGCTGAAAAGCTTTAAAACCAAGTGTTGAAAACTGAAGTCAATGCAGAAGTACAAGAAATATCGCAGTTCTTCAAGTGTCCGCTTTGGGCTGACATGTTTCGTCACCCTGGCTAACACAATTATGTTGTTTTGAGTATTTTTATGACATGATTATATGTCCAGGTAGTCTTTATTTTTATGGGTATAATGTGTTTGGATCATATCATTTACCTGGACTGTTGGACTTCCAACAGGTTTTAACATTCACGTCAATTATAACTTCCGTTATTGAAGTCTGTGTCTTTTCTTCAGGTGTTATTGGTTAACAGAGGAGGTTTTGGATTAACTATGCTCATCTCTGATCTCTGTCTTTCATAGTGAAACTCAAGGGTAATCTAACAAAAGTGCAGCATCTGTTCTTTATTCAATCTGAACCAGCCTGAAGGGAACTTTGTGAATAATATTTGTTTATGCAGTTACCTTTGTTCTGCTTTCTTTTAAAAAGAGGGTAACTTCATGTGTAGGATATTTGCACCCACTTAGTTTAGGATAAAGTGAGCTGTGATGAAAACTGCAGCACAAAAGACAAGAAGAAGAAGAAGAAGGTAGAAAAATACTCATCTCTTTCCAGCAATTAACAGGTGATAGAAAACAAAGTTGGAAATTCTGGATTTTTTTTTTTTTTAAATGAACTATCTCCAATTATTACACACAACATACACCTGTATTTTACACTAGCTTCAACCAACAACAAATAGATTCACAAATGTAAACATACTTCAGACTGAATGAGCTTTTCTTCTCATTTTAAGAATCAGTTTGGTTCAGAAGGCAATCACGCTCCTTACTGAACAGAGGGAAAAAGTTGCATGGCAACTGACATGCACACAGACGACAGCCATTACCATGGCAACCCTAACAGTACATTATATTCAAATTCATTCACAAGGACTTTATGGGGCTCAAATTGAATTTTGAAAACAGAAAAAAAAGGAGGAGACTTGGAATCAAAGAAATAAATATTTATCATAGCATGTCTTTTGGACTCGGTAGTTGCAGGCTTTTTGTTTGTGGTGACAGACCCAGGTCCCCAAAGGTCCCAGACCGTGGCCCTGAATAGTGTGTCTGGAGGGGCCGCAGACTTGAGGCCAGAGCCAAGGTCACCCAACATCACAATGAAATGAGCCTGTCACTCCATCATACTGCGGCCACCAGCCGCAGGGATAACAATGCTTTTAATTTTGGACTTCCCTCGATTCTGCGGTTATGTATAGGAGCTGTGGCAGCAAGCTGGCTGCTCGCCCACAGTGGCTGCAGCCTGGGAGCTTTTCCATAACGACAGAGAAGGAGGCAGAGGAGGAGGAGGAGGGGGGAAGGAAAGTGTGGGAGTCGACTACGACAGTGTGAAATACAGTGTTTTGCTCTCACAGTCAACTGATAAACGGCCCTCTAATCACAACTGTTCTGACTGATGCTTTTCTTCACCAGTTTTGATTCCACGCTCTCACGCTTTGGTTTATCTGTCTGTTATGAACCGGTGAAAGCTCTCTGCCAGCTTCTGTCGGAGGAAGACGGCGCAGAATAAAGAGAGGTGAAGTGTGAAAGCTGCAGCTTTGAAGTAATTTGACACAGTGGAGGATTCAGACTCAGGGAAAATATATAAAAGGACACAAGAGCAAAGAAAGCTGTGATGCATTACTGGTGGAACAGTGGCAAAACCCTGCTTAAGATTAAAATGGTATGCTGTATCTTGTAACTCGGTACGCTTCCAAAAACAACCAGAGTTCTCCCAGCTATTTGGCAGTTTAATATGAAGTAGAGGTCAATGACACTGCATTGTATTCTCTTCACTGGAAGGAAACCCAGCTTTGTGTTATTTTCTGGCACATCGCACTTGTAGAAAAAGTCAAATTTTCCACACCCGAGAATCACATCTGTGGAAATACTTTCACTCTCACCGTCAAACTGTTATCTTATCCTCATTGTCACAAGCAGTTTATGTTACAGCATCAAACAAAACAGCAGCTGTTTGTAGTCTTAATGTTCAGACTAGCAAAAAAACACCAGCTTGGCTTACACCATCCATGGGCTAATATCAATCATTTGAAAAGAAGTGAAAGAGAAGTTGCTCTTTCTGTTGTCTTCCTGTTTTGCTTTTTTATCTACCTGTATTCAATTTAGCAGATTTCTGTGGACTGTTAGTGAGTGCGGTTTATCTGAAGCACTTTTCAAAGACAGTGTTCACAAAGTGCTGTCACTCATCCAGTTCTTTGTGGCATTCAGACAGCTGCGAAGAGTAGAAATGTTTTCAGTATCATAAGGTTTACAAGACACATTTGATTAAATAACATCATGAAATCAGTGGTGAGACATTCTCTGAAATTTTTGTTCATAAGTGAAAGGATATTTATAGAAAACAAAATAGGACCCAGAACAGAACCCTGAGGGACACCACAGCAGGATGAGTGATCTGTGGCAATATGTACTGTAACTGTTCAAGGTATCTGTAATTGTTTATGACTTTAAATATTACTTGCATCTGTAGCTAGCATAAGTTTTCTGATTCCTGAAGCTTTTCCAGTGTTTAACCTTCCTCCTGTGTTAGCTTTTACTGCACACCCACCATGTTAAAGGTCGGTTTTGACCCGTGTCTTAAATCAGCTGTAAATTACACTAAAAACAATTCTCTATCATCTAATCTGGTTCTCATCTCTAGGTTTCCTTGTTAGGCTTCATTATCCATGAAAATGTTGCTTATATTATGTTTTGTAGTGGGCCTCTGGGCCTTTCTTTGTCAGTATATCCCTCACACAGACATCTATACTGAATTGATCTCACATGTCTGGACATGCCTGATGTTGTTTTTTGTGCAGGGAAAATCATGACAAAATGAGAATTTCCAAAATCTCACATGATTAGAAGAGAATCTGACTGTCAGTGTGGGGCCTGACAGAGCACTTATGATTTCAGTTTTTCTCTAATTATTAGATATTAATCTAACCGGGTCAACAGCGACCCTAACACGACAAGTGCCATCATTTTAATAAGAGCATTTTATAATTTAGTCACTTTCATTTTTTATTTCGTTAAAACAGAGGTTTCTGACAAAGTCAAAAAGTCTTGATGCAAAAAAGCTCATTTATGTGGTTCTTTTAAGCATTTAAAATCAAAAACGGGTCGGTGCAGACCCTAACACAGGAGGAGGGTTAAGAATGTAACTGAAACGACTGACTTGAGCCACCTTTTCTCCTCCTTCTCAGGTCCGTATTTGTTCAAATTCTGAATTCTGAATTGATTTCAAATTAAAAGTAGAATCACTGTCGATGTGCTGAACAGAATAAAAGCCCGGTTACATCAGTGCTGAATTCAAGGCATCAAAGCCGAGGCTCGATCTGTAATCTGAGAGTGTTTATCTCCATTTCAAGTTGTGTGAAAGCAACTTCCCTCAGCCCAGCCCTTCCACAGCGCCTCAGGAGACGTGCCCACACAGAGGGTGTCCATTTTTTTCCTTTGATGCTGTTTTGCCCTTTGATGGAAGAAAGCAAACAGCCTCTGATTTGGCTTAGCTCAGTCAATGTTGTTCTGGCATTCAACTTGATGAGGCCTCGAGCTGGCGTAATTCAGGAACGCAGCTTTACCTCTGAGGAAGTTGATGCCATCTGATTCTTGACCTTGCAAAACGACAAACCGCTCGGCACCAATCAAGTAAGACTGAGGCTTACTGAGAAGCTGATTACTGATTACTGATATGACCAGTTCTGTTATGAAACCATTTTTCGTCAGAGGGAGAGTAAAAATAAGACAGCGAGTGAGTCAGGCATAAGAGAGACTCTGCTCTGGGCTTTGATAACTTCATTATCCAGCCAGGATGCACACAACAACTGAATGATTACCACTATTGATTCGATGCAACAACAGGCCTAAATTAAATGCAAGCGGCAAGACAACAAAGCAGGAATAGGTTTCCAGGGAGCTCTCTAATCCTTCCATCCTAGAAGGCTGCCATTTTTGCTGAGTCACTGAGGGGAGGTGTACGTGTGAGCGCTGTCAGTCGTGGCCCTGGATGGTTAAAACCTGGCAGGATGAGTTGTTGGTGCTGTGTCATGGAGGCTGTTAGAGGATGTGCGGGTTATCAATCAGCACTATTGCTCCCCTTCTGGTCCTGCCCGCTGTATGGCAACACATCAGCCATTAAAAGTACATTAGGATCCCAGCATGCCGTTCACTCTGACTGTAGCGCCTGAGGAAACACATCACCTGTCACTACTGTACCCTACCTGCAGCAAATGGGGGGAAAAAAACACTTAGACTGCACATGCCTAACTTGATTTGGACACTTTGCAGTTACGTCATTTTGATGCATTTTTTTTGTTGGAGATGTATTTTCTTTAAAGGTTTTGGCGATAACATTGATCTTAGGATCACACTTTGCATAGATAGATGGTAGAGAAAAGGATTTTGATTCAGAATTCGCTCCATAATCCACTACTGGCAATTTAAATGATCTTTACTGAATGTTGGGTAACACTTTACAATAACCACAACTTATAAATGGTAAATAGACCATTTATAAATGGTAAGCAGATAGTTTATTAATGTTTAATCATAATCTATAAATAGCATATAGACCATTAATAAATTATCAAATTTAAATTTTTAAAAAACTAACCCTAACTTAATAATAACCATTTAAGTAATGTTTATAGGTGGTTTATAAACCACTTATTAATCCTTTACAAACTATTACAAACAACAGTTGCAACTTTACAATAAACATCTCAGTAACTTTTATAGATGGTTTAAAAACCAAATTAACCATTTACAAAGTGCTACTGACACACATTTAAATCTAGATGTTTTACAACCAATATTTAAACCCTTTATAAAGCTTTAATAAATAGCCCATTAATAATTAATGAAAATTTTTAATCACAATTTCATTTCTTGTTAATGGTAAAGTAACTATTAACTTACATTATTAAACTATCTATTTGCCATTTATAAATTATGGTTCTTGTAAAGTGTTACCGAATGTTGTAAATGAAGCTGGATGGACCCAATCAAAATACAAAACCTGTGTTATAATGAGGGCTGTCAGTATGAACACAGTGACAGAATGTGTAGGTAATATGACCAGATAATACTTAAATAAAAGAAGCTATTTTGTCTCTTTCAGCATGCTGTAGGCTAGGGCTCCTGCTTCCACCATAATGATAAAAAACAACTCTTTTTCTGATGGACAATTCCACCTTAAAACCCCCACATGAATCAAACTGAATCGAAAAATTACTGAAGTATCTTAAGCTTGAGTTAAGCATACAGGTGCAGCTAGCCATGAAGATGTTAGCGGGCAAATGCATCACAAAAGATGGCAGAGCATTTATATTTTATACCATGTGATTGACCAGAAACCTGTGCATGAAACTAAATTGAAGAAGTTGGCTGAAAGATTTGCTATATGGTTGCAAAATGGAAAGACTATAATCTAAGGGAAGTTCTCAGGTTGGCATACTATGACCAGTCATATGCTCTACAACTATGGGGAGCAATAATTTTGTATATACAGGACATGTGTGAAATGGAGAGAGCAACCAAGGTGGAACTCCTGAAGGGTGAAAATGCAAACTATATAGACACGTTTGGGCATTCAACCCTGCATACCTCTGATGTATAAAAGTCTTATCTTTTAAAAGAATTAAAGAAATAATGGTATGGTATGGTCTTTATTGTCATTGCACACTTGTGCAAATAGCAGCTGTGTTTGACAAAAGAAGCACTATGAAGCTAAGTCTTGGCTTTAGAGCACGCTGGTGTAGCAGTACTGTGTTTATTTAAATAATAGATCTAAAAGTTAAGATTGTACAGTCTGTTTCAACTTTGATTTCCAAACCAGGACACTGGTAAGCAGAGCTTTCTATTCTTAATGAGGACTTCAAAAATTATACTGCGAAATGTTATTTTAATCATGAGATAAAAAATGTGATTAATTGTGATGAAAAAATTATAAATTTGACAGCCCTGGTTAAGAATAAGGTATATTCACTTCTTTACAGTAGTTGCAAGAGAAGATCTAAGTAAATGGAAATGTGAAAGAAATTGAAGATTGATATGATAATAAAGCAAACGATCAATTTTAACAACTCTCTGATAACAAATCCAGTTCACAAACACCTATGATTTGATCTGCTTTATAGACAAATCTCCAATTAAGAGATGTCATTAGAAAAATGTCTCCAGTTTATATTCACGTGTCTCTAACATCAGATAAATCTAATGTTCTCAGTGAACTAGCTGTCATAAATCAAAGTGCTTAATTTCATCTTCACCTTCACATTATATTAACAGTGAAGAATCGAACTAAAGCTCCTTGCAGTGTGTGAATGAATTTGAAACTCTCTCGGTGAAGAGCTCCCACTCAGAGAGATGCACCTGTGCTCAGGGGCAGCAGAGGAGGAGTTGAAAGCTTCACCAGCCTCTTCATTACTTGACACACTCTCAGCCACAGCCAATGACTAAAGCAATTCATCAGAGAAATCTTGGCCGGAGCGCTCTCTGGAGGTGTGTGAACACATGTGAGACACAGACAAAGAGATAAACAGTGGCCAACTCCTGCCTATTAGAGAGCCTGCTACACAGTCCCTTTCCAGGAATAAAGGTTTTCCAGCATGAGCTGTCAGTGCACTTGTTGTTTTACATGTTTTACATGATTTGGATCAAGTTTCATGTCTTTAAGGACCAGTCGAAATGGAAAAAGCAAAAGTTGTGTCTCATGCCCGATAAGGCTGTTCCTAAATCTGTCAGGAAATATGTCTGTGTCAAATCTCAAGACCAAACCAAAAAAGAGTGAAGTCTCCAGTCCTTGAGAGTCCAACCAAATGAGCTTTTGAGTCTTTTAAGAAACATTTCATATCCAATCTCGACCCTAGTCTCCTATACTATGTTAGAAAAAGTCAGTTGTCTCCAATCCTCGGGGAACAGATCAAATCAAGTCACAACTCTGACAAAAAAAAGTCCAAGGTTAAGTCCCAAGTCCCAAGAGCTGGAAAAAATCTCACCTTGCCTTCTTAATTTTGTGAAAAGATCTCCAGGACTAGTCCAAATCAAGTCCCAAATATGTCTGAAAAAGCGATTTCGTCTTGTAGTTAGATCGTTGGGTTACAGTAACTAATTCCACTGCTTAGTTCTTTCCAAAAAAGTCTTGGGTCAAGACTTAGAGTCTTCAGATTTGGAGCAAAGTATCTTTAGATTCTGTCACAAGTCAAGTCTGGAGTCTTTCAGAGGTTTAACAAGTCAAATTACAGCTAGTTTTCAAGAAGGAAGTCAAAGCTTTTGACTTTGACCTGCTTTGACTTGAAGCCTGACATCCAATCTTTGTGCACTTATGGGAGGACAACCCAAATCAAAACCTTTTCTATTCAATCTTGTGTAACTTACGAGTCTAATCTAGACACGTCAAGTCCTTAGGGTCAACTTAAAAGAGTTAGATCATCTTGGTAAGTCTCATATTGTTTTTATGGTTGTAGCAGACCCCAATCATTGTCCTGAGTCTTTATAAAGTTGAGTCTTTAGTCAGCGTTGTCAGAAGTACTAAAGTTTTAATTGAAGTCTTCATGCAGTCAAGTCTTGAGGGAGTCGAGCCTTAAATTTAGACCTAAGTGTTATAGGAGTTAAGCACAAGACAAGCACAATTAGTGTTGAATCAGAGGAGTTCCAGTCCCCAGTATTAGCGTGGGTTATGTCCACTTTCTGTTGAAATGAGCTCTAACTATGTCCAAGTCTGAAGTTACAAAGCGGTCATGCCAAGTCTTCAGTCAAGTCTCCAAACACAGAGGTCCTCGCCCTTTATTGTATGACATAAATCACACCAATCCTATGACTTTATCGTAAGTCAAGGCTTTAGGGAGTCAAGTCCAGGCAGCGCTGACACTTTCTGTGTTTTTAACACTCCAAGTGAAGGTGTCAGACTGAGGCTGCTCCACTGGATCACACCGGGCAGTCATTAAAACAGAGTGGAGGCCAGAGAGTCTGACACATTTCGGCAGGGGATTGAATCAGTGGAACAAAAAGTCAGACAGGTAACAGAGCCCTGGGGAAGGACCCGTGACTGACTTGTTATATCACTAGAAAGAGGACACCACAGACTGAATACCGAGCGCTTGGAGTGATTGACAGAGGAGTGCTGTGAGTGGGTACATCTGATTAGTGTTGAAGTTGAACCTGACAGACCGGCAGCAAGTGAGAAAGACTTTAATTGGTGACGACTCCCTTTTTTTTTATGCCAAATTGTTGTTTAGTTTGACGTTATATCAAGACGCTACATTATGAAATTGTCAGAGAGTGAAGATTAGTTGCAGAATCACGAAGACCCTGAGCTTTCCATCCTGTGAAATCGCAACAAACACCCACATGCAAATGCATTATGGCAGATACGAATATATCAACGTGGAAGGTCTCATCTGACACATTTGGCGAAAATAAGAGTAGGTGGTTACGGGGAAAGAAAAACAAAACAATACCGGAAAAGTTTAAAAGAAAGCAACCACTGCAAAAAAACAAAAACATTAAATTGAAGTGCTTCATCACAATAAACCTGACAACTCCGATGGATAAGCTATAAGATGGTGTCCAACACTGAATCCGATTTCATGGATTTTTCCTACAAGGGCTCCCGGGTGGGTGATATTCGGCTTTTCTGTTATTGACACAGCAAAGGAGCTGTCACACCTGAAAACCTTGAGACCAGCATTACCTGCAAACGCTCTGCACAAGCTCATTCCCTCTCTCCTGAGAGAGTTCTTGAGCCAGCCCGTAAAAGAACAGACATTGTGATGCAGCTCACCCTCACCGCTGTCTGAGTCGTAAATATCCTCTCCCTCTATCTGCCTCTCTCCTTCTTTCTTCTCTCCGTCCTTACGCGCCCCCTGACTCAGTGAGAGGGTGACAGCGAGCGGCTCGCTGGTGATGAAGAGTAACGTGAAACTGCAGCGTGTCACGTCTCGATACGCTTGTCACAACCGGTCACACAATCAAAGAAAAACATCTTGGAAAAAAAAGGTGAAAGTGGGGTGAGGATAGCGGTCACATTCTCCACGCTTACTGGACGCATAATGGCACTTGACAGAGTTGTTCTGTTTCCGGAAACACAATCCAGACACTCATGAAAATGCATCTAATCTCAGCAAATGTCCTGTCGAAATAAATCTACAGTGTGTGCTTCACTAAAACAAGCAAAATGGAGTGATGTCAATCCTAAAGCACCAGCATGATCAAGTAAATACGATCACAGGAGATTTTATGACTAATAACAACAATATTCAATATTCAATATGACAGTAAATTTACCGTGGAGCATCATTTGTTTGATAGAAGTTTCATCTTTTCAATAAAACTAAGCTACTTACAAAGGGAATATATCATTTTCTCTATTTCTTGATCCTGTTTACAAGGAAATGAGATTTTGTCCGGTTAACAATTATTCCAGGAAAGAAGGGACACTGTGTAAAATGTTGATAAAGTTTAGTTTTGATGGTTTGCAATTCATTTAAATCATGCATTTAACAATGTAAAGAGAAAAATGAGACAAGACCAATGCTTGATGGCTTTGAGAAGTACTGAAGTGAGTTTGAAAACTGTCCTGTGGTCTGATGAATAAAATTTGACTTCTTTTTGGAAATCATGGACACCCTGATCTAAAGTAATATCTACATTTATATTTTTATCAGTTTAAAGTTCAAAAGCTAGCTATATGATGGTATGGTGGTGTTGGTGGTGATTTCAAATGTCTATAAACTGGTCTCTGCTCCCAAACATTTCAAGAGTGTTGTGACACAAAGAGGTGACAATGGTTGACATGCCACAATGTTTTCGAAACATGAAGCTGACAACGAATTAAAATGAGAATACAAATATTTTTAACAAAAAACATCTTTGCTTTCAAAGTTTCATCATCTAATATGCTGTTTTTGCACTAGTTTTTGATGTATACCATCAAAAACTGTTTTTTAATCAACAATTAAAACAACATTTCAACAGTTTTGGACATACTGCTTTAAATTTTGTCCACAAAAATGACGGATAAAAAGCAGAAAAAGGCCAAAAGTGAGGGTGAATAACTTTATAAAGCTATCTTCTACCTGGTGTCTGATCATGTGTCTTTAGAATAAGAGAGTAGTCAAACTACACACGGAGGTAAGGTGTCAAACCTCACTTTAAAAAATCTCTGTGCTAAAATTAAAGCGACCCTTTCTTTGCCCTTTTTGTCTCTTAGATCCGAATCGCCCGAGGAAAAACACCTGATCAAAGCCTCGTCTTTGGTTTCCATCTCAAAGCCAGATCTTCAGACTGTTACATCTCGTGGTGCGGCTCCAAGCTGTCAGACCGACAGACAGATTGATATGTAAAGTCTGCTTCTCAAGCTTGGCCACATTGATTATTGGACCAGCGCCGCCGCTCAATGAGGCCACACTAACAGATAACAAGCACATAATCCTCCACGTAATAGCTGTCAACGAGCTGAATTTACAGCAGGAAAACCGTCTGAGAAACCGTCGAAGGAGTATCTGACCCCATCAATCAAAAGATTTTCATGATGCTCTGTCTTCACCTGACTCTGAAAGCCTTTTTTTCCACTTCTCTGAGTTGATTAAAGCTCAACAAATTCAGTTTTGACAAGAGCTCTTGATTTAGCTTTCCAGAGGCTGAGACGACTTTTTATCGAGTGTCTATTCGTTGATATCTTTCGTGGCAGTGTGTACTCCAGGCACGGATTCTTGGATGATAGACTAACTTTGCATAAACTCACGGTTTTTCTGACTCCCTGAAGCCGGGATTCGTCAGAAGAAGAGGCTGTTAGCGCTCAGTGAAGTGATCTCCAACAGCAGCTCTAACACGAGGCTTGATGTTTGCAGGAAAGCTCTAAGCTGCGGGGTCTTTTGCTCCCTCATCTCCCCTCTCCTCTCTTTGCTCTGTGTGCCTTTAATGTCATGTCATGCTTTCATCCGAGTAAGTATCTTGCTTTTCCCTTTTCTCTCATCTTTACTTAAGGCTCAGGCTTCATGCTTCACCAGTCCCTTGAACCATTGAAGGCGTTTTAAAGATGGCAGTCAAGACTCTGGCATTTGCAAATTTTTTTTTTCTGAAGACGAATCAGATACAGACTTCCAAAAAACAAGTATAGAACAAAAAATAATTGCAGCTGTGTGCATCTTTCTTGCTGTAAATGTGCACTGAACAGTTAATTTCACTCTGGCAACCTCCAATAAAAAAAACTGCAGTTCCTCAAGTGTCCACTAGAGGCTGGCTCCAAAACTCAAGGAAACTCTATTAGGCTTCATATTAAATATGATTTATTTTTTCATTTTTATTTTTTTACAGCTGAAATAAATGTAACAACTTCTTTCCTTATCCATACAGCTTAGTGAGGGCTGTTTCTACAACTTATCCATTTGGATTATATCAAGATAAAGACACATATTTTATGGATTTGACAATCAGACTGATTTTTATACAGAAAATGACAACTGCATACAGTAAATATTATCATTAGCACACAAGTTTTAAACCTTTTGATTATTGGGCAAGATCCAGGACTGGATAAATGTTTTTGTTTTTAATTCAGACATAAATATTCTGTCTTATTGTCTTATTCAGACCTGGGCATTTTATGGATGTCCCTGCCCGGCCCTTTGTGACGTCTGTCAATCAAATCATCAATATGCTATACAAGTGTGTTGTTTTTATTGTGAAAACCTGGCCGTTGTTTTATTTCTGTTTGGACGCACTTGCGTACATCCTAGATCTGCATTTGTGAACAGAGACAAGTTTAAACATCGGCAAAATATACATAGAGTTGCTCAGTCTGCTTATTATAAACGACTTTAGGCTTGTTTCTATCAGAAGTCACTTGTAAAACTCGTGAGTCACGGTTTCAGTTTTCTCATGTGGCCCCATGTAAAAATTAATTACCCACCCTTGGTCTAATCTGGAGGTATGACTTTTAATATGCTGATGTATATAATGAAACACGATGTACAAGACTTTTAATCGGCAGAAATTTCTGATGGTGTGCAGCAGTGTTGAAGGTAAGCACGACATCAGATTTCCTGTAAGCTGGTGACGTGGGTGTCCTCCATCTAACAGCCTGTGTGCAGCAGGTCGAACACCTGCCACACTTCACCCTCTGCCAATCAAGGCTGAACTGCTGCTGGACAAACTTTCAATTACGTGGTTTGGTTTAAGAGCGGCCAGCGTCAGAAACAAGAGTGACTCAGCAGAATAGGCTGTGCTCTTTAATATGCTCATCATGAGTCAAGATACATCTCTGTATTTTGTAGATTGAATGACTAATTGGTTGAATATTGGAAAATCTGAGTGGAACATTACATTGAATGTTGAATGAAAACAAATTTACGAACTGTAAGAGATGTTAAAACGATCTCCATCTGCACATTTGCATCATCTGAAGTGCACTACCTTTGCGATGATGGTCACAAATGTGGATAATCTGCGGCCTCTCAGTTTCTAACCTCATTATTTATGCAGTGATCTGAGTAGGCGGGATGCTATGATAATTATGCCCTGTGCTAATTGGTTGCCTGAAAGCAGAGTTTGCAGACCAGTACCGAGGAGAAAAAAACCCAAAACCAGCAGGGCCAGGGTTCCACATACGATCTATAATTGGATACCTAACAAGAGGCAACCATTGAAGTGTTGCAGCTGTGGTTGCAATCGTATGTCTCTACGTGGTGGGTTCAAAATTGAGTGTTATTCCTGCTGTTTTGCCTGTCATGTGAGGTCAGCCCTTGTTGCGTCAGTCTAAGGTGAAGTGTGTGGAACAAACAAACTAATTAGCGCTAGCTTCAGCCAGTACATTGTCGTTAATAAATAACAGCCACTCAGTATGATTACACGTTGTTCAAAAAACTGATTTAGAGCATTAGTCAAACTGAAACAAGACTTTTAAATACATGTAAACACTCAAATCCAACTGAAACTGCACTAAATGAAACTTCTCATTGTCAGAATAGCACTCCAGTTGTAGTTTTTCTTCAGCGTTTACTCTTCTATCAGTCTGAAACTGGCCTTAGTTTTTTGTGTATGCTCCAGAGTTTACACGCCAAGGTTTGACATCTACGTTTATTTGTGTAACTGAGCTGCAAGTAAATCAGCTAGTAAAAAAAACCTTGATGAAAAAAGAAAGGATGTCGACAAAGACAAGGATGGATTGGTTGATTTCTTGCCTGGTGCTGTCAGACTAAGACAAAAACAGTAGTCTAGTTATGCCGAATCAACCCAAGACTGTAGCTAGAACGAACTCTGCATGTACATGTACTGACTGACATCTTAAGGGGCAGCTGATGTGCCAGACTCTGACCTGATTTCTTGACTCTGCAATACTGAAGCAAAACCACAACAGCATAGAAGGAAGCAGAACTGCTTGAGGGGTGGGAGTGGCTTTACATTCATGCATATGCAAATCACTCCTGTTGTTATGTCACTACAGGAACTGGTTCGAAATGGAAGCTGTGGGCTATATAAACAATGCAAGGCTTTTTCACTGACACATTCACAGAGTTCCTCTACTGGGAGACGACTGAAATATTTATATTTACAAAAGGAATAATGTATTTTAAAAACTGAATAAAGAGGCAAATACATAAGAGGTTATGACAGATTTCCTGCAACATTTTTTTCTGCAAAGACAACAAGCAATGCTTTTGGAGACTGATCTCTAAATGTTGATATCATCATTTAAGGAAATGTTGAAGACAATTAGGTTTGCAAATGCTGCTAAAAATGAGTATTATTAACTTGCAACATTATATATTTATCTATCTGACTTGTGGTCATGCTTTTTTCAACTTTGCTTGGGTCATTAATATCAATCAACATTTAGATTTAACAGTTTCCAACTTCCACGGGACCCCTGTTGAATTACATCTCACTGTTCAATCTGTTTTCTGCTCTGATTACTCAGGCAGAAGCTATTTTTAGCTCCACAGATCCAATAAAAGCAAACACCTCTCCAGGGGTTTTAAATTGAGACAAACAGACAAGCCGACAGCATGGCAAAATAGCATGACACAGCAGTAGTGCTGCAATGCCAGGGGTGCTGTCAGCCGCGATCCATTCTCCATCCACCCAGCAGGCAGCACAGTTAACACACGGCATCCCTGAACGCACCTCTAACAGAACAGGTAATTCATTAACCCAAGGCAGTCACTTTTTCCTACCTAACTACTGCACAGGCACAGGCTTTGATTTATTGTGTTTCAACTTTTGAGACTGGAAGCATCGTCAGTGCACTCCGGCACGACTGCTGCGACATTAAACTGAGCAGGACCATTAGACAGTCCTTATGGTCTGCTGTGTGAAACCAGTACGTGAGCTGGAGGGAGCTGGTAGTCTCGAAAGAAATGATGTCTCACAGATGGGTGAAGGTTTAATGCCTTCGAATGCAGACAAGCTCTAACAATACAGATGCTGCAAAAAAATGAGTCATTTCAGCAAACAAAGTATCGTGCACGAACATGAGTCGAGCAGCACTTTGTTTGGCTTTACAATAGATTAAAGGTGAAATGCTGCAAGATGACTAAGTCATTGTTGTACCCTTCAGACGTGGACACTTCAAGGTTTTGCCTAATGCCGAATAAGACGTTAAGGATTTCAGCAAACATAGATGGCATAATATCACAAACAAGCTTAATCCCTTCTCATCAACACAGCAGATGTTAGAGAGGGCGACAATGAGCTGGTTTCAACATGCGGGTGGGTTGGAAGCAAAAACAAACTCTGGGCGGTTTGAATCATGCAAGTGTGGAGATTATATTGTTATTATAAAAACTAAAGATGCCGCACAATTAAATGGGTACAGTAATGCTATGGGGGGTTCAAAACGGGGGATTGGGACCCCCTGTTGAGCTGTCAGACAGATCAAAATGGGTCATGAGGTGATTTGCAAGAAAGGACAAAGGACAAAAAAAATATCAGTCATCTCATTTTGGATATGTGACAAAATTACCCGAGATCGGCGCAAGATTTATTGCCAACAAACACAGCGAGATGTCAAAAAAGAAAAAAAAGGGGCTGTGAATTCTTATTATTCGTCCCAAACTGATTGATCCCAAGGCCGAGAGTGAACTTTGTGCTGAAAAATGAAAGCGACGTTCCTCTTTCGGCAACTAAAAACCTTTGAAAATGAGGAGAATGAAAATGGCAAATCACTCTTTTGTTAAACTCTAAAAAGAAATAAACAAAAAGTTCGTGTGTGAGAGAAATAAGCTTTTCCTTGTAGGGGAACAGCTGAAAATTATAAAATGTGTTTTTCTGAAAGTCTTCGACAAACGCAGCTACAAAAACTAAAGGAGGTGAGATCACCGCTAACGGAAATAACTCACTGCGGTTATTCTTTTGTATCAGAACAATCCTCTTGTTTGCATTTCAAGATGTAATGGCGCAAAAATGTGACAAATAAGCAGTGGAATTCCCTCTTTCCTGTGAACAATCGATCAGAGAGTCTGCCTGAGAGTATCTACGAGCCACACAGGAGCCGTGTCCGGAGCGGGACAGGAAACAAAGGCCTTTGCCGCACTCAGGAATGTCAACGAAGTAGCAGCAGTAGAGAAAGATTTGCATTATGACAAAGGAAAAACATATCGTGTCCACCTTGTCTCTACACTTCCTGTCTTCGGTTGTGGGCTGCTGATGTACTTTCAGCTGAAACAGTGATGCACACACCTTAGAGAGTGCAGGAAGTTCCTCACTCCACAAACACGTCCCTAATTTTACCTCCTGACGTAGCCTCTTGTCTCAGTGACAATGGCAGGAACGAAAAGCGGTGCAGAAGGATGTTTTTCTGGAGGGGAGGGGGGTGTATTGTACCTCGTTTCCTTGAGCGGTGCAGCAGAGAGCGCTGAGAGCCAGCTGGGACGAGAGAACGAGAGGAGCCACATCCGCAGAGAACGTCCAAGGTCCAGAGATTTCCCGCCGGGCGATGACCACGTGTGCCTGGAGACGGAGGCAGAGATCTGTATTGTTCTCCTCTCTCCTCCTCCTCCTCCTCCTCTCTACCCCACCTCCCCCCTTTTGCTATTAGTGAGACGGATTAACTCCAAGAGCTGCTAGTCCTGAGAGTGTGTCTGGCTCGCTGTATGCACAAACACACACACACACACGCATCAATTAGGCTTCTCCATGCGAGTTACGCTGACAGACGAAGGCGAACGCACTCCGCGAAAACATGACAAGGACGATTGGCCTGAAACTGAAGAATTCACTCTTGAATGAACAATTCGCCAAACAGTCCAAAGGCCTAATAAGCCAATTATACAGAGGCTGAGTTACATGTGATGAAGTACACACACAAAACAAACAACTCTTGTGAGTTTGCGATTAATTTTCAGAGCGATGGAGCTCAAAGTCCTCCACCAGGACAAGAGTGACCTTTGCTTGTCAGCCGCCACAGGAGCGAGAAGGAGAGAAGAGGCGCAGCAAGACAAGCTGGAAGCGTGACCCTCGATGGAAAAGGAGCGATGGTGACCTGAGCTCTTGCTCTCTGCAGCCCTGGGGTTTGGTGTTTACCTGGCAGTGACAGAAGATATGAAAGCGTGGGAGCCTGACAGGGTTGACATTTGTAAGTGAGATCCGACTGAGGCCGGTCCAGTGGGAGTCCGGTTCTAGGAAAGAGGTGTCAGAAGCTCAGAGACGTGACATAATAACAGGATTAATATCACAAAGCAGACATTGCCCTGTGGTACTGCCAGAAATCCAGCGAATCATGGATGGGATGTACTGGGTTTAAGAATATCTTGAATAAATATAATATATAATATTTGGATAAAAATAAAACATTGAGAGAGTTTCTAAAGGGGCAAAGACTTCAAAATGAAAACAAATAATTACAACGGCTTTCTAAAGATTTACAATTCTGCCTAAACAAATGATCATTAGTGAATAAACTTAATATCCTACAGCGATTTCTTATAATTACTGTCTCAATTATTCTGAAACCAGTGAAAAAATGAGTCTTTCTAAATGCCTTTTTGTTCTTAAACGGCACTCTAAAGTCTGCAAAATTCAATGTAGCAGAAAACAAATAAGAAGCAGTCTATAATAAATTTCAGAAGCTTAATCTTTTCAATATTTAGAAATTTATATCAACATAAGACTCTGCAGCCAAGTTGCTAAATGTGGTTTTAGCTATTCAGATCAGAGGTACATTAAAGGGATATTCCGGCGTAAAATTAATTTAGGGTCAAACACACTGCAACACCGAGTTAGACACCCCCTCGAGAGATGAATGTTGCCGACCGCTTGCTTCTCTAGTTATACCAACTTTGGTAACGACCGCAGACAGCAATACAGAGAGTCACGCGCTCAACCAAAACGCCACTCTATAGCCACAAATAATGCTCAGAACAGCACCTAACTTCATCAACAGTACATACAGGGTCCTAGCCACAGTACTAGCCACCAAACATCTTTTTAACTTTGCCTAATTTCTTTAGCAAAGAGACTAAACACAACTCACCTACTCTCTTCCAGCAGCCACTTGTTTGTAGCCATTTCTTCGTGGAAGTGCAATCAGACCGAGATGCTAAGGCAGAAGAACTACCGCGTCTGCAGTGCAAATTGCAGTGTGATTACTAGTCCAAGGAAATGATAAAGTAATGATCATAAATGTTGTTCCTTGAGCTGCGTCACCCCGCTGTAGTCTGTAATGGACTGACCCAAGGTCTCGCTACAAACAAGCAGCTGCTGCAAGAGAGTAGGTGAGTCGTGTTTAGTCTCTTTGTTAAAGAAATCAGGCAAAGTTAAAAAGATGTTTGGTGGCTAGTACTATGGCTGGGACCCTATATGTACTGTTGATGAAGTTAGGTGCTGTTCTGAGCATTATTTGTGACTACAGAGTGGCGTTTTTGGTTGAGGTTTGTGTATGTCTCCTCAGACCGCTGTGTAATGCTGTCGTGCGGTCGTTACTAAAGTTGGTATAACTAGAGAAGCAAGCAGTCGCAGACATTCATCTCTTGAGGGGGTGTCTAACTCGGTGTTACAGTGTGTTTGACCCTAAATTAATTTTACACCAGAACAACCCTTTAAGGTTTAGCTTATTATCATGCTTGTTCTCGCTAACACAGTCGCTTTTCGTGACTCAAAATAACAAGCAACACTTAAAATGTTCAAGCACAAAATAATGATGAAATACTCTTAATACCTCCCTGTCATAACACTCTTGAGTAGGTGCAAACTGTTTCCAAAGAGGATTTGTGTGTAAGTATTGAGGGGCTGTACAGTTAAGGTTATTGCTATTGAGTTTTAGCGCACCGTTGTGCAAGTCCATTGCAAGAGGATCAGGACAGATGAGTGTGTAAGCTCCTCTGAGGAATTTTCAAACCCTGCATTAGGCAAATAATGTTGTTACTATAGAGTCAGATAGCTTTACAGTTTGCATGGGGAGCTTTTTGCATGGATTACTGTCAAATATGCAACATCCATCAAAAATGTATCCAACAGATGACTATTGGAGAAATAATGAAGCAATCAGTGCAACCACTCGGCACACTAATTAACAGAGCTAGCCGGGACACCCACTGGCACCACATCTATATAAAGACTCTCTGTGTGTGTGTGTGTGAGTGTGTGTGTGTCAGTTTTTAAAATGCTCTCCAGGAGAAAAATGTCTCACCAACAGACGTTTAATTACCATGGGATAGAGGTCTTTGGTTTGCTCGTGCTATCAGTCATAGCTGAATTAATGAATAGGTAAACAGCAGAGGAACAAGCCAGAGTCAGCATGGTTTGGACGAGATCTGTGACGCCACACGTGCTCACATACACACACACAAATACACCTACGCACACAGAATCAGCAGTGTTTAATGTTATGGATAAAGAATGAACAGTCAGGTGAGGTGAAGATTGAGCGTGAAAGAAGAGCCGAGGATGAGGTTGAGGTTCATAGAGTCAATGATTAAGTGATAAACCACTGATGATACTCCCCCTTTGGTTCTTACATTAATCAGGTAAATAATGAACTACGAGAAGCCGGTGATTACTGTGCCTCGTCAGAACAGTGTGCAAAGGTTTCATTAATCTTCGCCCAAAAAAATTCACATATTTTGATATATAAACAAACAAAAATAAGCTGCAAAATTATCTTTTTAAGAGCAGAAGAAAGAAAATATCAGATGGTGTTCCTTTGGATTCAGATTATACATAACTGGAAGGTCTATTTTTATGTGAAATAGTTTCAGCACTTTAGTAATTATAACCTTATCATCATGCTTTTTTGAAGCAAATAAAAATAATTGGGCCTCAAATCTCTAAAGGTGGACTATTTGTTCATGCAGTTGTGATAGGCAAGTGGAAAAATCTAACTCTTAATTAGCAGAAATGGAGAATATTGGGAAATGCTCCTATAAAGTAGTCAAAACAAATAAAATAATACATGATTATTAGATACCTGAATGTTTATTAATCTAAAATCATAGCACGATTGCCAAGATGTGGAATTTATTTGGAGCTGATAGGTGACAGATGACAAGGAAAAAATGAAAATGCTTTTGTGATCATACATAAAATAAAAGCATCGAAGTCTCACTTTCAAAATAAGAGCATATCAATAAGAATATTGAAAATGACTTTGAACAGTATTGGTAACACTTTACAATAACCATAACTTATAATTGGCAAATAGATAGTTTATTTGTGTAAGTTAATATTTAATATAATTGTTAAAGGTTTATATAGGGCTTAAATATTGGTTGTAAAACATCTAGATTAAAATGTGTGTCAGTAGCACTTTGTAAATGGTTAATATTTGGTTTTTAAACCATCTATAAACATTACTCAGATAGTTATTGTAAAGTTGCGACTGATGTTTGTAATACTTTGTAAATGATTAATAAGTGGTTTATAAACCACATATAAACATTACTTAGATGGTTATTGTAAAGTTAGGGTTAGGTTTTTAAAATAGTGAAATTTACTATTTATTTACGGTCTATGTGCTATTTATAAATGATGTTTAAACATGAATAAACTATCTGCTTACCATTTATAAATGGTCTATTTACCATGTATAAGTTATGGTTATTGTAAAGTGTTACCCAATATTAATCTTCAAAAACTGACATTTTACCACCACATTAAAACATTTTTCCAATGGATTTAGCTTGAAAATGAAGAGCATATTTTCAATCTCTACTCACTTCATACTGAGCAGCAAGGACGTAAAATTCACCCAGCGAGAAGAAAGGAAACTGCTCCACACAAAATGAATGTCAATGGCATTCCAGTGGCCTGTTTACAGCTCTCGTAGTTAAATGTCAAAAGCTCGGCCCCCGCGGGGAGACATGACTGGCTGGGAGGGAGAGAACGTGCAGGTGTCTTTCTCCTCGTCACTCCGCAGCCTCGCTCCACTTTGCCACGTAAGACTTTGGACAATACAGCAGGATGAGCAGCAGGATCTGTTATTAGAGGATAAGTGAAGAATGAAGTGAGAGCCCAAGGGGAAAAACAGGGGAGCCGGCCAAACCTCACTGATATTATTTTAAGAGCCGCTGCGGTGACAGTTTCTGCAAAAGATGACTCTTGTACCGCAGACGACAAAACTCTTCATGAATTACAATTTGAGGAGCTGTTTCTGTGGTTTCGCACATTAAATGCTTGCAAATCATGCAATCGTGTTCAATCTACTGTTCGGATTAAGTTTGGACTCATTTTCTTCAAATTCTGTTTATTTTTAGGCTTCATCTGTCACCAGCTGTCAACACACTTCAGTCGTTTTTGAATTATCTCTAGTACGGCGTGCTATTAATGTTGATAGTGTTGATGTTGTGTGGGTTTCTCATTGTGTTACAGTTATGTAGACACACAAGAGGCACATGTAAACCAAACACACAGACGCATTCGTGCTCATTCTCATGGGCTCTGATTTTTACAGTGACACTTTTATAGCTCTGTTACACTTGATACTACATCTGATGGCAGCTTACAACTTCACCTTGTCATTACGCTTTAATGCCTTTTACATGTAGACTGTATAAAACATGGAAGTAATCTCAGCGATATCACCCTTTACTTTCTGTAAAGACCTTTTAAGGGCCCATCAATGGCGGTTACCGTATATGGAAATACTGACTTCTTTTTACTTCAGGTCAACCTCGACATTGGCGAATAGGTTGAACAGGGATGAGCGTTTGGCCTCCTGGCACACAGCACTGAATAAAGTAAATTATTATATTACTTCTCTATATAATCAAAAAGAGATGAGTATTCCCAGAACAGATAAAGTAAAGAACCATAATTTAACACATTTACTTCTGCATGTTAACTTCTGTTTTCTCTACACTGGCTTCCAGTTTGCATCAAATATTAAACCCAACTTCTTTACTATAAAACTGCCTACCTGGAGTCTGAGTCCGGGTCGAATGAGTTACCAAACTCTAGACCTGCAGAGTCCCTAAAGCTAAAGATCCAGCTCTTTGAGGAAGGCCTGCACACTTGACTCCAGCTCATACAACCACTTGTGATAGAAACAGTCCCCTTCTACTTCTGGGAAACTTGTTGGCAAAGCTCTTTGTGGACAACCCAAAACTTGGTAGTTTGGCGCTGAAGGTGACGACAATGTTGAAATTGATGAGGATGATAATGTCAGTGTGATTTCATGTTGAATTGATTCATTTTAGTTGCGATGGTGGTAGTAATAAAAAAAACCACTAGATCTTTGCTTGTGCTGTACTAAAGCTGCGTTCGAATTACCTCGGAAGTCGAATATCGGAACTGGGAATGATGTCACACCTGAGTTACCAGCGTTTCAGTTACCAAGTCAGAAAAAAGCAAAATTGGAGTTGGAAACAAGATGGCTACAACTGCGAAAGTTCGCGCTTGCCTTGTCTGAATATACGCAACGACAAGGCAATTGCTATAATAACTTTCATAGATCTTGTTTCCACCTCCGATTTTGCTTTTTTCCGACTTGTTAACTCAAACGCTGGTAACTTGGGTGTGACGTTATTTTCAGCTTCGACATCTGACTTCCGAGGTAACTCGAACGCACCATTACTCTCAAATCTACATCACTTGGACAAAAGCATCTGCTAAATGAAAATGTAACATCGCCACATTGTAAATTAGTATTTCAACATGGGTGTCAACATTGCTTTCTTGGTGTTGGCCTCAAATGGACACTTAAGCAACTGCAATGTTTTGCACTTTAGTATTTGCTTTGATTCTCAACGTTAAAAGTTGCCACTTAGTTTCACATTGTTTACAAGGCTTAAAAAGTCCCACTTTGAGTGGACGATGTAAAAGGGACTACAAAATCAACCAGGGCCTAGCTAGATAAGAAGAAATACGTTATGTAATTTATCCCTCAACAAGTAAATGTTCAAAATAATTTCAGAATATTTTTCATATGTTGTTGCTTTAACTGTTTCTCTTGATAGTGGATAAACATGTTCATCTTTTGACACTGGACCGAGCCAGGCCAACTGTTTCCCACCTTTTCCAGGTTTCTATGCTAAACTTATTAACCCTCAGCTCTGACTCAGTAGTTGACAGACATGTAAGCAGCTTTTTTTTTTTTGTCTGACACTTGGCAAGAAAGTCTTAAACCGGCGATCCACATTTTCAAAGATAACAGCATATAGGAGGTCAATTTGCAGAAGCGCTGGTTTGATCCTTTAAGTGTTCAACAGTGTGTGCAAACGTGACAGATGTAATAAATCCAAAGGCACCAAATGCAGAAACACCATCAGTGAGTTGAGAAAAGGGAGGAAAATCATTGCAGTTGCAACAGCAGACTTGACACGTCGTATACTACGACAGTGAGCTGCAGTGTTTGTCCGGCACGAACAGCCTGCGCAGTGACCAGTGTGTCCAATTTATTTGCAGCTTCTGACAAACCCAAAACGTCAAGTCATCTCTTCTCTAAAAGGACACTCTTCTCTTCAGGGAGGAAGGAAAGGGGAGGAGTCGTTCCAGCAGCTTCAGCAGCAGTTTCATTTGGCTCGTGCTGCCTACCGGCCACAAAAGTGCCACTCTCTCAGTACGTATGAGATAATCTGGGTGTGAACATGAATTCTGTGGTTCAGCGGATAAGGGGCAGAGCAGTGTTCAAGTGTGAGGACAGTGAAGTTAGAAAGGTGGAGGAGAGCGTTCATTCTTCAAACGGCCTCTGCCTGTGTTTTATTTTTCTGTTGCCATGTTGTTTATCTCAGCTGCCAAAACTGTACTCATTCCAGCATCAATGTCCTGTCTCCATGGTGATGTAGCTGCCACGAAACCACCATCTCTTGCCACCACTACCGGCACCACAAACACATCCACGCACACGCAAACAAACCGGGCGAAATCCCACGGCGTCGTTTAGCAGTTTTCTTTTAAACGCCGCTCTGAGTCTGTAAATTAATTTGCCAACGCTCCTCTCCATCTTATTCAGAATTAATTCTTTCTCAGATTACTAGACAGCTTTCCAGCCCCCTGAGGCCACGAATCTCTGAGATTGGAGAGCGAGATGGGAGGAGGAGGAGGATGGAGGAGAATGGGAGCACAACCATACAAACTGCTCCCTAATTGGGGGTGACAGGCACAGATAGTTTCATATTTGAGGAATCCTCCCCAAGCTGGTTATCACGATGACTGCGATGAAATGTCATCTCCCAGGACACCCACAGCAAAGAAGACATCAGAAACATACCGTATCATCTCACTGCTCTACAATCAAGCAGTCATGTGCAGTTCGTAAAGGGATAGTTCACCTATTTTAAAGAGGGTTTAAGAAAGGCACAGTTTAATCTATACACTCTAAACTCTTCTATATGACGATGCGATACCCTCTCCAGCTCTGGCATTCAAAATTGGAGACACTGTTTTGAGCATCGGCCTATAAGCGACACTTTGTGCAGCTAACGCACCCCACGCTAGACCAACTTAAAGGGATATTCCGGCGTAAAATTTCTTTATCATTTCTTTGAAGTAATGATCACCATATTAATCATTTATTGGTCTGACTGCATTTCCATTAAAAATGATCATAAATGTTCTTCCTTGAGCTGCGCCACCCTGCTGTAGTCTGTAATGGACTGGCCCGAGGTCGAGTTACAAACAAGCAGCTGCTGGAAGAGAGTAGGTGAGTTGTGTTTAGTCTCTTTGCGAGTCTCTCTGTGCTGTTCTGAGCATTATTTGTGGCTATAGAGTGGCGTTTTGGTTGACGTTTGTTTATAGCTCCTCAGACCGCTGTGTTTTGCTATCCTGCAGTCATTACTAAAGTTGGTATAACTAGAGAAACAAGCAGTGGGCAACATTCATCTCTCGACAGGGTGTCTAACTCGGTGTTAAGGTGTGTTTGATCCTAAATTAATTTTACACCGGAATATCCCTTTAAGTAGCCAAGTATTATCAATCAGCCCTTCCTATAAGACGATATTTTTAAGTGGACAACAATTCTTTATCCTAAGCATGCAGCACAATGTGTCAGATATCACTAGAAGAGACAACACATTGAAGAGAAATCCACACTCTGTAGAAGTCGAGGACAAAAGTACACTCTTTTAAACCATAAAAACACTTGGGAATAACTCCTGCAGACAACCATCAATCAAGAGGGAGGCAGATGTTTATTCAGGCCCATCTTTAAAGCTGGGTTTGTGGGTTTCATACAAACGTCTTCAGACACAATAGTGTTAAAAGGAACCGAGCGAAACTGGCAAAAATACCAGTATGCAAAAAAAGTAAAATGGCAAAGTTCGTCGAAAGTTTGAGCTTGACTCAAAACTTTCAGACCAAAACAGATGACTGCCGACCCATGTAGGAGTACATTACTATTACTCAGAAATGTATCCAACAAATTGGCTCGAGTCGATTAGCTTCAATCCTGTCCATAGCGATACGTAGCTTAGCTTCTGTGTCAGTACTCAAGCCACTTCCTTCAGACATAGGCTATTCTGGCTTCCATCTACCGTTGATTTGTTCTCCAAACAGCCCCCTACAAAAAAAATCATAAACCCCAGGGCATAAAATGTCGCTTTGAGAAAATCTTTGGTGCTTGAGGAGTACACTCTGCCCCCTTTCCCCTATCTTCTATATATTCACTTTTACCTCATGCGACCTTGCTGAGGGCTTCACTCTCTCCTTGCCAAGTGCTGCACATGAGGAACACCAGCCCCACTTCTCCTCAGCCCATCAATCAGGCTCTCCAGCAGCCATGAAATGAGCCATATGCGGCACAAGGCAGGGCACAGACAGAAAACAATGGTTTTATAAACTCAAGAGCTTCGTTTCCTGGTACTCACGCCGCCTTGACTTGGAATCAACAGCTCGACAGAGGTTGGTGTAAGTCACAAAATTAAATCCAAGCTTTGGCGAGGTGATTGCAAACGCGGTTTAAGCTTATTTGGAGAGGATGCTTTAATTTAGTCGGGATGACCAAGCATTTAAGACAAGATAGCAGACTTGTTCCCCCTTCACCTCAATCCTCCACAACAATTAGCTGTTGACAGTGACATAGCAGCCTGATAATAAGCTCTGCCATGGGGAGGGGTCCCTTCAGTCCCCGGCATATGGTGCCACTTTAATCTGCAGCCTCTATCAGATGAGTCTGGCTGCTGGACATGGTTTGATTCTGAACTGATTGCTCAAAAGCTTCCAGACAGAGACACAGAAAACACAGAGGAAATAGAAGATGAACACAATTTGCTGTTTCCAAAAGACTGATGAGTTCTTACAAACTATAAATGAAAAGAAATTTATGCTTTTTGATGCTGCGCTGAAAGAACAAATATCTAGATTGAAGAAGTTGCCAAGGTAACCACAAACTTGAAGCTCTTTCTCACTTATTTTGACTTGATAGAAAAGCACTTTTCTGGGCGAGAGGAAGGCGATTTACTTCCTCACCAGTCAGGGTCACAACTCGTGGTCCATTAGAGGCTCTGAGTAATCCTGATAGGTGAGCCTCGCCTCAGACCCAGTAATCATCAGGCTGACACCTGCTTGCATTGTCCACCCTCTACCACATGACCTCGGGGCTGGGTTTAAAGGGGTGACATGTAACCCCCAGGACTCCTTCTCTCCCCCCCAGGCCCTCTCATAATCCTATTAGGCCCGGTCATCTGCACTGAATTTAAAAATGTGATGAATGATCCTAAAATACCAACCCCCGGTGTCCCAAAAAGACCTTGTGTGTCACTTTTGAGCTGAACTGAAGAACTGAAGGGGTGATTAGTCATTTTAAACACCAACACCACTGGATTAAAGGGGCTTTGTTGTTTAACTGGAACCTGCAGAATTTACAGGTCTTCTTAATGCAAACATATACGCAGACTTGAGTTCAGTCTTTTAAGTTACATCAAGTGTTTCCAAATTTCTTTTTTCTAAATTATTATTACTGCAGTGTGCTAAGTATATCCCTTGGCTTTTCTACCAGACTTGCTTGTGACCCACATGACCCTTAAAACACCAAGAAATCCATCAGGTATTACGGTAGAGCTCCGAGGATCATCCTGAAGTTTGACATAAGCAGGTTAAATATTTGACGACAAAGCAGCCCTTTGTTGGTGCGATTCAAACAGTTTTCTTCAAACTAAGTCTTGTTATTTATTATATAAGTCTGTATGTTAGACTAACAGGGAAACAGAAAAAAGGTTCAAATACTCTGGACTTGCCAGTGGCTCTGTGAGGTCATGTTAAGACTCTAGACTGGTCTCTGAAGAGGCCCAAAGACGATGGGTGCCATGTTCCGAAAAGACTTACTTGGTAGATTGTGGAATAATCCATTAAAACACAACTTTATAATGGTGTCAGTGGACATGACAGTAAAATACCAGATTCACAGGCTTCATCCTCCAAGTACCATGAATATTTCTGCTGTGTATGTTGACAGGATTCACTTACTTCTAGCTAATTTAACACTTTGATGGAAAGTTTTGGGATCTACAAAGTCAAAAGGGTTCATCCTCTGAGCAAAGCTTCATGGGAATCCAGTTAATAGTTGATGGGATGGGGTTCAACTATGATGAAAAATGACACTTTTGCCACACTTGTTATATCACGTTGAGTCTCTCAGCTTTTTGACCATTGTGACCAGGGTATATCCTCTGGGGGGTAAAGACAGTTTTAGAATCTAGTTAAAGACTAGTTTGTCAGACGGGTGTAACAAGACTTAATTTTTTCATTTGCTGGTCATTGTTCACTTTCTAAAAGAGCAATCTGAGATCAGTGTCGCTAGTGGCTGTCGTAAAAGTCGCTAGATGACGTCATCGCCTAATTTGCACAATTTCTCAGTCAAACCCACTGTCGCCGCCGACCCCACCATCCCCGGGAGCAGGAGGAGGAGGAGTCTTCCACGGGTTGTCTGAGTGTTTGTGTCTGTATTTTTGATGCACACTGGCAACCTGTTGAGAAGAGTAACATCGATTCCTGCGTTTATGTTCGAGTCTCTAAACTCCAGAAAAAGTCGCTAGATTTGTCGCTAGGCTCTTTTTTGAAAATAAGTCACTTTAGGGGGGTCTGAAAAGTCGCTAGATCTAGTGACAAAGTTGCTAGGTTGGCAACACTGTCTGATATGTGAGGATGACACTGGAGCAGAGAGTCAATGAGAACAAATGAGAAAGGGTTCATCCTCTGAGTACCATGAATATTTTACTTACATTTGTGTCGGTTTGTCGCATGTACGTATTGATGTTTCACTGACAATTTAGTGCTATAGAGGCAAAGTTATAGCTCATTAAGGTTATGTGGGCTCATCCTCAGGGAACCACGAATGTCATTTCAAATCCTTACAAATCTACAAGAAATCAGTGGACCAATTATACTCTTACAGTCCTCATTTGGAGCCAGGTTGCAAGGTTTTACTGATACATGAAGAACAAAGCTCCAGCCTTCCTCAAATGCTTGACTGTGTGGTGAACCTTGATTCTATCCTTCACATCAAATCTCGCTTTTCTACAGCGAGCTAAAAACAAGCTTTTTTGGAGATCTACTGCACATGTTCCTGCTGAATTAGCTCCATCAAATACTCCCCCCAAAAATCTCCAAACTATAACGCAGTGACGGGGCTACTTCCTGTTGGGGGAACTCATTGGACCCTTTTGCCCCTTGGGTCTCTCTTGGCACAGAGGGTGACCATCAGTGGGTGGAGGTGCAGATCAGAGTGGCATGGCTGCAGCCGAGGAATGCGAGGAATTCCCCTTGTAAACACCTCATGCTCGAACGGTCACCGCAGCCTTATCTCGCCGTGCCAATCGCCCTCTTTAATCATCATAACGGTAAGTTATTCATTACATCCCCCTCCTCTTCTTCCTCTATCTGCTTTTCCTGTGGCCTCTGTGTGCGAACGGCAGGTGGGGTCGCTTCTGTTGAAAGCTTTTGTTTACCTGGGGCCCCACATGGTGGTCTGTTCACTCAGATACCCCCCAATAGGTGAATACAGCCTGCTCTGATACTACTGTAAGCCTTACAATAGCGTCCAAATGTCAACATCATGAAAGAGGGATTTTTCGTTCTGCACAGTCGACCCAGGCTCCGTCTGGTCCTATGGGAACGCTCTTTAAGTGATAGGATCATAAGTGGCTAAAGAAGGGGGAATTTTTTTTTTTCTCCTCTTGGTTGAATAGAGTGGTTTTCGCTCGCTTTTCAATGAGTCACCTCCCCCCGTGGTTCCTGTATACGAGCCCTCTCTCCGCTTTAATGAAAGTTGTTTCGAAAGCAGCTGAAAGCCTTCGTTAATACTGCGTGGTATTTAAAAAAGCACAGGAAAAGAAACGTGCAAGCAAAGCACAGCCTGTTTTTTCCTCTCTCTGTAGAGGTGAAATCCTGTTTTTGGCCGCTTTTTCTTTTTACCACGCTGGAGGAAGGTGCAAAGTCCGTCCTGAACACATACTGTGTAGCGTTAGGGGGCCCGTGGGGGCTTGCATTCCACCTCATGGTGTACCACTCACTACCAGTCATGAGGGACGCTTACTTACAACTGTGAAACCTGCTCATGCTGCCATGGCTGCATTCCCAAAAAGTTTCCCATCAACTCGGACTTTCTGCTGCAAGAGTCAGAAACCAGAGTTTCCCTTTTCCTGAACCTCCCCCTGATTCGTTTATTTAAGAGGGTCTGTTGCCCTGGATGGGACAGCTGATATTTTCCGGGTGTTTTTCAGTGTTAATGTCGACTTTTCCTGACACTGGCGATAAGAGAGCAGCTGCGGAGATTGTTCAGCGGCTGAACTCTGAAAATCCTTCCAAATGTTGACAGTAGATATCCATCCTCGGAGGAAGGTGTTGAAATGACTGACGCGCACAATTTTTGCCTCTGCCATACAGACAAAAGCAGAGAGAATTGGCGGGATTTGTTCCTGACAACCTTTCAGGAAAATCCTCTTGGCAAAATGAAATGATAACTTCTTTTTCTGTCATTCAGCTTATCTTGACTTTTTGAGCTTTTATGCCTTTGGGGGGATTTAACGCCCACAGATCTGCATGGGCTTTCCAGACTGTGATGCCTAAGTTTAGACTTGGCAGTATGGAAACAGAGGCCTTCTGTCGACTAATTGGTCTTAAAAGTAAGAAAACTAAAATGATGAGCTCGGCAAAGATGTGAAGTTAAGGGCTGAACCCTTCAGGTCTTTGAAATTTTATCTCTGAACCCAAATATCCAGGAGAGCGTTTCATGCGACTTTGTAGCTTTTCATTGTCCTCAGAAGAAGAACCCTGATAAATATGTTTGACAGGACTGCCTCAAAATTTGGCATGAAGATTCATCTGTGCTTGTTTACATCTAGATAGTAGAGCATTTCAGCATTAAGGCTGTAACCGAACATTTTGATTGGTTTTGACGGGCAAGGGTGAAGGTACAGTTCCCAGCATAAGTCAGTAGACCTCCTATTAAAAGTAATGCATTACTCAATATCCAGATGAGCAAAAGTACAACTTCCAAATTCTTGACAAAGCTGAGTTTAACGTCACAGTTTATTTACCATTAGATGAAAAAAAGGGTGATATGGTAACTAAAATTTAACTTTGCTCCAGAACTTTGATTGGGGTGTGCTCATTTTTTGCATCCTGATTTTAAACTGGAAAAAATACTTTTTGTATTCAACTTACAAAATCTTGTTTGCAATCAATGGCCTACATTTGGGTGTGTATTTTGTTGTATAGTATGACATAGAAAATGTTGATTTTGAAAAGAAAATTATGGTTTTCTGACAACTCTTAAGGGGTGTTCTCATTAATGCTGAGCACTGTACCTGTACTTTTATATGTCTTAATAGGCTAAACTACTAATTCATCTACTTTTCGGTCTGTCTTTTCTTTTTTTTAATTATTTGACTATCACAGAAAAGCAGCTGGCTTCAAGTTAGGACAAGTTAAGCTATTTTTAAATTTTTTTTCATTGTTTAAGACAGTAAAATAAACATGGCTCCTGTTATACAATGCGTTTAAGAGAATAAATAGTGATTAACAGTAAAGAGATTAGTCAGAACCACACACCGGCTACACTAATTGCTTAAAAATTAGTGGCAGCTCAGCTAGCAGCCCCCCTCCACCCCGCTGACATTGTGTGACCGTGTCTCCTTGCGTTTGAAGCGAATCACTGACTCTTAATATGAAACTGACTTAAACAGTAGTTTAAATGGCTTAAATGACTCTGTTCCATTGTTTTGGAGAGGAGAAGGCCTCGGGGAGTCATTTGGCTCATGAATGATGAGCTCAGCAGGGTCATTCGGAGACTCGGCTTGTAGAGGGGCCGCAGGATGCCCCTGTGCTGCTGTGTGTAAAATGGTGCGGCTGATAGGCTAAAGCAAAGATCTTTGACTGGCAAATTTAGGATCCACTTGGGGTCTTTTCAGGTGATGATTTGTAGGCTCAACTTTTAAATACTTTCGGCTCTAGATTTGGGCCTGAACGGGGGCAAGACAACATCAAACTGATTTAGAAAAGTTGCTGAAAACAGAACGATTTGTTGAAAAGCAATCCAAAAACATAACTATCGTCTCCACCAATAAACGAGTCTGCAGGATATCTCAGCAGACTTGTTACCGGCTCCTGAGCGCCGTGCCTACAGAATAAATGTCCTCGTTAGTATGAAGTGCCTCGCTCATATGTTCCTTAATACTCATTCACGGTATCACAGCATGTCAGCTCGCCCTGAGGAAGCTGTCAGCTACAGATGTCAATACCCCCAATGACCCTTCTCTCCCTCCCCCAAACACTGCGCACAAACACATGGATTCGAAGGACGCCCCCCCCCTCCATAGAACAAAGGAATGGGGGGTTTCTGTGGAGAACAGGCAACCAAACATTCCTGACACAATGGAGAGAGTGGCCGGCAGGTTCAATTAGTACGCACTTAAAACCGAGCTCTATACCATCCCACTGAGCTCCAACACAAAGCTCCAGTGGAGTGTTTGGTGATGCCAGTGTGTCGGTGGTGGTCCTACATTTTAAGAGAGTTGCGCCTATTATCTGCTTTGTCACCACCATGAAATAAACCACTTGAAGGGCACTTGGGGCAAAGATCTTCAAGTTGTAAGATTGATGGGTTCTTCTCTTTCTAGAAGTTTGTTTTGGGCTCAAACTAGGAGAACAATTTCTTGGAAGAAACCACAGCAAGCAAAGCAAGCGAAAAGAGTCCTTCCTATCTTTCTACAGATTGATTGTCAATGAAGTCTAATGATGCTCCCTTTTAGGACTGTCAAATCACGATCAGCTGAATCCACCATCATTCCTCATCTTCTGTTGATTAGATTTATGAGATCTGACCAGCCACATCAACTGCTGATAATGGAATTTTCCCATTTTGTTCATATCAACACCTCTCCAGACTTTACCATACATTAACTGATGCACTAAAACACCAGGGCAGACTGTATGTCAGGATTTGTTGCAGTGTTTTTGGATGCAGTGATGTGTGTGTGTGTGTGGAAGTCTGCTGTTGAACCAGGATTCAGCACATCCGATGCTCCGCACGATCAATATATATTGCAAGAGCAGCCAATAAAACCCACCACAGGTGCAGAGCAGAGGCTGAGCTGTCTGATCTGGAGTAGAAGAATAAACTGATGTACTCACCTACTACAGAAGGTGCGCCGTAACGTCGGGTACTTGGCGTATCCGAGAGAAACGAACCCCAAAAGCCGCCGTGTCACACCATCCGGGCGCACATGTTTCCAGTCCCCCTCCGTGGAAATGTCACAATCATGAGCTGCAGGAACAAGCCAGCGGACTGCGGGAGCGGACCGTGTCGCCGAGCGGCACAGCGTGTCCAAGAGCCGGATGAGACGCGTTTAGGGCGCCACCCCTCGCCGGACCTCTGGGACTCTGCGCCCACCTTCTCCTCCTCCCTCACTCTTGACGCCGTAAATAGCGGGACACGAAGGGGAATCCTCCGCCCCTCAAGAAAGCGAGATCCGCGGACACCGGTGGGGATGACACGGTGATGCGTGTTTGCTCGTTAGTGCGTGGTGCGCAATTAAAGAGGCGCCGGTGCCACCCACTAACGGAGGGTTTCGTGGCGAGTGTACGGGCAGGGAATTTTAATGAGGACTGCTGCAGAGTTTGCTCCCTGTACTCTCTCACTGTACCCACAGGAACACCCTAAAGTTATCTCACAGGAGGAGCAGGGGGGCGGGATGACGATACAGAGACACAATGAGACTCACCTCTTCTTGACCACCTGCCAGTCAGCGAAGTGGGCTGGAAAAACCCACCTTTAGAAAACACCTGTTGACTGAAAACAACTCAGACATCCTGAGAAAGTCTTATTCATGTCGCAGGATTTCATTTCCACAAAGCGTTGAGCCACAGAAAATAGTCGATTAGCACTCAATGTGGAAAAGTTGATTTATGTTTTATTATACCATCCCGTTTTTAAATAAGTTAAATTAAAAAAAATGTTGCATTAATGCTAAAAATAATAAAACCCCATCTGGCGGTTTGCTAATCATTCAAATAAGAATATAAAAAACTAAATAAAAGTGTTCAATGTATTAAAAATAAAGAAAACAACGATTTTTAATTTTGATCCTTGCAGCATTTCAATCAGATTTTTTTTACATTTATTTTTATTTCAGTCAGATTTATTTATTAATGACTATATTATTCTATTATTATTTTTTAAATTTCAGTCAGATTTATTATTACTGTATTATCTTTTATTTCAGTCAGATTTATTTATTATTACTATATCATTTTATTTATTTCAGATTTATTTATTCATTATTACTATATTTTTTTATTTTTTATTTCAGTCACATCTATTCATTTAGTATTTCTATATAATTTTTTTTATTTCAGTCAGATTTATCGTGTTGAATTACTTCTGGGTCTCTCCTAACAGATGGACATTCCAGAAACATGTTCCTAGTCTAACAGTTCAGGGTCTCCTTTGTCAAGTTTTTCCCTTTAATTTGTGCCAAATGTTTTCTGTGCGCTGATAACAAGCTGGCTGGTCCCTCTCTTTTTAGAGAGGAGGAGGATGTAGTGTCCAAGATTTCCAAAAGGAGTGGCACATTTGGATTCATCAGATCAGAGCCGTCACAAAGTTCGTATGGCTGAAGTCATACTCTGAGTTTCTAAAAGGGCCAAATAAGCCAAAAAACAAGAATGTGATGAATAAAGTGAAGTCGTGGATTAAAACACACACTTTTGAGGTGTTAAACTATACAAGGCAAAATCACCTGTGCCTCTACATCATATATTCAGACTTTTAAAGAGACGAATGAGACAGCAATACACGTAATTATTTCACTCTATGAGCACTCATTGAATATATACAGAGAGGATGTGGCAGATATTATGTCCTGCAGGCTTCAGTCGCCTTTTTTTCCCTTGATAGCTTTAATCTTTTTTAATCTGAAGATTTAATCTGGGGTTTCTAGACCTTTTAGTTTGAGATATACTAACAGACACACAGAGAGCAATTCAGAATAGTTTTTCTATAAGTTGAGTGGAGAGTGCTCCAGCTTTGTTGTTATTGTTTGGCAAGGATTCCTTAAGAGTCATTGTTTTCATGTGGGGCGATACCTAACATTTCTCCTCAAATTGGGAACCTCGGCTCTGCAGTCAGCACGAAAATCTTGCACAGTCTTCCTGAGCAAACCTCTACCGGGGCCCATAAACTGTTCCTTTCTTTGTTGGTGGCCCCTGCAGCCTGAGTCATGTTCCTCTGACGGCCCAGCTCCTCCTCCTCCTCTTCTTCTAATCCCCACACCTCTCTGACTGCAGCTCAGGCTTCAATCCGTCAGGAGGCCGTCAGCTGGTCCGTCCACCGAGGTTAAACCACTTATCTGCCCATATGGGAGCAAACGGGGGCATCCAACCTCAGCTGGCACCCTGGTACCAAATAGCACATCTACTAACTAAAGGTCTAAACTGACACTGAGTAAACAAAATCTGGTGTTTGCAGTTTGGGGAGATAAACAGAGCAGAAACACATGAGTGTGAAGTGATTTGTTAGCTGGTGGATGACTCTTTTACTCCTGAAATGGCAGTGGCACAAGCAGTTTAGCAAGACCTGAAGGAAATTATGAAAGTAATTTAAAAAAAGATAAATTATATTGATTTCAAAAGGAAAGAAAATGAAAAAAAAAACACTAAAATTTAAAGTATGAATCAGCTGAAATTATAGCGTTAAGTTAATGTAACCTAAAAGTCATCTTGCAGCTCTAAACCTGCACATAAGTGACTCACTTTTTTCCATCACGATGCTGAGAACACTTCTGAGTCATTAAGTGATAATGCACTGCCCCCTACAGGCCTGGACTCGTCTCTGCACCCAATTACAAAACGTGACTCAACATTTTCTGCAGACCTTCATTGAGTCATCCATCAGTGTCGAACTCCATCCAACTAGTGTGAACTGCTTTACGGTGAGGAAGCCCGAGTGACAAAATAAGCTCTGGATTTATTTCAATGACATTAAAAGACAAATAATTTATTTACAATCACTTTCACAGACACTGAAATTCAAAGAGGGAAACATTAGAAGGAGGCACTTCAGTTCAAACGAGTCTTTTTCAGACGAGAGTTGCCTGCTGCTGATTTGCGCTTACGTGAAGGGGTGTCTGGGGTTTCTTCGGCTGGAGCTTCAGTCAGGTGGTACAGCTCGATAGGTGGGGTCGGCTCCTGGGAGAAGAAAGGTGCACCACGAACATTTAATCCTCTTAGATGGAGTTTTTTTTTTTAAATACATGTTTGAAAAATCAGAAGACATGACGATCAAAAGACATGAGATTCTGATTCTGAAGAGAAAAACTCTTCAGGATCAATATGTAGCACCACTGAACTGACCTGCATGAGGTAGTCGGCGATGTACTCCGGCTTCAGGCATGCGACTCCTAGAGAACTTGCCTCTGATATGTTGACCCTGAAGTCTCCGGGGTTCAATCGACTAAAGTCTGCAAACAGGTGAGTGGTTTCTTTATACAAGGAGGGGGAGGGACTCTGCATAACCTGGAGAAATAAGAAGCAAGGTTAGAACTACAGCTTAAATATATATTTTTAGACATTTTCAGGGGTTCTGCGTGAGAAATTTCAAAAGTGGTAACCCTTTCTTTTACAGTTCACTTATTACCAGGTAATTAACAGGTAATTACCTAGTAACAACATGAAATTATCTGGTAATTACATGATAACTACTAAGTCAATACTGTCTAGCTACCTGGTTGGTAACTTTCCATCATCATACAAATTTGAAGCCGAATTGCTCTGGTATTTCCAGGATTTTCTCCGCTTCCTGGTACCACCACTTGCGCAGTAGTATTGTACGCATTCGGCAGGTGAGTCGCTGTGATAACGCTCGGCTCAAACAGCGTAAAGCTACGCAATCTTCGCACGCCCATAGGCTGTATCAAGTGTCAATCATAGAAAATAAGAACCCCAAATAGCTTTTGAAAATGGAGCTGCACAGAAAAAAGAAAAACTAGACAGTATTGACTTAGTAGTTATCATGTAATTACTAGATAATTTCATGTTGTTACTAGGTAATTACCGGGTAATAACTGTACCGTAAAAGAAAGGGTTACCTCTAAAGTTGCTTCTTCATAAACCTCTGTCTATAGTCTACTTCACCTGATTGGCTTCCTGTTAATTTTCTTAAATCATTTAATATCATCCTGAGTTTTTTTTTTGGACATTCTACCAAAAAACTCAGGGTAAATTCTGGTTGAAATTTTCAGTTTCAGCTCACATATGAGAAATTTGGGCTTTTTCGAGGACTTTCATGTTCACGTGAAAACTGTTTGTCTGGTTTGAAAAGCAGAGGGCTTGCAGTAGAAGACCAAAAATGCTGGATTCAACACTCATACACACACACACAAAAAAGACGAACAAGCACCAACCTTAGCTCTGCCAGACTGCAGTAAGCGCCTGAAGCCTGATTCTCTGCTCTGGTCGATATTCAACATAACTGTCCACCCACTGAAGGCTCCCTAAAATACAGAAAAAAAGGTTACTTCACTTTAGCATCCAGGTAACTGACAATAACATAAAAACTGCAGGAGGTTAAAACAGGTCTGTTTGCTGTGTGTTCATGTACCTCTTGCTCGGAGCGTCCCTGCAGCGTTTTTCTCCAGCGCATGGCAGCCAGAGCTAGTCTCCTTTGCTGGGAGGTGACAGAGGGTAGAGCATCCAGGATGGAGCTGCTGCCCCATTCGTACTCATCCTCCTGCAACATGAGCAAAGGCAGAAATTATCAATCTTTCCCAGTATTAAAAAATAGCACTCTTAACTTAATGTAGACCCTTAAATATGTTTTTAAAATACAGTTTCATCTAAAAAGTCCAACCTTTACTGCTTGATGTTCCACAGTAAATCTGTATTTGGCCAAACAGAACCACAACAATGGCTAAACCTGCTGCAGATGCGTTTAAATCCTGATTCTGACCTGGATGAAGTGACCTGCAGAGCGGCAGGCCTCCAGATACGAGCGATGCAGGATCCATTTTCCCGCCGCCATCGCTGCCAGATACTTCTCATTACGCAGAGGGGTCCCGACAATGATGTGAGAGCAGCTGGGGTCGAAGGACTGCTTGTCCAGAACCACACCACCTACAAAACCAGACACAAGTCGAAGGAAAGGGAATAAAAAGGACAGCGGATAAGAAACTCTGAACTCAAACGAGAGTCAAAGGTTCAAAGAAGAGTCAACCTTAAAAGTTTAAAGATTTGACTCCTGATGTTTCTGTCTGTAAGTTCAAGAATTTATCATTCAAGTCTGATGTTATAGATGTGAATACGGCCCAATATTTCTGTCTGTGGAAGCATCTGTGAGAGGAAATATTAGCAGACCCTGCAGGCACATCCTCCCTCTTAGTCATCAGGGATTAGCTTCTCTGACTCCAGGCCTGTGATGTGCAGCGTGATGAAACGCTCTTAGAGGACTAATTAGACTCACCGAGCTCCTCGATGAGGTGGCTGTAGTCGATGCGCTCCTGAGGGCTGAGGGAGGACAGCTGAAACCTGGGCGGCTGCTTTTCTTCCTCACGCTCCTCCTGAGGGACAAGGTGAAACTTCTAACATCAGTGGATATAACAGAGGGTGCATAATACAGCTGAAAAAACGACACATCATATGATTTATCAAGTAATTATCTGTATGTGTTTATGAGTTTATTTACTAATTTTTTTTATTTTTTTATTAAATCGGCCAATTTTAGCCCATTTGAGACTAATCGGTAATCGGCCAAAACTCGCCGATTGTCGCAGATATTTTCAGAAATAAAATGCGGAGAATAAGATTCGGTTTCACTTCGAAAATGTTCCGCCGTTAGTAAAGTTCCGACTTATCCTGTAGATGCCGCAGCGACCTCATGACAGTCTTCATCCACTAAAGACCTCACAGCAGAGTGACAGATGTGCAGCAGGCAGCTCAGGGACGCACGAAGGAGAGTGGTCCGCCTCAACGGGAAATAAACTAGTTTGTGAAGTGGACAAGTCATCAAGTTTCAGTTCAACCCACTTCACCATGTTCCCCGCTGTGCTGGTCTCGGTCACGCCGAGTTAACGGTGAAGCACCATGTAAAATGCGAGCTAAAGTTAAAGTTAGCCACCTGCTATTAGCCTTGCTACACTGCTAGCCGTGCCAGTAACGGTAGAATAAACAAGAGTACACATTACGTGATCGAGCTACTTCTCTTACTGAGGCAGCTGCATGTCCCAAGATGAGACCGGAAATGTGTAACGCAAGTTAAGACGCGGAGGCACCGAGATTGGCGGCGACGGGGAGGGGAGTTGAAAACGCTTTTCTGTCCGAGTTTGATCAGTCGGTGTTCCTGTCGGCGTGAAGAGCAGTAGTCTACAGTATATAGTATACTGAAGATATCTACAGTATATATATATTTTTTTTCTATAACTTAATAAACAAAAAAAAATAGGCCGATTAAGCAGTAGTCGGATTTTTAATAATCGTTATCAGCATCGGCCCAAAAAAAATCTATATCGGTTGGGCCCTAGTAAAAATGCCGATCTTTACCTCTGGCTCTGGAGCCACTGGGGGGTTGGCAAGTGGGAAAGCGATGCTGGGTGCTTCAGGAGTGAGGATGTCACTTTCTTGCCTCTCTGCGGTCGGGGGTTTGACCTTACGTCCCATACACTGGTCAATGGCGTCACAAGCAGCTTGAAAAAGAAAAGTAATAATAGTTAGAGTTCACTTGTTCAAACTTCACTTCTGAAGTTTTTACCAAGTATATGCAAATCATGATTGAATTTCAGAGAAATCTCTCACCCATCTCCACCAGCTCAGAGTCAGTCATGGAGTCTCTGTAGCGAGCGCCGTTTTCTGCAGTAGGGGGAGGCGGAGGAGCGAGGGGCTCAGAGTGCTGTGAGGGACTGCCAGGCCACTGGAGATTATCAGCCAGTTTAGCCCTCTCCTCTCTCGCCGTGGGGTCATCCCAAACTATCTGTTCACTCTGGGACGGCTCTGTGTTTAGATCCATCGCTGCCTCTCTGGTGACCCTGGAGTCAGGACACGATCGATTATAATATCAATCTTGTTTAGAAAAGGTTGAACTCCACAATTACTCCAACTGTTTCCTAACCTCAGAGCTTCCAGAGTTCTTCTGTTCCCACTGCGTCCCAGGCAGCTCACTTCAGGTGTGTGTGGGCCTGAGTTGGCACCTCTTGATCCCATCCCGCTGAGTCTGGCCAAAGTGCGTCGCCCTGTTGTTAGCTTGGTGGCTGACATGATCTCCTGAAGCTGTCTTTGCAGGTTCTCTCTCATCTCTAGAGTCTCTGAAATACCTGGAGACACAAAAGACACCCTGAAGTCCTGCGACAGCATTACTTTTTCCATCTTGTGCACACAAGTTAGTATCTTGTTATTTTGTCTAAAAGTTAGTTGATGATTCAAGCACTCCGTCTACTCTGATAGCAGTAATGGCAGAAGCATATCTGGTCTCTCGGAACCCCTAAAATCACTCCAACACAGAAAGTAATTATCTATGCGAGTATGAGTCAGTGAGCCGGCACACAAAGCTTCATAATACAGCGGCCATAAATCTGACAAGGTCAAGACAGAGGGACCACATTACTCTGATTTTATCCTCCCAACACCGGCTGCCTGTCAGCTACAGAATCAGTTTTAAAAACCTGTTGTTCGAGTGGAAGGTGCTGAAAGAACCGGCCTGCTCTGAAATCCCAGGGCTCCTGTCCCCATATCACACTGTCAGAGACTTAGGATCGAGTGTTATGGAGACAGGGCTTCATCCATCTGTGCTTAAAAACTGTGGGACTCTCCTCCTTCCACCATCTGATAAGATTTTCTGAACACACTTTTAATCTTCCGCTTTTAATTTCCGCTAACCAACGAACTCTTTTATCATAAATGTTTTATTTTTCCCGTCACTGTTCGGGTCATTCTTACCATAAATTTTATTTTATCGCTGTGTCACCACTCTGACATTTTTTTATCTCACTCTTTCTTCCTCTATTTGAAGTTGTTTCTTTTATTAGCTTCATGTTTTCCTCTGTGTGCTTCCTGTAAATATGTTGTGAATAAAGTTCAGGTTTATTTTGATTTGGCTTGATCTGCTCGTCTGGTCTGATTTGGTTAGGTCTGGTCTAGTCTGGTCTGGTCTGGTTTTGGTTAAGTGTGGTCTAGTCTGGTTTGGCCTGGTCTGGTTTTGGATAATTCTGTTTGCTTTGGTTAGGTCTGGTCTAGTATGATTTCTTTCGGTTAGGACTGCTTCTGTTTACTTTGGTTTGGTTTAGTTTGGTTCGGTAAGTTTGGTCTGATCTGGTTAGGTCTTCTTTGGCCTGGTGTGGTTTTGGTTTAGTTTAGTTTGATTCAGTCTGGTTTTGGTTCTGTTGGGTCTGGTTTGAATAGATCTGGTTAGTTTGGTCTGCTCTGGTTTAATTTAGTTTGGTTTGGCCTGATTCTGTTTGGTTTGGTTTAGTCTGGTCTGGTCTGATGTGATTTGGTTGAGTGTTGTTAGGCCTGCTTGGGTCTAGGTTGGTCTGGTCTTTTTAGAAATCAAAATTAAATCTCAGAACAACACCCACCACTTTTCTCTGCTGCGTCATTTGTCTCATCTTGATCCACACTCCCGTCACTCACTCGACGTGAGGTTGTAGTGTCGTCTTGGTTCACACTGTGTTCACACTGACGGGGCAGATCATTAAAACACAAAATTACACTGAGAAACAGAGAGACAATTAGATAAGACAGTCCTGGTCCTGAATTAATGAGGAACCTCTTAGTCTGATAACAACATTAAATATTGATCCTCCCGGTACATGAACACAGTCGCACATCGTCTCACTGAATCTACGCGATTAAAACGACTCGTCTCGCCCTCACCTCGTCGTTCTTTGCCTCAGCCATCTCTTTCATTTGTGTTCGTGTTAAAACTGAAGACCTTTGGGAGCAAGTGGGCACCTGGCTGAGGTTGAGGCTCATCTTTGGGTTGTAGGTGAACGGGTACAGAGACTCAGGGACACGTCTCTCCTCTTCAGCACACTGCGCAAAGAAACACGGGTTATGTGTTAGCACATATTCACACAGCATATACGAGTTTATTGGAGCTGCCACAAGAATTAGCAGAATGAAACTACAACAAGAGGAAACACGAAGCCCCCATGTGTTTGTAGGATTAGCATATCAAAGCGGTTTATGATTAAATATTCGGCTTTTGTTGATGGGATGATAATAATTCCCCAGGAGAAATGTGCAGATAAATACTGAATGTGCCCATGAAATTAGACCCAAATTACATCAAGTCTTCGTTAATATGAATTCATGTTTTTTCTTCAGGACACAATCGCTAAACAAGCTTATATAACCCACATTAATGACATTTTTCTGCCTCATTTGTTTGATTGTTTTTTTATGTAAAGTTTGAAAGAAGCTACTTAAATGAACAATAAATGATAGTTGCCTGAATGTGATTTTCTGCATGTTTTTCAGCCCTGAACCAAAATTTCATGACTTAACATTTCTTAAAATGCTGCATATAAACGGCTGTCATGCAGGGTGCAGGCCTGACCCTGTGTATACGCCCATGTAGATGCCACTTGTCTCCATGGATTAAGAATAAGACTGGATGAATTACTTATTTTACATGTCATTTATCATGAATGTGTTTATTTTAAGCCACTCTATGGGTACTATGAGGTGTTCGGTTGTTTGGATGAATGTATATCATGTGATATGACTGATTTATTTATTATAAAATAACAACCAAAAAAGTCATACTTAATGTCAATAACTGTTGTATTTAAGATGTCAGTCAGGTCAGGATTAAATATATATCTTGATCACAGAGTTCAGGATACGTACAGCCTTCAGCCAGTGCTGGGAGACCACATGCAGCCCCCTCTCCTTCACTCCTCTGTATTCGCGGGTGTTGTCCCCCACACGGCCTTGGTAGATGTAGTGTGTCACAGTGTCGTCACAAGCCCACCTTGAAGCAAGATGATGATGATATTGGAAAAAAAAATAAAGAATAGGTCCTGTGTACTTGTCTGAAATCAATCCCCATATGTCCTTCAAAGTAATCCTTACTCTAGAGAGAACCATTTCAAAACTATTTCAGTGAAAGTTTTGGGAGACAAATTCAATCATCATTGTTAAATTTACCTCGCGAAGCTTTAGCAGTCCGGCTCAGAAATATCAAATGTTCAATTTCAGTGTAATTTCTCCTCAATCAATAACAATAAAAAGGTACAACACAGGAAAAAAGAGGGACTACGAAGTCCGGTATTCAGATTGACCATGAAGGTCTTAAAAATACCTGAAGTCTGCTCCAAGCGAGGCAGCAATTGCGTTGAGTTCACTCTGCATTTTGCTCAGCTTCTTTCCCACACAGATCACAACACCAGCAAGAGGGGCGGATTCTTTCTCAGGAGCCTTAGAAAACAAAAACAAATCAAAGATCAAAAACAAAACGATCACTTAACTGAAAGAGGAAAAAATGGACTCCATCGCTGAGCGCAGAAGTCTTTCTTTTGTCTTTTAGTTTACCTCCTTCTCAGCAGTCTTGTCAAGTTGGGGGCTGGCGGATGTAGCTTCCATTTCGAAGACAGCGTTCCTGCTGCTGTTGGCCAAAGCCACCTTGAGGTTCCTATTGACGAGCTCAGTGAGTGGGGTCTCCACCCTCTCTTCTGGTTTGGATCTTCCTTCTGGAGACTCCAACGCTTCAAGTGCATCCTTAAAAAAAGAGAAACAATCCAGACTGTGTATCTAATAGGCTATTTCAAAGATATTCATGCACCTTAAACCACTAAATAAACAGTCAAGACTGTAATTCTAGCTCCAAGTTGTGTTACTGCTCACTGAGTCCAAACCTTGATGTTCCACTTGGGCCTGAAGAGCTGGTTTCTGCTGAGGAAAACAGAGGGGGAGTCCAGCTGCTGCAAGGCCTCCTTCTGCAGAGCTTTCTTACCGCTGCCCTCCTGGTTTTGTTCGGGGGTCCTGACATCTTCTTTGGCTTTCATCTCGTTCAATACAGACTGGAACATTTTGCTCTGGAAGCGGCTCGGATCCAGTGGAGTGATAGGCTTAAGGCTCTGATAACCCAAAAGAGGGATCTCCTCATCCCTCTCTGTAGAAAAATAAAATAATTTTCTTGTTATAGACTAAAAAGCACAAGAAATAGACTAAAACTAGATTTACGAGAGCTGGAAATGATTTATTGTGATTGTACATGTGATTTTTGCTGGAAATTGTGGGAAAATGTTCAACTTTTATTTAATTTTTTCAAAAGAAATCTCCCAAATCAATCCATGCACGATGGGTAGATATTCCACATCCACCCACCCAGCCGCAGCAAGGCCTCCTTCTGCAGAGCTTTCTTACCGCTGCCATCCTGGTTTTGTTTGGGGGTCCTGACATCTTCTTTGGCTTTCATCTTGTTCCACATGGAGGAGGACATTTTGCTCTTTAAGCGGCTCGGATCCAGTGGAGTGATAGGCTTAAGGCTCTGGAAACCCAAAAGAGGGATCTCTGGAGATGGACGAGCAGGAGGAGGCATGGTCAGGGTCTGTGAACCAGTGACAAAGCTCTCCTCATCCCTCTCTGTAGAAAAATGAAATAATTTGTGTGATTTTTTGCTGGAAATTGTGGAAAAATGTTCAACTTTTAATTAATTTTCCAAAAGAAATCTCCCAAATCAATCCATGCACGATGGGCAGATATTCCACATCCACCCAACTGCAATAAAACACGCATTTTTATACACCACATAAATCATGCTTTTCTAACCCGGTGAAGGAGGCAGGTCGACTAGGAAATGCCCCTCATCTGCTTTCACGCCGGTCCGAGCTGACGCCAGTATCCAGTTCATGGTGACAGCTGGAAGCCCCCATTTCTTTGCTGCCTGATACTTTGTGCCTTCAGGGCTCTGCAACACTAGATGACTGCTGGCCAGCATGCCTTTCTTCTGGTTGGCCAGGCGCACAAAGTAATCCTGGACACTGCAGGAGGGAGAGAAGAAAGAGTGAAGAATAAGGGGGTGAATGTGGTTCACATCGAGCTGGCAGGACGTGAGGGTGAAAGTCTGCAGGTGTAAAGTGAATTTATAGAAGTGGCAAAACCAAACAGGCTACTACAGTTTGAAAATTGTGCAGCTAAAATCCTTCTTTTAATATTTTGTTTATCCAGAATACAACGTCACTTTTTTTTTTTCATAAAAAAAAACTGTCTCAGCCTCTCTTGAATTCATTAAATAATGTTTTTAAAATAGTACCAAACACTCCTACAGCTCACAAAAGATTAAACTACACAGTTTATGAGAAGGACAGTCAATGGGATCATACATACGTTGCTCCGAGGCGCTTTGCCAGCTCCACCAAAGACTCCCTCTCTGCTCCGGTGAACTGGCTGACAGAGAGGACGCAATCTTTGAGAGGAGAACGTCCGTCCATCACAGGAACCGGAGTAAACAGAGGGTTGGAGGAGAGCTGCAGAACACACTCCTTCTCTAAACACATGGCCTGAGAGAGAAAGAACAGAGACACACATGATTATTTAAAGGTTTCAAACCTACAACGTACACTACTTTATTGATGTTCTTTCTTTTTAGCGCCAAATTGCAGCTTTTGCCTCAAAGTCTGACTCTGATCTTACCAGCCAGGTATCAGTGACCACTTCATCCACTGTGGCCTCCACTGAACAGCCCAGCAGTGGGACCACCGCATAGTCTGCCACAACACGGGTACGGCCCACCAGCAGTCGGCCTCCATTCTCCGTCACCAGCACAGACAGCTGGGCCTCAGCGTCGGCGCCGAAGCCTAAAAGGAGGAACGATTTCCCGAAAAACAACCCCGCCTCACTGGCCTCCTGCAGCATGGATTCAGGCTCCTGTCCTCTGGTCTGGTTTGGTGCCCAGGGTTCAGACTGAGGCTCTGCAGCTGTGCTGATGGACTTTCTGCTGCGTTCCTCAGCTGGAGGAGGGATGTCCACTAAAGGGTGGAAGAAGAAAAAAAAAAATCGCCCCAATAAATAAAACTGAATCTTGTGAAAGTGCTCAAATAAGTCTTCAACTACAGATACTTGCCGACTGTGGGGTCGTCATCCATGTACTGTGAGAGCAGATCTTCATCTGTCTTCTTGTGTTGAGGGGTGCTGGGACTGGCTACAGAGGGGACAGCTGAGAGCCGAGAGGAGGGAGTGTGACGGGCAGGGACGGACGCAGCAGGAGGGAGACAGTCTGGGTGAAGGAAATCTTCTTCTGGGAGCAGACTGCCTCTGTTGAAACTGTCCAGCAGCCACTGCACCGTTACGACATGAGGTCTGTGAAGTAACAAAAGAGATACAGAAATAAAACTTGAAGTCGAAGCTGGAAACTACAGTCTGAGTCTATATACTGAGAGACTTTAGGACCTTTAGGAAAAGATGGAAACATACAGAGCCAAGAGGATCTGATGTAAAATAAAAGATGCGGTCAACACAATCTTTGAAGTCCAGACCTGTGTGCTGCTTTGGACAAGAAGTTCTTAAAGTCCCGGTCCAGGTCTCCCATGACCACATGTGTGAGTTCCTCACTGGGCTGGTTAAAGTGAAGTCCTCCTGCTGCGTTCACAAGCCGCCTCAACTTCTCCAGCTTCTTTCCCGAGAGGCCGCACAGATACAACTACACGACAATAACACGTATTATAAAGCATCAGGCCTGTTAGTCCAGTTTGACTCAAAAAGCTGCTAATAGGGTAAAAGTAACGCTCTTCTCTGTACCTTACAGCCATCCAGTACATCATCAGCTGGGCAGACAGTCAGGTCCATGCTGTCTATGGGGTCAGGAGCCTCCAGACGACTCATGACGCCGTTAGTGAGGGCTGTGTCATTTATTGTCCTGCTGGCATTGACAGAGATATGACTCAAACCCAGCAGAGAGGGCCCATCTGAAATGATAACAAACAGGATTCCCGATTACAATTCATTCAATTTAGACTTAAAGGGATATTCTGGCGTAAAATTAATCTAGGGTCAAACACACCGTAACAACGAGTTAGACACCCCCTCGAGAGATGAATGTTGCAGACCGCTTCCTTCTCTAGTTATACCAACTTTAGTGACGACCCCAGATAGCAATACACAGAGTAGGTGAGATGTGTTTAGTCTCTTTGCTAAAGAAATTAGGCAAAGTTAAAAAGATGTTTGGTGGCTAGGACCCTATATGTACTGTTGATGAAGTTAGGTGCTGTTCTGAGCATTATTTGTGGCTATAGAGTGGCGTTTTGGTTGAGGTTTGTTTATAGCTCCTCAGATCGCTGTGTATTGCTATCGTGCCGTTGTTACTAAAGTTGGTATAACTAGAGAAGCAAGCGGTCGGCAACATTCATCTCTCAAGGGGTTGTCTAACTCGGTGTTGCGGTGTGTTTGACCCTAAATTGATTTTGCACCGGAATATCCCTTTAAACTGCCAAAAATAACAACAACAACAGAGTCATCATTTTTAATACAGACAATAACCGGTCTCCGGCTCACCTTCTTTCTTGCTTGTTCCGGTAGGTGTTGAGGTGTGCGGTCTTGTTGTCTTTGCTGCGTTGCGCCGTACGGCGTATTGGCTCTCATCCTGACAAAATCCCTTCTGGATGCTGTCAAACAGCCATTGCAGAGACACGCAATACACATTCCATCTTTGTGCACACTCGTACTTCTGACCTGAAACCACAAACGAGCATTCACTATCAACCTGACACTGATAAAGACTTCTTAAACACAATCATCAAATTTCTTTAAATCGTTCAGCTGATGAGCTGGAACTGTTGGTGACTTACCTGTCGGTTCACTGACGATGAGGTGTGTGCACTCGTTCATTTTGAGCTGACCGGTGTACTTGGCTCCGTGCTCCTCACACAGACGCTGCACTTCTTTACGCTCTGTACTGGAGAGGCCGGTCACACAGACAGTACAGCCATGCAGCACAGGGCACAGGTATTCCTCCAAGGGCAGATCTGTGTACCTGAAAAGACTGAGAGACGCACAAACCAAAGTACTTGAAATCAAAATCACATCAAGTGTTTTGGTTCTGTTATAACTTTTAAAACATAACTTATTCCGCAGCTCTGTATAATTATTTAAAAAGAGTTAATCTAGTAGAATCAATCAGTTTTTAATATCTTAAAAGCAAAAATAATGAAATAGAAGAGAATTCCTAACAGCTACCTGTCTTGAGATTTCTCCCAGCAGGCTTTGACCCAGCTGGGCAGCAGGATGGGTTTCCCCAGGCTGGCAGCGACCAGGTATTTCTTGCTGCCCACCTCTCCTGCTATCAGGTGTGTAACAGATATATTGAGGTCAGGGTAGACTCGTCCACCCATGAGCTGCACCAGATCCATCACGTCTGTCTGTAGATTAGAACGAGGAGGAGACATTCAGATCAGAGAGCATCAGTCTCTTCACCCAAAACCTTTGTAACTGAATGAATCAGGTGGGCATTTTTAACGCAAATCCGACAAAGTACTCCATGATTGTGCACTGTCATTTCATACAATGATAAAAATGTTTATTATTCAAATATCACAACTTCTCAAAAGTTTAATTTTTGTGTCTTTTCCCCTAAAACCAAATGATCAAATCCATTAAATCACATCACAACAGAAGAAAATAAAAGCTATTACATTTGTTTTTAAGTAAACTGCTTTACATTTTCTTCAAATAATGTTTGAGATTTTTGGCCTTGTCGTTATCTTTCTGACCAACTTTAGACTATGGTTTCTTATTCGTACACCAGTCTGAAAAGTATCAGAGGCAGTGAACAAACCCGCGTTGCTTTATCCAGGCTTGTGCAGGTAATTACGATGTCAGCCATGGCCATGTTGTAGACAGGCTTCTCCGATTTGGGGACACAATGCTGCTGCTGTAGACAGAACAACACCACCAGTGGACTCACCATTCGGCAGCCAAGCTGGTAAAGAAGTAACACATGAAAAAAAAAGAGTGGTATTAATCCTCATGGTGATGTTTTAAAGCTCTTCTGCATTTCAGAATCAGGTTCCTGATGTAGTAAACACTGAGTCAGACCTTCTGACAGTGCAGAAAGGCCGGGGTGGTGAAGCTACTGAAGACATAGAGAGATCTGTCGTCCTTGTCAATTTGTAAAACATCATCTTCATCGATTGTTTTCAAGTACTTCCCAGACTGCAGCTCCAAGATGGCCTGTAAACATAAAACACACCACAAAGAAGAGACATGAGAAAACTGTGGGGATTAGGAGACAAACAGTGGTCAAGTCGAGTCAGTTTTCATTTATTGATAAACAGTGGAAGCTCGACAAAGAGCTGTACATTTTCTAAAAGACAAGAGTATAGAAACAGACACACGAGACAAAATATACAGAAAATATAGGAGCAAGAAAAGCATTTGGTAAAGTAGATTTGGGTGGTTTTGATAGCTGCATGTAGAGAATAAGGTCAGTAAGAGTGGTCATCTCCATGCCATGTATTTGTTTTGCTCTGTCACTGAACCAGCTGATTCCAATTAACAACCAGGAAGGTGAGCTAATTAGTGAAGGCACCTGGTTTAGTAACTGAGCAGAACAAATACATGGCATGGAGTTGACTTGGTGACTCCACATTAGATTCTAATGGGTAGAAACAGAAGAAAAAATAGTAGATTAAGAGATCTTACCTCGTATGCCTTGACAGCCAACTCGGATTTCTTCCCCTTACTTTCCACAAACTTCACAATGAAGCCAACCCGATCTCCTTTAGACATGTTGAACTGTGACAGAGGCAGAGAAAGACGTCATGTTTGGGGTTGATACGGAGTAAACAGCTGATCTCCGCAGAGGCCTCTGGTGAGAACATGCCTGTATACTCACCGTTAGCTCCTCGTAATGATCTAACCCAGAAAAATACAGCCGGTTTGTGACATTGACAGAAATCAAACTGAACTCTTAGTTGTCATCTGGACTTAGTTAACGTTAAAACGGCTTTAAAACGGCAAACTCATCATGAACCAGCGTACTTGATATGCCTCTACTGTCGGTCCCGAAGGACGGACTTGGCTAACTTCACTCCCAGTGGAGCCGCTGTGCTGCTATCAAGTCAACATTTACCAACAACTAGCTTTATTGTAGTTTTTCGCGCCAGTAACGTAACTTCCGGTGCTTCCTAATAATGCGACCGTGTGGAGTCGGTCCTTAGGGTTGAGAAGTTCCGCCGATATATGGCTCAGCGTTTTCTCCATAGACTGTATGAAGTTTTTTATATATATATATATAGAGTTGGATCAGGGAAACAAATATTAGCCTGGCCGGGCCATCCTGTTGCGTGAATCACTTGACGTTCCTTTCCAGTGATTCACGCAACAGGATGGCCTGGCCAGGCTAAACAAATGTGCCTTCAAAGATGTCAAAGGCAATGCTGAAGCTACCCAGAGACCCATGACACTTAGACAAACCCAACATAATGAAAATCACGTAAACATGTTTGGTCGGGTGAAAATCACCCGGCAATAGTGTTCTAGGGTTAATCAGTATACCTAAGTAGTAGTTTGATTGCACTGCCTTTGACATTGTATACAGCCAATTAAAGGATTTTTGATGGGGGTCATGTGAGTCAAAGCAGAGGCCACTGTGAGGAGGCGGAGGGTGACCTTACCACATGTGGTGCACATGAACCATAGGACCAAAAGCACCTAAACAGTGTTATGGTTTTAAAACTGTAGAATGCCTGTTGCAAATACCTGAACCAGAAAAATAAACAGATAAGAGTAAAGTAAAGGTGTCACTAATCTTGACTGTAATTTCCAGGATATTTAGCCATCCTAAAAAAATCTAGTGCAGACTAAGTTTTAAATGTGTTTAAATGGACAAACTCCTCCAATAAAATATCCAAGACAAGGTTCCTCTGTGCTCAGTGGTACCTCTTGACCCATCATTATGGGAGTCATGCTCTAACATGCGTGTTAAAAATAAAACCATGGTGTTCATTTGATAACTTGGATTGGTAAAAAGAAAATTAATAATTATACTTGAAATAATTTGCACTGTGGGGGATAGATGTGTAACCTTTGCAAACTCAAGAGCTCATTCTGCTCTTTGGAAAAGGACAAAGGTAATTACAAAAGAACAACACTGTGGGTTCCCTTTTATTCTTAAAATTTTATGTACAAGTGCGGCTGATTTATTTTTTGAATGTACATTCAATATAGAAAGTTTATATATGCAATATTACATTGAACATTTCACAAATTGCACTAGTCTTTCACATAGATTCAAAATCAGAGTTAGAGTCATTCGTCACGTCTTTGCAGAAGCTCATTTCCGGTGGTTATTACGTAGTCACTTATAAATATTCTAGTGCTTTTTGCATTCTGGCCGGGGAGGAGAATTACGTTTAAAAAAGTGAGGCAGAAAGGGAAGCCTTGAAAGAGAGAGTAGAGATGAAACATGACAGAAGATCAGATGAACAGTAGGCTGGATGTTTGTAAAGGAGATCTGCGTCAACCTTGCCAAACCAGCAGAGGTCAGCGACAGTCCAAGGGTTCATTTTTTCAGGCGCTCGTGAGGGGAATGAGGCAGAAAATCATACATATTTATATAAATGATTACCTATTTCATCTTTTTTTCCTTTTCCATATGACACTCCATTATATAGACTACTTGATCACATGTTAATGTTAAAGGTGTATAGGTCCTGGGTTTGTGTCACCGTTCTCTCTGTTGTTACTTTTGGGCAAGTGTAGCCAATCAGGATATGATAAAGGGGAAGCGATAATAAGAGAAGAGACAGGTCAACTATAATAAGCCTCAGTCTTTCTCATGAAAAAAAAAAAAAATCTAAGTAAAAAATATATTCATACAAAAAGTAAACTCTTCTGTGTCATTGGGAGAAACAAGAAAAGTAGCACAGAGACAAAAAAAATGTGGTCATCCATTAAAACAATTTTAAAGTGTTTATGAAGACTTGAGTGCCATTTGTGAGGGGAGAGGAGAGTGATACTGGAGGAGGTGTTGTAGAGATTTTGGTGACGGTCGACGACGGCGGCCCGCTCTCCTCCTCCGTCCTTCTCTCTCTCTCTCTCCGTCCCCTCGTCTGGGGGCTGAACAGTCCCTCTCTGAGCTGCGGCCGTAAAGCTGCAGGGCAGTCTGGGTGCCTGAGCGTGACTGTGTGTGTGTCCATCAGCCTTGGTCTCCGATGTCGTTGTCCACAGGGGGTGGGACGCTGGGCATTACTGTGGTGCCAGTTCCTGCTGTAAGGTAGCCTGCAACTCCTGGACCTATAGACGGAAAGAAGAGCGACAAATCAGTGTGGCAGAGTTCACAGGACTGATGAGTGCTGTTAGAGAGCTGCTATGATGTACTAAACTTAAACCCTCGACTACTGAGTGAATGGAGGGATGTACATGGATGGGGGACAGAGTTAGGAAATGTTGCTGGATATGAAAATATGTCATACAAGATGGAGAAGGAAAGCATATCAGGAGTTTTATAGTATGTATTCTTAAATAAATGTATCAGGCTGGTTCAACACCCAGCCTCAGCTAAGCCTGGGCGATTTGGCAAAAAATATGATCATGATATATTTTATCATATTGTCTGATCTCGATTATTATCACTTTTTTTTTTCAATCTTTTTAAACTGCCAGTTTTAATGAATCTGTACTAAAAACTGAAGAAACTAGAGATTAGTTCAACATTTTACTACCATACAAAGTAAATAACGAAGCAAATTAAATGAGATAAACATAGAAAAATATTTAAAAAAATTTTTTACTGAACAATACAACAAATCTTGATAAACATCAAATTATAATATTAAGTTACAAAGTGACCGTCTTAACAGTCCTGAGTGTTTTTGCAGGTATGCAAAATCCAAAATAAGCAAATTGCTCCCTCAGAGATAATGAAGACGCCTTAAATGTAAACGTTAGATGATATGATTGGTTGCTGCTTTGGTCTGGTGGCTCCACCGCCAGTTGTGGCTAAACTGCTAATGTTACTCGTGTCGTCAGCAGTGGCAGGCTGTGCAGACTCTGCTCACATGTTCATGTTTTCCGCATAAACACTGGGGAAGTACTTCTTCAAATGATTAAACAGATCTGTTGTGAAGCCAACATCCCTTGCACATTGGCTTAATTGCTCGACGTCACTTTGGAGATACCCAAACCACCACCACACAACCCATGTTGAATAACTATAACTATAATATCTTCTGAGGATGACTCAAAGTCATGGCTGACATCTATTTTGCTGTCCTAAACTCCACGTTCGGTCATTCTGTTGACCTCTCCTGTTTACTTCTCCAGCAACTTACAGAAGTGAACAGAAAAAGCTTGACTTTGATTGGCTGTTGTGACACACATTTTCACCATGTTTGATCGAGTAAATAAGCTCACAGCTGATCACCGTGATCGAACTGAAATTTATCACGATCATTAATCACGATCATATAATCGCCCAGTCCTCACCTCAGCCCTTTGCTGCGCATTAAGGATGTTTTTTTTTTTTTTTTACCAGTCCTTTTTGATCCTTTAATATTGGCATTTTAACACTGCTCAGCTGTGGCTTCATATCTGCAACAACTCTGACCATGTATCTTTTGGCATAATCTGCAACCTGTCGCTTAAGAGTGTCACTCCAAGATCGGGCATCTCAGTAGCGCAGAATTAGACTGATCTCCTTTAACAGACCTCATGCTAATTCATCAACTTTTTATACACGGCAGGAGTATGAAGCTATGTTTCATAAGATAAGTAGTGGTCAACTGATATCGTGTTTAAAGATTGATACTGATACTTGATTGATGGCCAATATGTAACGCTGATGTCAAAGCTCTGACAAGCTCCTGTGGAAAAAGCAGTAATATATCTTTGCTGGTCCTGTCCTGTACGTGTAAAGATGGTGTTTTCAGACGCTCTTATAACAGAGAATGAATTGCTCACAGTAAATATTTGTAAAAAGAGGAAGTTTGGTGTGCTGTAAATCATCTCATCTGACACTCACTGTGATGCAGTGGTATTAAAAATAACTACAGAAATTTCCAGTCTGACTGCTGATGGTCCTGTTTGTGTTTGTAGGTCAAAAGGAAGCATCACTGATCATTTTAATCTGTTTTATAACAAGAGAAAACCTCACAAGAGTTTGAAGCCTTTAAGACACACTGATGAATTTTGACAGAAGCTTTTGATGAAAATTCAACATTTTTCTTCCTTTTTCTTGGGTTAATTTTTGTGGTTTTGTAAGGATACTACTTTTCTTTCACATTCATCATTGTTTACCAATTCCTTTATAAGATTTTCTGTCTGCAGCGGACTGGAAATCCCCCAGTCCGTCCCCAGTAAGGTCACATGGTCGAGTAATCACATTCATGCGTAAATGTTTCGTTCGTCTGTCAGACTGGATCGTGTGATTAAGAGTTAGGAGATGGAAATGACGACGGTATGACATTATTTTCAGCACTGCAGAGATGGAGAAGTGGGAATGAAACATTAGGTGTGGGTCAGTGGTGGAGAGGTAAGAGGAGAGGAATGGCAGTAGGAGCCAGGTCACAGTCTACCTGCATCAGAGCAAGAGAGAGGAGGGCTGCGAGGGCCCTGCTTAGGAGTCTAGAGCCCGCCTCGCAGTGGGCTGCTGGCGGCCAGGAGAGAAGGAGTGGAAACCCCTGAGGAGGAAATGAGGAGGACAAAGAGGAAGGGAAGGAGACCCAGGAAGTTAAAGGACGTGGAGATAGAGAGGGTCGCTGGATTCGAGCACAAGTGAGGAGGCAGCCAAAGCAAAGCATTAAGAATCAACAACAGAGACAGACAGTTAGGACTCACCTGTTAACACGCACGCACAAGAAAAGTCATCACAACTGCATATGGTGTTAACAAATGTGAGATATGATGGAGCGGAGTTTGAATTTTCTACAAACACGGTACCTGTCAGGTATCCTGCAGTCTGAGACTCTGAGATGAAAAGATCATGTTTCTGGTCTTTGAAGGCACTCCACACTGAGGACCTCGCGAGAATCTCATTCACCTGGAGAGCAAGTGACAAAACAAAATGTCACTTATCATCATTCACTGGATTAAATTGGTCTGAAGTTGATGATTATCCGTCATACCTGTTCTCCAAACTGTAGACTGCGGGTCATGGACTTGAGCGCCTTGACTATCTGGGCCTTGGTTGCTGAAGGGTTGTCTAACGTCTCCAGGCCGACTCCTTCAAGTAGCTTCAGGAGGTATGGAACCAGCTCCACCCTGAGAGCCTGTCAGGTTCATTAAACAGTGAATTATTAGTTTTACAAGATTATTTAAAGTGATGTGTTTAATATAAGAAGAAAAAAAAAAAAGAGTAATCTTTAAATAAAAAAGTTTACCTGGGCTACCAGTTCAGTCTGCTCCTTCTGGAACATGCGGTTCAGAGCTTCACAAGCCAATCCGGCCATGTCCGTCCTACATTTCATCCCCGCCATGAGGGGGCCGATGGTCTCCAGGGACGCCATGGAGCGTACACAGAGCTACACAAAACAACACAGCGATATTTTCAAGGATTATTCATTAAAATGAGACAAAAAAAATCTGCTTTTGTTAAACATTGGCTCTATTTTATTACTTCATAACCTTTCTGCTCACCAGTTTGTTACATCCAATTACCGTAAAAAGTACCCCAAAAAGCTGTCTGTTTCAGGGGGTCCCAGAGAGAAAAGCTTTAAATTGTGTCCATGCATGAAGACTTTCACTATGTTCATCATTAATGTGCAGTTTCTATGTAGATGTGTAGCTCTTTGTAGTAAAATCTGTATTCGCCAGTCTGTGGTAGCGTTGATAATTGTGAGGTATGGACAAAACCACTGCAGATAAAACGCCAACAAAACCACTGCAGACTTGCTCCACCCCTTCCATTAGTTTAAAATGCAAAATGCAAAATCATGGTGTCAGATCTCTTGCTGTAAAGGACGTGTATGAATTTGCACCTTTTGGAAATTTGGGGGCTGGCTGAAACTTTTAGGAGTAGATCTGTAAAAAAAAGGGCTCCATAACACTGAACATCTTTCAAACTTTACACCTTCATTTCTGTGTCAAATATGCAGAATGTCTTATACAACTGTCTTTTTTTAATCTAAGTTACACACCTCAGAATAAGTAGAACTGAACTCAAAGTTTAGAGCGAACCAACCCCTCTTTCATGACTGTGTTTCACCTGATGATGCAAGTCCTGAAAGCTTCAAAGAGAGAACTTGAAACTGGGCTCCTCACCTCGTTGTCTGACAGCACATGGATGAGGCGGATGGAGCTCTTGGGCACAGCGTTGTTCTTGTGGTTCAGTGCTGCCAGGATGCGAGGCAGGTGACCCAGAGGGGGGACCTGGTCGGCCAGCTGGCTTTGTGTGCTAAAGAGACACACTGCTGCGGTGGTGACTGTCTCTAAAGCCTCACCCTGGGAAACACCGGAGATGTCAAGGATAAGGAGGTGAATTTGCTCTTCTCAAACAAAAATACAATGCGGTTGTTTGTCTTTGTGGTCGCTTACGTTGGGGTTGTTCTTTTCAAGCAGCTCGGTCAAAGTTTCCAAAAGAGACACCAGGAATTCTCGAGGTTTGCGCAGCACCCAGCCGGGCTGAGCGATGAAGATTCGCAGGAAGACTCCGCCCACTTCCACCTCACCCTGTCCTGCTCCACAAGCGACTGTGAAGTCCTCTGGCAACTGTGCACACACAGCGAGAATTTACCATCGCTTTAAATCAATCACAACACAAAACAGTTTAAAAGTGAGCGATAAGAGACCGTACTTACTTTCCAGTTCACATCAGGATTATCCTTCTGCTGTTTAAAGTGCCTGGAGAGATGGAAACAGAGAAACAGGATGTTAAGAATCAAATATATTCAAAGATTTCACATGAATCACTCTTCTGACAGGTCGCAGCCCGACAGGATATTGAATTAAGGTCACGTCATACTCGAGCATCATCTCTCGCACGGTCGTGGACACTTTCTCTCTTGAGCTGTCGTTCCAGATGAGCTCGGGGTTCTCATGCGTTCCCTCGAATATGTGCACAGCTGCCTCTGCGTTGTCTCGCATGGCATCCATGAAGACTCCCGGGAGGAAGCGCATCAGGGTCAGACGCACCTGGAAGAAAAAAATTGAATAAAATCATGAAGCAGACGTAATGACACACAGTGATAGAAAATAGAACAGTATATGAACTTACTTTTGGTCCAACCAGCTTGTCGGAGGTCATCTTCGAGAAGAGCTCGGCGGTCTGTGTGCGAACCTGAGGATGTGTGCAGTTACAGAAGAGGTCTAGCAGGTAGATCAGAGCACCTAAAGAGAAAACAGGTGGAGATGAGTGTCGTTTCACCTTCAAGTAACAAAACAAATAAAAATAGAAAAAAAGAAATAAGAATCAAACAGACCTTTGGCCATGGCCTCTTTGACAATCTTTGTGTTGGAAGTCAGTGCATACAAGGTTTCCAGCACCATTTGTCGGCCTAAATGATACAAAAATCAGATTTTAGTTAGACGGTACAACTCTTGTAAAAAAGCAAAAAGTATGAGATTTGAATTCAGATGTTTTCTTACTGGAGGGAAGCGAATGCAGCAGCAACAGGAGGTTGGACAACACCAGCGACTCTGCGATGTTGCTCACACACTCTTGGTTTGATGTCACTGTGTTTACAACCTGCACAGAAATAAATAAAGAGTCAAATCAAATGCAGAGATGTGGAGGTCAGCACGGTAAAAGACAAAAGAACCAAGATCCTTTACCTCCAGAACCAGCTGCTGTACTCTACCGGCTCCATGAACCCGCAGCAGAGAGAAGAGCAGTTTGAAATGGCCGATGCACTCTGACTCGGACCCTGAAATGAAACAGAAATGGCAGCTCAGTAAAAAGAAACTTTAAAATAAAAATAATACACAAAAGCAGGTTTTAACTCTGAGGAGGAGGTAGAGCTGAGGAAGCGTCAAATCTCACCGGGGTTGTTCTTGATGACATTGCGAAGAGCTTCTAGAGCCATCTCAGCAAAGCGGAGCCTCTCGGCGTGCTGCTGGGACTCCACCTTGTTACTCTGACTCATGGCCAGGAGGGTGTGCAGGTACTGGGCCTGGGAGCCAACGTAGTCCAGCAGACTGGCTGCAAATGCTTTGGGGAACTACAAAGCAGAGATGGAGAAACACACTGCAGCATTACAAAACACTTTACAGAATCACGCTGTAGTCTATAACAGAAACATTGATATGTAAAAGAAAAGGACTCTGGGTTTGAGATTGTACTCACCTCAAGAGGAAAAGTTGGTTGTTCGTTGTAAACCCGCACAAATATCTCCCCGACTATCAGCTCTTTGCTGTGATCAGTGAACACAAACTCGGCTCCAAAGCTTTTATCATTTTCTCCCTTTAAAGAGACCAGAGAGAAACACAAAAGCAGGTTTTAAGATTACTTAAATATTGCTCATCAATACCTTTGTCTGTTGATCAGCATTAATAGTGCTTTCCAAAATGTGTAGGCTACCTATACCATGTGAACTCATGCTACACCGTACCATTAAAAGATGCTGTTTTATTGAACTGTGTGCTGATATCAAGGTGAGTGGACTCTCTTTGATTTTGAACAGAGGATGCAGTGTCCATGATTTCCAGAAGAAGAACACAAAATTCTGATTCTTCAGACCACAGACAGTTCTCTACTCAGCCTCAGTCATCCTAAACGGGCTCAGGCTGACTATCAGTCCTGAAATGCATTGATAGATAGTTTCCTCTCTGCACGGTACAGCTCTTCAGGCTGTAGATTTGAAGTCGTGTCTCATTTTGAATTGCAGCGAGAGCCCACAGATCATAACTTTCCATTATTTGATGTTCTGAAACTTCCAAATTGTTCATCCAGTTTCTCACTGAGTGGTTAGAGACTTTTATTCTCAGCCATGTCACTAATTTGTTGAAAATAACCTGATAAGTTAGGAGATGTTCCTCTAGGTGTTTCTTTAAGCATTTTCCACATTGTTGATCCTGTCCTAACTTTTTTGTTTTGCTCTATTTCTGGCATAAATTTCAAATTGAGCATTTATTTTTCATAAAATGATATTACAAAATTCAGTTTCAACCTTTGATATGTTGTCTTTACCCTATTTTCTTTTACGTGATTTGCAAACCATCAAAATCTTCCTACCCTCTTGATGTTTCCCTCTTGCTGAGCCTCCAAAAACTCCAGCAGCTCAGCTCGTGTCCCGTTGTTCCAGATCAAGTATGGGTTCTCCGAGTTACTGTTCAGCAGCTTTAAGACCTAAACGATCAGCACAGAAAGTGGAGTTCAGTTGCTTCCCTTTTTCAAATGTAAATACTTAATACTTTTCCCTCTCTGCAGCTCATCAGCATACCTCAGGAGGAGATCCTGTTCCCAGCTTCCTGGAGATGTACGGCGTCAGCATGGCTGCTAAGCTCTTACGTATGGTTGGATTCTCAGGAGGCGTGCCCTCAACCCCGTTGGTCTCTGACACGGGATTGTTCCCGTCTGGGGTGTGTGGCGTTTGGAGATATCCCCCAAGACGGCTGAGAGCGACCAGGCTGAGCTTGGCGAGGCTGTTTGCTACCTCTTGTTGGTTTGTTTCTTGGCTGGCTTGAACGCCGCTCTCCTCCAGAGTGTAATCGTAGTTGAAGAGGTAGACCAGCAGGTGCCAGAGCACGCCGGCGTGGTACAGATGGGTCTGGAGGAAGAAATCGACTGCGAAGGAGCTGACGCACTGGACTGTGAGGGCGGCTGTTTTTGGGAGACCCTGAAAGAAAGAGAGAATAAAACCTTTTACTTTATTTTGCAGATGCAGACTCTAAAATGTACCGGGCCCTATTTAAGACGGTTTTAAGGTCTTTAAGACAACTGTAGACAGAAAACTCTGAGGGTTGAAGTCAAATCTTCGAACCTTTCCATAGAAGAGGATGTGACAGAGGTCCCTGATGATATTTGGCAGCTCGATGATCTTTTCCCTGCATTCCTCAAACTGGGCTGCTACACTGTAGCATTTACAGACGTGCCCGCACACCTGTGACAGAATGAAGAGATAAAAGCCGTTAAAAACAATCACTACAAGCAGTACAGCGCTTCTCTCTAGGGAGAAATGTGATTGGAGGTGTAGTAGGACTCTTATGTACCTGTACAGCCATGTCATCAGGCTTACTGGATGCAGTTAAAACAGCAACACAGCGGGAGAGAGCCTCCAACAACACCTGAATACAGAGGACATTTTATTTTTAGTTGATCACAAGGATAGATGATATTACAGGGTTTTTGTTCTGGTTATGAATGCGTACCTCGATGCCGTTGTCCCGGCGCAGCTCCTCTGCGTTAAGAGCCGAACAGTTGACAGTATGAAAGGCGAGTTCGACAGCAGCCGGGAGGAGAGGGGAGACTTTGGAGAAGAGCTGCTCATCCTCTGTCTCCATGGTGATTGTTTTTATCAGCATAGGGTAACCGGCGTATTTGTAAGGTTCCAGTTCTGTTGACAAACAATGAGGCAGTCAGAAGAGTGGTTTCAACTTGAAAGTAAGAGTGAGGGTTTACACGAAGGCGAACCTTGTTTGTGCCGGTTGAACAGGATGCTCTGAGTCTTGAGGATGAGGATGATGTTCTCCGGGTCGGGGCCGTCCAGGATTCTGGCAGACTTTGTGCAAAGGAACTCGTAGGCTTTGTTGACTTTCTCAAACATGTCCTGAAAGTTAGGCGACGACATAAAATCAGTGGCTGTTTAAAGCAAAAATGACATATCATGCCAGCGATGATGGTGATACGCACCCTGCCCTCTGGGTTCTTGTCAGGATGATACTTCTGCGCCAGTCTGAAGTAAGCTTTCCTGATCTTACTCTCCTCATGCCTAGAAACAAAACACTCTCTTAATTCTCAGCCATATATCTACATCTGTTTCTGCTTACTAATAAAAAATACTTAAGGAAAAGAAGAAAAACTGAGGTGGAGAATCAGTGAACACTCACTGTCCCTGTCCTTTAGGGAGGTTAAGGACTTCATAGGCGTCATCCACAGACATAGAAGGAGGCTTCTTCTCCACCTCCCTCTTCCAGGCTTCAAGTGTGTCTTTCAGGAGCTTTACCTGTACGCGATACAAAGGACTACAGTGTTAGCAAACGCTCCAATGATTAGATAACATGGAAAACGTTGGATAAAAGAGGCAAAAAAAGACTCACAGAATCTCGAATTGGCCAGTTGGGGAAGCGGATGGTGTCGCACAGGTGTCTGAGGTAGTAGATGTTGCAGAAGAGCTCGTTGTCCAGCTGGGGGAAGCTGATCACAGGGATTGGGCAGTACTGGTAGAGGGCCCGAGTGTTGCTCTGCAGCCTAGGGCTAAAGTCAGCGACGTGGGCGGCTATCTTTTCAATCATCATCCGCCTGAAAGAAAGAGTTCAAACACAATCTTTGAAATAATCACAATAAAATTCACTTTTACTGTTTTAAATTACGTTTTGTAATAAAACCTGATCACACAGACAAATCTCTACCTCATCTCGCTGCTCCAAATGGCCTCAGGCGTGTCGAATTCTCCGAGGAAAATCTCAGAGATGCGCTCTGCTTCATAGTTCTCCAGATAACACACCATGGCTTCAGGCAGGACGGGACCCAGAACACTCCGCTGCACAATGTCCTGACCCTTAGACTGAGAGGGACATGACGGACATTAGATCCAAAAGATACTCGCTATATTAACCTCTTTACATCTTTTTTATCAGGTGAAAATAATCCATTGTTACCTCCTCTGATTTGAAGGCTTGTTTCAGATGTGTGTACTTCAGGAACCTAAAAGAAAACGGGAACATTTCAGAGGGCGAAATCATCAGTTCATGTTACATTTGCCCACAAGTTGTAATATTTAAGTGAGTGAAACTGCAGCAGAATAATAACTGGTTTCTATCGAGGTGTTTGAGGAATAAATTTGACGTTTTTTTCAATGCTAGTGGATGCTTTTATGCCATCTGTTTTCACCTTGCTACAGGGAGCACATTGGAGCCCGTGTACATCATAATGAAGAAGAAGACCCCAGTTAAATAGAGACGCTGCAGGTTCGGGTTGTCCTGCATCACCAGGTACAGAACGTTGGCCACCTTTTCCACCAGGATGGGGTCAAAAGTCAACAGCAGCTAAAGTGGAAGAAGGAAAGAAAATTAAGTAGAATATTTATGACCCTAGAGGGGGGGGGGGGAGTCAGATTTTCATTGTGCAATTACCTGGACTATGTGTGGGAGGCAAGCATTATCGCTGATCATCCTCTTGATCTTTGGTAGAGGACGGATAATGGCGTTGTCTTGGTCCCTGAGGAAATTAAAACAGTAATATTAGATTTTTTTTAACAGAATAAATCCACAATATTAGATAAGGGAGGTCTTTTCTGCTCTCTACCTGCTGGGGTAGTATGAGCACATGGTGATGAGCATGTTAAGGATCATTGTGGCCAGGTCAGACTCGTTCATCACTGCCTGCCCGCTGGCCAGGAGGCACCATTTCAGCTGTGGGATTGCCTGCAGGGGGCGCCAACCGTCCATCCCCTGAGCCCAGCAGCGTGTCTTGGCAGTCAGGACGCTTGTGTTCCAAAACTCCTGCATCTGGAGGTGAGAGAGATGAGTGAGTAAACAACAACAACAACAATGTTATAAAAACAAGAGTAAAAAAAAATGCTAATGAGAGATCAACATGTTTTGGTTGTTTTAACACACCTCCTCAAAACTGAAAGGTCCTCTCCTTTCTTTGTCTGCGTTACCAAAGTACCACTCTTTCTCACTCTCTCTCTTCATGTCTGGTGATGCCTCCAGTACATTGCTCTGTGGAAATACAGACACCCTTTGTTTGACACTCCGACAGATTATTTGCAATTTTCACACTTGGTTTAACATTCAATTTCATCTCATCAACCTCCGATGTCATGCAGGTCTGATTGCATCTTTGGAGCTGTAATATAACTCAAAAGCTTTGTGTTGTTTTTACCTGCAAGGGCACAGTAGCTCTGCTGGTGTGCAGATGTGCCAAGGTGAGCAGATCCACCAAAATGCGCACTCCATTAGAGTCCATCACCTCCTTCACATTTTTCTGCAGAAAGAAAATCGAACAGTCAGAACAAAAAGAGAGAGAGAGAGAGAGAAAGAAGAGTGGATGAAAGGAACAGGTGATGGTGAAAGGCCCTGAACAACTTACCTTGTTGAGAATGAGCTTGTTAAGGAAGAGGATGAGTCTGTCTCTTTCCAGTCTGTCTGTACACTGAAAACACACAAGAGGAATTATATGATACACTTCAATACCATGGATACTAGGGGTGGGTATCACCAGTGGCCCCATGATATTGTCACAGTACTTGGGCCACGATATGATATTATTACGATTTAAACATTTTGTAGTACAGTGAGTATTGTGATGCAAAATGTTGCGATTTATACATTTTTTAAAAATGTTTAGCAAATTTAGCATTTAGCTTTTCTTTATGTTTTTCTTATTTATGCTGTATTTTATTTTCATGTAGCACATCTTGCAAACCTCATACATATTTGTTGCACTAACTTTCTCCTGCTCTATGACGTCACTTCTGCAAACCTCACTGGACAAACAGTTTTTATTTCTCCATTATCATAGATTTGACTTCATATTAGCAATTAATTTGAAAAAAAATCAATACTTGGTAAATGTGACGATAAGTTATATCACGAAACAGTGCAATACTATGCTGTATCGATTTTTTCTCCCACCCCTAATGGATACGATACAATACAACACTAAAGACGAGCTATAGGAGTTGGTCTAGTTAAATAGCTGCTAGTCCCTCCATAGAAATTCCTTCATTAAATGTCTCTAGAACATGTCTGACAAACTGAACGCTGCTTATCTTCCTCTGGTCCTAAGTAATATCCCCTCGCAGCAGTCATCAATGTGGTTAAAATAAAGATCAGATAGAAAAAAAAACATCAGTTACAGACGGCTGAAATTTGCTGATACTGATGTTCAACTGATACATCCGTGCATCCCAATACAATACACTACCGCACCATACATATTATAGATACACTATATAGAATACAGAATAGACTGCACTTTATTGCCTCTGCAGTGGAACTTGTCTGGACTTGTGAGCTGCATACATTAAGCTTCTGATAAGGATAAATTCAACTGTAAGATGAACTTTTGTCACTCTGATTCAATACATCATAGCAGTAAGGGTCTTTACTTACTCTGTCCAGCATCCCAACTATGTATTTAGTATCTGTGAAGGGGCCAATCTCCTCATAGCACTTCCCGTAGACTATAGCGAGGGCCTGCAGGCACAGGCACTTCATCGTAACTTTGGGTGTCAGCAGAAAGCGATGGTAGAGTTCATTGAAGAACTCATAACTGAGAGCAAAGAGAGAAGGAAGAGGATGACTCATCTCTCTCCGGATTCAGAACAGAACAATAACAGAGGAAATGGAGGGGTTATTGTAGTTTTTCTTTTTTTCTTACGATCTCTTGATGGCATTGGATTCTTCATTTTCGTCCTCCTCCAGCAGCAGACGCAGGTAATAATCCCCGATCTTTATCTCGTCTGAAAGGCACTCATATCTCACCTGCACACAGGAATGTATGCAGACAAATATTGTTATCATTTTTTTGTGTTAGTTTAGCCTGCTTTGATACAGATGAACGACAAACTTTGGTTGGGCACAAACCTCAAACTCCTGGTGGTTCCAGGAGATGACTGTGGCACTCCCCAGCTCGCGGTCCACGCTGAAGGCGCGCATCTCCCCCTCCAGAGCGTCACGAAGCTCCTCCCTTGTCTTCAGGTTCCAGATGAGGTTGGACCTTGCGTGGTCGAGCTGGAATCTTGAAAAGACAGAAGAGCGGGTCAGACAGAAAAACTGGTAGAACTTCAAACTCTAAAAATGTATCACAGGTCGAAATAAAAGATCCAATAAAACTTTGTACTTGTAGTAAAAGAGCTCCCAGTTGACTTCAATCTTTATTCTCTGCCGTCTCTTCCTCAGGATGACCGGTTTTTGGTTTGGATTCTGGAAATCAAGAAAAACCACAAACTCTGAAGAGCTGCTGCCAGTCAGTGTTTCATCATCTACAGCAAACATCCTTCTTCAGCTCATGGCGCTGAGAGAGTTCAGAAGTTAATATGGCGACAAAATGAACAACATTTCCACACAGGAGGAAAAAAACCAACAAGACATGAAATGAAATGAATGAAACGAGTGTATGACAATAAAGACATAATTTTTGGGAATGGAGAAAGCCAGGTATAATAACAAAGACACAAACAATATAACCCCCCATCCCCCCACAAAACAATGTCATCACCACAACAACAAAACATGCAAAAAGAGACGAGGTTATGAAACAGAGAAAACCAAGATGGGATCCCAGAATTGGGTGTATCTTTTATTCTAGCTAGGCCGGACAGAACTCAGGAGAGTTTGCACTGTTTATGACACATGATGCACTTCATGCTTCTATAAATTAAAGGTTTTAATATCTAAAAACCTGTTGCAAAGATAACCAACAGCCATTGAAACCACAACACCACAAGCTGTGTACTATGAATTGCATTTTTCTCTATTGCCCAAAGAGCTTTTCTTCAAACTCTTGGCGTATTTCAAAATATCCTCGAAGTGCTTCATCAAGTTCCTTCTTTTCAAAATGCACATCTTGAAGTAAATAGTGCCTCTCTATGATTATGTCTTAGTTCTGTTGCATCTACTTGAGAAAACGCTGACATCTCATGTAGATATTTAGTCACCACCTGGCTGAATGAGGAAAAAACACACCCGATTTCTCACATGGAAATGGAAAGACTTGGTTAAAATAAAGACTATGGAGAGAAAAACAGACGGATCCCATTTGTTAATCCTACTTACCAGGTTATTTCTGTCCTGCTGCATTGTTTGACAGCAGAGAAACCATACAAGACGAGGGGAGGGTGGGGCAGAGACAACACAGAGAGATTATTGTTCCTCAAATCAAACAAGAGATGAATCGACGCTAAAAGGGTCACAGGTTACTGGGGTGTATCATGCTAAGAGACGAACAAACCTCATTACAGATCTATTAGCAGGCTATGCACTGATTTGAAGGATTTCATAACTCATGGAGCAGGTGATAAAAATGTGAAACAATGGATGTGACAGAGGAATATTGAGTGAAAGCAAGCGAATCAAAATTTTCACCAGCCGTTTGAATCAGTCGAAAAATTAAAAAGGGGGAAATGAAAGGCGAGCAGCATTCATGTGACGACAGTTTTGAAGGGTTAGAAGCAGATTTGATCAAGATTTAAAGAATTCACAATCAAAGATCTATCAGGTTGTTCAGATGACAACATGAACCTGAATAATCCCGGGGCGATGACGTGAGAAATCACTGTGAAACAACGTCTGTGACTTCCAGTTTGAACATGACAGAGGTGTCCTTTAAGAGACTGGTGACCTTTTAAAGTTTAAAGAGCACTCTGACACACTCAGACACACCTGTAATGGAAGGCTATTGTCAAAGCAAAAAGAAAACATGTGTGCTATGCAAACACAACAGAAGCTTACCAAAGCGGTTTAAAAAGGCAAGAGAGAAATGAAACGTGATTATGTATCTGGACATGTACTGGTTCTCTAAAGTCAGGCTGCACCTTCATGCAAAACAGCACCAGCAGCTGAAAAGTGTGTTATTGTGTTCGCCTCTGGATCCTGCAGTACTGCTCAGCATCAGCAGGAGGAGCAGCAATGGTTAAGCAACCAAAAACAACAGCAGCGGCAGCAGCAGCTTCTCTGAAAGGTAACTGGTAATTGAGCCCTTTGTGCCTTTGTGGAGGAGAAGAAATCCTCACCTCCTTCTGCGCTATGCCCATTTTATCTCTCCAGTGCATCAACACCACATCAGCCTTCTCCTTGGCAAACTTCTCCACCTCTTTGGCTGCTTTGCCTGCTATCCTCTGCCACTCAGGCACCTTGTTGCGATTCAGCTGGTCCTGCGAGAGATAAACGTAAAAGAAGTTATTTAACACCTTCAGACTGATCTCTGGGATGATAAAAATCTGATCTTGTGTATTTCTGCAAATTTACCGTTGCGATTTTCAAGTTGTCTCGTATGTGCATCCTGTCCACGTCTTTCTCTGGGACTGAATCAGCACTGTCCAGGTAAGCCAGAAGGCCTGTTGGCTACAAGCGCATGAGACAAAGAGAAACAGTTAAAGGGTTTGACTTTTGAGAGAAGCACTGATTTCTTTCTGGAGAACTTTTCCTCAATCATCCTCATGATGCTCACATCTGCTGAGAATTTACAAAAGCATCAAAGACTTGTTTTGAATATTAACTGTTCTGCAGCCTTACCAATATCCTCTTCAGGAGGTTCATGGCGACAGGGTTTTCTGCTGTCCACAGACCAACAAGGTGTCGACTCAACTGCCTGATAAAGAAAATATAGATATCAGCAGCTAGAATTGGTTTGTGAGAGAGCATATCTTCTTATTTATCTGCTCAGGCAATCATGGAAAAACTTTACCAGCAGCTAAAACCAACAGAAATGAAGGACTAAAATACTGGGTGTGAGTATTTCACTGAGTTTCACCTGTTGGTTAGCATCCTCTGGTCAGCGCTGATGGTAAACAAAGAAGTGTGCAGATGTCTTGGTAGAGCTCCTTCACTCAGAGCCAGCTCCTGCATTTTAGTGGCTATTTCCTTGTCACCCTCCTAAATGTAGAAAATCCGGATAAATTGTTGAAAAGGATGAAACTTATGACAAGAATCCTGCAGTTGTTCAGCACAGAGACTGACCTCGATTATGGCTTTCATCACCAGACCTGCTCCCTTCACTATGGCCATCGAGGGATGCTGGAGAGAAGGAAATCCAAATGTAAGACATAAGAAGGACTGAATTTATCCCGGTCATATACTAACAATAACACATCATTATCATTCTAGTTATGTATGTCCTGTAAAATAAAACTTATGTCTCTTAAACTACCATTATATTGTTGAATTGGTCAAATACAGACAGTTTTCACACCATAAGATATATCTAAATTTAAACTGATGAATTAAACTTTTGAAAAATCCTCGTTCAACAGAAGAAAAACCCGTAACGAGTACCTGAAAGAGTTTGAATAACGTGCGTCCATTGGAGGCAACCATCTCCAGCAGCATGTCGAACTGCTGCCCCTCTGTGGTTTCGCTGTAGGGAGCGCAGAGGGCGAATGTTAAGAAGTCCAGTAAGGCGCTGATGACCAGAGCTCCTGTCCCATGGTCCTGAGAGCAAAGACAAAAAAACACACCAATGGAAATGAGCTACTGTAATGTGGAAAGTTTTTAAAATTGAATAAAAATAGAAGTGAGTTTAACAGAATATGAAATGTGAGTTTTACTGTTACAATGCTGAGAATTTTTGAGTAGGTGTTTTCAGAAAATTAAAAAACTTAATCTGGAAATTTAAGCAGTGAGATTATAAGATTTTTTTCAACCTTTCATAAAGAAATTTTCAGAAATATTCTGGTATTTTTACTGTACGAAACTTCAGGAAACTTTCAGATACTGATGAAAATTTCGATTAAACTTTCAAATTAGATTTTTCTTAGATTAACTGAGAAAATTTCATAAACATTAAATGAACTTTTGAGTAAATTTTGCTTAGCTCAGAGAATTTTTAACAATTTCTTCTTTAACTTTCAGTAATTTTGGGCTAAAATTGTGTAAAACTGTAGAGAAATCTTGGATTTTCACTAAACTAACTAGTCTTTTTTGGTGACTGTATGTAGAGGAACTTTCAGGGATCGTAGTCAAATATTTTGGGGAACTTTTAACGTAACATTTAGGAATTTTAGTCGGTATATATGGGAATAAAAGGGGACCGGAAGGAGGAGTCAAATTAAACAATGTAATTTATGGTTGCAACTATCTAGCTGAGAAGATGAAGATGAAGAAATGTACCACATTGGTGATGAATTTTTCAAGCAGGTTTTCGAGGAACTTCTTGGAGGACAGTAGAGAGGCCTTGTTCAGCTGCTCCTGCCTCAGGTCGTAGTCATCATGCATGGGCTGCAGACAAACATGAAAGAAAAGGTCTCAGCCACACAGCTTCAGACTACTTAATGTTGAACATTTCAGTGTAAAATCCAACCTTGGATACTAAAAAGACCCATTTGTTAAAAGCTTGTGTAGCTGGTGTCTGGATATGAAAGGAATACTTACACACATAAGAGCACAGAGCATGTCTACAGCAGCATGAGTCACACCGTTGTTATTCCGTTTTAAAGCTTTTACCGTCTTAACTCCCAACTTTTCCCTGAACCTAAAACACACAGACACATATTTACAGATTCATTAGTGCGTCTGGAGAAAGTTCAAATCTCAAAAACACACAATATAAAACGTACAAACACGGTTTTATTTAAAGAGGTCTGGGGTTGGATACACAAAGAATTCATTGCTTCTGAAGTGGCTCGTTGTTTCCTTTGCTCATAAAATGTGTCACATCTTCAGAGCCTAAAAGTGTTCAACAATATCAAAGAGGTTTTCCCTGAAGCAGAAATAAACTTTTTATCTATTGGTGTCGTGATCATGCGAAGGAAACACCAAGCTACCCTCACAATGAATCTTTCAGGAAAGCCAATCACGGCTCATTTGCTTCACAGGAACAAATATAAACAGTAAATACAGTTCCTCTCATACATCTCAGTGACCCAGAGACTGGTAAGGATCTCTTGGACTGAAATATACAGACATGTCAGGGGTAGAATGATCAGAGAAATGGACAAAAACAAGAGTGTGAGCTGGTGAGAGGAGAGGGTCGAGGCAAATCAAGGCAGACAGCTCAACTGAGTGACATAACCTCCCTTCTGTGCTGGTCTGAAAAACCTGAGATGAAAGCAAAATAAAGATGAGAGAGGAGAATGCTGACTCGCAGACAGCAAACAAAGACTCAGGAAGAGAACAAAGAGGGCGAGGAGCAGACAGGCAAGAAAGGGCAGACTGAGATGTATGGATTCATATTTACGTTGCATCTGTGAGTCCAGACCCTTGACCAGACCTTGGAATGACAGAGCATGCCTGTTACCAGCAGCTCTACAATCAACTCTAAATAAATAAAATCACTGAGGTAAAGAAAGATAACAGCTGCTTTCTTACTTAGGCAGCTGGGTGAAAGCCTGGAAGCCGGCCTTGGAGGCTACCAGTCGTCGGATGGCCTGAAAATGGCTCTCCAGCTCTGCATTAAGAGCCGGCAGCTCGGCCTCCTGGGACAAGAGAGCCAGGATGGCGTTGTTGATGAGCTTCTCTTTGTTCTCTGAGAAAAGACCCTGAAGAGAAAAGAAACGGGGAGAGGTAAAGATAAGTGACTGAGAGAGAATCCAGCTCAGGCAGATGTGTAAACGTAAATCACACCAAGAGAAAACACACTCACATCTTGGGTTACTGCATGCAGCACTCCACTGTAGGATATGTTGGCGTTGAATCTGAATACTGCATCTGCAAAGTTTCCATCTAAGCAAAGAAGGAGGGATGGAACAATCAAGCAAAACAATACATCACCTCATAAAGTCTATCGCCTCAGTCTAGACTACAAGACTGCAGACTCTGCAGCTCTGTTCTTATATTAGGTTTCTGCATTTGTTATTATTACTTATTTGATTCACAGAGAAAATATCAAAATTCACTGAGAGTTTACTCCTCAAAACCATTTTGAATCTACATTTAGTCACTCTTTTGTATTATTTTCAGTTAATTTTCCTATTTTCATGGTTGCGCTCTGATTTCTTAATCCAAATAATCCTGCTGGCTCTCATTTACATCAATTTAACCAGTTTGTACAAGACAAAGCACAACAGTCGAAGATTTATCTGTTGAAACAAGTTTTCATGTCTTTTCAATATTTTTGTTCCCTCACAAATGACTTAGGAATGTGTCACTTGCGTTTTGTAAACTAATAATGAATTGACAGATGTTTTTTGTTCTAACTGGATTTGAAAGTATGACACAACTTGGGGAAAAAAGTTACTTTTTTTTCCCCAATGAGATAAGTTAGTTATGCACAAACTTGACATATCACTGAAAAGCACACAAGCTGAGGAAGTAATCTGGTTTATTAACTCACTTATTGTAAATGTTCTGTGTATCTAAGGACCCGGATTGGAATTTTTGCAGGTTTGTATCTGTGGACCACGAGGCCATCTTATCTTGTATGTACATATTTCTGTACGTTATGTCAGTGCAGTGTTTCCAACAGAATGATGCTACATGGAGTGGGGGTAGGGGTAAGAATATTACCCCTCATTTAGCGACACCACCTACTAATTCTACATTATATGTCATATTAGCTTCTCGTAACTTTTAAAGCAGCCATACATGAAAGTCCATGTTTAACGTGAAATATTCCACCTATATCATAAACAGGAGGGAGTCACCGGTGGACTTTTCTCCACAGTGGCACATGTGAGAGGTGCTGCAGGTCATCAGAGAGCCACAAGAGTCTAGTTCATTGATTGCAGATGACACTCTTGGGTTAGAAAAATGGCTGAAAATATAACCTTGGGTAACACTGATGTGCGGGGAAACACTGCAGTATACAGAAAGTTTAGACTTGTGTTTGTAAAGGGGCTTTATGCGCACGTTTTATTTTTATTTTTCTACCTATACCGTCATAAAAGTTTTGATACATGTACAGTAGGTGCTAATGTTAGCATGTTAGCATTATCATTTAAGCCATGCAAACATGCTGACATTAGGTACATATTAAGCTGTCCATCCTTGACAAACTGCATGCAATTATTTGCTAATTTGCGAAAAGCTTCATAAATACTTAGTTCTTTAACCAAAGCATAATCAGCAGGACTTATCTACTGATGTTTGAACTGGATAATACCAGTATGGCTAAAATATCTCAGCTCAAGTCCAGTATAAACCACCAAAGTCAGTTAACTTCATGTATTTAAAAAAACAATCATGATAGTTTGAGTTCATGTAGATCAGGATGAAAAGGGTCTGGACTCACTTGGAGGTGCTGCCAAAAATTTCAGATGCAAGCTCTCCACTTCCTCATCCACAGGCATGCTCAGTAAGCCCCACCTCTGCCCTCTCTGCGTCGGGGCCATCTTAACACAAACATCCCTGTTCCCTGATGCTCGGACTCCATCAAGTAGACTGGCCAAAAGGGAGTCCCTGCACACACAGACACGGTTAGTGCAAACAGTTTCTTTGACAAAGAACAACATTTAGGAGGAGACTTGAGCAAAAACTCCAAAATAAAAAGCTAAAATTACTTCCAAATATCTAAAAAGCTAACAGGACCTGAAGAGTCTTGACACACATTAGGAAAATGCTTGTGTGAGGTGTGTGTGTGTACCTTTCCGTGGAGGAAAACTTCCTGATCTGACCTCTGATGAATTCAACTGTAAACACCTGAGGGTTGTCTGCATCACAGATGAGAGCAAACACCTGCAGGGAGATCAAGATACAGGAAAGAGTGAGGAAAAGAAAAGGGAGGAGGAGGAGTAGGAGGGGGGAGTTTACGCAGATCACACACACTCAAGCGCTCTCATTCAAGCTGTTTACTCCCAGCGATGCAGTTCATCCATAATGAAACAAAGACAGCTCAATTAACTTTTATCTTCACGGGAGCAGAACACAACAGAGCTAAATGATTCCAATGTTTCTGCCTAAATTTTTCATGCCTGTTGATACGGTGGTGTTTCTGTGCGCTCACCTCTCCGAACGGTTTGATGGTGACGATATTGTACGAGGCTGGGTCCCTCTCCACCAGACATGTCTCCGTCAGGCAAAGTATTCGCTTCACGGGCTCCTGAGGAATGACAGAGCAGACATGAGTCAGCAAAGACACAGACTCCAGCGGGAATTAAGTGTGAAGAGAGACTAACATCTACCGTAATTCCTTTAAAACATGGGCAACACAAAAAAACACATGGTAGTTTGGTTTTTAAACTGCAGTGGTAGGGCTGCAATGAATCACAAATTTGAGTTTCAATTCTATTCAGCTCATGGGTTTTACGGGGTAATGAATAAGTCTGCACAGATAAATTAAGAAAATAATATGAGTTAACCAGTTATAACAAAGGTACATTAAGTTGCTTCTGAACTTTGAGAAACATACAGTACGAAAAACAGAAATAAAGAAGCTCTAACCGGATGCCGAGTGGTGATCTTCTGCACCACAAACTCAGCCAGAGAAGTTATGCTCTCGTCTGAGCTGTACTTCCCCAACCTGTCCGTCACGAAGCCTTCAAATGTCAGTGCCTCCTTCCTCAACCGTAGCGTGATGCCTATGAAGTTCCCAGCATGCTCTATGGCACTGCGGATGATGTCATCCCTATGCTCCGAGGCAAACAAATGCTAAGAGACAAAAAAGGCAATGAGAACCCGAAGCTACACAAAGCAAAGCAAAAATATCACATTTACAGACGATGAAAGCGTACCAGCCTGCTGAAGCCTCCGTAGAGGATGCAGAATCCTCCCTGATAATCCGAGATCTCCACGAAGCCCTCCACATTACGATAGTCGTAGGAACACACCACTCGGTTTGTGTGTGGGTCGATCTGGTCGATGCCGCCCGGCGTGACCTCCAAACTCACCGGCTTCCTCGTGTCACTCCAGTGATGCTTGTAGCAGTTGTAGCGCTGTTTAAAACAAGTTTTAAAAGACGTTAGTGAGAGTGTCACACCAGTGGAAAAAGAAATACTAAAAGCTGGATTTTTTCGTAAGTTTGGTACTCACTCTCCCAGTTATCTTTCCTTCTGAGAACTCTGTTCTGAATCTCTGTGGGTAAGAACAGTTGAGAAACAAATAGGACATTTAAATGTAGGACACATAGACAGTGAAATCACAAATGTACAGGATTTGACCTTCAGGGAAACACCCATTCTTTGAGCAGCTATAAAAAACTTTACCAAACGATTGTTTTATTTACTCCTCCAAATTATCTGCTGGTTCAGATTTTTGATAAACACCTACAGTGCAGTCAAAAGGCCTGCATTCTACATAAAGTGGCTTTGCTGGAGGCGCAGGAGTGTGTTTTTCCTCACCAGTGCTTCTGTGAGCAGCTCCGTCCGATGCTCCGTGGAGAACTTGAGCGTTTCGGACTTCTTGCCCGTGCCTTTGCGGAATGTGAGGTTGAACTCTGTGCCCTGACCTTTTCCCACTGGGCTGATGCCACAGATGTCTCCATAAGGCCACTAGCAACACAAAAAACAACAATACAGATATTAACACACAGATACAGTTAGAGAGATGCAGGCTGGACACAACGTGGAAGAACTGAAGTATAAAAATGTAAATAAGTTATTCGAAACGCTTCTTTTTAATGCACTGCAAGCATGTTTAAGTGTGGTTTTGTGACCTTTTTAAATTTCTTAAACTCCTTCTGTATTAAGAGCTATGAGCATAATGAGAAGTGACCAATAAACATGTAATAATATTAAATATTCATGAATGTTTGCAGCAAGTCTGCATTAAATGTCATGTCACTAATATTACCTTTTAGCTCCTGTGAGTTAGCTGTAATTTAAATTGGTACTTAAATTGTGTATATAGTTTTATTTTTATTTTATATTATTTATTTTATTTTTATTTTTATTCTCCCTTTTTCCTTTTCAAAATTTTTTCTAAATTATAACATCTAAGTTCTTAGTATTACAATCTTTATTTTTATAGCTGCATTTTTGCACTCTCTCTCTCTGTGTTGCTGCTTTGGCAAAAAAATTTCCCTCATGGAGGATCAATAAAGGAACATTCTATATTCTAATTTAAACATTATCTACTGCTCCTGAATGTTAAACAGGAGTTACTAGTGGTATTTCACAGCGTTAAGAATAGCTATCCCTTAAAAAACTTGTTTTTCTATGTATATACCTGGCTCGGGGGTATGGTGAGTCAGGTTTTCTGTGTAATTTTAACTGTTTACAACATGTTTCATGCTCTAATCAGTATAAAGACACGCTGCACTCCAGCAGGACTAAAAGCCTAAGAAGTTAAAAAACGCTGTGAGTCAGCTTTCAGCAAGAGAGCAATGTGCTTCAAATGGATTTACAAGTGTGACATGGATCCAAGAGCAGCACATCCCACAAGCATCTGTTCGACACTGATAGCGACGGCATAGAAGAGAGCTGTGGCTGTTTCAATGAGGAAGCGCTTTGACAGGCTGCAGTCGCACACACTGACCTGATTTGTTACTTCTAGCGTGGTAGGGTTGTAAGTGGTGATGCCATGCGTCCCCACTGAGAAGACTCGCTTGTACCTGGAACACAAGAGCAGGGATGAGTCAGACACACGGCCCACTTGCCATCACTATCCCCGCTTGCAAATGGAAGCAATGCCCACAACAGCACAGGGCAGTCATGTGTGATTAGCTTTTGATGTTAGAAAGAGGCTGAATGTGCGTGTCCTTTCAAAGCTACCGGATCCTGCTAGCCTGTCATCCCGTAACTTTGAGCAGAACTCTATTAACCTGCGATTTCAAAATACATCCCAAGAAAATTATTAAGTTCTATTAGCCTGACAGACAGAAGGAGAAAAGGTTCATTTTCCCCCCAATTCAAGAGCTCTGTAAGCTGATCGTGAGTCAAGGACAGGTGACTTCACTGAGGCTCAGTAAGCTGATGATATCATCCTCGCGCAGCTTTATTAAGCCGCTTTCCAGACATTTTTATGAGGCTGTGGATGAGATAAGACGCACACAAAGAAAAGATGAGACAAGATTGTTAACTGCTGCTTTTAAAGCTGACTGAGAGTCATTTACATGTGGAACTAATTCCAAAAAGACATGTTCTACCAGACTGAGGCAACGAAAGATGTGATCAGGACAGCAACTTACAATTACTTCCATGTTAAGCAATCAGGCAATTATCCTCAGATTACTTTAACAGGATAGAAATTTTTTTAAATCAATCTCCAAAGATGACAGATATTCTTTGTTGTCCAAAACCTAAAAGGCATTCAGTCTGTTGTTAAAATCTATGCCCACAATAAGTGATATTTTCCACTATATCAAGACAACAGGATGAGGTTTTCTACCTTAAGATTGTACTTTTATACGTATAGGGCAAATGGGGAACCAGAACAAACATAAATTTAAAGTTCCCTACAGGAACTTTAATAATAAATAACTAAATAACTAAAATACCGGAGACTCTGGCGGAATAACAGGTGCTTAAAATGGAAGTAAACCACCCGGACAAGAGCTAAGAAGCCAGGTCAACAATGATGGGGGACGCTTCTGGATCTTACGGACCCTGTAACCTTTCTGCTGGTAGTCTGTTGGTATCTACAGTAGCACCAATGCTTTTTACTTTCACGTTGACCGGGCCAGATTTGTAATTATCTGAAGTATTTATCTGCATTATATCTGAATTTAATTAGAACGATACGAGCGAGCAGGAGCGTCTGTTTGTGGGCGGGGCTTGCTGGAGCAGAGACTGAGGGGAGAGAAGGAGAGGGGAAAACTGGTTGGGAGGGGTAGAGTTTACATTCAAGATTTCTCCCCAAAACTGGCACTTCCTCAGATCCTGCCTACCCCACCTTTAAGTCCAGCTAGGGTCCTGCTTTTCAGGACTCATGAGTCGGCCAATGATAACTTCAGCCTCTATAGTGGTTTGACCCTTTTAGGTCTGAATGTCTGTGGAGAACTGAAGCCCAACTTAGAGCTCTGTTCAGACCCAACCTTGAGGTCTCACACTTTGACTTGAACTCTGGGGACTTGAGTTTTGATGCTGACTGGAGGGTTGGTGACTCAATAACAACAACACTGCAGCGTCGCCTTGTGCATGCTATTCTCACATGCCTCTTCTTACGAGCTTTTCTTTCTTTCATTTCAACCCTGCGTGGTCTCTCTACTATTTTTAAAATGAAAGCACTTACGTACGTTTCATACTGAGTCACTGTTTAACACTAAAGCTAACACTTATTCATCTGAACTGTGTGCGAGTGGGTCTTTCTCGCAGAGTAAGAAGGAGGTGTGAACATCTACTTTGCCAGTCATAGCTAATGAGCGTGTGTGTGTGCGAGTGTGCAGCCACGATGGCGTGTCTTTGCCAATAGTTCCAGTTGGCATGTCTGCTGAATTCTTAACATTCTGCTCGGTGCTAAACTTGAAGAAAAGGGTCATTTAAGGATTTGATGATGTGAGAAATTTGTTTTTAAAGAGATCTAGATTGAAGCGGGAAGTCTGTTTTATTTAAAGTGGTTTTTGTATGTGGTTAGTGCATGTGTATCTATGTACAGAGTGTTCTTTTAGCACGTCCATAAGTCTGCACACTGAAAATGCTGACTTGGCTCCTTTCTATCTCACACATCCTCATTAGACCCCGTCAACATTAACAGGTCTGATGGAGCTCCCTGCTCGTCTTATCTTATAAAAAAGTCAAAGGAAGTCAAATTGAGCACTTACTTCCTTATAATGCTTTTAAACTTGTGTACAGAGCTTACTGCTAACATAAAGAGACAGCTAATGCAGCGGCCCGGGGCAAGGCTCAAGTGAAATACTCAGCTGCACAGTTAAGAGTCCTTCTTTTAAAATGTCGTGTCCCAAACCGGTTCAGAGCCTCTGACCATCTCCTCTCACACCAAGGTTTATTTTTCACCGCTCTCTTCTTTCATCATGTTTGGACACAAAGCCCGTGACCATGTCTTTGTCCTGCTCCAGGGTGCGCTCTCTCTTTATTTCTTTACGCTGCCTGACCTTGGTGTTAAGTGGCCGGCTAAACTGTGTGTCAGCACAAGCCTAGTTAATTATTTATTCTCAGTCCGATGATTTTTTTTTTCTTTATCCTACCCTAGTACACAGGCAACATGCAACCTTCCCTTACCAGGGTGTGTTTTTGCCAGGCTAACATCACATCACTTCACATTTTTGGTGCATGTCTCTTGCTTGTTAATACTGAACTGCAAAGCCAGTCACAATGAACCCTGTAGATGTACATAATAGAATAAGTTGACCAGTCAGACCTGCAATTTGTATACAGCAAGTTATTAACAATCACTCAATCAATCCATTTTTATTCATCTTGTGCCAAATCATAACAGGGGTCACTTGACTCCAAGTCTTTACTGTTTTAAATGTTACTGGCAGAAACCTCAAGCAGAACCAGATTCATGGTGAACAGCCATCTGCTGCCGCTAAGTACGCCAAGACACACAAGGAGAAACTTTGTGGGTTTTTTTTTTCAGTTTTATGTCTGCCCATGAATGTGAGAGTAAAACACCTGGGATGTCCTTTTTTAGGGGAAGTTTTCATTTGAACAGGCAGAAACCTCAAGTAGAACCAGATTCATGGTGAACAGCCATCTGCTGCCACTGAATAAGCCGAGATATAAGGAGAAGCCCTGTATTTTTTTCAGTTTTAGGTTTGCCCATGAATGTTAGAGGAAAAACACCCGGGATGTCCTTCTTTAGGGGAACTTTTCATTTGTACAGGCAGAAAGTCTGAGCAGAACCAGATTCATGGTGAACAGCCATCTGCCGCCGCCTAGTCAGCTGAGATACAAGGAGAAGCTCTTCATTTTTTCAGTTTTAGGTCTTCCTGTGAATTTTAGAGAAAAACACCTGGGATGTCCTTTTTTAGGCGAAGTTTTCATTTGAACGGGCAGAAAGCTCAACTAGAACCAGATTCATGGTGAGCAGCCATTTGCTGCCGCCTAATAAGTTGAGATACAAGGAGAAACTTTGCATTTTTCAGTTTTATGTCTTCCTGCAAATGTGAGAGTAAAACACCTGGGATGTCCTTTTTTAGGGTAAGTTTTTATTTAAACAGGCAGGAAGTTTGGGCAGAACCAGATTGATGGTGAGCAGCCATCTGCTGCCGCTGTGCAAACTGAGAAAATGGAATAAAATAAGAACTAAAAAGAGAGAGAACTTCTGCTTTTTCAAATTCTTGGTAAGTGTGCCTGTACCAGGAATTTGACCCAAGCTGGTGTCACTGCATGTTTACATTACACAAAGCTTTAAATACTACTCTTCATTGGACATTAAACACAAAGAAGAGATCTGTAAAAATCTGCATTGGAAAAATAAGGAAAAGTCACACCTAAAAAAGAACTGTCCATAAAAACCACACACTTCATTGGATACACTCAATTCAAAGAATCAGAGATTTTCTTTGAACATAATGAAGGCAGGCATACCAGCATAATGAAGATCATGATGAACATTCCTCTGAATCCAAACTGGAAAGACTGATTTTCTGATTGAAGAATTCCAATAAGTGCAAAGTTATGAACGCACTAAGTCTCCTTTTCGAGCCAACGCCATACCCAAGTGATGAAATTATGGAGGTGCTCAAGTTTTATTGATAAAATAAGGTGACACCTGTACGTTTGAGGTGTAAAAAACTGAAGCTATAGGGACACAAAACACCATAAGAGTCTAAATAACCGTACTACTGTTTTGCTTATTTTGGTTAAAGTACAAGAAATCACATACTTGACATTACAGCTGTCCATTTTACGACTCATGCAGCTGTGATTTAAATCTTCATATGGAAATGAAGAGAGCTGACAATTCAAACTACTGCCAAAGCCAACATGGTGAAATTCATGTCTGCTTCTATCTATTCAAATGGACTGAGAGCAACAACTATCGAAAAGATTTTTTTTAAATCAAAGTCACTTCCTTCTTTGAAATAATCTTTTGCATGAACTGTTTTTTTCAGGTGTAATATTGCAAAAATGTATGATGCAAAAGCCGAACAAACCTTGCACGTATTTTGCACTAAAGCTGTAGTTTGATAGCAGAAACAGGTTGCCTAGCCTTTGTTCACTTTTACTGTACAATGTGCCTTTGGAGCTTTTCCTTCCACTTCCAGGGTTTCATAATGTATCACATTAAGCAACATCCGGTGTCTGACTAAACCCTCTCAACAACTGCCTTTCCCCTTTAAACAAAAATCTGCACCAAAAGCTCCGAGCTGAAGATTTACTTGGCTGCATAAAAAGCTATGAAAACACAATATAATCCTCAACACAAGACTGCGCACACACTAGATTTTATTTAAAGATGTAAAAAAAAAAAAAAATGATGAAAGGAGAGAACAATGTATCATGATAGGGGGAAAAAATAAATAGGCTGGAAACATGATACAGGTATTACAAGGAAAGGCTCAAGCATCTGCAGCAAAACAGGCTCCTTTATTACAGACAAAGAAGTATTAGAGCATTTAAAGAAGATTCAAATGAGATGTTATTTATTCCAGAATTGTTGTGGTTGAAAATCAAAGCCTTTTGGTGACAGTGGGTCTGCTAGAAGAATCCACTTTATTCAAAATAAGCTATGAAAACGCTCCTCGCTGGGACACACACAGACACAAATCAAATGTTCTCCGTGAGCGGGAGTCATGAGACTTGAATTGAGCATGATCATGAGCACAGAGTGAGAGAGGGGAGGGGTGGGTGGGCATAAAGCAAAACCACAGCAGCTGAAGTCTGCAATTATTTCAGGCTCTCAGACCTCCTGCAAGTTCGACCAATTTGATTATGTCACCATAGAATCTGAAACAACAAATCAACAAGAGTCTATCGTGTCTCCCCGCACATGACTGATACTCTCATCAACTGGCCAGTCTGCCTTATAGACCAACCATTTTGTCAGATGTGACTAAAATACAGTAGAGCACTCGTGTTGAACTCATGACTGAAGCTGAAGCGTGAAATTTCTACATGCATTTATATCTAAGTAAAGCAGAGTCTTTTATAGCTACTATTGATTGTCATTGTCAGGGTTGGCTAGTCCTTGTAGAAGTGACATTAAATACTGTGACATACTCACAAGTCACATGAAAGTGCTTTTTAGATATTGCTGAAGGGGCACACTAATCACAGAGGAGTATAATTAAAGTTGCCTTTTGGGGACTTGTTCTGTATTCACAGTGAGAAGCCTTGCTCTACTCATCTGTGCACGGAAACTGTTTCAAGGGAATGATATGGATGTCTGAAGGAAGACACTGATTAACTTTTTGACTTATCAATTGTAGTTCTCTAGTCCTAAAAGAGCTGTGATCGTAGTGCCTTTAACTGTGTTTCCACCAAGCAGTCCAGGTCAGTTCAGTTCACTATGTAAATAACACCGAAATAGCTGGTCTGTATCATCCCATTTTATAAAACAAAGCATATATTTCTAACCTTAAAAGGTAGAGCTAGACACTCAGCAATCTGTTAAAAAGGGTTGCCAATTCTAAAGCAACATTAGTGATAATGAACAAACACAAAAAGCACTGTGTTTGGATACCACTTGTACTTTAGGAGAGTAATTTCAAAGCTGTTTTTGCTTTCTACAAATGATGTAGTGCTGTCCCATGAATGACCTCAGCTGTGCAGACCTTTCTAGACATCACTGATGAAGAGGAGGTGTGGAGGAACTGGGACAGAGTGAGAAAATGTTCTAGTTTGTTTCACTAAGAATGGCTGCAGAAGGCTTTGTGCGCACATCCAAGCAGTGCCAAACCAAATGTAGAAATTTCCAAAATTAGTCCTTTGGTAATGGTAAATATACCAGGAGGCACTTCTCATAGTTGAATGAATATCAGAGTCTGTCAATCACTGTAAATGCATCATTACCCAAACTACCCCGATAGATATCAGCGGTGAGCATCTCAAGTAAATACTGCTCATTATTTGCAGGGTGTTTTTCAATGACTGACCAAATAAGGTCACGGTGAATGAGGCAGAAGTAGTTCAAAGTATCTGATGTTTACAGGAGGATACTCTGACCCTACAGCCCGTCTTTCTCTTTCTGTTGGGCTTTCTCTGTTCCTTTTTCATCTGGTCACCAAAGCAAATCTGCTGATCTGTCCCCTGCTCTCTAACTCACATCCCCACCTTGGTTTGTGCTCAACTGACAAGCCACAGAATTACATTACACAGGCATCAAATAAAGTTTAATTTTCATTTCCTGTTTGGCGGCAAGCTCCTACGGTCCCCTGCTCTCCTTTCTGTCTCTCTCTCACCAGGAGAGTCGGCTCAATTTCATTAAGAAGAATGAAAACAAATAAATCCACATTTCGTCAGAATGAGGGTCTTGGACATGCTTCACCCCATCAGATCAACTACTGACACGCTTTATTTTTAAACTGCATCACTGTGTTATTCTGCATGGGGTACCATTATCCAGTGTCGACCACACACTTACTAACGCCCTGCTCTGACGGACACTTCAGGAAGCATTAGCGGGATGAAGCTCTGATGATGGCTAATGCTCTGCAGCCTGGCTTAAGTTACCTAGGTCAATGGCAGACCGCCTTAATGGGACAAAGACATTTAGGAGGCAGGTATTGGTAATCTGATCCCTCTTGCTCGCCGCTCGCACTGCAACTCATCCGTCCTTATGCCATGAGGGCCACCAAACATCTACATGCAGTTTATAGCATACAATTTGGAGCAGTTTGATCTATATTGCAGTATGATTCATGTAAAATAGGTTACTTCCTGCATCCTCAATGCTTTCGTTCTAACACAATACACAATATCAGGACTGTGGTGTCATGTAGCTTTAGACAAGTTCAACCAGTATCTGTTACTTCAGGTAAAATATTATAAAACAGTGGTCTGCAGACCTCCTAAAGGAGACCAACCCAATGGAAGCACTGAGTCAGGATTTCAGGATTTTTCTCTGATTGTTTGTAAAATGTTGTTGAAAGGAAAAGAAAGCTTCAAATTTTGCACGTAAAAGGATTTCAAAAGGGACTGTAACATTGCCACAAGCCTTGAAATCCTATCAGTGGAGTTGAATGAAATGTAGTGGCTCTTACTTTCCCCTCCAGGAGTGTTTGGTGGTGTAGAAACAGGCCAGGTCTTTGTTGTCTTTGAGGACGTTCATCTTTTCACAGGACCTAAAAAAAATAAAGAAATATATTATCAAAAAGAAAGTCTGACATGTGCTATGTTGTGTCCAGCTTTAACACAGAAATCTAGGATGAAAAAAAATGGGTTCAAGAGCAAACTCTGAGGTTCAGTCAGTGTCACATTTAAGTTGAACAGCAGAGGGGAAAACGACAGCCAATGGATTTCAGTGTCAGCACATGACTGCGTCTTTAAAAGCCATTACAGCATCAAGTTTATGTAACACACATTCCAATATAGGGACACACACACTTCACACGGTCATTCAGTATTTTGCATCTTAGAGATAGAGACTCCCTTCAACTGCAGAACCAATTCTGAGTAAACTGTGATTATCCAGCAGTAGAGCGCTCCACGGATCCGAGACTGACTGATTCTTCGGTCATTACTCAGCGATGAGCCATAGCATCCAGGCAGCTGACTTGAAGCTCAATAACAAACACTCTTCTCTGATATCCGCCGGCTCTCTTCGTGTATGCATTTCACATGCTTGAGTGGATGTGATGCCAAGCCGACACTGTTCTGGAGAACAACTCTGATTCCACCAGAAATATGGGAGTTCAGGAGGCGAAACTAAAGGATGTAATGAAATATTGAGACACTTCAGAGACAACGATTAACATTTTATAACTTTGTAACTCCACATCAATTCCAAATTATTAAGTGCCAATAATCGGCGTTGGTGTCAACCCTAAAAAACCTAATCAGTCAACCCTTAATTCAAACAGCAGTTGTGTTCCTTTATCACTATCAGGGAGGAAAACTGTGCCTGAGTACGGATGGGAATGGAGAACCAGTTCTTGTTGAGAACCGGTTCCAAATGGTTCAATCCATCGACATCGTTTACATTTCATTTTAATGATTCCCTTAATGATTCCTTTCTTCCAGGTGTTTTAGAAAATGGTCTTGTGAGAGGCAGTCTACGTGAAGGAGAACAGAGACTTTGAAGAAAAAACATGGCGGATTGTACGAAAAGTAGGCAGAAACGATAAAGAGCGTGGCGTCATTTTACTAAGAAAGACGACAACGAGTCTTGTATGGAAGTTTTGAGTTTGTGTAGCCTGGACTGAGTCAGAACCGTGTAAAAAAACATGCAACGCGACCAGAAAAACCCTCAAAATTTTGCGCGCAACTCCAGCCCGTGTAGCCATGTCTTCTTTTCGGAGATCCGGAGCATAGTCAACCTAATTTGACTTAATACCAACCAAGTAAATGTTGTACGGATAATTTGTCGTTTAATTATTTTTAGACTCTCACTGAAGGTGGCATACATCTTTTTCTGTTATCAAAGACTCAATAAAATTTTGAGTTAACATTGAAAACCTATAGTCTACTTTTTTTTTTTAAATCAAAGAAAGGCATTGAAAGCAGAATCTTTAATGGCAATGATATCGATAAAATCTTATCTATTCCCATCCCTATGCCTGAGCATCTTCAGAAAAAAATGTGAAACTTAAGGACTCAACCTGCTCACCATCATTCCTTTCTGATTTACACAGAAAAAAAACACACGAGCTTCTGTTCAAAGTATTTTTTTCTAGTTGCAATTTTCTCTCAGATTAGACACTCTCAATCTTGGACAACAGATTATTTAAATTCCATGTTTTTGCAACCTCATCCAAAGAGATCCCTCAAAGCGTTAGTGAGTTAAATGAGAGTTATACTTCGTGACAGATTGTTTCTACCGCAAACAAGGATGAAGGCATCAAAGACAGGCCAGAATAAAGCAAACAGAGGGAATAGCAATCTCTCCAGTCGTCAGTGCAGTAAATTGCTGGCGGCTGCTGCACTGTGACAAGGGGAACCTGTGTCAGCACTCTGCCAGGATCCTGGAAAAACTCTGACTCCTGTTTTCCTTCCTCTGCATGTCAGTGAGCAACTGAAGCAATGGACGAAATAATCCAAATAAAGGAATTCACATTAACCAAAGAGACTAGACTTTGATGGAGGCCACTTTCGGATTCCACAACACGGCACAAGGACCTTTAGAATGAGCAAGATCGGCATCTCCATAATTGATGCATGTGTGCACTGCAGAAACAAAGGTGCAAGGAACAGTCAGAGCCAAGTTTTGCATCAACTGCTTTTTTTTTCAAACACTCATTCACAGAGCTGCATAATGAATCTAATCCAAAGCAGGGGGCTGATGGAATGCACAATAGGAGATGTTAACAGCAAGCAATGCACAGTGGGCTCTTTGCTGCTGCTGAAGAGGGCAGTGCAGTTTTTATTGTGTTACTCTTACGAGTGTAAAAAGAAGGCCAGGCAGATTCCAAGATTGGGTCATGTGACAACCCCTCCCAACTATTTAATGCCTTTTTGCAGGTTATTTGTGGGCAATCCCTGACAGAGTTAAACTAAAAAAAAAAGTAAACAGAAGTCAGTGAAGTAAGAATAAAAATAGAACCAGGTCCAAAGTAAAGCACACACCATGAACAGGATAACTTGTTCCAGACAGGTCTCACAACTTTCTGGAAACTTTAACAAACACAGCTTTTAGCCTTAGCTGAGCTGACATAGCTGTTATCACTATACAGGAAAAGGGATAACTATGAGTATTATCCCAACATAGACACGTGCTTCAACTAAAAAGCATGAAAACAGTTTTTCAACAATCTCCTAATGGGAACTATCTGACTAACCAAAACACTTCAGGCTCACAACTTCATTACAAGTCAACTCATAAGTCGGTTCACCTTTTCCTTTAAAACGCCAAGGATTGGAAATCTGTTTCAGCAGCTGTGTGGGTACAAGGGTTAGACGATCATGTGCCATTTTACAGCCATGAGCATATTTTACATCTCCTATTAAAATTATATTGAATGTGGCAGAACTTTTTTTTTGTCATTTGTAAAAAGTGTTATATAAAGATGCACAAAAATTGATGGCTAAGGCAACTGTTACATTTTTTTTAGTAGAGGCAGTTAATGTTTGACTGAATAGTCTGTCTATATTTTTGTTGCATAACTCCCTTTGCAACATTAAACGCTTACTGTGAAATTTTGTCAACACAGTTCATGTAATTTTAAATGCTCTTACATATGTTACACTAGGACTGGGCGATTTGGCCAAAAAAATGATCACAATATACTTTGTCATATTGTCTGATCTCGATTATTATCACGATTTTTATTTTTAAAACCACCAGTTTTAAAGCATCTGTGCTTAAAACTAAAAAATAAATAGATAAATACCAAATAAGACGTTAAATAACTTTTCTTCTCAATAATAACATCCTTGGAGGATGACTCAAAGTCATGGCTGACACCTATTTTACTGCCCTCAGCTCCACGTTTGGTTACTCTGTTTATACAGAAGTGAGCAGGAAAAGCACGACTCTGATTGGCTGTTGTGATGCACATTTTGATCGAGTAAATAAGCTCACAGCTGATCACCGTGATCGGACTGAATTTATCCCGATCATTAATCCCGATCATATAATCGCCCAGTCCTATGTTACACACATCTTGTTGGATGTAAAAAAAAAAAATATGTATCGTATATAATATTTAATTTAGAATTGAATTAATCAAAACACTGCATAATATTGTCGTTGAATTGGCCTGATGAATTTCTAGCTGTTGCAATGTACTCCCACTGCTGTTAGTCAATGAAATGAAGCAATCCCAACAGCAATATGGGAACTAAACGGTACGGAACTTACTCTTCTTCATCTTCCGTTGCTTGACAAGGAAATTATGCGAGGCTTTCTTGCATAATAAAGTCAACTCGTAGATTTTTAAGCATGTGACCGGACATATGAGGATGGCAGTTAACATGAAACACATTTGCAAAAAATGCTAACGCCAAATCGTGAGCTCACTTTGAGGACTTGTGTCGAGTCCGGATGTGTCCAGTAAATCCATGACAAGCAGCATTAACGTTACCTGAGTCTCAGCTTCAGCCTCAACCTAGCAAACCTCTGCTTCATTGCAGCGGGCCTACACGGTTGACTGTCCGGCTGAGAAACAACCGCGACAGCACCGTTGCTGCGATGTTGACACTGCCGCTCACCATAACTAGAATAACAACCAGCTGAGGCGCCTTTTGTTGACCACGTTTGTTTGTCATATGCAGATTTTTTGAGGCTGTGTCTATCTTGCGTTTGAGTTAGCTTCAACCTAGCGGCTAACTAGCGAACCAAGTCAAGTCTTTGGGGCAGAGCTAGCTTAGTCGCATTAGCATAAGCGGGGTTCAATCAAGCAAACATGGAGAAGATCGCATGAACAAAAGTGGCAGTTAGCGGCGCGTGCGTTTACCTGTAGAAGCGCTAACGGGTGTTATTCGTAGCCGTCCCTCTGCCCCCCACCCTCCTCTGAATGCAACCGGTGCTTCTCAGTTTTTCCCCCACTCTGCTGATGCTGAAGGTGCTCAGTTACGGCGTATTCCCCCCAACAGGGTTCAGGACGCTGCCATATTCCTGATACCAAAAGTGTGCCACTGCGCACGCGCGAGGCCTGCCTGTCATGCGGCTGTCAGCTGATTGGTTTGTCGGTACGGGGATTTGTCGACAAACCTGACCTGAGATCAGATTTTCTTCATTTTTTGCCCGTGATTGTATTGATACATACAGTCAACACTGACCTCCGAACGGTGTGTTTTATAGAGCTTATGCGGACTGACTACAATGGAGGAATCTTCAGTTTCCATTTGGCCTCATGTAATACTCTGTGGATAATGAAACTCTCAAATCTAGACGGATCAGAATGGGCATTTTTCATTCCGCCTGAATAACGTTTACTAGCACCCTTCTTGGTTAACCTGCTTGTATTAATTTTTTATAGTAACTTGATGAATGTCTGAGATGAACTTTAACTTCAACATATTTTACTTACATTTGTGTGGTAGATTTTTTTGTTTTGCAATCAAAAACAAAGAGAGAAAAAAATCCTATTAACCTTTTATTCTTTGCATTATGAGCTGTCAGTACACACAAAGATAGAAAGTGTTATTGTGCCCCCTAGGGATCCAAGTCCAGCAATGCCTCTGTATCAATTTCAAGTATTTTCTGCATTAAAATCCAGGCATTACATCAACAGTCCTAAATATTATTAAATTTTATGCAGCTTATGCTGACTATAATGAAGGAAACTTTAGTTTCCATTTGGCCTCATGTAATACTCTGTGAATAATAAAACTCTCAGATCTAGACGGATCAGAATGTACATTTTTCATTCTGCCAGACTTAAATTTACTTGCATCCCTCTTGGTAAACCTGCTATTATTGATTTTCTATAGTAACTTAATGAATAGCTGTGATGAACTATAGTTTTAACATCTTTTACTTACATTTGTGTGGTAGTTTTTTGTTTTGCAATCAAAAACAGGAGGTTAAAAATAACTATAAACCTTTTATTCTTTGCATTATGAGCTGTCAGAAAACACCCAAAGATATAAAGTGTTATTGTGCCCCCTAGGGATTCAAGTGCAGCAATACCTATGCATCAATTTCAAGTATTTTCTGCATTAAATTCAAGCATTACATTATCAGTCCTAAATGAAAACTTAACTTAACAGTAAAATGCACACACTTTACATTTAACTGCTGTTACGAACTCACAATTTGACTATAAATATCCACTACGTTTCCTCAATATGCACCTGGAATTGTTTTGATTTACAGAAAGACTTGATTCTTAGCTTTAGGGTGATTGATGATCACATTTGCTTTTTTGTGATAAAGTGAATTTTTCCTTTGCATACTTACATTGATTATAATTCACTACTCTGCATTTTGGCAATATACTTTGTAGATCAGCTGCATATATGACATTAAAGTCAACTAATTTGTTTATGCCACCAAACATAAAAAAATGGAGAAAAGCAATGAAATATATTCACCACGATTGAACTGAACTGTAAATGGTAACATCAACATACAGTACAGGATGCTCACACATTTTGAAAGCGTGCTCTCTCTACCCCTGTCTTTCACTTCTCTCTCCCCTTGGTTTAACCCATGATATCCCAGATTTTAACCCAAGTTTTAAGTGACTCACCGAGATTGAAGGTAAAGGGGAAACATCTTGGCCTTTTTAACTGACTGATGTTACACCTAAACTTCAGCAAGGCAGACAAGACTGGTCACGTTAGAAGGCATCTGATTTGGTGACCAATCATGCGCCGCCCGTTAGCCTAATTTAATTACAGCTAGAGAGACATGATGGGAAAAAAAAGTTTTCCCTCTTTTTTCTCAGGAGCCTCCTTCACATGGATTTGCAATGTCCTTCATTCTTCAGGGAAGAGCTAAAGACTCTATGATGTCTTTATTTGGCTCACATGGAGTCAAATGAGTTTAACTGATCTAGAGGCAGCCATCTTGGCCATGGAAATTTATGCTAAGTTTGAATAAATACACACTATGTTAAGAATGTCGAAATATAAAGACACATATAAATGCCATTGGAAAACTTGATGATGAACAATGAAAATGTGTTTCAGGAGCAAAAAAAATATTACTACACACACTGAAAATGGCTTTATGTGGCTGAAAAATTAAGTCAAAGTTACCAGTGATGATGACTCTACAGTGGCCTTAGTGTGATGAGTAACATTGATACCTAACAAAACATTGATTCACATCCCAGCATTAACCCATTCGCTTAAACTTAGTAGGACCTGGCTGCTACCACAAGGGTCTGGACTGCACTTTCGAATTAACACAATGTAATGGGAAAAAAGATATAATAAAAAGTGCTGATGTCTCATGGCAGATAGGTTCAGAGTCACAATCTAAGCAAGGGGGGTTTCTTTGCAGACTAGAAAGTTCTGGCTTCTTACTGCAGTCTAGACCGTGCTTTAGTAAATCTTAAGCATGGGACTAAACTCACAGCAGAAAGGGGGTGTAGTGTGTCCTTCAGTTGCAGTGTGAATGCATACAGGAAATATGGGATGCCTGGCAGAAGAAAGTGTCTTCTTCTTAGCAGGTGGTCAGGAAATGTCAGGCTTCCTTCTGTCTCTTGGCCTATGTGAACAAACATGCCTTCTGTTTGGGGTCTCTTTAGTGCTGCTGAGAAACAGTGAAGTTTCATGTACACACAGGATAAAAATAGACTCACGCGGGGGCAAAAACACACTATAGGGGAGAGTGGGGTAAGATAAGCAATTTTTCATACTTCAGATCACTACATCAAAGCAATCACAGTTTTGTCTCTAACTCGTGTATCTGCATATATTTCAAGATGTTGTGCATCCCTAAAAAACCCAACAGAATGAGTGTAAACATAACTGTCTTGATAATAATCAAGCCAAAAAAGGGGTCTCCTATGGTCAACTTACCCCGTGTATGGGGTAAGTTGAGCCGTATCCCTACCACCCCCCACTCTCCACCCTAGCCCTCCCTCACCTTCTCTCTCCCTAAATAACAGTCACTTGTTCACATTCATGTGTATTTTTATCTGTTATACGCCATTTAAGTGGTACAATAATTCTTTTTATGATTATTATTGCATATAACTGCCAAAAAGCTGTTTTGTAAAAAGCCATTTTAACATGAGAATGCCTTTCAGCGATTCAGAACATTCACAGCTGTATTTGTGAAAAGACAAAGTAGCACATTTCAACAATCTGAACTGAAACTCTGATCCTCTCATCATACTCCTTTACTTTCTCAGTTGAGCCATTGACTCAACTTACCCCTGAACTACTATCATGACTTTATTTGTCCTCTAAGCTAAAATAGTGGACTTTTATGTTAGATTTTTGACCTCATGTTGTAGCTCATAGATACCAAAATCGATGTATAAAAAAAATCTTTTACCATTTCCAAGCAACAGGGGGTGGCTCAACTTAACCTTCGGCTCAACATACCCCAGTCTCCCCTATATTTGTCTACACACATCATTAACTATAAATAAAATTTTTAGTTTTTAAATCGACTTTCAATGCGTGGAAAAGATTGTTTGAAATGACTTCATTTTGAACATTTTAATCTAAATATATTGATATTGTTGTGGCCTCGCCGTTGTATCTTCACACTACAACAGGGGCTAACTTTACACTGGAGTCCCTGCATTTACCGTAATTATCCCAGTATACGCGCGTTTTAAATTCGAGAGTCGCTAAATTGACTATAAAACACGAGAGGCGAGCGGTTGGCTTGGCCTAGTAGGTCCGTTTACGTAGTGCCGTTGAACGCACCTCTCGTAACCAAGGTGATGACGCTATTCTCCGTAACCAAGGCACTCTGAAGGCAAACACTAGCCACATAGCAAGGCTAGCCAATCTGTCAGATAATCTTTTAGCTATGAAATAATCCCCGTTTGGCGTATTGAGATCGATTCTAAATGAAACCAGTCAATTGAAACATTCGACTTAATACGCTTTAGCTACTTTAGCTTCAAGTCAGTTCGCTGCGTGGCCTAAATAACAGGCAGAATCATCCATTTTTCCTGTAGATTAGCTCTGTCTCCAAAGCTAGCAAACTTAGTGACATAAACGTTAGCTGCACAGCCACCATGGTAAGTAGCTGCTTTCTTTTGCTGTTTATGGCTAGTCAGACCTCATTTCTGCCTTTATAAGTTAGCATGCTCAGCGTGTCTCTCTTTTTAAAAACAATGTTAGCAAGCATCTCCACAGAAAACACATTGCATGTGAATAGGCCCTGTCACAAATTAGCAGGGGAAAATCCTCTTCAAGTTAGCGATCAGCCCGGCTGTGGTCTCCATTACTGCCTGTCTGTCTGTCTTCTCTACCTTTTAGCTTCAGTGACAGCCCGTTAACTGTATCTGTTCTCGTTTTGTCCTCATGTAGGCTGAGTTTGGATTTAATGAACACCATCAAAATGAAGTCATCAATTACATGCGGTTTGCACGTTCAAAGAGGGTCCTGAGACTAAAGACCATCGATTCATGCTTTGAAGAGCTGAAAGATAGCAGGTAACAGTAACACTTTTACATGTTAACCTCAAGTTATTATGTATGACTCATATTCAACAGGTACAACACTAAGACCAAAAAGGTTGGGACGCTGTACAACATGTTGGGGGGGGGGGGAAATGCTCAGATGATTTTAACACTATTTAATTGAAATGGTACACAAAAACAAATCAAATGATGATGTTAGAAATTGATACTTTAAAGGGATATTCAGGCATAAAATTAATTTAGGGTCAAACACACCACAACACTGAGTTAGACACTACCGTGAGAGATGAATGTTGCAGACTGCTTGCTTCTCTAGTTATACCAACTTTAGAAACGACCGCACGATAGCAATACACAGCGGTCTGAGGAGCCATAAACAAACCTCAACCTAAACGCCACTCTATAGCCACAAATAACGCTCAGAACAGCACCTAACTTCATCAACAGTACATATAGGGTCCCAGCCACAGTACTAGCCACCAATCACCTTTTCAACTTTGCCGAATTTCTTTAGCAAAGAGACTAAACACAACCCACCCACTCTCTTCCAGCAGCCGTTTGTTTGCAGCAAGACCTTAGACCAGTCAATTACAGACTGCTGCGGGGTGACGCAGCTCAAGGAAGAACATTTATGATAATTTCTTCATGGAAATGCAATCAGACTGAGACGCTAAGGCAGAAGAACTACCACATCTGCAGTACAAAATGATTAATGTGGTGATTATTACGTAAAGGAAATGATAAAGACATTATCATAAATGTTCTTCCTTGAGCTGCATCACCCCACTGTTGTCCGTAATGGACTGGCCTGAGGTCTCGCAACAGACAAACAGCTGCTGGAAGAGAGTGGGTGAGTTGTGTTTCGTCTCTTTGCTAAAGAAATCAGGCAAAGTTAAAAAGATGTTTGGTGGCTAGTGCTGTGGCTAGGACCCTATATGTACTGTTTCTGAGCATTATTTGTGGCTATAGAGTGCCGTTTTGGTTGAGGTTTGTTCATGGTTCCTCAGACCACTGTGTATCGTTATCCTGCAGTCGTTAGTAAAGTTGGTATAGCTAGAGAAGCAAGCAGTCGGCAACATTCATCTCTCAAGGGGTTGTCTAACTCGGTGTGTTTGACCCTAAATTAATTTTACGTCAGAATATCCCTATAATAAAAAATCATATATTCCCATTTCAAATTTTATGCCAGCAACACATTTCAAAACATCTGGAGGAACATCTCTTAGGCTGGTTATAAGAGGGGCATATATTCACCAAAAGGCAAAAGGAAAGTTTCGATTTCCACATTGGATATGTTGTCTTTGCACTTTTTTTTAAAATTAAATGTAAGGTTTAATTTGTTTGCAAATAATCAATATCTGTTTTATCAACATTTTAACCAGCTGTGATGGAATTGGGGTTGTAACGTGACAATGTATGTGTAATAATCTATATATTTCTATTTCTAAAGGCTGGTGGAGGGGACCTTCACAGTGGAGGAGGTTAGGGAGATGCTGGATGGGCTGCAGGCAGTGGTTCGAGGGGAGGTGGAGATGGAACTCATCAACACAGCCCACACCAATGTGCTGCTGCTCAGGCAGCTCTTCTCCCAGGCTGAGAAGTTCTACCTTCGACTGCAGAGTGATATATCAGAGCTGGAGAACAGGTGAGCAGTACAGGTGCAGCAGAATCCGACTCCATGTTAACTCACCTTGAAAAACCCTTGACTAGAAGGGAACCCAGTCATGTTTGTCTGGGGTAGACTTCATTCTTATGGATCAAATATACTTCCTTAAAATAAGTGTTGATTGTTCTTGTTTGCAAAATTGGATCGCTAAACACAAAAAATATAAATAGGGACCCCATTACATCAACTCAAAGTGACATTTTCAGACTAAAGTGATTGATGAGTTTAATAACAGTCAAGGGTCAAACAGAGCCTCACCAGGGTGAGAAGTGGGCTGAATCTCCAAGCAAAAAAACAAACCTGTTCTTAAGTTTGCAGGTCCTCATGAGAGACCTCCTCCTACTCTGCACCACTTCCTTTTCAGAACCGTTTAGGTTCAGATCTCTTGCGTGTTAAAAGCACATGCCTGTCAAAAAGGTCATTGGAAAACCACATGTATGCATACACTAGCTGAACTTCCATCCATTCTGTCGTGTTGGTTTCCTCTCTGCTATGTGTTAAAGTGGCCTCTTATCACAACATCTGTCAACATCTCAGTTTACATTTTAAGGTCAGTTCACCTAAGTTTCAATCTCATTTTCTGACTAACACTGCAAAAACTAAAAATGAAACAAGTGTTTTTGAAAATCTCATTTCCGGCATTAAAATTTATAATTAGCCTAGTTTGCCTAGTATGTAATATCAGCCAAATTTATATGACAAATTAAGATTAAAATCTAACTTCAAGATTTTACAAGCAAAAAAATAAGACCTGAAGTTTTTAGATGGTCATGAAACTGGTAACGCTTTCTTTGACGGTTCACTTATTACCAGGTAATTAACAGGTAATTACCTAGTAACAACATGAAATTATCTGGTAATTACATGATAACTACTAAGTCAATACTGTCTAGCTACCTGGTTGGTAACTTTCCATCATCATACAAATTTGAAGCCGAATTGCTCTGGTATTTCCAGGATTTTCTCTGCTTTCTGGAACCACCACTTGCGCAGCGTGTTGTACGCATTCAGCTGGTGAGTTGCTGTGATAATGCTCGGCTCGCTACGCAATGTTAGCGTCAAAGTGTCAATCATAGAAAATAAGAACCCCAAATAGCTTTTGAAAATGGAGCTGCACAGAAAAAAAGAAAAACTAGACAGTATCAACTTAGTAGTTATCATGTAATTACCAGATAATTTCATGTTGTTACTAGGTAATTACCTGTTTATTACCTGGTAATAAGTGTACCGTAAAAGATAGGGTTACCATGAAACTAACTGATGTTAAAAGTGATGACAATTTAAAGCCTTTTAAAGCAAACCAGACCACTAAAAAGAAGACAGAGTAAAATTAAAACCTGCAACTGCTGCACGGGGGTAGGTGTCAAGAACAAGACAAGAACTGTTATCACAGGTTTCACTGTAGGATGTGTCAAAAGTAGCACTAGAGAGTTCCTCACAAGAACTTTAATTTAAATGAGAAATCCCTCTGTAACAATAAAAGGCTGTAGAGTTTTACACTTACTCTCTCTGTCTTCAAAGATGACCAGCATTTAATTCATCCTTATTATTACCTTTCGGAGGAGTAGCTCAAAGAGTATGCCAGCGTGAAAAAAAATCCATACAGTGAGGCAGAGTAGCCCTTGCTTGCTAGTGTTATTTTTCATGGATGCTGAGAATTTTGTTGTGCTTTCCCCAAGCCTGAACATTAGTGATAACAGCTAGTGATCAAAAATAAAGGACAGTGTCTGTATTTGCGACAAACTCGCGCTTTTTCGACGATTAGGGATTTGTAAAGCTAAAAATCAGGGTTTCAAATCATGAAGAATCTGTTCTGAAAAGAGAGGATTTAACTGTTAGTTAAAAATGTTGGCTTTGATGAGGTATGCATGTCAAACTTAACGCTGTGAACACACGTCATCCTGTTCCTCTTTTCAGTACCAGAAAGGAGGAAGCAAGAGTTTTCCACTCTCCCTATCTTACCATGATCTGATCTCTGATATTAAACTAAAAGGTTATAAAATTTTGCTCTTCTGCAGTGGACTGTTATGAACCAATACAGTGAACCAAGTATGATTGTTGTAAAGTTCCCCAGTGCGTATTTAGTTGAACTTCACGCACCTTCTGACCTTGTAACCCTTCACCTTGTTAACCCTCTCACCGTGTTTTGGAAAAGCTCTTGTGTTTTTAAAACGCACACGATGGGTGGATAAATAAAGCTTTCATTTTTTAGGGTTGTACGTGACTTCTCAGCAAGAAAATACGCCCTGAGTGACAGTCTACGTGCGCTCAGCTGCCTTTACAAACCACATTTAAGCTTTTTAGAGAGCTGTTGTTTTCACCACAAGCAGATATCTTTTAGGGCTTAACTGCCATCAAGAACTCGAGTGTTTATTTTCCTTCAAATAGATGTCAAAAAGACGTAACTGTCAAATTGTAGTTCATAGTTAGCTGAAAAAAACAAAAACACACGTGTTGTTGTATCAGAAAGTGGTTGAGATGATCAGATTTACGCTATCTGATATTGCATTTATATACACCGTGTATATTTTTAAGCAAAGGCCTCATAAATTCCAAGAAATTTGTGATATCTAATCAAATTTCAAACATTTACAAGTCTTTTCTCTGCCCTTTTCAACCCATACAGGGAGCTGTTAGAACAAGTGGCAGAATTTGAGAAGACTGACTTCAAAACGACTGATAAGGTGAGTCAAACGTGAAGCTCGATTACATTAACAACCTCGAACATCACCATTTACGCACCCTCATTAATCATGTGTTCAAAGGATTTCTGCGCCCGCATGCTATTTAGTTACAAAAGAGCAATTCTGTGCATTAAAAGGCGTTTTATATATCCGGCCGCCTGTCCTTCACACCTAGCTGTGCGGTACGGAAGTCACACATCTCTGAGGTTGAAAGGCGTATTTTTGACACACACTAAAAGCAAAAACAGATTTGACTTTGTGATGCTATGCTTTAAAGGTTTGGCATCTCACACCTTTCTGTGCAAGTCAAGACTGTTTTTCCCGCTGATTCAGACTGAAGCAGATTTTTCTCAATCTGAACACGTCCTTTACAGTGAAGTGTCAGTGAGGTATCGCTAACCTTCCAAAAACAAGAAAATCACACACCCTTCTGTCCCTGTTTCACTTGTAACGTGTTGATTTTTTTCCCACGCAAGAAAAATCAAGAAACAGGCAAACCCAAGCTCGCACCGCTAAACGAAGGCGGCGTGTCCGAACTTCTAAACAAGGTAAAAAACCACAATGAAACCATGGATTGAAATCTTTGCAAAAGTTGCGCTTTTATTAGTTCTCCTTCACACTTTTCTTCTACATTTCTCCAGGAGATAGTGAGACTACAGGAGGAAAATGACAAACTGAAAAGCAGGCTGCGAACTCTAGAATCACAGGTATCACACGTAGTCAGACATCTTCAAACAGAAAGACACCTAGCTGGTTGTTAACTGTGAACAAATGTATCCTAATTTAATTTTCATAGGCAATGAGTGCACTAGATGAGAAAACCAGGGCTGAGAGGGCCCTAAAAGACATCCAGAAGGTGCAAGGAGATCAGCAGGTATGGTTTTTCTTGCAGCCAGCAGCACCGTCTCTTCTCTTGTGATTTCAAGTTTTCCTTTTATTTAGTTCTTAGTCACCTGTGTTTTTATTTCATTGCTTCTGAATATTTGCTGTCGTTTGGTTTTGTTTGCCAACTTGGACCTCTTATGGTATGTATCTAGCTGATCACATATGTCGTTATTTTCTCTGTGTGTCATCATGTCTAGGAATAGGGTATAGATACAGTAGGGTAAAGATTTAGTAGTCATGATCTGAACTTGTTGTTTTTTTGTCCCCTTTAAGCTGGCTTCTCAATCCCAGGAGATCAGCAGTCTGGAAGACACAGTGGCCGCTCTGAGGGAGGACTATGAGAGGTCTCTTAGTGCCAATGCTGTGTCCCAGAAGGATCTGCAGGAAAACCTGATCTCTGCCAAACATGAACTCCTGCGAGTGCAGGAGCAGCTGGCCCTGGCAGAGAAGGTACGTCACTGTATTTTTTTTTTCTTTTTTCAACAGCAACTGACAGCAACAAGCACCTGCAGTCAACACCCAGCCTACCAAAGTGGCATGTCTTACACTTAATACAATAGATGTTGTTGTATTTAGTACCTATGCAGCTTTTTCATGTGTTCACGTGCGTGTGCAGGAGTTGGAAAAGAAGTTTCAGCAAACCGCGGCCTACCGAAACATGAAAGAGATCCTCACCAAGAAAAACGAGCAGATCAAAGACATAAGAAAACGATTGCAGAGGTGAGTTTCAACCAATGAGAACAAAGTGATTCAATCAGTTTCAAAACCATCGAGTTTTTGCAGTTTTGGGGAGTCGTGGCTGCCTAAATAGTAAACCGGATTACAGATTATAGACAGAAATAAGCCTCATCTCTGGTCAGTTTAAACATGCAAAATGGGAGCTCCTCAAGGTTTTACTAGACTGGCTCCAAAACCCAAGAAAACTGCCCTGAGTCCATGTTCAAAATTGATCTGTATGTCTATATTAGTTTGTAAAAATGGCTCTATATTCAGGTTTGTTCTGCTTTTACTCCTGTCTTTCAGATATGAACCCAATGAATGAACTTAACCCCATGCATCTGGTGAAAAAGGGGCCCAGAGGATAAGACAAGGGTAAAAATTTACGACTGTGGTTTTGGATGAGAAACCATCGGCTCCACTGCTGTAAGACAAGAGACCGAAAAAAAGCACTACCACGAGGGACTGTACATTCATGTTTTATCTGACTTCTTTAGTAGTTTCTTGGCTTTAGTTCAAAGCAGGAATGGGAAGGTTGGGGAGTACACATAAACTGAACACACAAATCGAAGCGGTGACATATAATAGCTGTGCTTTTTTTCTACGTCTCAGTTTGGAGCTCACTTACAGTAGCTAGACTTCCCTCAGTGCTCTATGCAATTACTATCATGTCCCTGTTTGAAGAGGCCTTGTCCATGTGCTGAATTAGACAGATACTCTCTGTCTGCCTGAACCTTTGCAGTCTTACCTTTCGGACGGTTAGAGGTGATATTTAGCTTTTGAGCACCAGTTGATTGTTTATTTACGAACTTAATGATTAGTCTTAATTTTAGAAGCTCCCTTTGAAATCTAAAGCACCATTTAGTAAAATCGAATCAGACATCGAAGCCATTTTGTTTTAAAACAGTCAAACTTTACAGTGATATTTACCGACTTCTGAAGTCACACCTGCTTTTGCTCGTTACCTTCACACTTAAAAGGATTTCAAACAGAAACTTTTCAAATGATCTGGCATTCTGTGAAAGTCTGATCGTCGATAAATACACCCGATATCTTTCTATGATTTTCTTGTCCAACTCGGAAAGTGATCCAGATAAATTTACCTACTTAACAAAACAAAGGGCATAGAATATTTTTGTCTAAAATCTTGAACTGTGTACTTTTCATATCGTGTGGGTGATGGCGTGTAAGAGAAAAAAAAATACATACATGATGTTCATGAGTTAATGCTCTTGTAGAGTATGATACATCTATCCTATGTAACACTACACTAGATGTGCGTTTGTGTGTATTGTGCAAAGTATGGGGTAATAAAAGCTGTTACCAAATATCATATCTAGTCGACGTCTTTTTATTACTCATCTGTTTTGTTTAATTAAAGTTGTTTCTGTCTGTCTTCAACTTTAGCTAAGGATTAAAAAAACTTTCAGAGCTATGATCTTGTTCAAAAGTTTCAGGTATCAGAGTTCTGGTTATGCTGAACTACCTGAAACTTTGTAGTCATCATTAAGGGTTCAAAACATGTCCTTAAGCCCAGTGCATCCTGGGTTGGCCTACAAATTTGTTAACCTTCCTCCTGTGTTAGCTTTCACTACACACCCACTATGTTAAGGGTCGGTTTCGACCCGTGTCTTAAATCAGCTGTAAATCACACTGATAACAATTCCCTATCATCAAATTTTGGTTCTCATCTCTTGGTTACCTTGTTAGGCTTCATTATTCATGAAAATATTATAATATTTTTTGGTGTAGGCCTCTGGGTCTTTCTTTGTCAGTATACTCCTCATACAGACATCTATACTATGATCTACACACATGATTTTAGTTTTTGCTCGAATTATTAGATATTATCTAACCGGGTCAACAGCGACCCTAACACAACAAGTGCCATCATTTTAATAAGAGCATTTTATAATTTAGTCAATTTAATTTTTTATTTTTATTTTGTTGAAATAGAGGTTCCTGACAAAGTCAAAAAGTCTTGATGCAAAAAGGCTAATTTATGTGGTTCTTTTAAGCATTTAAAAAAAAAACAGGTGGGTGCAGACCCTAACACAGGAGGAGGGTTAAAATTTGTATGAATTACTATAGATTCAAGGGTATAAAAGCACATCTCAGTGCATAGATCTGTCATCTTCAGCAAGGGGGAGCCATACTGCAATAATGCACTGATGAGTAAAGGAAATGCCTCCTGTCTTGTTATGAAAGGCTGTTTTAATGTGGTTTTAATCATATAATTATGGTTTACTATGACCTATTATGCATGAAACTAAAAAAACAATGATGACAGATTTCAGGCTAAAACTCAAATGTTAATTTATGTGTTAACTCATGTTTTACAGGCGAGTAAATCTACAGTATAAACACTTTTTGTCAAGTCTGTGGAATAAATTTGAGCTGTGAGGAGAATATCAAGGAGTCCAGCATGTAAATCTCAAAGAATTCAGGTAATATACTTTTTTATTTTTAAATGATTTTCAATTTAAGACAGCTTAAATGTGGCCTGTTATTCCTCAGACTATTTCCCTGTCACTGTGCCTCTTGCATGCTAACCCACAAGCACACATTAAACATCTTTATGCTCCCTGGTGTATGTGGCGAAGCAGACAAGGCCCAGACTGCATACATTTTCAATATGATAGAGTCTTGATTGATTTTGTATCATACGAATATGGACCAAATGAGACTGTGTCCAGTTTTTAAAAAGGTTCAACATTAAGACAACAAACCTGAATAGATGTATCCTAATATTTACTCATTGCAGTTGTTTGAGTATTTGTTTATACTACTTTATACGCCCTGAAGCTAGTGGTAAAGCATTATCTAATCATCACTGTTTCAGCTGTCTAGAAAAGCACCTTATTGTTTTTTTTACTTGTTCAGTAACCATAAACACATATGAGTCACTAAGATAGCTGCATAGTGGTCACCATTCAGTCAACCGTCATCCCCAGCTTGTTTGCAGTGAAACCCTTAAAGCCACAGTCTGTCCTGATTTAAACTTTTGTTACGCAAGAATCGTACACATGCTGCGCCTATCCTCCTATTGGTGCATTAAAAAGGCGGGCGTTGTTGACAGAATGAGGTGCTATACTTTATGACTTTTCTTTCTGCAGGACAATATTTTAAGAAAAGATGATGAGGTATTCATATGCAAATAAAAATGAGGATATTGTGTATGCATGCTTATATGCATGAATCAATACTGCATTTGAATATATGCTTCCACATATACAGGGTACATGTGACTTTTTTTTTTGGTGATGGCATCTGCATGGGCAAAGATTGCATGCAAATGCAGAACAGTTGTCTATCAGTGCATGAAATAAATCACAGCAAGCAGGTACACAGGAAGTGGTGGCAAGTGTCTCAGAACCAAACACATGTCTCGCGCAGTCTGAGAACGGCAGCAGTAACAGCACTTTCCCACAATATGGGCCAACTGTTAATATATGAGTGGTGTACCCATTCACAGTATAGCTTCCTGCTCGCCGACGCAGCCATGCAGGGGTTTTCTCGGTTTCACTGGCACGACAAGCAGGGTCTATTGTTTGGTTTTTCTCCAGAATCAAACAGCGAGCTTGTCACGCACATTTTGAGATTGACTCTGAATATCCACAGTGGTGCTTGATGATACAAACAATGAAAAACGAAAACGAGCAGTGAGATAGATTCCCTTTAAACAAGAAACAAGGGGACAATTTATTCTTCATGCAAGTGAAATAACACTTCTCACTCAAGGCCCTCAGTGGTTTCAGCACTTTGATTTGCCTTCATTGTTCAGTTACAATCATTAGCTTCAGCAGAAATCAACATGAAGAGTCTTCCTCACTTGTGTGTTTGTACATTTTGTCAGAACATGAACCATTAGTCTCTGGCAGGTGTTTATGGTTATATGGTTTGGCATCTGTCTAGCTTTTATTCTTTACAGGATATGATTTTGGTTGCTATCAATTTTCGCACCCCCTGAGACAAAGCAGTCTTTGCATTTCTTGGCTACTTCATGCTTGAGCAGTAATTCATGAAAACAAATCTCATCCTGTTGACTTATTATTGACAAATGTTTCATTCGGTGTGATTATTTTACATGGAGGTTGTAAAAACAGGGATGTTTCTTTGGCTGCTACCTCACAGGACCAGTTTCAGACAATAAAAATAAGGATATAAAAATCTTTAGTCTTTCTACTGAATGTTTTGGTTGCTTTTGAACATTATTAAAAGGCATCAACATGAATTTCAGTCTATTTCATTAACGTCAAATAACTCTAACTTGAGCTTTAAGTGGTAAAAATAAGTAAAAACTGCTGCATAGATCCTCTGTTGTTGGTTTCGGCTTCATAGTAATGCATCTATAGAGATGCCGAAGTAACCAGTAATGACAAGAAGTGTTATCAGCGTGTTTTGAAAGCATAACTGAAGTCAAACCCTCTTTCTACATTAAACCACAAACAAAGCCGTGGATTACTATTGACTTTCTTGATTTCCCGACTACTTAATCTTGATGGCTGCGATGTAAATATTCTCTCATTTGCATGTTTTCTTAGATACATGAATCTACGTGTGAGTTGTGACAGTTGTAACTGCACCTGCATTATCTGACCACATGAAAGCTGTTATTTGTGAAACGAAGTGAAGAGAGATCACGTAGAACCTGAAAGTGTTACAGAGTGATACGGCGCACGCTAACCTAATTAAACAGTCAGGTTTCCCCTTTGGTTACTACCCAGTATTTTGTTATGTAATAAAAACCATTTGGCCCATGTGATACCAATGCTCTTATTAACTTCTGCTCTCAAACGGACAGGTTGGAAGTAAGGGGAGACAGAGTGTGACGGCACATGGTCAGGGCTGAACTCAAACCCACGGCCGCTGCGGTGCGGGGTTCTAACCTGCTCTTAAACTTTTATTTGCTTCTGTGACCTTATTCTTGGTTTTCACATCTTCACTCTTCAGACATTTTCTCATACCATGCTTAGTCAAATCTGAAAAGTGCAAAATGATAATGATATCTCAATAGATGCAATAAACTGAGAGGAGAAGTTTCACTGAAACCCCGATTAAGATAGATAATGAAAAATGAAAAAGCAAGCCAACAGAAGTCACTTTATCTTTTCCTGCTTCAAAAAATCCCAGTGTGCGTTTCAACAAGGTAGATTTAAGCTTTCTGAGAATGTGACACTATGTGAAACTTCAGAGTAAGTTATAAATTTTTCACTGACTAATGTAAACCACTTGTTCCCATCAATAACAGTGTCTTTGCACAGATGAAAATGACTTGTTGTGTGCGTAATCTCGTCAGTGTCCGATCTTTTATTGTCTGGAAATTCATCATTTTTGATTCGAACAATGCAGTCCGTTATAAAAGTTTCCTGTATGACCTTAAGAAAGAAACCACTTCTCATACGGTTCTCTTCAGTAGCCTCTTACCAGGATGAAAATACCCATCTGATCATGACACGGCCACTTCCTTTACCTCACTGTGACCAAAACTGAGAAACACAGCCAACGTTTGGAGAAAGAGTTGATGACCTTCACTCTGACTCTGTTTTTTTTTTTTTCTTTTTCCAGTGTGGTTATGCTAAAATGTCAAACCGGGAAAATAAAATAAGATGAAACTCTTAGAGGTAGAATTGTCCTGCAGAGAGACATCATATGACGTGAAAGACACAGGAGTGAGGCCAATCACAGGAAACACAACCAGCGTTTGGATAAAGAGTTGATGACCTTCACTCTGTTTCTATTTTTTTTAATAGTGTGGTTATGCTTATTAGTCAAACCGAGAAAATGAAATAAGATGAAACTGTTAGAGGTAGAATTGTCCTACAGAGAGCAATCATATGAACTGAAACACAGAGGAGTGGAGGCACGTTCACAGGAAACACAACCAGCGTTTGGATTAAGAGTTGATGACCTTCACTCTGTTTCTGTGTCTATTTTTATTACAGTGTGGTTATGCTAAAAAGTCAAACCAGGAAAATAAAAGAGGTGAAACTGCGAGAGGTAGAGTTGTCCTACAGAGAGGAATCACATGGTGTGAAACACAGAGGAGTGAAGCACGTTCACAGGAAACACAACCAGAAACAGATTTCAACTCTTGCAGTGAGGTTTTTCATACCATGTGACTATCATAGCTTCTTGCGTCATTTAAGTCAATACCTTACTCAGGTTCTGAAAAGTTGGTCTGATAAAGAAAGTTTCTCAAGAGGTTTTGGGTTTGGTATGGCAGGGAGTTTCTACTTTGTCAGACTTCAATCTAATGTGGGTCAGCAATGTGACTTTTTGTCACTGTAGTAATTCCCCTTTATTCTTGATAATATGAACGCTCACAGTATTTCCCTGTTTTCGCAGGAAGTTCTTGTTTTCCACCAGAAAACATCACATGAAACCTTCAACTGGGCTGCACATCAAATCATATGTGTACTTTTTTATAATCTGGTTCCTGTATGAGAGAAACTATCAGCAGGAGGTCAAGAAAAACAAATTTAGTTAAAAATGTATTTCAGTGTTTATATAGCTTTATATAGGCCAAGCTAAGCAAAGGGTAAAAAGTAAACTCCAGCTCTCTTATGCTCAATTAGACTAATTTCTTTATATATTGTTTTTTTTTTCTTTTTTTAAGTCTTCTGTTATTGGGCTAGCATAAAAAAAAAATGCTGACTCAGCCAATAATAGCATCACGTTATAAGAGGGATGTCGTCGCAGGTGTTGTAATAACAAACTTGTGAGCGAGTTCCCCAAAGATGTTGCCTCATCAATAAACCCACAACACTTTGTTGACCTGCTTTCAGACATTTCACAACAAAATAGCTGTGGCTTCCATTGTTTTTGGTTACTGGTCCACACCTTCTCCGCAGCAGCTGCGGCCAGTTAGCTTGGATTAGCATAGTTGGCTAAAGTACACAGGCACTCTGCAACATAAAGCAATAGGGAGCAACTTTCACATCTCACTGTCTTCAGTAGAAATAGGGATGTTTGTTTTTTCACAGAGGTTTCAAATGTTTTACAGCCGAGTCTGACATGTGGGTTAAGTTCCTCAAAAAGGACCACCATCTTAAACCAGAACACTATCCTTTCCCAAACTGTTGACTAAATCCTTCAAAGGTACACTGTGTAGAAGTGGGAATATGTGGCAGAAAGATTGTAGGTTGAAACGCTCCCTTGCCCACCCCTCCTTTTGGTGAAGTGGCCTTGAAAGACAAGGAGCTCCTGAGTAGGGGAGACCAGGGCTTGTTGTCACCTGTCTGAGAAGAACAGAGGACATTGTGAGCTGAGATGAGCGCCAATTAACCATTTCGCACAACCTAAAGTAAAAATGTTTAACTCTATATATTTTAAAATAAGCTTCTTCCAGATAAAAATCCTTGCAGTGAAACATGTGGACTTGTTAGAGGAGAGACCCTAGCTAATAAATCAATCTGGAGTACCATCAAGGACTTTTATGTCAACTAACATACCTTAGCTCAATACTGCAAAAACATTCACCCCAGCCGAAATACAGAGTCAGACAGCTCTCCAAACTCCAGAGCATGTTGCATAATATTTCATGTCAACGTTTGTTCAATGACTTTTTGTTGCTCAATGATAAACATGTTCTGTGTCTGACTTTGATCTTCACTTTAAAGTAAAAAAATGAGAACAACAGTAATTTTGTCCTTGTTTAGTTAGCTGCAAAATCCACTGTGACATCTTACCCCATGTAGTGAGACAACTTACCCGATGGTGGGGCAACATGTCACATGTTCACACTCATTATTTGATTGCTCATAACTCTGCACTGTCACAAGATGTGAAAATGACATGAATACAAAATATATACCTGAGAATTTGGTCTTTCATCTGGTACACATTTTATTTGTATATGATGTATTGAGCCCCTGTCTCCCCTATATATGATGAATAGGATCCTCAATTCTTCAATGCATTTTGTCTGACTACTCACTCAATACAAGTTTGTCCATTTTGTGCTTCTGTTTGTGCTGCAAGATGAAACACTTATTTTAATGCACTTCTGTATATTCAACCCATTTCTGCCTGTTCTGTTCAACAACAGTATACACCACACATTGTACCTTTAATTTATGAAGTTATAGATTATTTAGATAAAAGAAAGTGTCTTCAATTGTTTAAACAGATTTCCCACACATACTTTAGGCTCTTCTTTATTTACTTTAGACGATTTACTCCTGAGCTATTTCAACACTTTTAACACCAACTACCTCCTCCAGATTCGGTCTTTGATCATGCCTCACAGTTTTCAGTTTCATACATCACTCATCTGGAGTGTAAAGTGCTCCACCTGCGTTTACAGAAGTATGTCAAAAATAGGCTCCAGCTTGATCAAACTTAATCGACTGTAGCAGGAATGTGGGTGTATTGTTTAGGTTCTAGCTCAATGGCTTCAGTCCAGTGGGTTGAGTCTAAAACTCAGAGCTTTCCTCTGAAACAGAAACACTGATGTTACCGATCAAAGATCACGTTTACTTACACACCTTTGATAGTGCTGCTGAGCTCTTTCTGCGCCAAGAAATCTACAGTAACCAGACCGGCTGGTGTGTGTGTGTGTGTGTGTGTGTGTGTGTGTGTTGTGTGTGTGTGTGTGTGTGTGTGTGTGTGTGTGTGTGTGTGTGTGTGTTTTGCTGAGAGAAGAAGTGATATTTCGTCACACAATCATGCGGTTAAAGAGAAACCATATAAGCATGTGAAGATGAGCCTGGCTGTCAGCATTACCACTTGTACTACCGAGGCATAGAACAATAAGAGTGAATGAGACGTCGCTTTCTAACATCACATCGTTACTGGTAAGTGATTTATTGTGGTGCAAAATTAAACAAAAAGGCAGTAGACAACTTTTTAACTAAATCGTAATTTTCTCTCATAGGTTACATTTCTTATTTTTAACTTTTTATGATAGTATTTAAAATGTTATGGTGTGTTTTCTTTAATTGATATCTTTCTGGTTCTTCGTAGCAAACATGGACGAGGCATTTACTTCCACGACGACCACAGACTTTGATTACTCTGGGACTGTAAGTATGCACTTATTTAATATAATACCTACCTACGATAACAGAAAAAAAAACAAAAAAACAAATGCAAGAAAAATGATAATGTCCAAAAGAAGCACTTCTGAAATAGTTGACAGGACTTAACGCATAGATCTATACTTTCACTCATGTGTTTTTTTATGCATTTAACGTGTGTTTATGAAATTTAAGTCTAAAATACACTAAGATGTAAAACTTTAAGCTCTTTTTTTCTGGACCAAACATTTGACTTGTGATATACTTTTCTTTAGAAGACTTGTGGTGTAACTCAGACCATGTAGTTAAAGAGTCGCCTTGCTAAAGTTTTTGTTTTTTTGTAAAAAGGGTAGGCAAAATAAGCATGAGCTTCAGCCTACATCTTTTCGATTAGCTTTATGATGCTTTTGAAATTTACTATGTATCTGTTGTGGGTGGATTTTAAATGCTAATCGAATAAAATAATTGAATTAAAAATTAATTGAATTACTTTTCATTATTATTCCTAAAATTCAGGATTTTCTTATGCTCCAGGTATAACAGACTTATCTTTAACAGACATCTACATGTTACTCAAATGCCACAGAGCCCTATCAGCTGCATCATATTTTCCACTGTTTGTGTAAACCTTACCCCCCCACACCACCTTTCTGTTTATCTCTGCCCTACATCTAAACCTGATGCTTCCTGGGTTCTGCTGCAGGGGCCTCTTTCTGGAGCCCCTCAGGATCGTTTACACCCCCTCTCAGGCTTGGATGGCTGCAGGAAGCTGTGCAGTGGTGTGGTTTCTCCTGCACAGACACAACACCTGCACCTGAAAGCCTCCTTTTTTTTTCTTCTTTTTTTTTTGCACGCTTTGGTTAGCTCGTACGTCACAGACAGCGTTTGATGTGACACCACTAGTAGCACTTAATGGTTCGAAACCCTGACAGCGCTCAGCGAGAAGGGTTGACACGTGCAGAAAAACAAAAAAACACATGATGGGAAAAGAAAACTGAGAAGAAAGTTGATCATATGTTGTGTGAAACTTTTAAAGCTTTATTAGATGATTAATTTCTTGTGTTTGATTTCAGGACGTGTCTGATTACACAGACGATTATGACACAGACCCAACTCAGAGCTCAGGCATCTGTGACCGAAGTTGGGTCAGGCTGTTTCGTGGGCAGTACGAACCTCCTCTCTTCTGGATCATCTTCATCCTTGGAGCTTTGGGAAACCTCCTGGTTGTCTGGATCTACACCACTGTGCGTAACCGTCTGAAAACGATGACTGACGTTTACCTGCTCAACCTGGCTGTGGCTGACCTCCTCTTCCTGTGCATGCTGCCCTTCTGGGCCGTTGATGCCATCAAAGGCTGGGACTTTGGCCCCCACGTGTGCCGAATGGTGTCCGCTGTCTACAAAATCAACATTTTCAGCAGTATGTTCCTCCTCACCTGCATCAGCATAGACCGCTACATTGCAATTGTGCAGGTCACCAAGGCGCAGAACTTTAAGAAAAAGAGACTCTTCTACAGCAAGCTGGCCTGTCTGTTTGTCTGGTTTGTCGCTGCTCTCTTGGCCCTTCCTGAGTTCATCTTTGCCCAGGTGAAGACCGACCGACATGGGTACTCCTCTTGTACTATGGTCTACTGGAGCAACATCAACAACCGGACCAAAATCCTCGTCCTGTCCCTGCAGATCTGCATGGGCTTCTTCGTCCCTCTGCTTGTCATGGTCTTCTGTTACTCTGTAATCATTCACACTCTCCTGCAGGCCAGAAGCTTCGAAAAGCACAAGGCCCTGAGAGTCATTTTTGTCGTCGTGTTCGTGTTTATCCTCTCACAACTGCCGCACAACAGTCTGCTCATAGTCGAGGCCACGCAGGCGGCCAACACCACCATCACTGACTGTACAACGGTCACTCATTTTGACATCGCAGGACAGATCGCGAAGAGCCTGGCGTACACTCACGCCTGCCTGAACCCGTTCCTGTATGTCTTCATCGGGGTTCGGTTCAGGGAAGACCTGCTGAGGATGATGAAGATGTGTGTTGGAGGTGTGAGTAAAGGAGGGCTCATTAAATTACAGCCAGTTCCTAAACGCCCCTCTGTCATGTCAGACACTGAAACCACTCCTGCTCTTTCAATCTAAAAGCACATTTTTTTTGCATTTTTGTTCTCATTTTCCACTCACGCATTACATTTTCAAACTGAAGAGCAATAAAACAGCAGTCTAAAATCATTACATCTACTATTCTGGAATAATTGTATAAAATGTAAATAGTGTACATACCATTTATGTGTTTTTTTGACAGTTTTTCCATGATATAAAGTTTGTTGTGTTCTGCTGTAAAAAGATTTGAATGGCATTTTTGATACAAAACAGTAATTAAACATGAAGTTCTCAAGAAGTTTTTGTCATTGTGATCTGTTCCCTCAGCAAAAACAAGCAGTGAACAAAACCAGTCCAGTCATTTCAGGAGATCATGAACTGATTCAGTTGTAAGTGATGATCTAGTGATTTATGCACCACACATGGGAAAGTATTGACTGCTTTCACTGGCATAACGTACATGCCCCAGTGGGAAATGATGTGACCGCTTTGGTCCACAAGGTTTTTTCGATTTGACAAAGCATCCTTCAAGTTTGGCAACGTCTAGACAAACTCATAACGGTAGAGTCTGGCTCTGACTTGGCAGTTTCACAGTCGTTACTAACGGATGCCCATCCAAAGGGGCATGCGATAAGTTTCCCACGATGGCCGAGCAACAGCTGCAGTACCTGTCAGACAGAAAATCAGTGACAAGAAAATGCCTAGATAGAAATCAGTGCATGTAAGCTCAAAAACTTTCAAAGAAGAAGGTTTGGATATGAAATCAAAAGGTTAAATGTCTAATCTGACAGTAAGAATGTAAACACTGCATGACCTCAATGCAAAGCCAAGCAGATAAGATTGTACAGATAAGTTTGTACTTGAGTGATCTGTGCCGCCAACAGGAAGCCATCAAAGCTGTGAAAGTGGGCCTTTTATGGTAGGCGAGAAAATTGAAGACATGTTCTTAGTCATATAACTCTTCAGGATGTTGGCCGCCGACATGTTTTTTTGATCAAATCTGATATCAAGATTCAAAGAGTTTCAAAAGCTATTTATTCTGCATCAGCGTTAAACTTGATTAGATAGCTTTGAAGTTGTTTTAGAGTTGAAAAATTAGCTTTAAGTTTTGAATTCTGGCTTTAAAATGTCTACAGACACCGAGCAAAACAAAGAGATAAGACAGAAAAAAATACACAGACGACAGACGACCATACAGAGCGTAAAAAACAAATTGTAGTCTGTTATTGTGGTCACTGAGGTCGGCCCCAGACAACTGCAGTGTACCTACTCACTTCAGGTGAGACCACATTTTTTTTATTTTCTACCACTACTCCTCTCACAACAGGAAAACCAACGACTGGGTGACGAACAATCTGCTCATGCTTTACTGCAGAAGTGAGGCCTTTCTTTTGGGGGGTCCAAAGACTTTGACACGTGCCTGATAATTTGGACGCAAGCATACCAAATCCAATTGACTTTATCCTTTAAAGCTCATAAAAAATGACGATAAATGTGCTGCACAATAAATAAAACATGGAACAATTCACAAGATAAAAAGGTCAGTTTCTTTTGTGACCAGCGAAGACTATGTTCTTCTTCTTTGTCCTCTCTAAATGAGTGGTTTTCAGATGGACCCTCATCCAGTACAAAAACACGAATGTTTCAAGTTTGTCCATTCTAATAATAATAATAATAATACATTTGATTTATAACCTGCTTTACATCTGAGAAAACAGACCTCAAAGTGCACACAGTAAAAACAACAACAGTCAGAATATGAAATCGGCTTTTTGGGGCTGCAGTCACTCAGGAGGTAGAGCGGTCGTCCAATAACTGGAAGGTTGGCGGTTCGATTCCCCCCTATCCTGAGTCTGTCCGTTGGGCAAGACACTTGACCCACCTTGCTCCCAGTATGTGTCCTCCACTAGTGTATGATTGTGAGTGTGTTGTGTGGTGGTGGTTGGAGAGGCCATAGGCGCAAACTGACAGCCATGTTTCCGTCAGTCTACCCCAGGGCAGCTGTGACTTCTAAGGTAGTTGACCACCACCAAGGTGTGACTGTGTGAGTGAATTAATGATGTATCCATGTAAAGCGCTTTGAGGGTCTCTGATAAAGCCCTATATGAAATCTGATGAATAGTTTTCTAAAAGGAAAACTTTAAAGCATCCACCATCTGTGGAGCTCTGAGGTGATCAAGAAGGGCGCTCCACAGATGTGGAAGTGCAACCTCAAAGGCCATGTCGCCTATGATCTTGAGCCGAGTCCTGGGTGGGTGCAGATGGTGCAATTGGCCTGACCGGGTTCTGGCTGAGGTGTGTGGGGTGAGGAGTTAGGTGAGGTATGTAGGGGCTGCACCGTGAAGACAGTGATGGGCGTATGAAAACATTGTGGTGCAGAAACATGGTTTCAGTGTAGAGACATGGTGGTGCATGATAGCTTATGTAATGTGCTTTCAGATCACAAGGTGGCGAGCTTGCACAGCAGAGCCAGCCTGTGAGTCGACAGCTCTCCCTGCAAACACACAACTTGACCATGAGAACAGCCCCCTCTTGTGGCAGCCTGGACACGAGGCTGCGTCTTGAGATGCAGCATTTTTTTTCATCAAGTTTCAAGTTCATGAGGTTTGTCTTGTTCTAACAAAAGAAAATCATTCCCAAAGAGCTTCTTATAGACAGGCAGATTGATTGTATACTGCAATACTAATATTCCACGCTCCTCATTATCCCACAACTGAAGCAGCACAGTAATCGCCGCTGGGGAAAACGTTGAAAATTACAAAAAAAAAAAAAAGACAGAAAGTGAGCAGGTCTGGTGGTGAAGAATGCGAAAGACGCACAAGTGGAGCAGCACCTGTGGTTTGGGAGCATCGCCATCCATCTTTCTGCACACACGGAATTATGTGTGTGTCGTGTGTGTGCGTGAGGGAGATGTGTGAGAAGAGAAGAAAAAGAGGGATGGAGGGAGGACATTGTGGAGTGTATGAGTAATAGGAGAGACAGTGGAAGCATATGTGACCCATGACACTGAAAAGCCTGCAGTCTGGTTTAAACTGGCCTCTGATCTGGTTCTGTGGACCCTAGAGGGCCTCGGGGACTGCGCCTTACATATCAGCGGTGACCCTCTGGCTTTTGAACAGCGTTTAATACAATGAAAAGTCACAAACGGCTTAAGATGGAAGTTAGACTGTGGCAAATTGGAAGCAAAAATAGTGAAATTATGAAAGGAAATGGAAAAGGAAAGCGATCCTTTATCCAAGCAAACACTCCTCCCCGTAAAAAGAAATGTAATAGAACTTGGACCTCCACAATCCCAGCCCAAACAGGGAGCCTCTTATCGTCCGCCATCTCTCCCACAGCTAATATTTCACTTCAGCTCCCGGGCCCACAGAATGAGAGACGTTTCCATTTCATGTCAGTCATTTCCAGGCCTGTGTGTTACCTGTGCGGTGATAAGTGTTTGACTGACTGGGAGTGTCGTTAGTCACTGTCCGGTGTGGAGTGACAGCAGCAGATTGACGCGGATGATGAGAGGAGGAGAGGCCCGATGTGTGTTCAGGGACAACGGGGGGAAAAGCTCGGCTGTTGTGTTGGGGGAGGGAAAAAAACATTTACACACATATAATGGCAAACATAAAGCCATACACAAACACATACCAAACACAACAAGGTGGATTATAGAGGACATAAGGGATCATGCTGTTTTAATTTGATGAAATGTGTTTACCTCCTTTTACATTTGACAGGTGTGGAATCTTTGTTGTTGCAGGTGTGTGACTACCAATGATTCATAATAGGGGTAAGAAAAGGTTTAAAGATTAGAGACATTAAAAACAAAGTTAATTTAAAGTGAAATATTGATTATAAATTTGTTAAAAAATGAATTTACATGGCATTACAATTTAACTGGAATTACCGTGAGCGTTTTTAAGTTATTCCCTTGACTTTTTAGGGTGTAGGAGCCAAATTTGTGACCTAATAAGTAAAGTAAAATGTAAATATGCGATCATCCCCCATGCAAATAAAGGATTCTTGATAGATTAGATAGAGACCATATAACTCATATTTGAAGTCTCTTATAAGTCGAAAGACTGCAGCTTGAGACTGACCCTCTTAAATGTTTTTACACCCCTGTTTGTGTCATAAATACCAGTTTTCTTCGCATTAATGATGAACTTAAAAAACATATTACTGTCACTGTATAAACTGTCATTTCTAAGGACTTAAATATGTATTTTGAAACCAGATTTCAGCTTAAATTAGGCACCACTCTGTCTGTTTGAGGCTCATGCATTGCTAGTACAACATTCAATATAGTGTTGTTGTTATAAAAGCCCTGAGTTCCCCCTTTTTGACCCTAAAACATGTGAATTATGTGTTGAGGATTAATTCATATATTTTAATTTATAGGTACTTATTTGACTTTTCTCTGCTCACACTCTTTTAGCAGTTTCACAAGTTGGACAACTAGTTTTTAATTTTATTTTTCCATTTTTAAAGATTTCCAATCCAGTTTTTATTTATTTTTTGCCATAATATATACACTACATAGATTATAAATCTTAAACCATACAGAAAAGAAGCTATTTTCTTGTTGACACTTATCATTGCCTATCATTGTGAATGAGCCTTGTTGTTAGAGGCAAAATACACACCATGAAAACCATAAAAATGAAGTTTTCTGAACTGTTTCAGCCGCTCCAAGAAAAAAAATATCAACATCCTTAGATTACGTTCACTTTACTCTCACTGCTGTGAAACCTGACAAAACAAGCAGGAAGTAATACAGCACTGCGAGGCCAAGAAGTTCAATCTCTGGACATCTCTGGAACATGTTTTCACCCTCATGGTCTCTACCTCTCCCCTTTTTACCTCCTCTACCAAAAGCGAGGCAGCGAGCCGTGAGATGGATGGGCTGAGCGTTGCGAGGTTTCTCCAAAAGCGAAGCGAGTCTGACTGCTGCTCTACCTGAGGAGCGAAAACAAAAGAGCCATCTCTACCTGTAGGACTGTGGGAGTCGAGGCTTTGATCTGGACCAGAAAGAGAGAGTAGTTTGATGAAATATTGATGCTTTTTTTTAACTGTGTCCTGTGGGAGCTCAGTCTGCTCTCAGGATGTGTGCGCTGATGTACAATACCACTCCGTGCTTTGCTAGATGAGAATGGACTCGACTATGGAGTCTTATCGGTCTTAATGGGCCTAATAATGACCCCCCACTCTGGGCTCGGGAGTGGTCAGGGACTTCTTTTTGTGCTGATCAAAAGAAGAAGTACTTTTAATCAGTCAACACCTATTGAAAAATACACGTACAGGTGATGTGCGCCTGACAGCATCTTTACACAATCTTGACAGCAAAGGCTGTACCTGACTTAAATCTTTATTTGGTGTTCGGTGGGTTAGCTTTTGCTCTTGAAACAAAAGGTGAAACAGCGTTTAAAGCGCATGTTTTGTATCTTAACATGTGCATTTGTAATTAAAAACCGCGATGCTGAAAATTCTCTGTAATTGTATTAGATTAAATGACATAAAAATCAAAGCAGAGTACTTTTAATGCCACTTAAAAATCAAGAACTGACGCACAGTTTTGAGAAGACTCTCAAACACAGAGATCCTCTTTCAGCTCAGGATTCAAAAATGAAGGCCTTGTTAAGACCATGTAATATGATTTCAACTGAGAGCCCGGAAACTTTGATTTGAGTTTGTACGAGTGACCCACATTCTTCCAGCAACAATGATCTCCATGCGAGAGAAGAGAAAAATCTGAATATTGATAATTGCCTTGAGTGCTTTTGTCTGAAAGTTTGGAGGCTGACACACTCAAATTAAGACCGGAAAAAGAGTGTGAAAGACAAGGGAGGGGGGGATTTATCACTCTCCCATGCTCATACACAGAGATAGACAGGGGGCATAATGACTTCTGTGGAGAACCATTATTTCAACTTAAAGGAAAAGGAGAAAGAGGCAGAGAAACGGGTCGAACGGGGGGGAGGAAAGAGGCATCTTAGGAGGAGCCAGGGGCAGGAGATAGTCTGGGAAAGGTCTCGCGTTAAAGTGGAATTAACATGCCTTTCCATTGGAGTCCATTAGATAATCATATTCATACCACACAAGGCTCCAAACCCTCTCTGTTTCATTATTCCCTTTTAATCCAGCCTGATAAGGGGGTGCAGGCGACGTGGTTTTATTATGTCGTCATTTGGATTCCACATGAAACCCCCACGGGACGTTATCACGGGGAAATTGCTTAAATAGCCCAAGTGGATATAGTTTGGCGTTTATTATTTCTGACGGATTCAAAATAACTGCAAATATCCTTTTTTTTTTTTTAGATTATTTGGGAGCTGAGAGTCTTATCAGTCATTCACACTAATGGCCCACTCAAGCCACCCGATACCTCCGGCACTAGGGGACGAGGAGGAAGAGGAGGCGGAGGAGGCATGCTGGGAGAAGAGGAGGGGAGTGCTGTGTCAGTGTACACAGGTACAGCACATATGAGGGAAAGATGAAATGGAGTAACAAATATAGGAATAGGGAGGACATTATAAACTGTATGTATACAGCTCTCTACCCCTGACAGGGGTCACTGAAGCGCTTTGTGGTTGGCACTTGTAGTCCTGAGATTATAAGCAAGCAAACACTAACAGTTAATCTTTCTTAAAGCTTTATCCAGCCCCTTTCCATACATGCACTCCTGAAAAATTCAAGGAAATTTCAGGACAACCTTTTCCAAGTTAGTATCCCCTCTCATTCCCTAACTGGGAAGATGGCTACTTGATAATGAGTCGTTAAAGTGACAGTCTGACCACGTACATCATATCCAATTAACGCGCAAAAGTAAGTTCAAGTATATTTCACCATTGCGTGTTGATAATGTGGCAAAATCATTTATTTCTGTTACCAAGCACAGATATGAGAGCAGCCTGAGGAGCTAATGACCCCGACGACTTAAAGGGGAAGGTGGAGAAACATCCTGTCCTGCAATCCATGCAACAGCAGCAGATTTAGCAAGAGTTTCTCACCAGAAAGGTGCACTTTGGAATGAAGTTGGATGAAAATTTGCCATAAATTTTCAAGAATTTGGTGTAAGATGTGGTGGTGAAAGACAGGAATCAAAATCTCCCCGGTCCTGCAGTAACAATTATATGGTAACCAATTCTAGCCCGTCTTCAAAGTTTGTGTTTATTTGAGGTTTTCTGTGTACTGTGAAGTAGGATACTCGCTACTCTCTTGAAACTTGCCGCAGCAAAGCTAAAAGGTTGAGTTGTTTTTTGCTTGGAAAAGATTGAATATTGAGATAATTTGAAAGGTCAAAAGGGAGCAACATGGCCACCATAAAGATCAGAAGAGCGTAATTCAATTTAATACAATTTGATTCATTTCACTTAATGTCGTTGGACCGGTCAGTTTTCTCAAAAAGACTTTCTGCTGCAGCATGAACAGATGCTTTGAATTATGAGACATGCTTACAGGAAAGTTTAAAAGTAAAACAAAAAATATTGAATAACAATGAAAAAAGTAAAAAAAAATCTAGAAATCGAAAGCTAGATTAAAAAATGCCCCTTTTAGCATAAAGTCTTATGTTACAGTCATTATTGAAAGTTTTGCATAATGCTGGTTTTCACAACAAGTGTTCACTATAGATGCTAATGAGTCCATTAGTTTTCATAACAATAAACACAACTACCATTTCCCTAAAGAAAAGCTGGTTTATATTTCCATTACATCTGCTCAGACATATAAAAATACGCTGGAGTGTAACCTTTTATTTACCAGGTTTTAGAAATAGGTCCCCTTTGAAAAACGCCTACACTGTATTACAATTGAATTGTATTAAATGTTGTTGTGTTCATCATATTGAAAAATTACATTACTTAATAGGAACAATGTCTTGTGACTCTTTTTTAGATTTTCCTATTTTTCCAATTGAATGTTGATAAAAGGTCAAGAGGGAACATGTAATACGAAATAAACTCAGACAAGTTTCAAACCTGGAACAATGTAAGAGAGACTTAGCAAAAAATAGTTACAACACTAAATGTAAAAGAAAAGACAGAACTAAGTAAACAAATACAGAAATGATCAACCTAAAGAAATGATGGTGTAAGTGGTGACTGGGTCAGAAAACCACATGTGAAGTCTGAAGATATTTATAATAGTCTCATGTTCTGTAGGTGGAGGAAAAATACTCTTACAGCTTTAGCAGATCGTGTCTTCTTTCTGCAGAGAATATATGAGGATGAATGAGGATACATGTTTTTGTAACTGTGCCTTAGAGATCCATAAGCATGCCTTAAAGTCCATGTTCACCTGTCGTCTAAATCAGAAGACTCTCATCAGATCCAGTAGCCTATACTGGTAGATAATAGTGTGCAGCTTCATGCTACACTTTATTCTCAGTTGTGGAAAACTATCCAACACTTATAAACTAAACTCACTTTTACTTAATAGGTTACAGGTCACTTCTCTGAAATGAGATTTTTTTGTTTTTCCAGCAGGAAACTCCCCTCCCCCTAAACATATATACATATAATATGCACACAGATAAATAATTAAAGTGATTCTCGAGCTTAATCTATTCTTCATTTAATGCAGTCTTGATTCTGATAAACTTGGAGTTTCTGTAATAAACCACCATGCTGCAGCTGATCATTCTGAGTAACATGCATAGAAAAAAAGTGTCAGTGCCAATGTTATTCAGATGAGTAGTGTCATTTGTTTGGGTGTTTTGACTTGATTCATGCGGCAGCAAAGGGTTGTGGCTGGAAATCGAACCATTCTCACACGTTTTGCAAAATATGGCGCGGAAACTTCTTATTGGTACCTCAGTTTCATCTGTCCTCTCCTTCTATATGATTTGCACTACAAATGAAAGTAATTTAATTTAGAAAAGGTTTATTATTAGTACTGGGACACTGAGCTAGACCTACGTGGATATAACCAACGAATCCTGGCTCTTGGTTTTATTAAAGCTGGTTGAAGCCTGTGGCAAGAAGACACACAGAAACAAAGCGCTAATTGAAATTAAAATCATAAAAGTATATTGAAGTCAGCTTTGTTAAGAGTATATTGTATTTTTTAATTACATCCACAGCAAATAAACACAAACAGCTTACATGGATCACTGCTGTCAATCAATCAACTTTATTTCTATAGCACATTTAAAAGAACCATGGGCGTAGCCAAAGTGCTGTACATTGTGACATAAAAACAAATAAAACTAGCAAAGAACAAGATAGAGCGAGTTCAAATACATAAATGCAATAAATAAATAAATATATATGCAGGCTCACGGCAAGTGCTAAGATGAAAACAAACAAAATAGCACTAAAATGTCAGTTTAAAATGGGCTGCTAACTTTCTCCTTTAAAATGAGTTTTTCATAAATCACGTGGGTCGCCTCTCCAGCTTATTTGGTATTCCAGAGTAATCCAACAGATTCACATTCCTTTTGAATTCTTAAAAAGTCCACTTTTTAATCAGGCGGACCGCTGATTTAACTCCAACACTCTTCATAGCCGTCCCTGTACAGTGTAAAACACAGTAGCCTGTGTCATTCCTCTGTTCATGCAGCCGGTGCCTTTCACATCTGTGTGCACATAATATGCTTATTCTGCTGTATCCATTTCACTGTGACATCTGTCCAGCGGCAAAGAATTAAAGGCAAAAATCCAAATGCCTACACTCCACTCTGCCAAGTATTGATTTACTGTAACTCATGTAACATACGTGGACTCGCTGAGCACTACATATTATTTCAGTGAGATCACGGCTGAAGCTGGGAACGCGCCGTCAGACTGTCATTTATTAAGAAAATACGCTTTTTTTGACTTGATTGCGCTGTGAGAAAAAGTGACAACGAGGGTGTGTGTGGACGCTTGTGATTGGTTGAAGTGTGTGTGTGTGTGTGTGTCTCTACCTTAGTGAGTACACCTCCCTGTCTGAAGATCTCAGGGTCTGGAACAAACAGTAGTTCCTTCTTAATTGGGGTGAGATCTGGGGCTTAAAGGGGGCCAAGAAGGGACCCGAACCCCTTTCTTTCTCCTCCAGAATCGCTTTGGCTACAGAGGTGCTTTTGATGTGTGCTTTGGCTCTGCGAGCTCCACTCTGGAATATGTTCTTGGGAGACCATTGGTTACTTGCCTCCAGGCAGAATCTCAATCCCCAGGATCCTGGCCCTCTTTGATGAAATACTTTCGGGAGCCGCTAACCCCACTGATGCCCATGTGCGCCCCCTCCCTCTCTCCTCCTTTACCCTCTTGTTCTCCCCCCCTCCACCACCTCCACCTCCACGTTCCTCGGATTCTCTTTGAGAGATTCATAACAAGGACTTTATCTCTGTGTAGTCCAGGCCAGATGAGCACCGCCTGACAAACTGACAGGAGAATTAGTCGTGTCTTACAGAGCACCTTTGACTGTCTCCTCCTCTTGGCCTCCACTTCCCGTCTTCACAGAGACCGGCATTTTCATTTTGATTCATATCACTGCTCATATTCTATCACTGGAGCATTTCTATACTCCTCTGTTTCAATTCCTGACCTCACCATCGAGTCCAACCATCAGTTTTAACACTTTTGCTTTTTTGGAGGATATTTTATTGAATATAAGGGAATAAAGCCAAAAACTGTCTTCTATCAGTAGATTTATTGATGAGTATCGACACCATCTGAGTCTAAGCAATCCCATGTTTGTAGACGAATATTTAAAATGGTTGTTTTTAATGACCTGACAAAAAAGGGTCAAATATTTTGAGGTTTATTGATGACAAAGATGTTGACAGTTGTGACAGAAAATCTCAGCCTCTGATTGATTAAGGCAGTAATTAGTCAATGCAGACTTTATCGGCCCAATTAGCATCAAGAAAGTGACTTGAAAACATTTTATATTTCCTCTTCATTCTTGACTTTTTAATTCGTCATTGTATTTCACCAAACGTGTGTAACAAGCAGTGTAAACACACTCACTGTGACTTGTTGGACTTGACCTCTCGGCCACACAGACACACATTCAAATCCTGCTAAAACGATTAAGCGCTGATTTCGCTCTCCACCTCTTCATTGATTGAAGCGGCACCCTAAAGACCTCTCTTACCACATCATTTCCCTGTATATTGATTATGTATATTGATTATAACCTGACCCTACAGGAGGGCTTCCCCCCCGCTTTAACGCAGCATTAGGTATCACTGTGAA